TTGGCTATGTGGCCGGGTTTACCACAGTAGAGGCAAAGTTTGTTTGTGATGCGGTGTTGGCGCTCTAGCGGTGTGAGGGGTCCTCGCGGACGAGCAGCGTCAATGATCATAGGGTCGTCTGGGCGGTTGTCGGGGCTCATGAGGGTGGGGCTAGTGGTAACTGGCACATATGGCTGTCGGTTCCTGCTTCGCTCTAGACGGCGCTCAAACAATCGGTTGTCACATTGGATGGCCTGTTCCATCACGGTGTCGATTGAGGCGGTAGGGGGCATCGTGAGCATTAAGTCCTTGACGTCTTCTTTGAGGCCGCGACGGAAGGTGGCAATCAATGCCTGGTCATTCCACGACACATCGCATTGCAGCTGTCGGAATTCAGCTACATACTCTGTTGCTGCACGGGTTTGTCGAAGGTTCTGGAGCTTGTTTTCGGATGTGCGGATCCTGTCGCTGTCTCCAAAGACTGCTTGCATTTGCTGGATGAAATCATCCAGGTTCGTAAGGGAATGATGGTCTTGTTCGACAAGGGGCGCCAGCCAGGCCTGGGCGGTGCCAGTGAGGTAGGTGCCAATAGTTCGTATCTTGGTCTGATCGTTGGGGTAGCGCCTGGGTTGGAGGGCGAACATGAGCCGGATCTGGTTGAGGAACCCACGGAACTTGCTTCGGGTGCCATCAAATTTGTCTGGGAGACTGATTTTGGGTTCGGGGGCGTGGGTGGCAGGGGCAGTGGTCTGGGTTTGCGCTAGTTCGGCTTGTAGGGTGGTATTCTGTGCTCGAAGTTCGTCAATCGCATTGCACATGGCTTGCCAGGCTTCGGCCGTGAGGGGAAGGGCGTCGGACATGGTGATTTGGCGTGGAGGTACAGCGGCTGGGGGTTGTTGAGCAGATCAAACTGTTATGAATGGGCGGAGCCGATGGAAATAGAGGCGACTTGTGGTGCAGGTTGTTGACAGGTAATGGTATTCAGACCGAAACAAGAACTAGAACAAGACTAGGAAGAACTGGTGTTGATCTGCTGGGGGATCAGGAAGTGGGGAGCTCAGGGGAGGCGGCTATTTATGTTTTTCTGGGAAGGCTGGGGAAGCGTGGGGAAGCAGAAGGGTACGGAATGAGAGGGAAGCCAAGAGAAGCGCCAAGGGTGGGGAAGCATAGAAACAGAAGACTGGGGATGGGGTGGCTACGCTGAGGCTGTGGGCGGGTACGTGGGGAAGTATGGAGAAGGGTTTGTAAGCGCCGAGTGTTGGGAGGTGTGGCTACGTGCGGCTGAGTGGAGAAATGAAGGCAGTGGCAGGTGTGGGGTAGCGCGGCTGCGTGCGGCTGCGAGGTTTGGCAGATGTCAGGTTTTGACAGGGAATTGACATTGACTGACTGTTGGGATGCTGTCATGAGGTAAGCGCATGGTATGGACGCGTTGTCCATAACACTTGTCAGGGTCGGGGTGAGTCAGGATAGGTGCAGAGGTGAAGGCTTTCTTGAGGGTTTCAAAAGCTAGGTGTGCAGCGTGGGTCCATTTGAATGGCAAGTCTTTGCGAGTGAGCGTGGTCAGGGGTGCAACGATCGCAGAGTACCCTTTGATGAATCGCCGGTAGAAGTTGGCAAAACCAAGGAAGCGCTGGATGCCTTTGACATTCGTCGGGGGTTCCCATTCGGTAATGGCAGCCGTCTTCTTTGGGTCCATGGAAATGCCTTGCTGGGAGATGATAAACCCCAGGAACTCAACAGAGTCACGGTTGAATTCGCATTTCCGCGGTTTCGCATACAGCCCGTGCTGGCGGAGTCGTGAGAGCACCTCTCAGACGTGGTTGGGGTGGTCTTCTGGGTTTTTTGAGAAGATCAGAATGTCGTCAAGGTAGACCACAACAAAAACGTCGAGAATGTCACGAACGATGTCGTTCATGAGGTGTTGGAATACTCCAGGGGCATTGGTGAGCCCAAACAGCATGACATTATACTCGAATAGGCCGTAGCGACATCGGAACGCTGTCTTCCATTCATCCCCTGGCCGGATCCGAAGAAGGTTGTAGGCTCCCCGGAGGTCAATCTTGGTGAGCCGGCGTGCCCCTCGAAGACGATCCATGATGCTGTTAATCAAGGGCAAGGGATAGCGATTCTTGATGGTGATATTGTTGAGTCCACGATAGTCGACGCACAGACGGAGGGAACCGTCCTTTTTCTTGACAAAGAGGACTGGGGCACCGGCGGGAGACTTGGAGTGCTTGATGAACCCCTTAGCTAGGTTCTCTTCAAGGTAGTCACAGAGTGCTGCATTTCAGGCTCGCTGAGACTATAGATCGGGCCGAACGGTGGCTGTTTGCCCTCTTCTAAGTCGATGGGACAGTCGTAGGGTCGGTGCTCTGGGAGGGTATCCGCGTTCTTCTTGGCGAAGACGTCCGCAAAATCTTGGTATTCTTCAGGAATGATGGCCTTCGGATCTTTTGGAGGAGTGGTCGCCAGGGCTTGGGAATCTGACTTGGTCGGATTGGCGTAGGCAATGAATGCCTGGTCATGCCTTGCCGCCACACGGAAAGCTGGGGCGCTGATAAACGATACGTGGATCGGTGTGGGTGCTGGGTCCAGTGTGTTGGGTGTCTGGGCTAGGGAGACTGAAATCTCGTCTTGATGGATACGGATCAGAGGTTCAGGGGTTTTTGAGGGCTTCGGGCTAGGTTCTGTTGGCAGGGCATCCCAGGAGGCGTATTGTCCAAAACCGCAATGGCAGCGGACGCAAAGAGTGCGAGTCTTCCAGTGTAGCTCCACATCATGGAGCTCAAACCAGGGAAGCCCCAGGATGATTGGCGCATGCGGGGAACATGTCACATGGAATACCACCTCCTCAAAATGGTCGTTGACCCACATGCCCAAAGGTTGGGTGTGATGGGTAATGGAGCCCGCATGGCTGGGACGTCCGTCAACCAGTTCAAGCGCAATGGGGTCCTCCTTCTTGACAAGTGGGATGCGGTGCTTGCGGGCATAACTTTCGTCGATGAAGCACGACATCGCACCGGTGTCGAGTAGTGCTGAAAGCTGAACTGGAGCTCGCTGGGCCAATATCTGCAGGGTAACAGGGTACTCGAATGGTGAGGATGGGCCCAAAGTCCGCATGGGTGAGGGTATCTCAGATAGGAGATTGACATTGTTGGTGGTCAGGAGAAGGGTGTTGCTGGAGATGCCAGGATCGGAGCAAGGTTTTGTGGCTTCTCCCTTGGCAGTACTTGCGTGGTGAGAAGGCCCAGGACAGGTGTTGCCCAGCTGCTCGGCCTTTACTGCAGCTGGACTTGGGCAAAATCCTGGATGGGTGCAGGTTCCTTAACCGCGACATTCGCCGTGCGTATCTTGTTCGGGCAGAGTTTGGCTATGTGGCCGGGTTTACCACAGTAGAGGCAAAGTTTGTTTGTGATGCGGTGTTGGCGCTCTAGCGGTGTGAGGGGTCCTCGCGGACGGGCAGCGTCAATGATCATAGGGTCGTCTGGGCGGTTGTCGGGGCTCATGAGGGTGGGGCTAGTGGTAACTGGCACATATGGCTGTTGGTTCCTGCTTCGCTCTAGACGGCGCTCAAACAATCGGTTGTCACATTGGATGGCCTGTTCCATCACGGTGTCGATTGAGGCGGTAGGGGGCATCGTGAGCATTAAGTCCTTGACGTCTTCTTTGAGGCCGCGACGGAAGGTGGCAATCAATGCCTGGTCATTCCACGACACATCGCATTGCAGCTGTCGGAATTCAGCTACATACTCTGTTGCTGCACGGGTTTGTCGAAGGTTCTGGAGCTTGTTTTCGGATGTGCGGATCCTGTCGCTGTCTCCAAAGACTGCTTGCATTTGCTGGATGAAATCATCCAGGTTCGTAAGGGAATGATGGTCTTGTTCGACAAGGGGCGCCAGCCAGGCCTGGGCGGTGCCAGTGAGGTAGGTGCCAATAGTTCGTATCTTGGTCTGATTGTTGGGGTAGCGCCTGGGTTGGAGGGCGAACATGAGCCGGATCTGGTTGAGGAACCCACGGAACTTGCTTTGGGTGCCATCAAATTTGTCTGGGAGACTGATTTTGGGTTCGGGGGCATGGGTGGCAGGGGCAGTGGTCTGGGTTTGCGCTAGTTCGGCTTGTAGGGTGGTATTCTGTGCTCGAAGTTCGTCAATCGCATTGCACATGGCTTGCCAGGCTTCGGCCGTGAGGAGAAGGGCGTCGGACATGGTGATTTGGCGTGGAGGTACAGCGGCTGGGGGTTGTTGAGCAGATCAAACTGTTATGAATGGGCGGAGCCGATGGAAATAGAGGCGACTTGTGGTGCAGGTTGTTGACAGGTAATGGTATTCAGACCGAAACAAGAACTAGAACAAGACTAGGAAGAACTGGTGTTGATCTGCTGGGGGATCAGGAAGTGGGGAGCTCAGGGGAGGCGGCTATTTATGTTTTTCTGGGAAGGCTGGGGAAGCGTGGGGAAGCAGAAGGGTACGGAATGAGAGGGAAGCCAAGAGAAGCGCCAAGGGTGGGGAAGCATAGAAACAGAAGACTGGGGATGGGGTGGCTACGCTGAGGCTGTGGGCGGGTACGTGGGGAAGTATGGAGAAGGGTTTGTAAGCGCCGAGTGTTGGGAGGTGTGGCTACGTGCGGCTGCGTGGAGAAATGAAGGCAGTGGCAGGTGTGGGGTAGCGCGGCTGCGTGCGGCTGCAAGGTTTGGCAGATGTCAGGTTTTGACAGGGAGTTGACATTGACTGACTGTTGGGATGCTGTCATGAGGTAAGCGCATGGTATGGACGCGTCGTCCATAACACCAGCATCTGTGGAGAGCCAATGGGTGTAAGTACGTGGAGGATCCAGCACGTCAAGCAATGGGGCGGCGTGACTTCGGGTATGTGAAGACAGACGAGGACAGTAGCGAGGACGGCTTGACGCTGGGGGAGGGGCCCCCGGGGGAAAGTCTATAAAAGGCGGGGTGGCTCTCTCAGTTCCTCTTCTCCTCATCCGATCCTGTAAATACATAAATACATCATCGTACTTGAATCAACATGAGCAACAACGTCATGCACACCAACGACTCCGACGCCAAGGCTGCCGCCCTGCAAGCAGAATTAGAGCAGGTTAACCAACGCATGGCCGAACTGCGGGAGCAGGCCGCCCGCGAGCAGGCGGAGGCGGAGGAGAGACGCCGGGCTAGGGCGGCAGCCAACCGCGCTCTAAAGGAGCGCCTCGACCAGGAGCGTCGGCAGATGGAAGAGCTGCAGAGGTAAATGTCCTGGGAAGCGACCCGCCGGGGTAGATTTCCTGTTATGGACGACGCGCCCATACCATAATCTTACCTACTGACAGCCGCTAATGTCAAACGCCAATGTCGATTGCCAATGTCAAACGCCAATGTCAATGTCAATGTCAATGTCAATGTCAATGTCAATGCCAATGTCAATGCCAATGTCAATGCCACTCCCCCTCTCTCCTCTCATTTCGCCAATCCTCCCGCAATATCGCCACTCCTCCTCTCTCCTCTCATTTCGCCAATCCTCCCGCAATATCGCCACTCCTCCTCTCCCCTCTCATTTCGCCAATCCCCCATTTGCCGCTCCTCCTCTACCCCGCTCATCTGTGAGCCAATCTCCGGCCATTTGTCAACCCCCCCAGTACTTCTCCACAGCCAGCAGCTGTAGCTTGCTCTCTACGCCTGCTACGCTCGCTCTAGGCTAGGGAGCAGAGCTGGCGCTCACTCAGTCCCCTCTTGTTGTTGTCTTTGGTCTGCTGGGTTGTTTATCTATAAATAGCCGCCCCCTCTTCGTCCATTCCCTTCCTCCCCAGCAGATCAACACCAGTTCTTCTCATCTCCTGTTCTAGTCCTTGTTTCTTGTTTCGCCAATACAATCTCTTGTCGCCTATCACACTTGCCCTGTCTTCTCTACTTCGCTTCCGCCCCCCGTCGTCGAGATCATAACATTTCCAGGGAAGCAAATAACTCACTCTCCCCACAGGACGTTGGCCTCACCGCCTCCGACCGCAGTGCAGTCGGCGGCCGCCAGTCCGGAGCGCAGCGCCGCTGCGATCCGCGCCGGGATCCCCACCGCACCCACCGCACCCACCGCAGGCACCGCACCCACAGCACCCACCGAGCCAATTCTTGTCCGGGAGCAAACCCCCACTATCGAGTCCCGCCCCCCTCGCCATGTGTCGTTTCTGGCGACCCCGGAGAGGTCCACCCGCAGGGCCATTACCCAGGCCGGGGCCCTTGTTCCCGCCTCTGCTGGCCCAACCACTCCGACATCTGCCGTTCTCAGCGCTCTCAGCGCGGTCAGGACCCCTCCCAGCACCTCTGCCGTCCCGACAACGCCCTCACGGGCGGAATACAAAGAGACCTCTGCGATCGCAGCGGCGGAGCGCCACGAAAAGGACATCATCGAACAGGCGCACCTCATGGGGCGGTGGCAGATGTTGAGGGACGAAGTTGTCATTGAGATTGGAAGGTCCTACAATTGCGATGTAAGTTCAACCCCAGGGTATCACCCCCAGGAACCGCGGATACTGACCTCACACAGTTGGCCAGAATGACACCAGAGGTGGATGCGTTGGAGGCGAAGCTGTTCACCGTGGCGCAAAAGTCACCATGGAAACAATCTGATGTCCGGTAAGGCCCACCCCAACCCAGCGTGACTGGGACACAGGAGATTAACCCCGTTTTACTTGCAGCAAGAAGCGTGGATTGACGGCGGCAGAGCGCGAGGCGTCGGGGTTGGCGGCGCGCTATCGCCAAGACCAGGGGGCGCTGGCGACCATTGGGGCTGCGGCGACGGCGCGGAATGCTGCTGATTTCTTCCAGCAGCAGTTGGAGCAAGAAGAAGAGGAGGAAGACATCGAGGAGGAGGAGGAATACCCAAGGGGAAGGGGGAAGAAGCCCCGCCGACGCCAGTAGCAAACCTCCCCCTGCTTATCCATGTTGTATCCGAGTTGTAAATCCAATGTATTTTTTTAATGAAATCAAGTTCCCCAAACATCTACGAGAAGGAATTCCCCCAGGGTGCAAACCCCTTGGGTGTGCAGACTACATCGTCCTATCCTCAGCCCATGAACAAAACTCACAAGGGGAGGGGGCCAGCGAGATCTTTGATTGAGTCATAGACAATGTCTGAGAAGAGGGGGGTTTGAAGATACCAAAGCCCATTCCGTCGCCAAAGTTCGATCTGCTCGTCTCTGGGCGCATCAAGCTTTCCATGTTCAACGAGGAGTTGTTTGCGCGCAAGCTCCATCAATTCCGACACACTCTTGGGAGGCGAATCACCCGGGAGCGGGCTCCCATGGGGCATGACGTCGATGTCGTCAACAGGTATCGGCTGGGCTTTGGCCGTGTTCCTGCGTCCCCGCGGGTTGAATACACGCGCCTCTTCACTTCATCTTCTTCACTCTCGTAATCGGATCCCGCCAGTTCGCGAAGCTCTTCACCGACCCAATCCGAGTAGCATAAAGATTTCTCCAGCCAGGCATCGATCTGAGCCGCGCGCTTGAGCTTGCCCGCTTGTAGAGCCTCCTTGCGCTTCTCACTCATATGGTCGACCTTCATACCAAGTTCCTTCATTTCCAGATGTCTCTTGAAGAGCTTTGCTTCTTCGGTTTCACGGGCCTCGGCGCGGGCCAATTCCTTTGCGCGTTTCTGGCCCAATGGCCTGGGGTCTCCATCTGACATCCGCTTATTCCCCTTAAATTCTGGGGTTGGGGGCCTATGGTGGACCCCTGGGAGGCGGACCCTTGGGTACCATCCTCTCCCCCGCGGCTCCAATGGGGAGAGAGCTCAAGTATCTTCATACAGTCTGGGAATCGAAAGGAGCTTCCATTGTGAAGATTTTTCCAACGACTGTTGGCGTATTCAAGGTAATTGGCCTCAGCCCAACCGCTCTTCTTTTGTGACTTCCCCTGGGCGTAAAGCCCTGCCCAGGCCTGACAGTCCTTCTGTATCTGCTTGTGCCAGCGGGTTTCGACCGAGTCAGTTGTGCGTGGCTCCCACCCGTTTTCCATGCAACTCTGATTGATTTTCTTGGCGACCTGGGCCCAGAAGTAGGACTTCCTTTGTCCCGTACCCAGGACAGGGTTTTCAGAGGTGTGAATCCAAGCCCGTGTCAGGGCAACGTCTTGGGCCAAGGAGAAGTTGGTTTTGCGTTTTTTCGGTCCCGGTTTTGCACTCTTCTGCGTGGCCACCCCGGGGTTCTGAACCGTTGCCTTCTGGGTGACCCCAATCTCCAGAAGCGCTTCCTGGGTGGAAAGCGCTTCCTGATTCGAAAAGATGTTGCGAGAAGGGGGATCTCCCAACTCCAGTGTATCCTCCAACTCCAGTGTATCCTCAAGCACCAAGGCGATGCGGTTGGCTATAGAGTCCGGCGTATCCTGCCTGACAGGTGGGGTCTCTGTGTTCCGGAGGGGTGCAAGAGCGAGTGGAGTGGTGCGCAATAGGTGGCCCAAGGAGGACAGTCTATGCGGAGTACTGGGGACGCTATACAGACCCGATGGGAACCCAGGTGAATGGCCATAGCCAGCGTACGGCGAGTTGAAAGGGTTCATTGAGATTCAAACTCCCCTACGTATGCAACCCTGGGGTCCAAAATAGCTGCCGAAACGGCGGAAGTGCCGGACTGGCTTGGTTGCGGCTATTTATAAGCACAAAAGGGGGATCAACCCCCTGTGACACAAGAGGGCGGGAAGTTTACCCTCTGGGGGCAACCCCAGGGGAAATCCGGCTACTTCTAGCCGGCTCTCTCGTTTTTGCCCACCGATCACCGGCTACAACTGCTGCGCTTCGAGTTTTGCCCGTACGGTGGAAATGCCCAAGGGTAAAAAAAAAGGTGAGTCACTCCCTGATCGGCATTTTTAGCCGGTTTGGAGCCCTAAAGTAGCCACGGTGGAAGTGCCCTCAGGAACTTCCAATTCAAAGAGCAACAACCTATGTATACATACACACTGCTCTACGCCGCTATCACATCCCTGCACACATGTTGCCCATCGTCCCCTACACTACACTACACAACGCTACAACAACCCACCCCAACGAAATGCCGTATTTCTCGCGTCGGGGTAGGACTTCTCACGTCCCCCTCTAAAAAAACAAACTCCGATCACTCCCCGCCTTCCTCACCCTCCCATCGCCCGCCTGCGCACCCCCCACCCCGCCGATACTCGTCGACGAATGCCGTCCAGGACTTCCACCGGCCCTCACATACCTCCCCGAGTTACTCGTCGGAGAGGCCGCGACGCCCCCCGAGGAGGTGTTGGGACGGGTGAGGGAGTTGCTGTGGGAGTGATAGCGATCGGGGAGGGTGGGAGTATTTGGGGAGTTGGGGAGGGGTGAGGTCGCCGGGAGGGTTGTTGGGGTGTCGGAGGAGTCGGGGTGGGTTGGAGGTGTTGGGGAGTCTACGTCGGTGCGGGCGCGTGGGCGGCGTTTGGTGGAGAAGTGGCGGTCGAGGGAGTGGGCGGTGCGCGTGCCTGGAGGGGCGAGAGGGGAGGAGTAAGTAGGTGAAACCCGAACATAGATCATGGGGCATGAAGTCCCCACTTAGGCAGATGAACGCAGTATTGAATTACCTCCACTCCGCCGACTCCGTTCATGCCGCGACTGCACGGACCTAAAATGTTGCAACAGCTCGGCCCACCTCATCGGTTGTGACGGCGGCGGCAATGGTGCTTCTGCCTGTATCGGCGTCGAGGGCTTGCTGCGTCTGCGTGGAATAGTGTAGGGAAAGAATTTGAGTCTTGCTGTTCACAATATCCGCATGGGGTTACAATTCTCACAACATACCTCAACCCCAGCGGCGAAAACCCATTCCTTCCCGCGCTCTCCCCAGGTGTCGGCACCGCAGGCGGTGTAACACTCCCCGCCCCCGCCCCCATCCCTCCACCCATAGCCCCACTGCTCATAAACACCATACTGCTAACCGAATTCAACCGATTCCTCAACGTCGCAAACGCCGAGCTCTGCGGCAGCAGCATCAAGATCCCATAGAGACACTTGAACAGGTACGGATACCGATCCGGTTCCAGGAGCTGCAGTCTCAGGTACGTGAAAACTGGGGATTCGAGGAGTTGGACAAGTTTGTCGATTTGTATGAGCAGGTTAACGGTGATTTCGAGGTCGGCGAACAGTGTGAGGAGGTGTGAGGCGTGCTCGTAGGCTTGGGCGAGGAGGCAGAGGGAGAAGACGGCGACGGCGTTGTGGCACCAGGAGCGGTAGAGGACTGTGAAGAGGAGGATTCCGTCCTGGATACGAGATGACGTTGTTGAGCGTTCGAACGGTCCAGTGATTTTGTTTTTGGGGTATACTTACCCGGCTCTCGAGATTCCGAAGCCTCCGCCGTAAATCGATCAGTTCCGGGGCCGTGATGAGGATAAAGTTGAGATTCTGCACCATAGTGCTCGCGAACTCCAAATCCTGCCACACAAACTCCCCACATCAGCAACAACGCACACTTGACAACTACTCACATTAGGCACGCCCCCCCCCAATACCAACCTCCTCCCGCTCCAAAATCTCCGCAAAAGTCCTATACATCCTCTCCGGATGCAAGCTCAAACACAACTGTCGGACAATCAAGCTTCCCCTTGTCTCCAACAGCCGCCTGTCCGTGGAAAACAGCGACAGCAGACTGACCATAAAACGCGTAAAATACTCATCATCCGAATGCTGCGAGACCTGCGCGAGCAACTGGAGGTCGCGTTTCACGACCTCCTCCGAGGAGTCGGAGAGAGTGCGGAGGAGGGCTTGGAATGTCGCGTCGTCGGAGGAGAGGACCTGTTTCGGGGACTTTTTGTGCAGCATGAGCAGCCAGTCGAGGGCGGCTACGCGGGTTTCTTCTCTCTCGTCTTGGAATTGGAGGGTGAGTGTTTCGACGGTGGATTGCACATCGATGAAGTCGAAATGGGTGGAGAAGACACCACCGGGGGTGGGATGGAAACTTGCTTGGCGCGAACGCGTGTCCTCTGCAGGGGCGGTGATGGTGATGGCGTTTTGGTCAGTGGAGATGAAGCTGTCGTCCAGCGGCGCGATGGGGAGGTCTAGGATGAGTCTGTAAAGTGTCGCGTTGGCTTCGTTGGCGACGCTTTTGATGGCGGCGACCGAGTGGGCTAGACTAGGGAGAATTGCGTTGAGCAGCATGGGACAGAAGGGAACCATAACTTCGCGGGCTAGTAGAATGAATTCGTTGATCCATCGGAGAGATGTTGCCTGTGTTTCTTCATCTGCAAATGTACATTCGCAGGGTTAGATTCGAGCATCCCACTTTCTGCGACATGGCAAGCAACCCACCTGTGCTCATCAGATGCGGGATCAGAATGCCAGTCATCCGCCCAATATCCAGTGTCACTCCCAATCCAGGAACATAAGGCAAGCTTTCATTCTTCGTTGGGTCGTTCAATTCCTTGAAAGAGGACGCAATGGCAGATCGCGTTCTTGCTCCCATCATCGACCCATCCTCCGCATGTAAACTGTCAACCGATCCCGTCGGATTCGGGGATAAGAGAGACGGATGGCTCTGCGTCACATTTCGCTCATTTGCGCTCTCTACGTCCCCGCCATGTAATGAGAAACTCGACTCGGAAACGTCGTAGGTGCTTGCTGCTGCGCTCGTTGTGCCAATGTCTTTTCCCTTTATCCGCAAGACCCCTCGTTCGCGCTGTGTCAATAAGACATCGCGGATCTCTTTCAAAAACTCGCTGAGCACGTTGAGGGTCGCCACTCGGACATCGATATTCGGGTCACTCAGGTAATTAAACAGCCCATCGAGAAAGTCCGGGAGGAACGCAATCAGCTCCAGGTCAGGCACCGAGTCCAGAACCGATATCCACTGCACGAGGAACATTCGAGTGAAAGGCGCTAATGTGTGGATGCGCTCGGAAAGAAGCGGTATGAAACGGGCCAGGTTAAACTGGGTGGGTTTCATGCCTGGCAAGTATGGCACGGTTCCAGGGACAGGCGGGATCGCGGATGCAATGGGTGATGTTCCCGCGGATTCGGTGATTAGCTGCTCTGCGGCCGTTTTGGCCGTGTCTGGGCCAGCATTTTTTTGGTCTGGTGCCCAGAAGACAGCTCGTTCTGACACGATGTCTTTCATCAGACGATCCAAAAGCTCTGCTGCGTTTTTCGCGGATGGGTCAGCATCGGAGGAGAGCTGAATCAAAGTTTATCCCGTAAATACGTGCAATGAAAGAGTGGTTATATACATATGAGGCCGTCATATGTACCTTGCTGAGCGCGTCAAACACCTCATTGAAGTACTTCAGAATGTCACCTCGCGCGACTTTTGCGACGTTGTACATGCTTTCACAAGCATAGTAACGAATTCTCGAATCCTGATCTGTGAAACAGGACAGGATTGGCGGGACGATTGCGTCCAGATGCCGCCCAAGTTCGTTCGTTCCCAGAGCTATGGCGGCGGCTGCCAGCGCAATAAGTCCACCGTTTCGCGCATTCGGCAGGGAAGAGTACGCAAAGTCGTCAATCAAGGCGTTAAGTATCCCAGCCACTCGAGCTTGGTCTGCCGCACTCAGGGCATCCCGTATGAGTCTAATTCGTTGGGGATGGAGTTAGTTTTGTGGCTCAAGGTGATCTGCAGAATAGAAGTCCATACCGCTCCACCTCCAAGGCAGCAGCCTTCCTCTTCTCATACAGCTTGTCGCTCAGGCCGCGGACCAGCTGGGGCGTAAAAGGCGACGGCTCGCTAGTGGGCGCCATTCTGGAAACGCTCCTTCCCTGTTCCTTATGCAGCACTGGTAGTCCTGTATCAGCACTGGTGGGAAAGTCCCCAAGGAGTGTCGAGACTCGAGGGGGAACTTTGGATGTCATCGCGTTCACGACTGCGCCACCCGCTCCCGGCTCGCCCCTTCCTCTGGCCTTTCCCTTCCTCGTTCGGTGTGAACAGCCATAAGCGCAGAACCCACTTACGCAACATGGTACGTGCTGGCTTCCGTAGGAGAGGCGAAGGGAGACGGGGCCCACTCTCTTCCGCTCTAGTATCTGGGAGCTATGGTAACCTTTTCTCTACTGCCAGGACGCTCCACAACCCATCACCTACAACTCGCAGGTGTTCTCCATGGCCTTCCACCCAAAGGAGGACATTGTGGCTGCAGGTCTGATAGAAGGAAACGTCGCGTGGTGAGTCTAGTCACTCCCCAGGAGGGAAAAAGGTACCTCACGTAACACCCCACTCACACTGGCGCTGTGTGCAAGTCACAGATATACTCCAGGTCAGGAAGCAACACAGGCTTGGTCCGCAAAGATACATAAGGAGTCCTGTCGCGCCTTGGACTTCAGTGTCGACGGAAATGGTATGGCCCGGTGTTCGCTGATAGGAGCTGATTCGCGGAAGGAGGTCGGAGTGGTAGCAAGTGCGGACTGCGGCGAGCAAAGGGAGGTGCAGGGATGCTGGAGGGCGACCAGCGATTTGAGGGATGCTGGAGGGCAGATCGAATGCATCGCTCGGTACCTCAAATCTGTACTCACATCGGTTGTTGTTCTGGTTAGTGCTGTATTCGGCATCAAAGGACCAAACTTTGCAGGTTATCGAGACCGAAACAGGCAAAGTCTTACTGAAGAAACCAAAGGCCCACAGGTAGGCGTTCCTCTGCCGCACGTTCCAAACAATGTTCGTTTCAGTACTCACCCTCCCTCCCTCCAAAGTGAACCCATCAATGCGCTGCAAACGCTGTCAGAAAGCTTAATCGCAACCGGCGACGACGGCGGCTGCGTCAAAATCTGGGACACGCGCCAACGGAAAGTCGCCATGAAATACCACGAGAACGTCGACTTTATTTCCGACATGACGCACGTCTACCACAAAAAAACTCTCCTCGTAACCAGCGGGGATGGCTGCCTCTCCGTCTTCGACATCCGCAAACAAAAACCCGTCGCCGTCTCCGCCAACCAGGACGACGAGCTGCTGTGCGTCCAAGTCGTGCGAAACACCACCAAAGCGGTGGTCGGAACCCAGGATGGTACGCTGCTTCTGTTCTCGTGGGGCGATTGGGGAGACTGCACGGATCGGTTCCCCGGCCACCCGGCCAGTATCGACTCGATGGTCAAGATGGATGATAACACGGTGATGACGGCATCGGGCGATGGGATATTACGCGCGATCGGGATTTTGCCGAATCGCCTGATCGGCGCGATTGATGAGCATAACGAGATGCCGGTGGAGAGGATACGGATGACACGGGATGGGGTGTGGGTCGGGAGTTGCGCGCATGATGCGACGGTGCGGTTTTGGAATGCGCAGGATGCTATGAAGGAGGATGGAGATGATGGGGATGAGGATGAGGCTGAGGAGGAGGTTGCAGATGAAGCGGAGGGCGAAGCCGATGATTCGGACGAAGAGAGCACACCCGCTGCACCGTCAAAGCCTTCGGCATCAGCTGGCGATGATGAAGCCGAAGCGTCAGGTGACGACGAAGTCAGCGATGACGACTCCGCCACGCCCGTCCGACCACCACCATCATCAACACCGCAAGGACCCCCACCAGCAACCAAACGACCCAAACCTGCCCAATCTTCATCCGACGACAGCGACTCCGATAGCGACGACGAAAAAGAGAAGCGGAAGCGGCAGAAGAAAGCAAAGAAAGCGAAACGCGGCATTGGGGGTGGGAAGAAGGGTGTGAAGCCGGTCTTCTCTGGACTTGATTGAGTAGGACCGTGAGCAGATCTTTCTAGCATAGCGGAGGGTTCAGGTAGCTGCAATACGCTAGTCTAGCTTGAGCGTACTATTTATTTATCAATCTATACGCAATACATACCACGACCATCTCTGCACCTCAAAGCCTTCGTGCCGAGTACGAGTACTCTGGGCCATAGTTTGTGGGGACCCTCCCTACGTCCCGAAGCGTACGATATATCCCAAAGCATTGATTGACTTCCCGGAGCGTACCCAAAACGCAAGAAGGCGACTGGACCCATATACTCAAAACTTCCAAACACATGTATTTGCTTCGTCACAGCAACTAAATAAAAAAAAGGGCAAAATCCCAACCCGATACATCTCCCCATTCAGACGACGATCCGTCCCCCACCAACATCGACCCAAAAAATACGCATTGATCTCAAAATGAACCCCCTTTCACAGCAAGCTTACTCTTTTCAAAGACTCTCAGACACTTAATCTACCCGTCTCCATCCTCCTCCCCCTCATCACTCAACTCCTCCTCCTTCTTCTCCACCTTCAAACTCATCTCGTACAATTCATCATCATTCAACAGTTGCAAATTGCTCAACCCGCTCAAGAAATCGCGGATCCCGGGTACGACGATGAGGTTGTAAGGCTGCTGCTGGAATTTCTGAATGGAGCCGGTGAGGATCTGGTAGACTTTGCGGCGTTTGTCGAAGTTTATGAGGGAGGTGTCGGGGAGGAAGTCGGGGTTGCCGAGTTCCATGAATGTTAGGTCTGTAAGGGACACACCTGCAACATGAAAAGATGTGAATATCGAGTGAAATATGTGCGGGTGACATATGGTAAGAAGATACCGACCCAAAAACGGCACAGCGGGCGGCACAAGCTCCTTCAAGACCTTCCTGTAATTCGCATACTGCCCCTTGGGACTGACCGTCGAGCTGGCCTCTAGGTAGGCTTCGTGCAGCTTCGGATACTTTTCGCGGAAGGCTTCCCAGGTCTTGTGCAGGCGGTTGACGGCGGCGTTGGACATGGCGGCGTTGAGGGCGGTGATGCCGTTGAAGTTGTTCAGTTCTTGGCAGTGCTGTAATGGGGTTATGTGATCTGCGTATGTGGATTTTGGGGGATGGCAGGGGTAGGGAGCGATGTGAGGGGACGTACCACTGCCATCTGGGCAAAGTATCGCAGCGCCTCCCGCCGTGCTTTGAGGTCTTCATTGCGGATGATGCAGTTTGCGATCCACATGGTCACCTACATCAATCCACGAAAGGTAGTCAGTCAATCACACCTAATGTCCCCTCCCATCCCGAAATCGAACACCTGACGTACAATATTAGTATGCTTAATCATGTCCCCCAACCCCGTCGGCCCGACCGGGACATCCTTAGTCCCCATCTCCTTCCGCCGCTTATCCCCCCAAATCTGATCGAGGCATTCATGGGGCTTGATCTTAGCAAAGTGCTCGAGATCCTGAATGGCGAGTTGACGGGCGAGCTCGATCGGGTCCAGGTCTTGGTAGAGGAGATTGGCGGTGAGGAGCGTATTGATGTCGGTTTCGGGGGGGAGTTTGGGAAGTTTGGGGGTTGGGCCCGTGGGTGTGGGCGTGCTGAGGAGGGCAGGTGGGTTTGTTACCTCGTTGAGCTGGTTTGTGTGGGAGATTGAACGGTTGGATTCTGCGTTGTGGCGAGATCTCAAGATACAACAATCTCGGATATCGAGCTCACCTTCCGCTCCACCAACCCCATCAACTCCTTCTTCCACACCTCCGAATCCTTTGCCACAGTCCCCTCACAAAAATCCCGCAACTTGAACACCCCCACATGCGATCCATATGTGAAATCCTCCTCGAACAGTATCGACACCCATGTCTGCAGCACGGCGCACACGGACCGCTTGACGGGGAACACTTTGCGTTGTAGGAACACGTCGTATTGGGCGCGGGTGAGCGCCGGCGGGGCGGTGAAGCTGTACCGGCGGAAGAGGAGGTCCAGGAGCTCAGAGGTGGTTGTGAAAGAGTGGTGAGTGAGGAGGAAGTTGACGACGAATTCAGGGTCTGTGATGTGGGGGTAAGGGAGATTATTAGTGGTTGATGACGGCACCTTAGAACGGCGACAATGGACTCATGTCTTACCAGTATTTTGCGCGGAGGTCATCCACTCCACAAGTTTCGTCAACCGGCCTCCTTTCACCGCCACCTTATCGCCAGTCGGCTCAAAAACCAACCCTTCCCAATCATCCTTCAACATCCCAAGCTCCTCCGCTCCGGGCTCCGCAGACGTCGCAACGCTCGCGGCAGCAGCGCCACCCGCAACAGGCGCGGGCCCCTCATCGTCATACGTCCGCTGCGGCCGCAACACTTGCGCCTCCCACAACTGAAACAGCTGCTTAACATGCTCATTCTGCGCAACATCGCGTGCCCATCGATCCCGCTTCGTGACTTTGTCGAACGACTGCCGCCGGATCTTCCGGGCGGCTTCTTTGCCAATCACGACCAGTTTCTTGACGGCGACGAGGCATGGGATGGTCGAGCGGACCATTTCGTCCGCGGCGTTTGGCGGCGGCATCACTCCGCTGGCGAGCTTCCCTTTCATGGTCACATTCCGCGCGGCGTTGCGAACTTCCTGCAACACGCTGAACCAGATGTCCGCAACAGACACCGGGAACGAAAACCCGTTCGTCGCGATGCCTTTGGCTGCCAGCACGGCCGCGTCGTCGTTGTCGAACATCAAGTCGTCCGTCAAGTTTGCGAACAACTCGTAACCCCGAATCTCGTCGATGAGGACCTCGGCCCTGTGTGCGGCGGTGGACGTGAGACTCACGTACTGGTGCTTGAGATGATTCTGGTACGCCTGCTTGATCTCCTTCATGACCTCCACGAAGGAGAGGAGGAGCTGGTCCATCTGGCCAAAGAACTGCTCGTCGAGGAGCTGCTCCCGCCGCCGCTGCTCTTCTACCTGCTCGGTGTCGCTGAGCTCGTTGCGGTGCTCGGAGGGACCGGCGTCTGGGACGCTGGCGGATTGTTTGGAGATCTCTTCGAGGACTTTCAGGTCGTTTTGCCGCTTGTACTCCTCGTAGGAAAGACTAGCCATAACGGCCGTACCCTCGGCTGGTGCGTCCTTTGGTGCTGCCGTTGTCCCGGAGCCGGAGTCTTCTTCCGCGGCCAGGGTTGAGAACTGCACAATATCCACGTTACCCTCAACTCCAAAAAGTTATTGTCCCCTCATCGCGAATGATCCCACAAAACCCACCTGCAACTCCAAAACCTTGTCCAGAACAGGAAACAACCCCGTCATATTGGCAATATCCGTAAGTTCCCGACACGTCCTCCCGAGCTCATTCGCCGCCTTGATCATATCGCTCATCGCATGCTGCGGCGGCCACACCCCAATCGCGATCCGGGTCGTGAGCATCAGCTGCTTCGGCAGGTCATTATTCACCATCTTCGTCAGATCCTTGATCCTTGCTCGCACGGCGGTGCTGGCGAACATGCTCGAGCTGCTGTCGGGCGTCGCGGCCAGCACGGGAAATCCGGACGTACCGATGGGCGAGAAGGGGCGTATGGACGAGTTGGTGGCCGTCGACGGTGCGCCGAGCGATTTCTCCAACGACTCGATGGCGCGAACAATCTCCCCGGCGTGGTGGATGGCGTTTGCGGAGATGACGATGAACTGCGTTTTGCGGTTCTGGTTGGCGGCGATGAGGAGCTGGATGACGTGTTGGAAGACTTGGACCCAGAGGGCATCGAGTTCGGTGCCGCGGTCGGGGACTCGTTCGGTGAGTTGGGCGATGATCTCGGGATTTTGGCCGATGAGTTTCTGTAATGGCGCGTGCGAAGGCGGCATTAGCCCGAGGACACACACATCACACATCAGGCAGAAACGAGGAGGGGGGATGCAGTGTGCGGAGAAAGACCAACAAATACGAAAAAAAAACGTACATCTAGATTCATACCATGTCGAAACCGATTCCTGTTCCCGTTCCTTGCCTGCCGAGCCCTCGGCGTGCCCGACCCGGCGCTCAACAGATCCCCATTGCTCCCACTAGCACTGCTCTCATTCTCGCTGACGGCCTGCAGACTATTATTGCTTTTGTTGATACTGGCCATGCTGAACGCAGGAGGTGATGACGAGTCGGTCATGATGGCCTCCAGGGCCGTGAGAGACGCGTACTCCTCGGACGAGAAGTATGACATTTTGTCTTTCAAACTCATCCGTCGGGTCCGCGGCAGGGTCGCCGTCGATGTGTTGATGGTGAGCGGCGCCGTAGATTCGGCCGAGATGCCTCCGGAGCCGCCTGCGGCCATGATTCGGGCGAACGCACCGGGACTCCCACTCCAGGCGTTGGTATCCAGCGCTGCTCTCTTCAGGTAGATGAAGCCTTTCCGTAGCCAGTTCTCTGCTTCCGCAGGTACGTGTGCACCACGCTTCATGAGCAGCCGCACCGCTTCCTCCCGCCTCATCCATGCGGCGCACATTAGCGCTGTTCGGGAACCGTTTGGCCCAAAGGTGTGGTTAATGTTTGCCCCGGCGTCGATGAGATGCTCCATTACCGCCGTGTGTCCTACCGTGCCGGCTGCGGCGAGCGGCGTAACGGGGTAGGCGTAGCCCCAATCATCATGCATGGGTTGAGTTTTCCCATCCAATGATATTCCAGGGTGATTAGCTAGTGTTTTGACCACGTCGAGGTTTCCGCCCAATGCTGCCCAGACCAGGGCGGTGTTCCCCATGTAATCGATCAAATCCACATTAGCTCCTCGCAGCAGTAATGCTTTCACGACGGGGAGGTGTCCCCTCAGACTAGCCTTCATCAGAGCAGTGGATCCAACCTCATCATGCGCGTTCAGAATGTCCAGCGGTAACGTCTCGATCGCTTCCAGACCCAGCCCAAGGTACGCTGCATTGTATATAGGCAGCGAACTCGTCGGGAATGCCTGAAAACCATACAGCAAATCCGCAGGCCGCTCCAGCTCGCTCCAATTCGCTTCCGTGACACCGCCTGGGGACGGCAACGGACTCGTCGGCGTCTGCGGAACGTCCCCGGGCACATGTACGTCCGCTAGAGTCGTCTCAGGCGTCATCCCACCATCCAGCAACAGATCCTTGGACGAGCCAGTCAACAACATGCTCTTTGGCTGACTGTACATATCGCCCCCATTCGCGGCCAACCCCTTCTTCGTGCTTTTTCGTCTCGGTACAGGCGCACCCAACGACATGGCGATCTTCTCCTCCTCTGGCGGGACTTTACCGCCATGTTTCTTCAATACCTTGATGAGGCGTTTGAACTTCATCCGCCGGGCGATGATTGTTGGTGTGATCCCGCCGCGGTTGACCGTGTTAGGGTCCGCGCCCTTGAGCAGTAACAGCGACGCGAAGGCGACGTCGTTCATGGAGACGGCGAGGTGGAGGACGGTGTTGCCGGCGTTATCCATCGGGATGTTGATGGACTGCAGGATCGGGCCTGCGCTCCGGTGGCAGTGGGATGCTATCAGGGCTTCGTCGCCGTCCTGCGCGAGACAGGGAGAGCATCTACTCTCAGTTTGCTGGTTGTCGGCTAAATGCCCCCTCGTCTCAATCGCTTTGCATTTGAGGCAATGTCCCCACACTCACCTGACATAACTCCAGTAATGACTTGGTCCCCAGATCTCCCGGCGACGTCGACTCCTGTGCATGGATGGGCGCATTGACCACTGTCCGCGTATCAATCGCTAGCCCTTCGCGTTTCCTCCCAAACAGCGTGCCGGTGCTTGCATCGTTCCATGTTGAGGGAGCCAGCGACTCTGTTTTGGGGAGCTGTGGTGCCCATCTATACGGGCGTTAGCACCTTTTATACAGAGAGCCAGAAACGTACACCCCCAATGGGTGGATTGTCAGAAAAGCTAGCAAATGGTTTGGAGTCTCAACTCACCCTTCCTTTCCCCTCTCTTTGTTAGGCAGAAACGTCCAGCGTTTATTCTGCCCTCCAAACATGCTATAGTCGAAAATGGATGAATATGGCTATGCACTGGCAAAAAAAAAGTGGTGTGTGTTATAATTTCTTGAAAGAAAGACGCCATTCTCTGCGAGTGGATGAATGTCGGAAACTGAACATTATCGACGGAGCTATGAAGGCTCCAATTCGACAGCGCGTTTTGACATCGTTTGAGGGAATGTAAACTCGATAGTTCACCCTGAACGGGCTACCTCTTTTGTACTCCGCTAGCTATCTAGCTAAAAGCTACCTATGTCAAGAGCGGGTCTATGTATGCTGGACAAAGGATAAATACATGCAATAAATACATGCAAAAATGGAATGAAGCTACGATGAAGGGGGTGCGGCAGTGTGTGGGCGATGAATACAGTGTGAGTGATGGATGTGGATGATGGGGAATATGATTATTGCGGTTGATGTGTCTGCGTTGTTGATCGGCCGATCACTTTGTGATAGACAAGAGAGTCGCCATGAAGCCCATGACCTCCGATAACCGCGTTTGTATTTGGATCTCGTCGTTGACTTTTGTTCTCAGCCGACGGAGAAGGTCGTCGATGAGTGGGGAATGGCCTGCGACTGATGCGTACATGTCTGTTCACCGGAAGAGATGGGTAAGCTCGCCGGTTCCTCAGCTTGCCCCCAAGAGACCCTGCACCCCACGTACCAATTATCAGCTCAGCGACGTCAATCAGAAACGCCGAAAACTTGGGATTGTTGATTTGCTTGATCAGGAACCGGAGGATGGGTTCTAGTCCTTTGTCGTCTCGACCGCTCAGAGCGGCGCGGAGGGCGTCTTCACGGTTGTATAGCTCTTCCATCAAACTGACTACTATGACTGCTTGCGGTGTCTTGAGAAAAATCAAAGTCAGCATTAGGTCAAGTAAATAGTTTAGTCATGACAAGCGAAGGTTGTACACACCCCCGCCAGGACAGCATCCAACGCGTCTCCAAATCGGAAAGCCCGCATCATCTTATCGTATACTTTCAGCTTCTTACGTCTCCGCGATTCAATGCGGATGTCGTGCTAAGATTTTAAATTTAAGCTTGTGGGCTTGCAAGTAATACACTGAACCTGAACGAAAACCCGTTCGCAGGGTCAGGATCCTCACCACTTCTGGCACGTAATCTGCCCCTCTGTTCCAAAACTTCTTCGTCCCACGGCGTGCAACCTCCTTTGATGGGTTCACCAGATCCGCCGTCTTCACCATTCGCTGTCGTATCGAGAGCAAGCCGTTGTTCATACCAACCACCAGGTGTGTGTCGTCCGGCTGATAGATTGAATGGGCATTCAGTAACCTAAAGGATGATAGGTCCGGTGTCGGACAAAATGCAGTGCAACTTACCGACACGCCGATGCTCTGAACCGGAGCAGGGTATTTGATGCTATGCACGACTTTGTAGTCCCGAAGGCTGTAGATCTTCACGTGGTGATCATGGGATCCTGTGAGTAACCGCGTGCCTGATCCGTCGAAGGTCATTGATGTGATCGTTTTTTGGTGGTTCGCTAATGTCTGAAGGTGTCGTCCACCGCCGAATATATCCCACAGCTTTACTTGGTTGCCACCTGACATACGCTCACGCGAAATATTGAGTACACTGGTTCGCTATTGGCACTTTCCCCAATTCGACTAGTACCTGCAGAGGCCAGCATCCCACTTCCTGGGAACATCAACAACGCCTCAACCGGCGCGTCATGTCGCATCGTCATCGTGCATTCCTGGGAGCGCACGTCCCATAATTTCACCGTGTGATCGTAGGAACTCGAAACGACGAGGTGTGGGTTTTCCTGACTGACAATAGCCGCTCGAACGTAGTCCTTGAAACAGCCTAGTTAGCCCATGGGTCCCAATTTTCGAAATAGCGTCTAAGGCATTTGTACCTCATGTCCCGTGAAAATGGCAAGCTCCTTTTCCGTTGGCACGTCCCACACTCGCACTGTTTTATCGTCTGACCCTGATAGAATCTGCATCTGATCTGGGGAAAATCGAGCTACGTGCACCGGACTTTAAGAGATGCGTATAATCAGCATCAGAGTCCCAACCGCTCCGTCCTTTTGGAACCCGGCCACTCACCCATCGTGGCCCCTCAACGTCCTTAGAATCGCACGACTTCCCAGATCAAACAGCTGCACCAGCCCCGAAGCATCACCAGCCACCAACAGTTTTCCATCTGAGCGAATGTTTCCGCTGTATGCTGTGTCCTTAAATCGCGATATCGTCTTCTTTACGGCGTGTGTGCTGGGGCTGTATACTTGAACGCGGGTGGAGCTGGTCACGGCAAAGTCGTGTGGCCTCGTCGCCGAGAAGTGAATCGAGGTGACTGCCGCATATTCTTTCAAAAGTATGGGAGACTGAGTGGAGGTAGCTGGTTAGTTTCCACCCTCCTTCTCGTTGCTGCTCCGCTCCTCGTACCTTGAATTTCTTCCAATATGTTGCCTCCGTCGTCCGCCTCCCCGCAGGCTTCGAGAACCTCTTTATCTGCACTTTCCGGTAGTCGGACATGACTGCGCCTCAGCTAGATTGACTAGCGTCCCGAGGCAGTAATGGCTCGAAGTAAATTACAAAAAGAACGCTACTGCGAAATTGGTAATACGCCGGTTATAAGAGACACAAGCGAGCGAAACAAAGACATACGTATTGAAGACTTGCAATAGCCTTTTATTCCGCCTCCGACTCGGAAGCAGTTTACGAAGATATGCTTTTGTACTCGCTTCAATTTCAAAGGTCTTTTTGACCAGTCCAAATTGCCAATTGACCCTCGTCCAAATGCAAACCCAGGGAGCTACGAAAGCGTCAAAGGCTCTCACGTAAGCATTGCACGCCACCTCTGCGCCACTCCAAGCCACGGGTGCTGCGCTGAGTCACCATCTGTCCAACCTTCCGCCGCCCTCCCTTTTCGGACATGATTTGTCTGAACAGTCCAATTATGCGCAGGGTCTCCCCATCCCCGGTGTTGTCTACTATAGTAGGGTTGGGGTTTAGGTCTCTACATTCTGCGTTTTCCCACGGCTTGCCTCGCTTCTTTCCTACAGGATGGCCGCTCCAGACGACGAACCAGACTCCTATCAAAGTGACCCCGATACCCCTTCATCGCATGCGGACGATGATGACGACGAATACAACGAGCAAGGCCTCGCTGCCCCTTCAGCAAAAGTAGGTCTCATTCCGGTTTCACCGTCGGGCCATGGCGCTGTGTCCGGTTGACTTCCCATGGTCACATAATAGAAAATAAAAGCCAAACCTTTGTTAACCGGAACCATCAAAAGTTCTACAAACTCTTCTTCGAAGATCGGTACTTCCATGGGCAGTAAAACGAAACAAACGAGTTTGTCTTTCGGCCTCGAGCCCGTCAGGAACATGAGCACCAAGACGACCAAGTCTCCCGCTACCAAGCCCACCAAGGCCTCATCTTCCAAGGCGGGCACGGGCAAGGCTGTGGAGGTCAGCGATGAAACCCGTGAAGAGCTTTTTCTGTTCTTGAAGTGTTGCCTATCTGACACACACTCTGTGACCTCCAGGAAATATATCAACGGAAGACGCAGCTCGAACATATCCTCCTCAGACCCGATACCTATATCGGATCTGCCGAGTCTGCCGAAGTGTCAATGTGGGTTTTTGAGAACGAAGCCATGGTATATCGAACGGTCCATTTCGTGCCGGGCTTATACAAGATCTTCGACGAGATCCTCGTCAATGCAGGTAAGTAACATGAGACACATTCTCCCCGTATCGAGCACTATATCAACAGTGCTTGTTTGGACAGCCGACAACAAGGTCAGAGATCCAAGTATGGACCAGATCAACGTTACCATCGACAGGGAAAACAACGAGATCAGCATCATGAACAACGGGCGAGGCGTACCGGTCACTATGCACGCCAAGGAGCAATTATATGTTCCTGAGCTCATATTTGGCAACCTGCTGACATCATCAAACTACGATGACGATGAGAAGAAGGTTACGGGAGGTCGAAATGGATACGGCGCAAAACTTTGTAACATCTTCAGCACCCAGTTCATAGTCGAGACCTCAGATAGTGAGTCCGGGAAGAAGTTTCATCAGGTATGATATTGTGCACCCAGCGCTGGAATGGTTGCAAACCTAGCTTCTGAATGGGATATGACGCGTCTTTCTCCGGGCAGATTTTCAAAGACAATATGAGCAACAAATCCAAGCCAAAGATTACGGCTGCCGCAAAGCATGACTACACCAAGATCACTTTCAAACCCGACCTGAAGAAGTTCGGTCTAAAGGAACTGGATGACGACATCATAGCCGTGTTAACGAAACGGGTCTACGATATCGCGGGGGTTCTTCCTGGCGTGAAAGTTACTCTGAACAAGGAACGCATAAAGATCAAGAATTTCAAGGAGTATGTTAAACTCTATCTGGACAGCGTCTTCGGAGATGCCCCTGCGAAGCCTACCATCGTTTATGAGAAAGCCGACCCTCGGTGGGAAGTTGCCTTTGCCGTGAGTGATGGGCAGTTTCAGCAGGTCAGTTTGCTAAGTCACACGTGTTCGCGTTCGGCTTGTGTACATGAGGATCACATCGACTGATTATACTCTGAATCAGGTCAGCTTCGTCAACAGCATCTGCACGTCGAAGGGCGGAACGCATGTGTCCATGATTGCGGATCAACTGGTGCAAAAGCTGAACGAACATCTGAAGAAGAAGAACAAAGGCGAGGGTTTCAAACCACAACAGATCAAGAGCCATATCTGGGTCTTCGTCAACTGCCTCGTCGAAAATCCCAGCTTCGATTCCCAAACAAAAGAGAATCTCACCCTGAAAGCCTCCAAGTTCGGATCAAAGTGCGAACTCAGCGAAGAGTTCATGAAGAAAGTCCTCAAGTCGGGGATCGTGGATAACGTCTTGGCATATGCCAAGCTGAAACAAGCGAGTCAGCTGAAGCAGACGGACGGAACGAAGCGGGCTCGGTTATCGGGTATTGCCAAGTTGGACGACGCCAACAACGCGGGAACGAAGAACGGGCAGAAATGCACATTGATTCTGACGGAGGGAGATTCTGCCAAGGCGCTTGCTATCAGCGGGCTGGGCGTAGTCGGGCGAGACAACTATGGTGTTTTCCCGCTACGGGGCAAACTGTTGAATGTTCGCGAAGCATCGCATAGTCAACTTATGCAGAATGCTGAGATCAATAACATCAAGCAGATTTTGGGGCTGAAGTCTGATAAGACCTATACGTCGACGGAGAGTTTGCGTTATGGGCATGTTATGATCATGGCTGATCAGGTATGAAGGTCATAAAGCGCTTTGACTTGAGCGATGCGCGTCATTGGACTAAATATCACGTTAAATAGGACCACGATGGATCTCACATCAAAGGATTGGTCCTCAATCTGTTCGACCAGTTCTGGCCCAGTCTCTTGAAGAACCCCGGCTTCATGCGTCAATTCATCACCCCAATCGTTAAGGTGACAAAAGGCTCAAAAGAAATCAGCTTCTTCAACATCCCTGAATACGAAAGCTGGAAACAGGCCAACCACGACGGCCGCGGTTGGCATATCAAGTACTACAAGGGTCTGGGAACGAGCACCGCGGCGGACGCGAAGAAGTACTTTGGACGCATGAACGACCACATGAAGCCGTTTGCAACCGCCAAAGACGAAGACCGGCAGTTGCTCGAGTTGGCGTTTTCAAAGAAGAAGGCGGATGATCGGAAGGAGTGGTTGAGTAACTTGACCCCCGGCACGTTCATGGACCATAGCGTGCGGCAGATCCCTATCAGCGATTTCGTCAACAAGGAGTTGATTCTTTTTTCTATGGCGGATAATGTGCGGTCGATACCGTCGCTTATTGACGGGTTCAAGCCTGGGCAGCGGAAGATTATGTTTGCCTGCTTCAAGCGGAACCTGACCAAGGGAGAGATCAAGGTCGCCCAATTGTCCGGCTACGTCGCCGAGCATTCGGCGTACCATCACGGCGAAGCCTCGCTTCAGTCGACCATCATCGGTCTCGCCCAAGACTTCGTGGGAAGCAACAACCTCAACCTCCTCGAGCCTCGCGGTCAGTTCGGAACGCGGCTACAGGGTGGGAAAGACCACGCGCACGCCCGTTACATTTTCACCAAACTCTCCGATGTGACCCGCCTCCTCTACCACCCTGCCGACGACAAGCTGCTCACCTACCTCAACGAGGAGAACATTAGTATCGAGCCGGAGTGGTACATCCCCATCCTTCCCCTCGTCCTCGTCAACGGCGCAGACGGGATCGGTACGGGGTGGAGCACCAACATCCCCAACCACAATCCGCGGGACATTGTGGAGAACCTGCTGAGACGGCTGGATGGGAAGGAATTTGTGCCCATGCATACGTGGTACCGCGGGTTCAAAGGCGGAGTCGAGTTTATTGGCGACAAGTACAAGATCTCGGGGGTTTTGAATAAACTTGACGATACGACCGTGGAGATTACCGAGCTGCCGCTTGGGTCGTGGACACAGACCTACAAAGAGTTTCTGGAGGGGCTTGTGGCGGGCACGGACAAGGTTCCCGCTTCCATCAAGGACTACAAGGAGTACCACACCGACACGTCCGTGCATTTCGTGGTGCAGATGACACCGGAGCAGATGGCAAAAGCGGAGCAGGAGGGCCTCGAGAAGAAGTTCAAGATGGCCACGACCAAATCGGTCATGAACATGGTTTTGTTTGATAAGGATGGGAGGTTGAGGAAGTATGAGAGTGTGCAGGAGATCTTGGAGGAGTTTTACGAGCTACGGTTGGAGTATTATGAGAAGCGGAAGGTAAGCGTGGCGAACTCTTATGGAGAGTGCAATCCCTGGCGCATTTTCTGACCATCACTTTCTATTTCCCCTCTAGGCGTACCTGACAGCGAAACTAAAAAGCGAGCTAAACAAGCTCTCTAACCAAGTCCGTTTCGTCCTGGAAGTCATCCAAGGCGACCTGATTGTGCACAACCGCAAAAAGGCGAATGTCGTGCAGCAGCTCCGGGCAAGGAAGTACTCGCCGTTGGGGAAGGATGGGGAGGAGATGAAGGTTGGGGATGAGAGTACTGAGAGTGGCGGGGAGGCGGAGGAGGGCGGGGCGGCTGCGGCGGGTGGGCATGGGTATGATTATTTGCTGAGCATGCCGATTTGGAATTTGACGATGGAGAAGGTTCGTACCCTTGGCTCGTGACCGGTGGCTAGTGCCGTATCGGCTGGCTTAATCTTTGCCTAACGAAAACAGGTCCAAAGAATGACGTCAGACCGCGATGAAAAGCAAGCCGAGCTCAACACCCTCCTCGACACCAAAATTCAAGACCTATGGCGCCGCGACCTGGACGCGTTCATGGTCGAATGGGACAATGTCGAGACTGCCACCGAGAACACCAACAAGGTCACCTCCACGAAGGGCAAATTACCGGGTGGGCAGCAGAAACTGAGCGATCTCACGAAGAAGCGGAAGAAACCGGTAGTTAAGAAGAGAGCTGTTGACAGTGAAAGTGAGGAGGTGGAAGACGTGGACTCGGAGGATGAGTATGTGGAGAAGAAGGTGCGGAAGACTGCGGACGATGTGACACCGCGTTCCAGGCCCGCGCGAGGGGGTGAAGGGAGCTCGGAGAATATCTCGGCTGCGTCGTCCCCTAAGAAGAGTGTGAAGAAGGTGGTGGCTGCCAGCAAGGTCAAAACGGCCGTTAACGGCACGATCCGGAAGTTCTCGACCACCCCTACCGCGATCGAGGACAGTAAACCGCACGACCCGTTTGCGTTTGCTGAGACGCGACCACCAACGACCACTGCGGCGCCGAAGTTGTTGCGATCGCCGGCTGTGCCGGGCAAGCAGCGCCGGATTACGGAATGGGGGATGCCCAAGACTACTGCGCTGTTTCGGGCGGAGGAGGACGAAAAGGGGTCGCACCACCCGCATAACGCGGTTGAGGAGTTTGTCGAGTCCAAGAAATTGGCGGATTCTGTGTCGCCTAAGAAGCGGAAACGTGGGGAGGATCGGCTGGGCAAGGTTGCTAAACCGACCGCACTTGTGGATCTGGTGAGCGACGACGAGGACGACCCGCCGTTCGTTCCGTTACGGAAGAAGACGACCCCGACCGCGCGTGAAAGCGTGAACGGCAAGGCATCGAAACCTACATCACGTTTGACCAAACCCAAGAAAGTAAGCTCCGAGGAGGAGGACGAGGATGCGAACTTTGAAGACGTATCCGACGTTCAAATCGCTGACGAGCCAACCATTTCGACCCTTGTCGCGTCACGACCTAAACGTCCCGCTGCTGCTACGCCGAAGAAACCACCAGCGCCTGTCGAAGACTCGGAAAGCGATGCGGATAGCATCGATAGCGCTGAACATGATTTGTTTACGCAGCCGGAACCTGCGAGTGTCAAGAAGACAGCCAAGCCCGTGGCCAAACCACCAGCAAAACAACCGACCGCCCGTCGCACCCTAGTCATCGATGACGACGATGACGACGGCGCTAGCAATCACTCCGCAGCCAAGAATAAAAGCGAAGATGAAGATGTATGGGCGCCTGCCGCCGGCAGCGCTAAACGGAAAGCATCCGCCACTGCTGCAGTTGCGAAGAATGGAACCGGGAAGCCGGCTAGACGCCGGAAAGTTGTTGATAGTGACGAGAGTGAGTGGGAAGGTTGAGTACGGTATATGCCGTTTGGTGGGGGCACAGTGGCTGGTTGCGCTGTATGTGTATTTTATGTAGTCTTATGGAAATGCGAGAGAGAGGGTATACGTAGACGGCCGGCGGTACACTTTTTTACATTGAGGCGGTATGTGAACCCCCGTGTATATAGGGAGCGACTTGACGCATATAACAATAGAACCCAATCTTGCCCGACTTGGATAGATCGCCGCGACGAGAAGTATGTGGCAGTAGTATTTCCTTTGGCGTTAGTACAGGTGCATATTACATGGCATTAGACAGGTACTCGTCGCGCAGAATATAAAGGATGCAAAAAAGAATGTATGATACAATAATGTGTTGGACGTGGGGCCTTATCTCCTCGAATAGCTGATAATCCGAGTACCCTGAGCACGAGGGTGAGAAGAGACGTGAGGGAAGTTGCGCGGGGGATGAGATGAGACCAGCGATGTGCTGACAGGGACGAAGTAGTGGGGGTGGAAGAGGGGAATGCATGGGGTGCGCGATAATGGGACAAGGGATTCATGCGTGATCGATATGGCGTGAAACGACGCGCCAACCATGCGGTTTGATCGTGGAACGCAATGGCGGTGAAGAGTGAGGCGGCTGTCGATGGATGGACTTCTGATAGAAATGTCGTGTCGCTGAGACAGATGGGCTTTTGACGGGGCGCGGACGGATGTTAGGCGTAATACGTACCCGCACACACCACGCACCGGATCTGAAAGTGTGTCAACCCAATGCGGACCCAATGCGGCGTATCAAGGTGTGGGGGAAACGTTTTCCCTCGTCGCTGCGTGCTCGACCCGTTCCTCCAACCCAACTTGCCGAGGGGCGTGACCGCATCCGCATCCGCCATCCTAGCTCTTCGGCGACATCTCATAACCTAGTCTGCGTTGCTCTCACTCATCAAACACCCTACACGCGACCATATTCGCCATCGCTTCCTCTTCCACATCCCCACCCTTCTGCACCGCCGACCCTGCATCGGCATTTTTCTTCCGCTGACTATAAACCAACCAGAGCCCACGCTCCCCCCAGTTCTCCTCATGACTTTCGCGACAATACAGCACGGCAGTCGCATGCCGAATATCCAGCCACACGAGCGACCCGTCATCGACTCCAAACAGCACACCCATCTCGTCGGGGGTCACCTGCACCCAGTCGATGTTCCCACAATCGCCGACGATATCAAACAGATTGAAGGACTGCACGCGCTTCATGGTGGAGAGCTCGTAGACGTAGACGACGTGGCCGGTTCCGCAGAGGACGATGCAGTGCATGCGGGAAAGGAGCACGTGGAGCACGAGATTCTTCTCCATGTCGTCCAGGAGGATGGTAGCGTAGGTAGAGAGGTCGGAGGTGCGGAGGATGACGATGGGGTGGATCCGGTCGGAGGAGTAGGTGCGGTAGGCCATGAAGTGGTCGTTCATCATGATGGCGTTGAGGGAGTCATCAATGTCTTCGATGCGTGCGTAGGGGTGGACGCGGCGGCCGTGCTGGACGTCGCCTTCGAGGAAGGTTGTGAGGTTTGAGGGTGGCGCGGGTTTGCTGTTCCTCGTAGTCGTGGACTGGGTTTCGAGTTCATGCGAGTGGGATCCGTTCGATGCCGAGTGTGATGAGCTATTGGAACGACCAGCGCTGGATCCGCTTCCCGCCGCTTTGCCGGGGTACCCTTCTTCTTTCGGCATGCCGTCCCATCTAGGACCGCCATCGCCGCTGATATCGTATCCATCATCTTCACCGCTATCGTCCTCATCATTCTCATCATCCTCGGCCATATCATCAGTCTCCTCCAAACGCTCGTCTGGCCCCGTCTGTGTCATCACCCTTGTCCTCTGATGTTCAAAGTTGGACAACCGTATGACTTCCAACGAGGATCGCATGATGTCCGGGCCATAGGACTGCGCCGCATATACGTCTCCACACAGCACACCCTCCTCGGTGTAGGTGCAGTCGAACACGGCATACAGGCGGCCATCCGTAATATTCCGGAAAATAGTCTTCTGCGATCCGGCGACAGCAAAATAGTTGGAGCGCAAAGCTGGATCAACGCGCAGCGGAACGCCAAGTCCTGCGCAACGGTGAAGCTTTTCGGGGGAAAGGGTGCCAGAACGACCGACCCGCATCGATCGAAGCTGTCCATTCCGAACATAGACGATCCAGTTGTCTCGTACAACGGTTCGGCGCTGAGCGAGAGTAAACTGATGCTCCTCATCCCGGGTTGTTACAAAGCCCGTAATGAGCTCATATTCGGAGTTGCCACTCTCGTCCAACTGGGCTTCCGCAGATCCGTTATTGTGGGTGACCCCATTTTTTGGGTCTGCGCTGGATTGGCCGCTCTCATCGCTCCAAGAAGGAAGATGGATGCCCCTCCCATTGCGTATCACCGGCACCTCTTTGCGGCAGACCTTCGAGAAGACCAACGGCCGTCCCCACGTGTGAGACAATTTGTAGAGCTCTTTCCATTTCTCGCCGGGTAGCCGCGTCGGCAACAATCCGTCGGCCGATATGCTCTTCAGCTGCAGGAAGCGTGTACGCAAGTCAAAACGTTAGATATGGCTAACAAGATGAAGGCGTGCGCGCGCGTGGAAAGCATGCACACTATCCAACATATGGTACGGGTGTCTTTGCCCGAGCTGCTGGACAACAAGGGGATGAAAATCCACATCCCTCCTCACCTTCGCTTTCCAAAGGTGCTCGTCGTTGTCCGCCACGATCTGCCGCCAGGACCGGCAGACCCTCTCAGACCTCAGCACGGCCTGTGGACACATGTGGTAGAAAATTTGGAGCATGACATCCAGGGGGAGGATCGGGCGATTTGGATCTATTGCGATGAGCATATCGTAGCTTTCCATCGGTGGTATGTGAGCTGGGGTAGTGGGTAGGTAGACGGGTGTTGAACAATGCGGCAGACCGCCCTTGGATGCTATTTGGAGTCGGTCAGGATTAAGTTGACTTTGGCTGTATATACAAGCAATGTTGCTTGCAAATGTTGCTTCGCTGAGAACTGCTGGATTGGAGTGAACTGGGAGTGAACCTACAAGAAACAAAACCGAGGATGTTGCCGGTGTTTCAGCGATGAAGCGAGAGGGACTGCTGCAAGTGAGGGGCTTGTGTTGACGATTGTCTTGGTGCCTCGCAAGCTGTCCGCCTGACAGTGGGACTGTTGCCTGTTAAAGGCTCTTCCCGGCCTGCCAGTTGTGAACCTGACCCGTTGGCCATTGAACAAGCACTGACCCGTGGCCCATCAGCAAGCAGGATGGTGTGCAAATCCAATCATGCCGCCCTAATGATCCCTCCACACAGGAAACGGGCAGAGAGCCAAGGGACCTGGTGCCCCTGGGAAGGATGTGCCGTGGGTGGATATATAGAGCCTTGATCCCGGCCATCGGGAGGAGCCCGTGAAAAATGGATTGATGGTCTCGTACCCGGAGAGAAGGTCGAAGGAGCTCTCCGGATGGGTCTCCGTCACCCTGCATGCTACGTACTAGTACACTGTTACTACTGTAGATCAATATCTACAGACTAGATCAAGTACATTGTAGTCCATGTACCTATGTACCATTGTTGACTCTTCTTGAAAACGGGGAGTTTGCAGTGTTGCAGTGAGATTCATGCAGCTTTATATTCACAATGCGTGGAGAACTCGACGCCGCCGCACATTCAAGGTAGTGACGCCAAGGCCAGGAACGATGAGGCTTTTCTAATGACGTGTTCCCGTAGCCAGCCGTTGTTCTTTCTTTTCCCGCGTTGGAGGTGCGGAGAGCCGGGAGTAATTCCATGGGAGGGCGAGAGCTAGACTCATACCAAAAAGGCGCCTATTCTACTTGTACATACATACTGTATATGCAAGGACCAGGTAGTGCCGGCATGAAAGACCTTTGCACGAGCGATGAGCGGGTCGGAGACTCTTCACAGTTTCTCACTCCGTCCTGGGGTGGCATAAGTGGTAGATGCTTCCCACATACAGTACGAGCTTCAATTCCAAGTTTGACGCCGCAGTTCTCCAGAGAACGAGCGAGAATATACAGTACGTACGTAACCATCAAGCGATGTCACTCCTGCTGACGCATTCGCTTACGAAATCGGGGCGGACAAGCCACACCTCGTTCATTGCTTGTCGCGATGGCTTTCTCCCCCACTCTGGCGTTTGACATTGGGACTAGGGTTGGCAACGCTGGACAAAGGGGCAACCGGAATAACGAATACACAGCGTAGCAGCATACCGTCGTGCGACGAAGTTCAAGTGGACCGACTGTTCCGAAAGCAGAGTGCAAAGAAAATCGAGGCCGGGCATCGAGAGGAAGGCGCACTTCGAACCACAGCAAGAAGCCCCGAAACGACAAGGAAAGCAGGAGCAAAGTGGAAGTGGAAATATGGACTTGTTTAGAGTACTCGGGGCGGGCGCCAAGTTCGACAAGAAGCGGTTTAGGCAGGATGTGGAAGTATTTCATGCACCTCGAAATGAAGTCGCGGCACCAACGGCAACTGAAGTGGCGGCAAACGGTATAGCACCCGAACTCGACTTCTTTGCTGCCGAAGAACCGCAGGAGGCTGAGAAAATAAAGGAGCCGAAGAGGGTGTCAAAGAAGAGGAAGCTGGCACATGACGGCGCAGGGGAAGAAGGAGAGAAGGACGCAGCAGCAGCCTCGGCTCCAGCGACGTACGTCCCGTTCAAAAACGAGGAAGAAGCCAGCGTCTTCCGGAAAGAGCATCGCATCCGCATCTACGGGACAGACGTACCACACCCGATCCGCTCATTTGCGGAACTTGGACCTCGTTTCACCCTCCGCTCGTATCTCACGCGCAATCTCGTCGCAGCGGGGTACGAGACCCCTACGTCGATCCAGATGCAGTCTATCCCTATCATGCTACATGGGCGAGACCTCATGTCATGCGCGCCAACAGGATCCGGAAAGACATTGGCGTACCTCCTCCCTATCCTGCACGATCTAAAAAACCCGGCGAAGGAAGGCATTCGTGCCGTGGTTATATGTCCCACTCGAGAATTGGCAACCCAGATTCACAGAGAGCTGCAGATATTGACAAAGTCCAAACCTTTCAAAACGGTCGTGCTGACCAAGATCGCGTCGACAACGAACGCAGACAACCCCAACCTTTCCACTTCCTTCTCCAATGCCGACATCCTCATCTCCACACCGCTACGACTCGTCCACGCAGTGCAGCAGCAAGGCTTGAAACTTGATAAAGTACGACATTTAATACTGGATGAGGCGGATAAGCTGTTGGAGCTGGGGTTCTTGGAGCAGGTAGATGACGTGTTGGCCATTGTGGGAGGGGATCAAGTAAGGAAGAGCCTGTTTAGTGCGACGATTCCGAGTGGCGTTGAGGAGCTGGCGAGGACGTTTATGAAGGATCCTATCCGTATCGTCATCGGACAAAAGTGAGTACTTGCTGGCGCTGGTTTTTTTTCATGATGCGCCAGGTTACTGACAGAGGGATTGCCCTTCTCCCTTCCCAGAAACGCCGCAACAGAAACAATCAACCAAAAACTCCTCTACGTCGGCCAAGAGGCCGGCAAACTCATCGCCATCCGCCAACTCATCTCCACGGGCCTCAAACCGCCCGTCCTCATCTTCGTCCAATCCATCGATCGCGCAAAAGAACTCTTCCACGAACTCGTCTACGACGGCATCAACGTCGACATCATCCACTCCGACCGCACAAAACTCCAACGTGACACCGTTGTCAATAACTTCCGCATGGGCAAGACATGGGTCCTCATCGCCACGGAACTCATGGCCCGCGGTGTGGATTTCAAGGGCGTCAACCTCGTCATCAACTACGATTTCCCGCAGTCAGTCGCGTCCTACATCCACCGAATCGGACGAACAGGGCGAGCAGGGCGGCCCGGTGAGGCGGTGACGTATTTCACGAAAGAGGACGCGCCGTATTTGAAGTTGGTGGTGAATGTGATGCGGGAGAGCGGGTGTGAGGTGCCGAGTTGGATGGTGGATTTGAAACCGCCGAGTAAGAATGAGAAGAAGGCGTTGAGGCAGAAGGCGGTTAGGAGGGAGGTGATTAAGACTGTGAGCAAGTTTGATGAGAGGCATGCTAGGCGGAAGAAGTACGTAATTTTGGTTGCCTGCCATCGTGTTGCGCAACTCCTTTACTAACGCCTTTGTTCCCCTCAACAGAGACATTGTGGAAGGCTCCAAACGAAGGAAAGAGAGAACCGTAAAGAAGCCCGAAACACCCAGTGCATGAAGACCTGCGAATCATTCATCACTCCAAGTATTCCCACACCCATCAACTCGCACATAGTCCATCAGTTAACAGCATAGCATATAGCATCTATACCACGCACATCCCGCTTTTTTCGTAGTCTGTAGTCGACCGCATACAGTTACAGATCGATCCCCTAAATTAACACGATCGTACGCTCTATGCACGCCCATTCTATGTGTTCGGATGATATGACTTGGGAAGCTGATGAGTGATGGTGTTGGGCTATGGCTGGGATACGGCTGATGGTATGTATATATAGACTAATGGTGCTGAAAAGCACTCGGTGTGTGCCAAGGTAGGTAGATCTCCGCGCCTATCACTCGCGCTCATACCAAACCACCTCCCCCGACGCCCTCTTCCTCCTCAACACAATAAACCGATTCACAACCGCCTTCCACGGCCCATCCGCATATTTCGGCGTCCACGCATTCCCACCCTTCCTCGGCGCATTCCCATTCCACTTCTGATTGTTGCTACCATTACTCCCCCACCTTCCCCCAGCCTTCCTCCCCGCGGGCCACAACACCCCCCTACTAACAACGACCCCACAATGCTCCAAATCCCTCAACCGCCTAACAGCCCTGATCACCGCCCAATGAATGGAACTCTTCATGAACGATTTCGCGGGTCGGAGGTGGCCCTCGGCTTCATCTTCCATGGGTATACCCGTAACCTCCGCTTTCAATTCGCCCATATCGTCCAGCCGGTTGATCCAGTAGTAAGACGTAAGTCCGTCGATTATGATCAACGGCCCGGGTGTCCCGCAGGCGCGGACGAAGGAGCGGCGGGCGGCGATGAGGGCGGCGAGGAACTGGAGGTTGGTGGTTGGTCGCATGATGTGGAGGCGGTGCAGGGCGGAGGTGATGATGATGTCGGTGGTGGAGGCTGGGAGGGATGTGAGTGCGGGTGTGAGGGTGGTGAGGCAGTGGGTGATGTGGGCCAGCATGGTGTTGCGGAGTTTTGTTAGGGAGAATTTGAGGTCGCAGTCAAGGAGGAGGACGGGGGTGGCGCTGCCGTGAAGGTGGAGGGGGGTGCTGTCGCCGCCGGAGGTTGACGGGAGGAGGGTGAAGGATTCGGGTAGGATGGTCATTGTGATCATTTGCATAATCATCTCCGTCTTCCCACATCCACTCGGCCCCCAAAGATCTACCAATTCCCCCCTCCTCACAATCGGCAACTGCACCGCCATCATCCTTTTTACGCCCATGTCTCCAGGCACAGGTGGCACATGCCCACACCCGCCCGGTCCAAAGACAAACGCGCGCTGCAGCCGCGAGAGTTTCGCCAGGACGGGAATGGGGCGTTTGCCAACTAGTTCGCTGAGTGGGATCGGTTTCCGTTTCGCTTGTGCGTGTACGGGGTGCTTTGGTACGATGGGTCGCCGGCGAGGGCGCGGTGGGGTGGTCGTGAGCGCTGTTGGAAGCTGCTGATTTTGCTGGTCAGGGGCTGAATTCGATGGTATGCGGAACACAGGATGTTGCCCACGCGTAGAGACCGCTGGTGATGGTGGCTGGGCATGCTGTTCGATCGGCGGATTCGACGGTATGATGAACTGCGGCCGTGCAGAGTTCGTCGGTGTTGTTGATGGGTGCTGTGCAGATGGAGATTGTGCCGGGATCGCGAACTTCGGGTGCTGGGAGTTCGTAGGCGTCGGTGGTTGCTGTTGATCGGGCGACGGATTTGCGTGTATCACGAACCGTGAATGTAACACACTCTGAGAGGTGGATGTTGTTGAAGACTGACTATGCGAGTAATTTGTGGGTATCACGAACCGCGGGTATTGGCCAATTTCAGATTTTATTGGGGTGAGCGGACCATGCTGTGATTGCACTCCAGGTATCAGGAATTGCGGCTGTTGCGGGCCCTGGGAATCCGCCGGCGTTGAAAGTTGCTGCTGTTGATGTTGACCGTGCGAAGGAGCCGTCGGCGTGCCTTGCTGCTGCATAAATGAGGTATTGGGTGGCGTCTCAACTTGCGCCGGCTTGTTTTCACCTACAAGATTCGTTGGCGTTGCGGCTCGCTGTTGCTGTAGCGCAAAATAAGATTTTGTGGGTGTCGGTAACCGCAACCGTTGAAGAGACGGAGTTGGAGGCATCGCAAATTGCGGCTGCTCACCAAATGAGGATTTTGCCGGGGGTGCAGGCTGCTGCTGCTGTTGACCACCCGAGAAGGGATACAACACCGGCGGTCGTTGTTGATCAAAGGGTGAGATCTCTGATGGCATTGCAAACTGTGGTTGCTGCTCATCCCCCAACAACGTGTTAGTTGGCGTTATCGTACGCTGCCGCTTCTGTTCGCGATGAGCAAGATTTGTTTCCGTCGCCGGAGTGTGCTGCTGTTGTTGCTGGCCTTGGAATGAGTTCGTCGGCGTCGGCGACGATCGCTGCTGTTGATGATGTTGCTGTTGATTGTGCCTTTGCTGCTGCGGTTGGTCTTGCCCTTGCTGTTGGAAAGACAACGCGTCGCTTGTTCTCGGTGTGCGTGGCTGTTGCTGCATCCCAGATAGTGACTCCATCAGGGTTGGCGGACGCCGATGCGGCTGCTGGCCATGCAGTAGACTCATCGTTGTTTGTAGCTGCTGGTGGTGATGATGCTGCTGCTCCCGCTGGCACTGCTGTTGCTGGTGCTGTTGTTGTTGGTGCAAATTCGAGAAGTCACTTGAAGTCGGCGGTCTTTGCTGTTGATGCCCCTGCCCTACATTGGCCTGCGGCGCTCGTTCCTGTGGGTTCCCCGGCGTTACATTCGCCCGTGGCGGAGCTCGCTGCTCTTCATGCTCAAGCACTGGATTCACCGGTCGCGGCGACGCATGCTGCTGTTGTCCACCTACAAATTGAGATGGTGTCGACGCTCGTTGGACTTGCCGCTGCATGACATTCACCGACGGCTGCCCTCGTTGCTGTTGCTGTTGCTGTTGCCCACCTACCCAATGGGTTGAGACCGGCATCCGGTGCTCTTGGACATGCGCTACATTTGCCGCTCGCGGCTGTCCTTGCGGCCCCTGATGTCGCTGCTGTTGCGGTTCTCCGACCGAACTATAATTCGGTGTCGACGACCGTTGTTGTTGGCCAGTAACAACATCCGTGCGAACCGCCGGTCGATTCTGTTGCTGTCCTTGGGGCCAAATGGCCGGATAGGCGCTACATCTCTGCAGCCGCTCCGGCACAGAGCCCTCTTGGCTCGGCGGACCCTGCCGCTGCTGCTGCTGTGGTGGCGGTCCCCCGTCAGAACTCGCTTTTCTCCCCGGCCGCAGCACCCGCCCACGCAAAGCCTGAATCCGGTGCTCCTGCTGCCCCCGCAGCGACCCGTTCGACCCCACCGGTTGGTTCTGTCGTGCTGGCGGTCCAGAGGCCAGCCGCTTTGCAAGATCATGCACAAAGATGGGCGTGCCCCGCCTAGCCAGCGAGGCCACTTGAAATGCGGTTTCGCCTTCGAGTTGTCTGAGGTCCTTTGGAATGGGTCTGACTTCATCCATCAATATCGGTTTCGGCTTTGCGCTGGTGTTTGTGTTGCGAATGGGTGCGATACGGATGGGTGCTGCGCTCAGTTTTGGGGGTGGTCCGTTGTTGGGGTCCATCTTGGGAAGGACCTTTTCGTTTGGGAACTCACAGGCTCGTAGAGCGTTTGAAGGAAAGGCGTAGAGTGGCCATCATAACCAGAAGGCTTGCAACGTCCTGGGAATGTGGTGTCTGCTATCTATCAAGATGCCTTCCCCGACTTCAAAGACTCCGACGAAAAGCAGAAGCCACAAGTGTGTCCGGATGGCGCTGACTCACGCGCTTTTTGCACATTCGCTTCCTTCCTCGCTTCTTCCAGATGTATAGTAGATATGGCCCGCCCCTCTTCTTTTTCGTACAGACGGATCGCACAATTAGTGCTTTTGCCTCCCCATGTGTACGATCTCGGCCCACGTTCGCAAACACATCGCCCTGAACCAAAGACGAGGCCCGCCACTGGCCCGACCCTTTATATCACTGTAAGCACACCACCCAAATGTTCGTTCGCTTCGTACCACCTTCCCATACTCCCAGCATCACCTCAAAGGCCGCTCAAAAGCTGCCAAATCCCACTCAGAAACTTTCTTTCAAAACCATATACCCCGACCCTCCGGCGCAATATCTCCTCCCCCTGCCATTACCGCCCAAAGACTCCCAGACGACTCATTTCCCCCCAAGCATAGCCGCCTTCTCCCGCACCACAACTTCCAGCGCGGCGATCCGGTCCCGCAGCTGAGTAACAAAACCTTCCCCGATCGAATGACCCTCCGTGCTTCCAAAAGGAGTTATTTTGCCGGTGAGAGAGCCGCTGCTTTCCATTTCATCGGCCAATGCTTCTGCAGGTGCATGGTGATCGTTGATCTTTTTCCCCTCGTCACGTCCGAGACGAAGGCGACGGGCGAGTTCTCGGTTGTCGGCCTCTGTGGGACTCGGATGCTCCCTCATCCAGCGATAGGGACAGTCATCGCTGTTGGTATCGGCTGCATCTTCGACTTTTATGGAGGAGCTCCGATCGCCGAGCGGGTCGCCGCGGCTGTAGGCGTCCACTTCATCCCCACCCTCGCCATCGTCCCTGCCACCATCCAAGAGACGGCGGAGGGCGCGCTTCTGGCTCTCAGTCAACACCTGCACAACACAAAGAGGTGAACATTTGAGGACCCTTGGTATGTGCCACAATGTAGAGACACGTAATTTGTTTAATGCTCACCCCTTCAACGATATCCACATCTGCTTTGATGGAATGCAGGACCGACTCAATTTCGACGACGGTGGTGGCTAACTCTGCATAGCGTGCTGTGACCTCTTCTAGTTCCTTGCCGAGTGCCTTTCTGTAAAGGGATACGAGCATTCATTGCAATGAGCAGGTCTGATTCAACAGCTTGGACTGCCGTAGCGCAAGGGATTGGGACGTACCCTTTCTCGAATTCCTCACTCCAAGCGTTCAATACCTTTTCCTGATGCGTGGCATGGTCCTCTTCCATCTGCTTCACTTTTTCCTTTTCGAGACGCAGCTGGTTTACTGCAATCCCATATACGTTGTCAGACGCTGGCATACTTGAGACCACGTCCAAAAAATACTGTCAGGACTGTCTCACCTAGATCCCTAATCTTCTGATCGCGCTCCGAAACCTCCTTCTGCAAATCCACCGCCTTCTGGGCAAGAACCTCGCACGTCTTACTCAGTTCCGCGGCTTTATCTTCTCGCTTTGCACTGCTTCCCAACGGAGACGGAGAGTGGACCTCGCTTTTGTGGTGCGCGGACTGCGGGCTTTGAATGTGTGCCCTCATTTCTGACACACTGCCAAATTGTCTGAGGATGAAGGTCCCGATGAGAATCGCGTCATCACACTATGAACCGTCAGCTCCAGCAGTACTCACCTCGCACCCCCTCCAGCCGGCTGCGGCAACCTACTCATCGTCGGCGACCCACCCACACCCGGAGACAGCGTCACCCCAGGCTTCGGCTTACTAAAATCCTTCCTATTCACATGAAAATCGGCATCCCACGCCGGTCGGTCCTCCAACAGGCTATTGACATCTTTCCTGTTCAAGCGGCTTTCTTCGGCGGGCTGAAAGTTCTCGATAGAAATCGGGGCGCGGAGGGGCGGTTGGCGGAGACGGGTTGGTGTGATTTTGGAGAAGACTTGTTTGAGGAGGAGATTTTCACGCGTGAATAGAAGCGGATGATATACCAGCCGCCAATCTATGATGTCCACATACCATTCTCCACCTTCGAAGGCGTCAACACCCTCGACTTCAACGCTCCATCCAGCAACCCTTTAGTTTCCTCCGCGATTTCATGAACCCCACGTACCCTCCCTTCCTCGCCATTCCCCTCCGAGTTGAGTCCCGATACAAAAGAGGGTTCAGCCGCCGGTGATGCGTCGCCATTGCCCTGCGAGCGCAACCCGGGTATAAAGGCAGGTTCGGCGGCGGGCGAGGCGCGAGGACGCGGGAGCTGGAGAGATGGGAGGAGCGAGGTGGGGAGCGGCGCGTGCGGGAGTGGAGGTGAGGGTGGAGAGGATGGGGCGAAGAGCGTTTGGTTGGACGTGGGAGATAGGGCGTCTGGGCGTGCGCCTGACCATTGAGGGAGTGGCATGGTGAGTGTTGTGCTTCCGTTGGACTGAGTAGGTGGTGCCGAGCTCCAACTCTCTGCACTTGACGCGAATTAACGAAAGAAAGGTAACGCCGGAGCAAGATCTTGACGCGAGGCACAGACTAGCGCAAGGTTGAGCGAGCACTGCGCGCCTAAAGGGAGGCGAGGATAATGGTGTCACCCGCAGCTGATACCCCTTGAGCCGACAGTTACGATAAGAGGTTGTTGATATTCGAGAAGAATGTGGAGAATGTGGAGATGTGGAAGACGACGTGCGGAAGTGTGACTGTTTCCCGTCTGAAAGCCACGCGGCCATGTCCGAAAACGCGTCCGCCTCCGCGCAGGCGATCGAAGCGCAACCTGCGAGTCCAAAGACTCTTTCGCGAAGCGACAAGGCTGAGCAGTGAGCACAGCGAAGCGACTTGCGCCGGAGGCGCAATACCCCTAGGCCTAACTCGCGCGGGTTTTGGTTTGCTCCGGGAGACCGAGCGTCGAAAAAGAAGCGGGTGGATCCCAGGATCACAAGTTAAATGTGACGTGAATATCAACGGCGCATCAACGGCGCCACAAAGCTCTACCCCCTTACTCATTTCATCAAACCAAGCCGGCTGGTAGATTTCGTAGGTGTAAGTACAGTTACATATGGGAATTGAGACCCATAATGTACTCTTCGGCGCTCCACCGGCTTCGCTAGTAATATGGAAATGATCGTGGTGTGCGGAGTTGCAGATTCAAAACAGATTTACAGTTGGGGATTTCTGAGGTTTCATCGTACAGGGCAGATACGACCGGCGTACGATGACAGGCAGCCCAACTTCCGATCTCGTGCTGCAGATGGGTTCCTATGTTGTTTCCATCTTTATCGGCCTCTCAACCCGCCTTCTCAATTTCACTACCAACAAGATGACAGCAAAAGCCATCCTAACCCGCCTCTTTGCCCGTTCCCTCCGCGCCCAAAACGTTTTAACAACGTAAGGTCCAATATGCTCCTCTGGCTCCCATGTGTTCCGGTCATGCCCGTACCCATCCCACTTGATCAGATACTCCTTCTCAACCTTCGAACCGGCGAGGTCTCCAGGGTGCAGCGGCTCGTCATTCACATCATCTGATGCCTGCCGCACGGCGAGGATACGTTCAACGACCCAGAGATCCTCATCCACTGCTTTCTTCTTCAGTTTCTTGTGTTTGGCCCGTCCTTTCTGCTCCTGTTGCCCTAGCCGTTTTGACACATAGGCGTATTCTTGGTTATGAAGGTACGGTGGTTCGATGGTAGCCATTTTTGCTAGTTTCGCGGCTTTCTGCTGCTGTTTTTGTTTCATTGAAGGGGTAATACTCAAATCAAGACCTCTCGCTGCAAGACCGGAAAAAAGCTTTGTATGTACCTTTGCATAGTTGTCGGCCGCTTGCGAGTTGCTAGAGGATGCCTTATTTGCAGTTGCCCCGCTCACAGCGGTGGGCGGAACAGATAACATATTATCGTTCCTGACATCTATCGACGTAAGACTTGCCGGGCGAGCCCGCTTGAAAGTAGGCTCACTCGGCTCCGTGGCCTGAAGCGGCCGCCCAGGGCCCGTCACGTTCTTATTATTGCGAATGCCCGGTTGTGGAAGTGCTGCTACACCCTGTTGTCTCTGCGACGTCTTCGTAGGCAAGGGCTTTCGTTTCGGGACTGCGTTCACGGGGTCGCTCGATGGCGCCGTCGTGCTCACATTTGTGACATTGCGTCGGTCTGCAAGGAACTCCGATAATGTCCTCTTGATCCCTCCTTCCGGCGCCTTGCCGAGTGACGTCTGCGAGGCATGATCAACTCCACTGTCTGATGCTACAACTCCCACCATTGGTGGGGAATTCCGTGTTTCAGTCTGCAAAGTCGGTGTTTGAGTCTGCGAAGCCTGCCCAACTCCCACGACTCCTGCTCCTGGCCCCACCGCTGGGGCTGACGGTATTTGAGTCTGCAAGACCGGCCCATCCCCAACGTCTGACTCTACAATTCCCATTGGGAAGGCTGCCCCTGCTGCAGGGACCATCTGGCCCACCCGTTGGGGAGCGGGCGGTGGCAGATCGGTTGCCCATATTCGGGATATCTGCTCCATAGCCGTTCCGGGCGGGACCGCTGTGAGTTGCCCGTGGCCTGGTAGGTCGATGCGCATATACATTTTAGCAGTGTTGGAGGCCTCTTTTGGCTTGGTTTAGCTCTGCCGAATATGGTAAAGTAGAGTGTGGTCAACGTCACCGAGAGCTCCCTTCTTTCTCTGCACTCCGGGTGGGCCGCGGCTCGACTGTCGGTGTAGATCCTAGAACTTAGACGACAAAGCAAACCCTCAAGTAAGATTGGCAAGCGAGATGTGAATTGGCAGGGGAAGGAAGGGAAAGTATCGACAAATTCGCGAAAAAAAGTCAAAAGAAAATGCTCCGCACAGGGGTCGAACCTGTGACCTTGGCGTTATTAGCACCACGCTCTGACCAACTGAGCTAGCGGAGCTTCGATGTTTTGGTACCTTTACTGTGTGGTATGTGCTTTTTACCACTCGAATGACAGGCTCGTATGTTCTCCGATATCCTCCGATTCAATTGATGTTATGTTTCAGAAGCAGGAGTGTGCTGCACTTACAGTAAATACCGAGGCCACGGCATCATAACCGATGCCGCCGCGCCCGTGCCACATTAACCGGGTGAAGCCCTTCTCTTTTCGAATTGGAATGTTAGTTAATTGATGCCATCCGGTCACTATCATGCGGATGCCTGGAGATTGTCTACTGGCGTGAGGTGGGAACATTCCACACACCTGCGTTCTCCCGCAATCCAATACCCCTCAGGGGTGACTGCAACGACCGCAAGCCGGTTTTGTCTCGGTGGATGCCATGCTGGCAGATACCCATCGCAAGAATCCCATCACAGGGAAACGCGAGGGCACCGTCGCTCGTTTGCTCGTTTCACGTTCTACGGTGGGCGCTGTTCCCGAAACGAAGCTCTTTCCCTAGCTACATAGTTGTCAAGTTCCAAACGGATATCGAAGAATCGCTCCGGTATCGCCTTTGCTATTGATTCCACCTCTCGACGATGCACACACGTCCCACGGTGACGACTATCACACGAGACCGTGAAAGACCGGATCTGAATGGACAACGCGTGGTCCCTTTCGACCCGCCATGTCCGGATGCTTATGATTAGATGGTAGAGGAGTGAGGTACTTGGGTGGGCAGCCTTCCACCCCACAATTTCAATCCAGCACTTCCCTTTTTGCTCCGTGCGGCATCCTCAAAGGGTGTACGCACTTCACCGCGCCGAACCCAGGCCGAACCCACTCCACAACTCCACGCGCACAACGCCCTAATCCATCAGAAGGAATATGCACGTATATACATTCCGAGATTCGACCGATTACTTGCATGTAGCTTGTACCGTACCAGAAACCTATATCCAGTCTACAGACAAGGTAGGCATCCATATTTCATACAGCTCCGTAGCGGCTCGCTACGCCTGCAACTCCTTGGACCTCCCGAGCTTCAAGTTGGGTATAGCTTCGACTTTGGGCTCCATGAGGTCGCGTTCGTGAAAGGGAGACGCAAATGTGAGACCCTCAAACGAGGCGCCTTTGCCAGACACTTGTGTGTCTCGAACCTCGACTGGAGGTGCGCCCGTTGATGCGAATTTACTGGTCGTCGCCGTAAGCAGATGGACCGTGGGAGACCGGCTCGCAATTGGGAGAGGGCAGATGACACTATACCGAGCGCGAAGTGCAAGTCAGTTGAGGACGGATGAGAAGGAAACCACGAAGCGCTGACAGCGAGCGTGGAGTGATTCAAAGGTTACAAGGGCCAGGCGCTCTGCGCTGCTTCTGAAATCATAAAATAGCGCCCAAATATCGAAGCTCCGCTAGCTCAGTTGGTCAGAGCGTGGTGCTAATAACGCCAAGGTCACAGGTTCGACCCCTGTGCGGAGCAGTTTCATTTGTCTTTTTGACCTTTCGGTCTGGTCTGGTCTATCCCGTTGTCCTTTGGCGTCGTCGTTCTTTTGGGGGGATTCCCTCGAAGTCTTCCGTACTGAAAACTTCATGATTACCGGGCGGGTTTCCCGGATCCAAGTGGGGCAGGAAAGAGATGTGGAGACAATCCCGCCAAACACTGTGCCATATATATTGTGAATGCTTCCGACAAATAAAAACTTTCGCTAAGATATGTACAAAGAAAAGAAAAGATCCGACCGCTCGACGCCAACTACCAGATCCTATCTGGTCCCGATCCCGCCGACGTGGTCTTTCGCCACTCATGCCCAGGTGCAGGCGGCCTCAATGCAGGAAGCGTTAATGCGTCCTTCCTCGTTTCCTCGCGACCAGTGTGACGGAACGGATCCGACTCGAAGGGCGGGGATGCATAAGGGGCGTTGGTGGGAGCAAACGAAGCCAGGACGGATGGTGGGGGTAGATTCACGGGGCTGGACCCGGACAACGATCTCGGTAATGGAGACGTTAGGATCGGGGCCGCCGTGCTGCCGTTGCTATCCCGACGACGCGGGCTAGCAGAGCGCCGACGTTCCGAGGAACTGAACTGCCTTGGTAGGTCGAAGGGCCGCGATGGACGCTCTTCGGGTTCCTGCCTTGGGGGTTGTTTCGATTGCTGGTGCTCGTGTTGCTGCCGCAGCAGGTAGTCGACGTCACGTTGTAGGCGTTCGTTGGTGTAGGTTACGCCGCGTAGCTCGCCGACCAGCTGGTTCACAGTGTCTTGCAACATCGCCATCTGCCTGAGGATATCAGCATTTGCGTCTTGTGCGGCCGGAGCCGGACGATGGCTCTGTTGCGGATGAGCGAACTGCGAGTTGTGGACGGGTAGGTGGGGTGACCGTGTCGCGGATGAGCCGGAGGAAGTTGCTGACGAATACATGCGGTTGGCGGAGGGAAGCAGGAGATCATCGAAAGACCTCTTTGACGACGATGCTGACAGCGGAGGAACGGGGGACGATCGCACGGGAAGTCGGTCGCCTGCCGTCGCCGGTGATGATGAGGGCTGGTATCCGCGCACTCTTTGGTCGACAACGGTGGAAGGATGTTCCATGGATGGTGTGAAGCGATCGCCCTCATGGCGAGGGTGCATAGGCGGCACAGAATGCGACGACTCTCCTTGCCGATGTTGCTCCAGCTGCAACTGTTGAATCTGGTGCTGCTGCAGTGTAGTGGGCTTGCGCTTGATCTCGCTGACGAGGTCGGGACGGAATCGGATAAAGTTTGGATGGGAAAACTCCCGCGGCTCGTGCTGTTGAGGGGCGACGAATGAGCCGTTGTGGTGGGACTCCTCGGGGAGAGTATGACGATGGTAGCTCCGATTTTTCTTGTGGAAGCCGTACAAGTTCAGCTGCCGAACGAAACTGGTGTAGTTATTGTGCTTGAAGACACGAGGAAGCACTGTTGCCGAGAAGCCAGAGGCGTCGAGGACGAGGAAAGAGGTGCCGGACGGCGACCAGCGAATAAGGTGCTGGTACTCCTTTTCCTCCAGGATCCGGTGAAGCTTCTGTATGAAGGTTGTCTTTTGCACCATTCTGCTGTTGGGGGCTACCGAATGCGGTGGGTGTCGGGTTAGTTTTAGAGTGTCAGGAATATAAGCTTTTTAGCGTAAGCCTTCGTGCGCGCAGGCGAGGGGGTCTGCTTCCGTTCCTTTTATATCTAGGAGTTTGGGTTTGCGGGCGCAGGGAAGCTGAAGGGACGGGGACGGAAGGTTCGAGACGGGCGTTAATTGAGGCTCGCTCAACCTTATCGCTCCGGAGTGCTTCTCAACGAATTTTCTTTCCACGCCTGTGATGACTGAGGAAAGTCGCATCATGCTTGAACCCTATTCCGCGTGTAAAAGCCAAAGTTGAGTCCTTAAGTTAGTAAGTTAAGCCCCTATTCCCCTTGAAAGTTCTATCTCTCATTCTGCCAGCCAATCACGTAGGGGTATTGCCAGCGGCTTATTATGCGTACACTTCTTCCACCGTTTCAGCTCCTTCGGAGTCCGGTGTACCACGATAACAAACTCACAAGGTTCATTGGCGTGGATTGTTCTGCGTCCCAGCCCTTAGCGAACGCCGAAGGATCCCAATTTGAGCACGTCATGGTTGTACTGATCACCTGTCCTAAAATTTGCGTGCTGGTTTACGTATCACCCTGCCAAGGCGCAATGCAAAAGGCCGCTGCACAAAGAGAATAGTTCCAGAACCGCTCCACACCACAATCATGGTTTCCTGATTGCTTGCGGGCAGAACATTTTGGATCGGAAATCGAAACCTCGCTGCCTCGGCTCATCTCGCTTCCTTATTTAATAAATACCACAGCCGCGGACCCGGATAATGGTAGTGCGTGTTGTTCCATCCTCGTGATTCAGAACAAAAGCTCGGACCCGATCAAGGTGCCTAAAATGATAAAACCTTGGCGGCGGACCTTCCATTCGCAATTTCACAAATGCGGCGCTTTGACGGTTTGACCCAACTTTGTTTTCATTTTCCAAAGCGAACGCACACCAAATGTCACTCAACCGATGTACTGTACTGTACTGCACTGTAATTTCACCTACGTAGTACCATGATGTCTTTGGGGCGCAGCCTATCCAGGGCCCGAACCCAGCGCGATGGACCGTCGAGGTCGATTTGGCTGACATCGACGATGAACTGCCAATCCTGTGAATCGATGCACAGCTATCCACGGTGAGGCTGACGACGTACTGTTGTGATCCGGAGGCTGAGAAACACCAAGGTATCGGTGGGCTCAAAGCACCACCTGGCACCAAGAACAGGCCAAGTATCATCCAAGGACCGACAATCTCCCTCCTCCCTTGGCCAGACAGCCGATTGCCGGCCCGTTCGTGTTCGAATAAAGTGTGGCCGTTAATCTCCAAGGTCCATTTCGGGATGTTGTTTGTAGTCGCCGCACGATAACGTCGCCCTTCGTCCATGCTGCTCTGCTTCGTCAAACACTTTTCCTCGAACTGTGATTGTCGGGAGTATCAAGTCCCGGAGGTAACTCGGTAGAAACTCCAGGACCGCACGGCAGTGGTTCGAAGCTGGCCAAGGCCGATAACGCGTGGATGCATGATATGAGCAAGATAAACCAACCCTTAACGATACCTCCCATGAAGAAGACAAGTTCGGCGAATGTTCCTGCCGCGGACCTCGGTGACGTTGTCAGGCGCCCTCCGTCCCGATTTGTACCATCTCATAAATTGCAAAGGATAAGAGGACATCATTCAAGAAGATAGCTGCCAAGAGACGGAAAATCGCGAGTATGCGCATGCTAGAATATATGTACATACAGTAGCTACCTGGCCGGAACGAAAGCCGCGCGTCGATGATCCAGTCCTGACCGATTTTCCCACGCAAATTTCCCATTCAGTACTGTACATACATGTAAAGACAGGCTTAACGACGGGCGGTCAGCGGGTCGCAAAGGGTGCGGGTCGGATAAGCCGACGCAGCTCTGCTTTTAAAACCAAGCTTGTTGTCTGCCGGCTATTGTGGTCCTGGATACACGGAATTTCGAACGTGGAACAATCTGATAGCCATGGAAAGATTTGTTGTCACGTGACGAAGGAATTATTCGATTTTTTAGAAGGCAACTCTGACCGAAATCGGCCATTGAAGACATACACTATGTGCAAGCTTTAGGCTTTTGTAGTTGCTGCCCGGGCAACTCGAAGTCAAGGTTTGAGGGCCGCATATGCTATATGTGTATTCAAGACAAACCCTAACGAAAGGCGATACTGCGCTATCAACGAGGGTGGGCTCATATCATATGAAGGAGTCCACCTATGTTACTTCCAAAAGAGCCGCTTCTTCACTGGGGAAGCTTGGCTTCAGCATCCGATATCTGCTTCGAGACGGCACTGACCTTCAACAGGTTGACCGAGCTTGTGGGAGGAACCCAACCTTCGTTGTAAGGCAAACGTTCGTCAACGAAGACCGCGTCCAGGTAATTTGTGGGGATTTCGAGGCCGTTTGCATAGCCAAAGTAGTTGAGGATTAGGGAAGCTTCTCCGTGCGCAAGGGTGGACTCCTTGAATCCGAACTTGTTGTCGGGGTTGGTAGCTTTGCTCTGCTTCAACCGAAGGGCGCGGATCTTGGCCATAGAGTTCACGTCGAGACGACCAGCTGCATTCTGCGTGCTGATAAACTGATCGTAAAGGGTGTGATTGAAGCTGTAGTTGTCGCCAAAGTAGGCGTCGTTCCTAGTCAGAGATGCATCGTGCTCAATTGCGCCGTGGGTGCGCAGGTCGTCGAGACCGAACGTGAATGTGAGACCGCTCAAATGTGTTGGCACCCCGACGGCAGGCGAGCCGACGACTAGAGCGCTGGCGAGGTCAAGGCCGATGCTGATACTGGTCAACGCGGAGATGTACTGGGTGGCCTTGATGTTCTTTCCATCTCGGGGCAGGAGGCCGTGGTTGGCCATGGCGTTCAGCAGGGGACAAGGGCTGCGAACGTCGGTTGGCCCGGGCTTCTGCCATTGCGGGACGGTCGCGGCCTGCGCGGTAGTAGTGGCTGCCAGCACGAGAGCGAAGGCTATCTGGTAGAACATGGCTGTTTGTGGTTTCGGAACAGAAGGGGAAGTGGGGTATGAAGTTGAAGGTCGGGGGGACTGGGCTCGGCCAGCTACTCTTTATATATACGCCTGGCGCCATCACATTTCATGCCTCGCATCTCTGCACATTTGCTGCATATGTTGGGCTCCTTCCGGTTGCGCCAATCCGCAGGCCGGATACGCTGGACACCAGATTATCCTTGGCGGACTTTCGTTATGCCGCGCACCGGTTGCAACTTACAGTAATATCATGAGTTATGTACATACAAGGGGGCGACCGCGCAAATTCGACCATTTGAAGGCAGCCTGTCAATGACGTTTAGACAGGACGGCGCACGATTTATTCGAAAATTCTGAATGCGCGCAAAAGCCAGATTTGCATGCCTACGGTTGTGGATGTTGTACAGTAACAACAACTTGCATGGCTTGGGGGACATCGGAGCTGGCGGCGATTGTTTTTACCCCGTCGGAGCCCAGCTTCAATTCGAAAATGTCATCGACGGCCGGTGCAGGGACGCACATCGGGATCTTTTGCTTCCGGGGATACTAGTCTGGTCGTGCTTAAGAATCTGCTTCATCAGGACATTGAGAGATCATGAAGAAGTTGAAGCAGCCGCACTTTCTGGATGAAAGTAACCAACGGCAACGGCCAGCCGACCGGCGTCATCGACAGGGTGCCGACAACATTCACATTACGTACGGTAGTCCCGATGAGCTTCCCAAGCGACGTTTGCTTTCATAGTCGATATATACGTGCTAAAAGGACCGGAATTCAACCAGCTCCGCTAGCTCAGTTGGTCAGAGCGTGGTGCTAATAACGCCAAGGTCACAGGTTCGACCCCTGTGCGGAGCAGTTTCCTTTTGTCCTTTTTCCTCACATGTCTCGTCGTTTTGCCGAGTAGTCGACCATACGGAGAGTGTGTACATATACAGAGTATGTAGGGAGCCTCGGTCGAGATTGGCTCCTTGTGGTACAGTATGTGATGAAATTATGTCCAAAATGATGAAAAAGATGTCTTATGTACATGACGGAACTTTGTCCCGTTCATTTTGAAAAGTTCATCAGAGGCCCCTAATTACAAACTCCTCCCACGTCTTGTCCCAAAGGAGCTTCGCCCCCATCTCAAGTGCGAGCTGGGCCTCAACAGCTAATCATCTATCTCCGAAGTTCTGACGACCTTGGAGAACCCAGCCATGTTTTGTTTAGCGTCTTCATCTTTCATGAGACTCAGTTTCTCCCTATTCTCAGCCAGAAGCTCCAGCATCGGTGGTAAAGGGGTTGCTTTGGCGAGAACTTCGAACACTGAAAGGACAATTGTGTTTAGTGCCATGTTCGTGGGCATGAAGCCCTTTGGACGCAATCCACTGATGGGCTCACTGTCACGGAACTCACTCGGTAGACACATATAATCAATGAATCCAATCTGACTTTGCGGGATGTTGATCTTCTCTCGGTCCATGAACGGACTAACTGGCATCCCACGCCGCCTTTCTTCGTCACCTTGATTCAGGAATTCCAAGATCAATCGATTGAGCCATTCGAAGTAGACGGGCCACTCTCGAGACAGATTAGACACATCGGCGCATTTGATGGCCATTTCCAGGAAAAGATTCCTGTCCTCCGTATTGTTGGCCGGGTCGAAGGCGCCCGGTGCTGAAAGCTAAGAATCGGTGCATTAGCTTCATAAGCCTCACACCGTTAGACCACAGTATTGGGACTGCACCAACCTTGTTTTTGAACATGGCAAGCTTTGTGAAATGGTTTGTCACGTCCGTCGCAAGAACCATCGAAATCACAAGCTCTCTAAACTTGTGAGCGTCATCAAGCGAGAAGTTCTCCACGATATTCGTATCCTCTTGATACATAATGGAAAATGCTGTGGCCAAATGGTGATTTTCGAGGACAGATCGATCGTTGTACAGTACTGCAAGTGGGTCATGAGTTTCGATGAGAAACTTGTTATTCAGGCCGGGATGGTTCACATCTGTAAAACAACGTCACTCGTCAGTCATTAGGTCCCTTACGCATTGGCGGAAAGCCAGAGCACTCTTGCCATGGATTGCCGCTGCGATATATGAGGCGAACAGCTCCAGATCGGAGAGATTGGTATTGCTACAAAGAAGTATACAGTGCAAGCCGTGCAGTACATCGCCGGCGTGTATGGAATTATGATCTGAGAAGGTGACAGCGATTAGCCGCTGAAAAGCGTCGCCTATGAGGCCTGAACATGGTTGTCGCATACTCACATGGCACATCTGGATGGTACAAGTTTTCAACTTCCTCTAGGAATCGGTGTAGTTTCACTGCTGGTATTTGAAGTCGATCGGCAAGCCCGTCAGCCCGACACAAGTGCATTGCCATTGTGGACAATACTCTGCTGGGCATGACTTTTTCCAACTCAAAGATCGCCCAGTTCCAATCATCCATTCCTTCGCATAAAGAATTTCGCCGAGCCATGCTGATCCTTGGGAGGCCAGGCTTATGAGGGGCGGTCGGTCGACCTCGCCGTGGAGAGGATGGATTAGACGGATCACGCATATCCACGACGACATCGATGGATGGCAGGGGTGCTGCGCCAACCCATGATATCGAATCAACCTGTGGTCTTCCTCTATCGTCCGATGCTTGATTGAGGGCTATACGGTGGGAAGATGGTGGAAGAGCAAATGAACCCGAATGTGTCATTGAGGCTGAGGGACCGTCCGGTGTGCCCTGACGATCCGTCGGAGAACTCAAATTGTCGTGAGAGTTTAGGAAGACATAGCTAGCACCCATGCTCCAGTTCCGTGCATACATTGCCCCTCCCCCGCCAAGTCTCGAAGTCATCGGGGGCTGCGTGCGGTGCCCTGGCTGTTTTCGACGATGTCCAAGCTGATCCGAGAGCATTTGCAGGAGCCATTGCTACGAATTGAGGAGCAGCACACGCAGACATGAGAAATGAGGCTTGAGAACTTCTGAAACGACGTGCAAGAAAGATCCCATCTCCTCACCTCCTGATCTTTGTTCACTCCAACTAAACCCCCATGTAGTTGTTGCTCCAGATTGGGAGTGAATAGCTTATTTGAGTTCCCTAACCATCCCAAAGCTTTCGCTAGATGATCAAAGGAGCTCTTGTCCAGTCTGGGATTTGCCATCACAGACTTTATTGTGATGAGCGCCTTCTCCAGCGGTGTTTCCAGATCGGCCATCTGCTCGCTCAATTGTCTTTGGAGCCCCGCTAAGCGATCCTTCAATCCGGCGTTCATGTACCTCAGTTCTGTCTCAGCAATATATCGTCTTCGCTCTTCCTTCTCGTTGTCTCGAACATGTATCAGAATGGTGAAGGTACCCACGAAGATGTACAGGAAAGCGCAAACTGACGAGCCCAGCAGCTTTGATGCAAATCGCGTCCATAAAATGGCGACGACTGCAATCAGGTTGATCACCACCAGAAGCAGTGTGCAGTGAAACGGCAAAGAAGTCACCATGGGAATCACTACAACTGCTGTGAGGTCGAGTAGCGAATAGAACATCGCGTCGCCATCCGGATCCACGATAAAGGAACGTATTCCTGCAAAGCTATGCGTTTAGCATCTCAACATGGCTTCACATCATCTCAACGTGGCTCCTCTGAAGCTAAACCGCTTACCGAGAGACGCTCCCGTGGCCCAGATGGTGGTGAATGTCCAAATGTAATGTATGTAGTGGCTCAGCTTGTCGGGATCCATGAAGCGTAACAGGAAGAAGACGCCCAAATATGGTACAACACACCCCGCGAAGAGGAGTATGATTTCGATCACCCATGGGTAATCCGCCTTGCTGCCAACCAGTAGAAAATTGGGATGAGGAACGTTGATGGAGATTAGGGAGGGCAGCATTACCTACTTGGCGGCCAATCTCTGCTCGTCCTGGCAGTAACCCCATTCATCTATGTTGGCACATGGCCCAAGTTCTCCAGTGAGGCCTTTGGTGAAGAAAAGGGCAAAAAGCACGAGGGTCCAAAAAAACATGGCCCATATCGTTATGGCCCAACGATCGCGATGTTTTGCCCAGATCCATCTTTCGTATTTTCGCTCTCGCTCAAGATCGGCGAAGCGTAGGGAGAATATTCGCCGCCAATCCTGAAGATATGAATAACGGGATTCTCTCCTTCCTTGTGAATCGCTGTATTCCGGATATATCGTGCCCTGAGACCCATGGAGGTAGTGAGATCTTGTTCGCGAATCCTTCATCCGGCCGATCCGACCACCGCTGCGAGTTTCCAAGTTCATGAGTTTCGAGTCGCGTTACTACAGTATATCGATTTCTGGCGGGCCCGAAAGCAAGCTCACCTAGGATCGGCCCCGAAAGCAGCACTGTTCAGAATTCGCGAGCCCCAGCCCACAGTTTGTGGCTCGGGACCTCCTTCCTTCTTGAACATTTCCTCCCGGCGACGGAAGTGGTTTCCTGGGTTTGGCCGATAACGCGTGCACCATGAAAGTGCGAGGATGAAATACGTAGTAACCGATGAGGTCAAGAACTTGCGCTGTTATTCCTTGTGTTATTGATTAGCACATTCAAACCGCACTTGGGGTTGTGGGTCGTTCATTTGGGCTGCGTCCCAACCCCGGGGAACAATGGGAGCACCCTTCTCGCCACGGAGCTGGGATAGAATCCAGAGTTGTTGGCGAATATGTGGGTCGGAGCCACAATTGAATGCTTACGTAACTCTCCAAACGTAACTCCGACATCTAAAGTCTCGGAGACGCTCCGGTAAGGGCTCAAGCCCTCGATGCCTCGATGGTAAATTGCGGATATGGTTCTGGTGTTGGCAGAGGTTTACTGTATGTCATGGAAGACAAATATATGACACCATGGCCATCTGATGATTGTTTAACGTCTGGGGCTTCACCACTTCCCAATTCAATCTCGTGAATTCAAACTTCTTCACAACAGAAACAGCGACGAGACGATCGAACATGGCGGCCTCTGCGGCGTCCATTGAAGAGTGCCTTCGGCACCTCGTATCGTTCAATGATCGGCTGCGTTTTCAGCAGTCTGCTCTGCAGGACCTCCAGCGCGAGATGGTAACGTAAACACAGATGTACTAACCTTCATGGTGAAGTGTGGATCACGGCTGCCGCATGCTCATGACGCCTTTTTGTTTAGAACGTCATCATGGTTCATGTACGAGGTCAAATCGACTCGGACGGCGCCCCTGGGCTGCACGACAGCGGCCAAATCAGGCATCCAACGACATGGTCGGGTCGGCAGATGTCCGATGACTTTTCTGATGCACCAATGGATGAGGCAGTCGAGCGGGCAATAAGCTTACATAGCATGGCCGTTTCGCAGAGCTTCGCAGGTCAGGAGCCCGGTGGGCTTCTGAAAGCTCTATCTGTGGCCAGCGCCCGGGCGTTTGGCAATGTGCTCCGTACTTCGAGAACAGACCGTGGACCGCTATCTGGTAGGAATAGCCCGGACTTCGCGCAGCGGCGGCCTAGTACAGACAGAGCCCATTTGCTGCTGAATGCTGGAAAAATGCTCGACCGGTTGGAGAAACCTCTGAAGGAGAGTCAGAGCGGACAACTTTCAACGTACTCCTTGAGCTCAAAGTCATTGCCAGGGGCGAATGGGAGACCAGAAATAAGTAAGTTGTCCGGAATTGTAAGAATTTGGAAACACTTGCTGATTTGCAATTCAATCCGTACAGATAACTCGACTTCGCCAATGCAGCCAGATGGTCAGTGCTGAGAGTGATGTCCCTCCACTGCATATGCTTGAGGGGAAACTAAAATGTAAGCCTCTCTTTCAGTTGAGAACAACATCTCGTGGCGCCCAGGTCGCTCCGCGAGTCACACGCGGATGGACCGCAAAAGCAAGTCGGCCGTCTTTGCTTTGCGTAATCGACCACCAGACGCTGCCGCTATAACGGAACCTGTGGCACCGCCAGCTCTGGTAGTTTCTCCTCCAGTGGTCAAAGCACCTGCTCCGGATCTTGTCCCGAACGGCTCTCCTCCAGAACTAGCTGGCCATAACCGGGCTGTCAGCGCATATATTCGATTTGGAGCTGTACCTCGGTTCAATGAGTTTCGAGTCTACCTGCCGGCCGCGGAGTTTGACGCCGGGCTGAAAAAGGTCAATATCGAGAATCCGTCGCTACTGCTCCACCCGCGGTCGACATTCGTTGTGGCATGGGATATACTACTATCTTGTAAGGGGGCAAATTTATGGATTCGGGAAAAACTGCAAGACAGCTAACCATCATTCTCATCCTTTGCAGTGATTTTATTCAGCATAGCGTACTTGATCCCTGTCGGGATATCCTTCGATTCGGCGCAAATGCGTATTGAAAGCTTCGCGATTTCGCTTACAGCGATTTTCTTCCTTGACGCCGTCTTCAGCCTGTGCCAGCTGACAACGAAGGAAGGCCTCCCTGTGCCAGCGCGACTTTCCATGAAGCGCTATCTGTCTCGCAACGGATTATTTGACTTGATTACGATACTGCCCTTCGATAGGTTCGTGGAGCAGAAGTCTGGCGCTTCAGCTACGGATCTTGTGTTCATCCTTCGTCTACTGCGTCTTCGACGAATGGGCCCGATCTTGATGACGAATCCGGTGTATGGCAGCATCAGTCTGCGAATGCAGAGTACCTTTGGTGTGGGCGGCAGCTTCATGAGCGTGTGGCTTTTTGGCGGCTTGCTGATAGTGTACCTACACCTGTACGGATGCGGAGTCTTTCTTGCTGGAAAGCTCACCGACTTTCAGAGTTGGGACGGGCCGGAAACGCAGAGTATCTTGAAGAAGGAATTTGGAGCTCAATACACCTGGGCTGTCTTCGTCGCCATCGGGAACACTTTCCCCATCACGGGCTTTCGGTAGGAAACGCAAGTATGAATACATGCCGCAGCAATGTGCTGAAAATTTCATTCGAACAGGCCCATAACTCCCTATGAGCAGTGGTCAACAATTGTTACGTGTCTCATTGGAGCCCTTCTGTACGCATCGCTTGTTGGTTCTATCTCCTCCTTCAGTTTCGGACTGGATTCATCAGGGCGACTCTATAAGCAAAAGATGGACGAAGTGAACGAGTATATGAGCTACAAGCACCTTGGACCCGCCATGAAGAATAAAGTCCAGCAGTACTTCCAGCTGAAGTATAGAGGGAAATACTTTGATGAAGCGGCGATTATGGCAGAGCTCAACGATAGCTTACGACAGGTGACCTATAGGAGACAGTAGGGATATTGATAACTTTGCTCATCGTCTGACTGCCGCGGCCTACAGGAAATCACAATTCACAACTGCCGCGATCTTATTGCAAAAGTGAGCTTTCTTTCTCGAAATGTCGGGGACGGACGAGATATGACGTTTTTAGGGCGCATTGCTGGCGCCCTGAAAGCTGTTTTCTTCATTCAAGGAGACACCATTTTTGAGCAAGGCTGGGTATGAGCTTTCAAGTCACGTATTGCTCTTGCGGTAGCGAAAATACTGACCGAATCGCCACAGGTGGGAAATGAGATGTTTTTCATTCTTTCCGGCACTGTTGAGATCCTCGTAGGAAATGGTATCCGGGTCGGGCAACTGTCCGATGGCGCCTTCTTCGGGGAAGTTGCAATCCTTGCAGAATGTCCTCGGACGGCAACGATTCGCGCGACGGCAGATACCGTTGCGTACCAACTGAGCCGAAAGGATCTGGAAGCCATTCTGGCGGACTTCGAGGACATGGCGGTCAAGATTCGCTTGGTTTACGAGGAGCGGATGGCCAAGGTCCGCAAGGAGAAAGAGATGAAGGAAGCTGCGGAAAAGGAAGCCGCTCAGAAAGCCTTGCAAGAAAAGATGGACAGGGACATCATGGGCTCTTCCCAGGTGGGTGCATCATCCCTAAGAAGGTCAATGTCATTGATGCGTACTACAAGACAGCCTGTCTAACGGCAATCTCGTCGTAGATGAGTCCAGAGGACAGCGTGTAACATCTTGTCAGTCCCGCCTTCTCCAGGCGCTGGTCAGGATGGGCAGTCACTATTCCCCGCTGCCTTCGTGCAAGACCTCACGTTGGCGCCGTATATCCGTAGTGGCATGAAGGCTGCACGAGACTAACCTTGTATATAGTGAGGTTATCATCCTCTCATATTCATTTCCAATGACATTGCATTTCAAAGAATATGTTCCACATACCTGAACATTAAATACATTTCTACATTTGCAGTTCACCCCTCCCTTACAATCAACTTCAGCCATTGAGCAGAAAAAAATCCATATACATCGAAGAATCAATCCATCGCCCGGCGCGAAGTGACCGGACATGCATAGATAGCTACATAGAAGAACATGAAATATGGGATGGGTCTCGAAAAAGCGTATACGACATAAATACGTGGAAAAGATTGAATAACGCCGAATGCAGTCGATGAGGCGCAGGTAAAACGAGAAGTACGGGGATCGGTGCGATCCATGAGGCGCGAATGTGAGCGTGATATGGTCAGGTTTTCCCTGAGGCCAAGATTGGCCGCATACTTTGAGAGGTCAGAATGTCGAACCGACGTCTAGTTTCCTTTTCATGTCAAGGTCCAGATCCCGAGCATTGATTTGACAAAGGCCTTTGGCTCGTTCGATCCTCGGCTCTGGCACAGGAAGCGATAGCGTCGGGCTTGAAGCCGCTGGTCGGCTTAGCAGAGCAGAATTGGCAATATGCTTTGCGGAAGTGGGCTGAGATCCACAATTTTCAGCCTCGGGGCTGGAAACGGGACTCGAAAGTCCATCCATTGCAGCTGTGGGCCGTTTCCCTTTCCTACAAGTCGTCGGGCCGGTCTTTTCATGAAAGCCCCATAAGCCGCACTTGTACTCATTCTCGTTGAGACGGAAGAAGCAGGTGTTGACCGAAAGGGCGTGGCGTACGGCATTCTTCCACTTTTTCAAGTTTTTGCGCGCGGCGAAGTATGGATAGGTCGAAATGATCATGACGTATATTTCCGAGACACTATCAGGACGACAAACGTGGATGAGTTGCCATGCACATGTGGACGGGGTAATCGTGATGCATTGAACTCACAGAAGGAAGCGCTTTCCTGAAGACTTGAAAGCATTGATGATGAGATTTGCCCAAGAGATGTGTGGCCGTACCGCATTGGCATTGGCATCTGGCGTTGAGGGTTGTCTTTCGATCGACGATGTCGCCGGCGTGGTATATGGAGTGGATTGTCGATTCTTGGGAGACCGTTTTGATCGCAAAGGCCCATGCGGTGGCTCACCATCTTGGGACGATCGCTCCTGGGAGGCCTGTGCGCTCGGCCAAAGGGCTGGCGAGGGCGCCAAACTCAACTCCGTGACGGCGACCGGTTCCGCCGTTGAAGTCCATAAGCTGTAAGCTGGGGAAGACACTTGTCTGGGCGAGTGCCACACGGCGTTTTCGGATTTTGCTGCAGTTGCTGGTCTCCGGAACAGAAAGTTCTTCCCCTGATACCAGAATACGGTCGCCGTATCGAGGATGATCGTTGACGTGTTCTGAGTGAAGGTATTGGATCCAAGCCTCAAACAGCCTGGGCCGATGATTCGAAGTTCAAAGGCTTCGTAGGTTTTGGACCAGCGAATGGAAAGATACTGAGTCGGACATGATGGTGAGCGAGTGCCAAGGTCGATATTGTATGACGGACCATAGCCGATACTGAAATGATTGGGAGCGACATAAGACATTGATCTCGTTGACTGACAAGGCGTGACAACAAAGATAGGCTCACGCACCTGACAATCCTCTCATAATCGCCGTCTACGGCAATGTACTTGGTGACAGCCTCCTGAAGAGGCCGACGTGGTGGTGTGATTGGCGGCGACAAATCTTGAAATGGCGAAGCATTTTGGTATGCGGCGGCCGCCAGCAGCAGAGAGAAGCCGTCCACCCCTTTGCCGCTATGGGATGCAAGACATTCTGGATGCGTTGTAATGGACAAAGGCTTCGTGAATGCTGGGCGCCGTCCGGTTGAAGTGGCGTCTATGCATTCCATTAGGAATAACAGATGCATCAGATACTTAAGGGCGCGATTCGAGCGAAGGTGACATACCTTTGTCTGACACAAGATCGTTGATGGAGATCATTGGGAGCGGTAGTTGCGGGGGATGCAGAGTGATCAGCACGTATTGAAGACCGCGCAAGTGGCTGATGATACATTTTGCAGTGGTGCGTGCCTACCCTCTCAGCTTTTTGTAGGGCTTCAACTGCAACGTAAGATGTAGCGCATGCTCCTCTCCAGACCGCAGCGAGTGGCGCTCTGCAAAATTCTTGCCCAGCACCGTACGAGAAAGCCCTTCCTTCCATGACCCATGAGTCACTATAATGTGGGTCCTTCAGATTTGAAGTATGCACCTTTTTTCACGCCGGTGGCGAAAAGCTACGAGACTTTCGGTGGTTGCCTGCTTTCTGGCGGCTTCAAGAGCCTGCATTAATGTTACCCGCCCATCCCCATTTGACGTTTGTTCTTCCGGGGCGTTGCCCATACGCCGCTAGTTGGAAGGTTTCTGACCTTAAAAGCGGCCCGCCGAAACGGGTGCCCCGGACCTGTCGTGAGTCGTGACGACGAATCAAAACTCGGACCCATGTATGTGCTATCAAGGGCGCTCGCGATCCGTCTGCCGCAACGCAACAATGCAAGCAGATGGCATCTAAGGTTCATTGGCATACGACGGCCAGGCGCGAAACTCGGATAGCTAGAAGTTCGTCGATCAACGTCGCAAGGGGTTTCATTCAGATTTTGACGGGGTCCTGACGCTTCCCGCGCTTCTTTCTTCTTACGCGTTTCGCGCTGAAAGAGCGAACGAACTCCGCTGACGCGTATCTCTTACGTGAAATAGCGACACTAGCGAAGTTCAAACTTGAGCTTAACGTTTGGACCGTTGAGCGAACTAGACGCGGGGACGGGGGGGGGGGGGGGGGGGAGGGGGGGGGGGGGACCACGGAAGAGCAAGGACGTTCGTGTTTGTCGTTCTCCACGTTGGTACCGTAAGTCGAAGTCGGAGGATCTGGCGGTTAAGATGGTAGAGATTGACGCTAAGAACCTTGGAGCCTTCACCACACGTTTGAGAAGTGGGATAGGTCCTTGTGAGCGGTAGGACAGAAGATCCTTTCTTCAACCCCCTCCGTTGTTGTCTCGGAGTTGTGCTGGATGGCCCCTCAAATGCGCCGAACCTCTATGCTTGCATCTGGCTCCCACGAGGAAAATCGGCAACTGTAAAAGTTGAATGATAATATTCATTGTAGGAATTTGTAGGAATAGGAACGGATGAAAGTACGAGAGGTCTCCTACATGCTTCCTGGACTGGACTTTTGGAGATCTGCGAGAAAGATCAATAAACCGATGACTGATTGATCGAACACCAAAATATATTGATTATAAATATTGCCAAGCAAGGCCATATATCGAAGCTCCGCTAGCTCAGTTGGTCAGAGCGTGGTGCTAATAACGCCAAGGTCACAGGTTCGACCCCTGTGCGGAGCACTATCTTTTTTTCGATTTCACCTCTTCTCGTGGTGTTCTTAGGAAATGCTAAAGCGACATCGGCTTTAGAACCACCCCTTCTGAGCTTCAAACGACAGCCTTCCGCTCTAGCCGGCGGCTAACTGTTCTTTTGGCCACCCACTGTAGAGAGATACCTCAGAGCCGGAGCGAGACCTCTTTTGCAATTGCGGACAAGTTACATTCACATACAATTATGTTCACACTGCAGCATCCTACTCTCCATAAGGATATAGCCTTGGCGGGTTTCACAGAGAGGACGCTGAGATGCGGGAAGGGCACCCGCGGGTTGACTTCATGTGCCCCTCAAGAGGCAGCCCGGCAGCACGACACGTACTGCAGTGCGTGGCGCATGGTTATCCTTCCCACTTCCACTTTCAATGCCGAAGTCGCGGTCCACATTTTCAAAACGAGATGGGTCGCGGCAAGTGCTCGTTGACGACTTGTTGTGCTTCTTGCCACGGGTCTTGGGTCCAAAGGGGCCTGTGAAAGCAGGCCAAGCAACTCCTGCTGGGTTTCTTGTGGCAAGGAGCTGAATACGCTTGGAGAGGATGTTCTCCTTGCTGTTGATGTTGGATGCACCAAAGCTTGAAAAGCATGAGATTTAACGTATTGAAGGACTAATCATCGAAGCTCCGCTAGCTCAGTTGGTCAGAGCGTGGTGCTAATAACGCCAAGGTCACAGGTTCGACCCCTGTGCGGAGCATTGTTTTTTTTTGTTTTTCGTCCCCGTGTTCTTTTTTCTTGCCAAAGGATCCACCAATTCCATTGTCGTTTGCCAAGGTTTGCCATGCTGGAAGGATGTCCCACCGCTCACCAAATCTGTATGTTTGGGAAGCTCCCGACCCGTTCGCTCTGCTTTTACAGCCGGATTGCTTGCGGACCTTTGATTCTGGGATGATTGATGCCCCTGTCGCTCTCCTGTCGCTCTCCTGTCTTTCTTCATGCCCGACGCGCGTTATGTCAGCACGCGAACGGTTTCCCATGCAGCTCTCCAGTCTGGCTCGAGTAGACCGGAATATGCGAAACCTTCGAAACGCAGATATCGCACTGACTAACGTCGGCTATGGCGTATGCAAGGGTGCGCGGATCGTGTGAGTCCCAGGATATTGCCAAGGCCGGTAGAGTGCGCGAAGACCAGGCGCACAACAGCCAGCTTTTCGTGGAGGCCATTCCTGACCTTCCAAATGACAGCACAAGGCATAAGCCAATGCTTCGACCTCGTCAAGAATTGTTCAGCTGATTTGAGGGGAAGGCTTTTATCCATGACTTGAAGCGCAAATGCTTACAGTCACATGTCCAGTTAGGTCAGATTATGCTTTCTGAAGGCACACGTCTCGGAGCTCACGCCTATGAGCCGGTTTTTAGGGGAGCACTACGCTGTTATGACAGCACGCGCGTTGAGACATACGTCCCATCCCGCGTCTCGCATTCCACGTAAATTCTCGTACCTATTGTCGGGCTGTCGCAGAACAGTGTGTTACCCTTCGATAGCGAAGTGATAAGCGTACAGTACGTCGCAACATTTTCAATCGACGCGTCATTCAGGCGTTCATAATCAACTTCCGGCGAAAATCGTCTGGGAGACATGAGCTCTGCCGTGCCTGCATCCCAAAGGAAGGCTAAGATCCTTCTCTGTTTCTTTAAGATCGCCCTAAGTGCGTCATAGGCCCAGCCAGCCCAGGGCTGTCATCATATCTTGCTGAGGTCTTCTACCGTGAATCTTCGCAACGGTGTGCCTGACGACGCGAAAAAGCTGTGTCTCGTGAACCCACATCTGAGAATATTCCCATCCAGCGCGCCTTATAGTGTAGGAATACTGGCTGCTACTAACCTCCAGCCAGTCCTGGGCCCGACTCGGGCGAGCATTACACTCTGGGTTGCATTGATCGGCCGTCTGCGTAGGTTTGCCTATGTGAACTCAGCTCTCTGCCGCATCACTTGTTTTGCAAATCTTGCGAGTGCACGCGTTATGTCAGGCGCTTGCGATTACGCGTGCACAAAGGAGTTAACCCAATCATCCATGGACGCACTTTCCCTGTTGCTTCCCGCTGCTACCAGGTCATTCCTTGGCGGGGTTAGAAACATGGGGCCCTACTTGGATGTGGAATCTCCTTGGAAGGCAGGTATACTAACTAATTCTTCGCGCATTACCGACGATCTACTGAACGTGACCATCGGGATGGGTCAAATAGGCCCGACCTGGCCCTGTGTCTGAGAGAATATACTTAGCCAATATTCTGTTTGAACATAACCGTAAGAGTGGGTGACAGAAGCCCGACTCGCGCCTGGATCTGAGCGCGCCAATATCCTCGCGCGTCATCAACGTTCTCTTTGCCGCATGCTCGCGCAACCATAAGGCGCGGCGGCATAGGCCCGACTTGCGGGCTGGGCCCACAAATAGAACGATTCCCATGTCCGTGCGTGATTTTATCTCACAAATGGTCAACTCCAATGATTTCCAATGAGGGGCAGGCACGAAGGGAGACTAGAGCTTGAGGCAACGACCGAAAAACGCACACCGTGGTTCTATGAAACCGGTTCGCCAAAAAAGGGCAATCGCCAAAAACAAGGAACTTCCGGGCCAACTTCTTCTTGCGCAAAATCGCTCACTCTTTGCAATGGGCAACAAACATGTCGCCTTGAGAATCCGTAGCAGAAGGCCCTGGGCTCGTAGTCTCGTTGGGTTCAGTTCGTTGACGCGTATTGCACGCGTTAATTTCAAACTCCGCCTTGTTCGGACATGTCTGGACTTGCGCTAAACACAAAAAACGGACCTCATCTCAAAGAGACCACAAAGGAGAACGTCAATGGCTGGAGAGTGAGATTACGGGCTTATCCCAATTGTATTGCGCTGCCTACACAGATAGTAGCATAACTTCCTCCTTGGCAAAGTTGGCCTTCTAATCTCGAATCACCGTTCATGCATTAAACAACATCCAATGAACGTCAGCGCGGGGCACAACTTGACTTAATATACTTATAGCCGTCCAGCCTGACATGAACGCCAAGGGGAACAATATGCCCGGCACGAAAGGACCCCATGTGATGCTTTCCACATTTCAAGGCCGAGATGTTAAGGTTTCTCTCACGCGTTTGAGTGCTTGGTCAGCGCGTCCAACTCCGACCCACCACCGTGATCACCGAGCTCGAGGACCAAACGCAGAGTTGCGGGGCTACCTTTCCATCAATGTCGTCCGGTTTTGCTCCGCTGGAAGGAGCAAATCCGTCCACCTCCGTTTATACCACCGGCGAGACTCGATCCAACCCAGAAAGACCACAAACACGCACCAACCATAACGGTCTTTTGCTCTCGTAGGCATTATTGTCATTTGGAAGAACGATGAGAAAACGTAAGTAGAGTGCGTCAACCTGAACGTCTAACAAAAAGTCTAAACCGGAAAGGGTGGTACGAGATCTACGACGACCAGACTACATGTGGGGAAATCTGCCGGAAGCTTCCGAGCATATCGATATCAAAAGGGAAGTGTAAAAGGGAAAGAGAGAACTGTGTGTCATTTGGAGTAACCCGCAAGAATGAATGACGTGGAACAAATGGGGGAGTAAACGAAAAATGATGATGCAAACCAAGAGTGGCGCACAGAGAAGTGTCTGCCCAGAGAAGGGAACCGAAAAACGGAAGACTACATCCTACAAAACAAAGCTCTACGCAGCAACCCCCCAAGCCCGTCCCTCCTCCCTAACATCCTTCGCCAGTACCGCATCCGTCCCCCCACAAGCGGCCAAAATGCGTTCACCTGTAGCCGGCGAATCCATCCTAAACCACCCGTCATCCTCACCCACCTCCCTCCTCTTGGCCTTGATGGCATCTCTAATCGCGAAAAACACCACACTGCCTAGGAACAGCGGGGGTTCCCCGACGGCTTTGGAGGAATGCACCGCGCGGCTGTTGGAGACGTTGGAGAGAAATCGGACGTTGAGGGAGACGGGGATGTCGCGGAAGGAGGGGATTTTGTATGCGCCGGGACCGCGGGTTAGCAGCATGCCCGTGTTAGGGTTGAGGAGGGGTTCTTCGAGGGTGCACCAGCCCAGGCCTTGAATGAAGGCGCCTTCGATCTGTGGGAGGAAGGGATGTTAGAAAGCCTAAAGCGTGGAGGCACCCTTCTTCGCGACCCCAAAAGCGCAGAGACAAAAGACTCGCCTGCCCAATATCAACCGCCGGATTCAAACTCTTCCCAATATCCATACAAACATCCGCCCACCTGCACCCCCACTCGCCCGTCAGCGTATCGACCTCGACCTCCGCACACGCGGCGCCATACGTGAAATAGTTATACATGCGCCCCTCATTCGTCGCCCAATCATAGCTCAAATCCGGCGTCGCATAGAATCCCGTCGCCGATAATGAAACGCGATCGAAATAGGCTTTGTTGATCATTTGTTCCCATGTGAGGGGTGGCGTGTGGGATTGGTAAGGGGCGAGACGCGCGAGGATGGTGTTGCACGCGTTAAGCACGGCCATGCCGTTCAAATCGGAGGAAACGGAGGCCGCCGTGGCGGAGGTGTTGGGGACGGTGGAAGTCTGTGTTTCGGATAAGTGGATCTTGGACACGGGGACGCCGAGGGCGTGCGCGGCGATCTGCACCATTTTGGTGTGCAGCCCCTGCCCCATCTCCGTGCCGCCGTGGGTGATGAGCACCGACCCGTCGGTATAGATGTGCACGAGGGCGCCGGCTTGGTTGAGGAACCGCGCTGTGAATGCCAGCCCAAATTTGGTAGGCATGAGTGCCAACCCACGTTTGCGATGCGTGTGCAGTTTATTGAACTCATCCACCTCCCGTCTCCGTTTCTCGAACTGCGCCGACTGGTGCAACTCATCCCACACGCGCTCGATATAGACGTCCGTCAGGGGCTGTCTGAACGGAGTGATTTCGCCCGTTTTGTACAGATTGATCTGCCGGATCTCTTCCACCGGTTTGCCCAGGTACTCCGCGACATGGCACATGAACTGCTCGCACAGCATCATCCCCTGCGGCCCGCCAAACCCTCTAAACGCGGTGTTCGACGCAATGTTTGTTTTCGCAATGCGGCCGCGGATGATGGCGTTCGGGATGCGGTAGCAGTTATCCACATGCGTCATGGCGCGTTCGAGTACAGAGGAGGAGAGATCCGCCGAGAACCCGCCGTTGGATGTAATCATCACTTCGAGGGAGACCAGCTTGCCCTCAGCGGTGAACCCAACCTTGTAGTCCCCGCGGAACGGATGCCGTTGCCCGGAGATGGCCATATCTTCCTCGCGGGTGTACATGCAGCGGACAGGCACCTTCAGTTTATGCGCGGCGACGGCCAACGCGCAGGTGAGATTGACGCTACGGGTTTCCTTCCCGCCGAACCCGCCGCCGAGCCGCTTGACGCGGCAGTTGATGCGGTTGGCGGGGATGCCGAGGACTTTGGAGACGTAAACTTGGGTTTCGGTGGGGTTTTGTGTTGAGGCGAAGATCTCGATTTCGTTGTCTTCTTTTTTGGGGTTGACGAGGGAAGCGTGCGTTTCGAGGTAGAAGTGTTCTTGGGCGGACTGGGTAGCAAATCACACAATTCTCAGTCAGATAAACATACCCAATACACAACTCAAACAACGATACTCAACACTCACCATCCTAGCCACCCCCTCAACATGATGCACAGCCTCATCCAACGGCACCTCCGCCTCTCTCCTCCTCGCATCAAAGTGCCCCGTCCGAATCTCCCTCGAAATATCAAAGAACGTCCCCTTCTCAATCGCATCCTCAATCGTAATCACAAGCGGCTGGCGGTCCGTATACGTAACCTTCACCTTCGCCGCCGCCTTTCTTGCCACAAGCTCCGAGGTCGCAACAACAAGGCCGATCATCTGCCCGTGGAAATGCACACGTTTTGTGGCGTACAGTTCTTCGTCGTGGAGGATGGGTCCGACGATATTCCGATTGTGCGGGTCCGCGGGGTCGTAGCCCGGTATATCAGTCGCGGTAATGTACCCCAAAACGCCGTCCATCGCGAGCGCTTCGGTGGTATCGACGCTCTCGATCGCGGCGTTGGCTTCGGTGGAGAGGACGAGCCCCGCGTAGCATTCGTTGGCGAGGCGGGGGATATCATCCAGGTAGGCGGCTTCGCCCGTGACTTGTTTGAGGGCGGCGAGGTGCGGGATGGAGGAGCCGACGGCGCCTTCGAGTGCTGTGGGCGAGGTGCCGGTAGTGGGTTTTTCTGGTTCGCGGTCGTACGTCTGGGATCCGTGGGCGAGACCGCGCTCGATTTCGGAGAGGGCAGAGAGTTCGGTGGATTGAATGCTGTTTGTGTCGAGTTTGTGCGAGATGTAGAGGGTGAATTTCTTGAGGAAGGAGAGGGCGAGCTGCCGGCGGTAGGCGACCATCCCGCCTGGTGTTGCTGAGCCCATGACGAAATCTTTCGTGATGACCTTCTCGCCGACGCCGTCCAGCACGTCGGGTCCCCACTTGCGACCAACAACCGCCGCGGACGCGTCCTGCGCGATCCGGGTGAAAGGGCTGAGGCCACCAAACGCCAACGTGGCATGGGTGACTACGTTCTGAGAGTCTACCATGATCCGGAAACACGCGTTGACGATAGCGATATCGTCATGCTTGCGTTTGGATTGCTTGAATGCGAGTGTGTACTCGCCCTTTTTGGTGAACGGGAGGAAGATAGACTCTGCGATCTCGGCGGGTTGCAGTAACGTGCGCCTGTACCCAATGAAGAAATCCTTCATAGCGATGGTTCGTTCCCCGCCTTTGAGGCTGGACACCCGCAACTGCGCATCGATGGCGACAAACACCGGGTTCAGGTCCGAGATAGCACTAGCCGTGACGATATTGCCGCCGATACTCGCTACATTCCTGATCTGCGGGCCAGCAAAATACTTCAAGTTGTCCAGCAGGGCCTGAAAATTCTCGGTCTGATGCGGCTCATACGTTGCAATGAAGTGCTTCAGGCGGTCTTGGAACGTCGTGAGGCTGGTGCCGACGCCCATCCACACGCCTTCGCCTTTTACCTCCTCGTATCCCGCCATTTCGGCGATATCGCTGACGTGCACCATGACGGGGAAATCGAACCCTTTCATACGGACTTCGATGCCAATCTCGGTGTTGCCCGTGACGATTTTAGCGTTGGGGTAGGTATGTTTGATCTGCCTTAGCTCGGCGAGCGTAGTAGGGTGGTACCACGCGCCGTCCTCATGGGCAAACATAAAAGAATCCGTTTGCTGTTTGAGCGGTTCGGGGAATGGCAGGTCTTTGGTTTGGTCAATCACGCGGTGCTTCGCCTTTTGCAGGTCTTCAATGTCCACGGAGCCGTTTTGCACGCTGCAGGTTCCGTTGGCCTTTTTGGCCGTACATTCGACTGTGCTGCACCCTACGGGGCATTCCGAGTCAGAGCCGGAATGGTTGTGCCCGTTGGCGTGCGTGTGTCCATTTGCGCATCCATTCGCCTCATGGCCACCACATCCATTGCTTTTCCCATTCGCACACCCATTCACGTCGGGCACGGCAAACTCCTGCGCGCCCTCCAAGATGGGCCTGTATCCAGTACACCGGCACAGATTTCCATCAAATGCCTCCTCCACATCGTGACCCGTCGGTTTCGCATTGTTGCGCGTCAAGGTATACAGCGACATGACGATACCGGGAGTACAGAATCCACATTGACTTCCATGGCTGTACGCAATCGCTTCCTGGGTCGGGTGCGGGTTGGCGCTGGAGCCGATGCCCTCGATCGTGATGACGTGCTTGCCCTCGATGGAGCATGCGAGAGCGAGACATGCGTTGACACTCCGGTGTTGGACTTCATATTCTCCTTTTGGGAAGTAAAGAGAAGAGAACGCGATGAGAATCATGGGCAGTCGATGAAGTGATTCGACGACGTTCGGCTACGTGTGCGAGGGGAATATTTGCAACTTTGGTCAACCATCAACCCATCAACCATCGAACGTCAACCATCCACCGTTCACCCTTGACCATCAACCTCGACCATCTACCATCAAATATCGACCATCAACCATCGAACGCCAACGATCAACCAAAGTGACGGGAGTATTGCGCTGTGGCGCCATCTGGTGCTCGCTTCGCTCGCTGAGGCTCGAAATAGCAGTGTTAGGGAAGTATTGCGCCATTGGCGCAATGTGGCTCGCTCCGCTCGCCGCAATCCGTGGTCGCTCCGTTTTGTTCTCGCTGGCTCTCTCGGACTCCCGGAGCGAACCAAATGCTCGCTAACGCTCGCGCTACTCACCATCACCACCCTCCTCCTTCCTGACATGACTGGAAACCATGACAGTACAACTTCCACAACCTCCTTCACCACACCCCAGCTTTGTGCCGGTCAGGCCATGCCTTCTGAGGAAAACGAGCAGCGACTCTTGCGGGTCAGGTGGTATTTCCGAAAACCTCTTCCCGTTTATGTAGCAGTTGAGACGCTTTTTGACGGGAAGGAGCGGGGTTGTTGTTGCCATCTTGGATGGCTCGCTGGGGGCGCCTAGTGAGGACGTTATTAAGCCGCCGTCTTTGTCCTGCGATGATGTCGTTCTCCTTGCGAGTTGTGTTAGTAGGCTTGCGAGGAGGTGATCTTGGGGGGGGGGGGGGGGGGCTTTCAGCGGTTGTGGGGTCGAAATTCGGACTCGAGATCAACAGCGAGCGAGATAGCGACCATCATGGGCAATGGGCATGCGCGTGTGATCCGTGTCATCAGTCATCAGGGGGGAAGTCACGTGCTCCCGCGGAATGCAGTCAACTGAGTCAAGAGGCCGCACTGTCATTTCAAAGACACGCGTGTCACTTTCAAGAACGCGCAACAAAACTCACACGCTAAACTTCTTGAGCGATGCCCCTGCCAACTACGTGGCGCTCCGAGGAGGACCATCAGCAGAAGCTGTGCCTGCAGCCTGCCCCCCTTCTCTCAAATTCTCGTAGTTTTTCCTCAAATTGATGGCCTCAGGCCGAAAATCTACAGTATATCAGTGCGGCAAGATACGTCATTGATGAACTTCTCAATATGTTTGGCCGAAATACTGTAGGGGGGCAAACTTCAGTACGAATTTTCGGATATGGCCTTCTCTCTCTGGCGAGAGTTCAATGGCTTTAGTACTGTATCTCGGATGTGAACGTAGTACTCAGTTCTATGTATTGCACTTGCCACTCGAATACTGTGATGGCCGAGGCTCCAATAAAGCCACAGAGGCTCTGTGCCTTGCATTGAAAGAAACAACAGTCGTTCCCTTCTCTTTGGCTGATAGGCAAAGGATGGGCCACCATTGTTCATAGCGGTCTATCAAAAAGTCGACTGTAAAACCAAGTTGTATACCATGCGTTCTTTGGAATGTCACTTCCTTCCTATGTAGCCTGCCACCCCACTCCGCGAAAACGAGCATTCAAGCCCAAACTTCTAGTCTGATATCCGACCTTCATACGTTCGCTCCTACTAATGTCTAAAAGCTAAAGTCGCGGCACTTCAATGGTCCGACCCTTATTGTTTCTGTTTGGAATCCAGTATGATGGTCACCGGCCCATCATTGTTGATATGCACATCCATCATTGCTCCAAATCGTCCATCTATGGGATGGAAGGACAAACAATCTACAGTAAGCAAGGTAAGCTTACATTCCCCTCCGTAACCTCTCCTACCTTGTATTTTATCCGGTTTATGCGCTTTTCCCAGCTTTTCTAAGAAGCCGTGGTACATGTCTTTGCTTATATCGGCTTTCGCAGCTGTCCGAGAGGGAAAGGTCAGCTTTTGGCAGGAATACAGGACAGCCCCAATGCATCGCCCAGGGCGGGGAGCGTGACCCTTACCGAGGTGGAAGTCAGGCTTTGACCCTTTGTTCGCCAGAGCGTAAAGGGTGAACTGCGACACTGGCGTGGTATGATAATCAGACATAGTGTTTCTTTTCCCCATGTTCCTACCACTCTCCTCGTATTCATATCCTACCACTCAAAACCTCCAGGTCCAGATCCTTCACACTCTTGGCCCACGATTTGCCCGCTTCATCATCAAACAGTCGTAACGTCGTTATCTTCTTGACCCTACAACGAAAAACCGTCGGTTCCAAGAGCTGCTTCCCCATACACCAAGACAACTTTCATTCCTCACATCCAATCAACATCCTTCTCATCGTCATCGTTGGTTATCCCGACCAACACGCAGAGCCCTTTTGCTATTTTGCCTACGACTTCTGTGCCAACTGCGATATGGAACAATAGTCAGGGTTGACATTGGAAATGACCGCACGGAAGGAGCTCATGCTGGCGAAGATCCCAAGGCGTCATTGAGACTATACCTGTAACGCTGGCGCTGGTTACCCGTTGTATGACCGCTCTCATTGTGAAGGCTCTTCAATGCTGTGGTGTCGTCGGAGTCGTTGGTTGTGCACAATTTCCGCATTTCCGCTTTCGGCGGTAACGCGTCCCTTAGAGTCTGCCTTAGAGTGCTGGAGTCCCAATTGGTGCTTGGAAGCCACAGCAGCCATCTCGGAGGACCCTGTGCATGAGGCTACTAACTGTGCAATTTCCCAGTTCCATCCCTGAGCACCGGTGTCGTACCTGCAACACCAAAGCAAACCACTCTTAGTTCAGCTTGCTTGTAGATAGCGCCAGCAATGGTGAGCAGAAAGCTTCGCGACTTAATTTTCAGGGGAACAAGGGTTAACCAATCGTTTCTCGTCACAGTATTCGCTAGTTAGCCAGCTGAAAAACGGTCTGTGTGTAGAGGGAGCGAGATCCTTTGGAACCCCGGAGCTCATTCAAGTCTTCGGTCGTTCGCAGCACACGAAGATGGAATTTGGTCCGTGGCGTGGAGCAAACGTGGTAACAAAATCGTTACCGGCTCTGTCGACGATACCCTCAAAGTCTGGTGGGTAACTCAAGTCATCAGCATGGAGAGAGGGCTTCTTCTATGGATGCTAAGTCTTGTTGCATTTCCCAGGGCCGGAGACAGCCTAGATCCCATACACACGCTGGAAGGGCATGAGCTGGGGGTCATTTCGGCGGACATCTCACCCGACGGAACGAGTAAGGCGAATGAAAGCTGCCGCCAGCGTGGGGGAGGGGATGACTGATGGCGTTCTCGCCTGTACATTAGATGTGGTGTCCACATCCCTCGACAGTCAAATCCGGTTTTGGGATTTGTTGCATGGGACGAGGATAGAGGCCAAGACCATCGATGCAGGGCCAGGTATGCACCTTGCCTTCCCACGAGACCACTGTCTGTCGCGGCAAACTCAAATCACACCTCCCCATCCCTAGTCGAAGCCTGGACAGGCGTCTACTCCCCCGACGGCCGGCACATCGCGACGGGCTCACACGACGGCAACATAAATATCTGGTCCGCGGAGGAATCCAAACTGGAACGCAAGCTGGAAACCCGAGGCAAATTCACCATGTGTGTCGCGTACAGCCCCAACGGACTGTTTCTGGCCTGTGGAGCGGAGAATGGCGCTATTTATGTGTTTGATGTGCCGACGGGGAGGATGTTGCATACATTGACTGGTTGGGATGCTTGAGTTTTGTGAGCACAGGAAGTTGGGAAATGTACATTGATGGCGTTGTATTTGAAGGGCACGCCATGTGCGTCAGGACAATGACGTTCTCGCCGGACTCGATGTTGCTGATCACTGGCTCCGACGACAAGCGGATAAATATCTACGATGTGTAAGTACCCGGTTCATGAATACCGCATATCTCATAGCGATAACAATCATTCACGCTCTCTGTCCCCGATCTCTTCCCCGTCAACAGAAATCACGCAAACTGCCTCTCAAGCCTCGCCGGGCACCAATCCTGGGTGCTCTCCCTCGCATTCAGCGCCGACACCGCCCACTTTGCCTCTGGGTAAACATCAAAGCACTTCGTCGCATTTCCCACATTCCCGTGAGATGACCTGACACCTTATTTTCGACGGTTGCAGAGGCAGCGATAAACGAGCCAAAATCTGGGACCTGAAAGCCCGACAATGCGTGCAGACGTTTGATGACCATGAGGGGCAGGTACGGAACCCAACTCCCTCCAAAATCTCACCCCAACTCTAGCATGACCTAACATCGCCTGTTCTTTCTCTTATCGCAGGTATGGGGCCTGGCGTATAACGACGACGGGTCGCGGCTGGTCACTGTATCGGAAGATAGGAGTATCAATATTTACCAGACTGGGTGATGGATGTTGTGCGGAATAGATGGGTCTCTCTTCGTGGCGGCGTATCTTAGCCGGATTACACGAAGTCTTCGACGCTGTATGAGAGCCTATTTGTGTTTGAGACGTGTTGACCAGTGGGGCGTCCCGCCACTGTGGGTCAAGGGCGACCAGCAAGTTCGAATGATTCGATATGCTTGTGGTGTATTTACATGATGAACGTTAAATATCTACGCCTAGGACTACATGAGATACTTCTACGGCGTGCAGACTGCCAATGAACAAAACGTCTGGCGTTCTCTAGACGCCAACGCCAAAAGGGCCTGCCGTTCCGCCATGCTCGGAAAGAAGCCAAAACTACTATTTCGCGCGTGATAGATAGCCTTCGGCGAATCATGCACGTCCGAGCTCGGTGACTTCCTGCAATTTCTCCTTCAGAGAGTCGTGAGCGGGCGTGTCTTCAAAGTTTGCCTATTCAAGGGAATACCGGGGGAAAACTCCTTTGAGTGAACGTGTTCAACCCCGAAAATATTTCGCGCTTCTCGGAAACATACCTTAGTCCTCCCCACCAAAGTCTTCAACACCATCTTCGCCTGATACGCCCAGTCCTTACACACAACCTCTCCCTCCTCCTCCACAACCTCCGCCTCCTCCTCGCTCTCCCCTTCAACCAGCGTCACCCCCGCCATCCGCCGTTTTTCAACCAACGGCCCCAGCGCAACATACGCATCCACAAGCTCCACGGCTCGTTTCGCGGTGCTCTGGAAAATCTTCTCGTCGTCAACGAGTCGCGGATGGTGCAGGAGGGCGCGGTACGCCTTGAGTCTGAAATCAAGGGCCTTGCGGTACGAGCCGGTTGCGGCGAAGAAGATGGCAGCGCATGCAAACAGGCGCGGATTAGCGGCTATCTTTGAGGTGAGGCGGGTGAGCAGCGTCGCAACTTTTGGGGCGTGTTTCGATGCCGGCTGGCCCTGCGCGTCAAGGAGGGTTGGGGATGTGACGGCCTCGACGAGGATCTCGAGCACCTGCACGTCCACCGGTGACGGCTGGTTATCGGCCTGTTTCTTATCCCAGGTGTGTTCGAGCACGCGTTCCATGGCGTGCATGGCTTCCTGGAACTCGCCGAGGTCGACGGAGGTGAACATGTAGTTTTCCCAGATTTTCGCATTGTCGTATTGCTGTTTCAGGGCCTCTTTGAGGGCGCGCCAGGCCTCGCGTTTCTTTTTCTGGCGGATGTAGGCGGAGGCGAGGTTGGTCCATGCTTCGCCGTTCTCGTGGTTTAGGGTCGTCACGCGGCTGAAGGCGCGCACGGCTTGGTCGAAATCTTCGATGCGCATGGCGGCGCAGCCCATGACGAACCAGGAGTTTTCGAAGAGGGAGTTGATGGCGAGGGCCCGGTGGTAGCATTCGATGGATTTTTCGAACTCACCGCGTTTGTAGTGGTAGGCGCCGAGGGAACGCATGGCACGGGCGAACCGCCCGTCGGAGAGCTGCCATGCCAGTTCGAAGTGGGCGGGATCTTGCGTGATGTCGCCGAGGATGCAGTGGAGTTTGGGCGACCGGGGATGGACTTTGAGCTGTTCGTGAATCACCGCCTCGGCTTTCTGTGGCTGTTCGAGCAACTGGTAACAGGAGATCACATCCTCCCACATCTCCAGTCGCTCGAAGATTTCCAGAGCAGAGCGCGTCACGCCGATCGACACGAACCGTTCGCCCAGTTCTCGCTCGAGCTCCCATTTGGGTGGGAGCTCGATCGAGAAGATGTGCAGCATCCTTTCCGCCGCAGAAGGTTCTTCGAGCTTGATCTGGTCTACGAGAGCTTGCAGCTGCAGCGCGGCTCGTTCGACCGTTCGCGATTTGTTGCTTTCCAACCGCGACCTGAGCAGCAGGCCCATAGTATGGACCATCCAGTTGTTCGGATTCTCCAGGACACGGCGAACGTAGGGCAGCATCTCTTCCGTGGTAAGACCATCCGCAGGATTGAGGTTCTTCACGTTCAAGCAGAACGCGAGTAGGATACATTGATCGATGGGCTTTAGGGATCCTTTCGCTTGCCGCTGCTCGTCCCCACCCTCCTTGATGTCCGTGAAAGCGATTGTCTCCAACAGTGTGTCATCGTTCAAGTCCAACTGCCTCGGTTTGGAAGCAGCACCTTCGTCATCTGCTCCCGCCGCTGCTGTCTCTCCTGCACTTTCCGCCATGATCACTAGCTGCGATGTGTCAAACGTTTGGAACTTCGTGCGCCTCCCTAACGCCCCTGTAAGTGTCCATTTGAAGCCACTGGCCTCTTGTGCGGAGTTGAAGAAGGGGACAGCTTTCGAGTCCTCTCCATAATAGTGATGTGCTAATCCAAACTCCAGACTGTGTCGGGCCATCAGATCCCTACATAATGGGCAGACCATAAGTAAGTGACATGCGGAACGGAGCCAAACAAATCGACGTGCCACGGACCGTGAATGTTGAGACTTTTTCAATGTCTCTCCCTGCCTCTCCAAGGCTTCATAGATCCCCGTCCTCAACGTGTCCGCCGGTTCATCCAAGAGCTTCTGCTGGACAAAAAGCACACGTGCCGCCCACCAATCCACACTGTGCAATGCCGAAAGGAGATCTATGTTTGTGACCAAAAGCGCTTTGGCGAGGACGAGAAAGAGGGGACTTGTAGTCAACGAGTACGCCTCTTCGCCGTCCTCCGCCAACAGACTGAGGGCCCTCTTCGAGATGACATCGCGGTGGGTTCGGAAGCTTTCAGGCAGCAGTTCGGCGGCGTCGATGGCGAGGGTTGGACCAGTCCAGCCGTGCTGCAAGAACGCATAGAGGCAGGCGACTCCTACGGCCAGCACCTGGAGTTGCTTTTCTGGGGCGTTATCGGGGGCCAAGAATGCCTCTGTCCGTTGCCGCAAATGCAGTCCAAAATCTAAGGTATAGTAAAACTCTTTAGTGTCAAATAAGTTTTGGTGGTCTCCACACCTTCCTACCGCACCTGGTGAGTCCGAAATGTCTTGTTCCGCTTTCGAGTCTGTTCCAAAAAGCGACACGGCTGTGGCAGACTTCAAAACTTCCACGTAGCTTCCGGTCTTCAAGTGGTCCAGCAGTTCAATAGCAGGAACAGACTCGTTCGCTTGCGTCACCTCCCCGCATATGAGTGCCCACTCAAGAGCACCGTCCGCGGCCGAGTCAACCCCAGTTTGAGCCGGCATTTGATAGACGTAAAGAAGGTTCACAGAAAGAACTACTCGGAACCAAGAGATAACCCGTCGGCGGCTGCAGTTTCTTTACTAGAGATACTTTTGCTTACGGTAATGCCCCGCAGTACGGTTCCCAATTCCAAGTGGGCAGGCACAATTTCGTCGTTGGAGGTGTTTTGAGCTTTTTGACTTCCATGCTCCATGAGTAATCACGACTGGCGCGTGGAATTAAAGCGCGTGTGTAAAAACACGTGATGGGTTTAAAGGCGCTCTCTTCTTTTTCTCCTGTCGCGCGGTTATCATAGGCGAGTTGGAGCACGTCCTATTCTGCCTGTACGATAATCGTCTCAATTCCTTCACCGTCGAAGCGAGAGGCATCAACGTTCCAAGATGGTAGGAAATCAGTGCATCCATCCATCCATCCATCCAACATAAGGCGCCGGCCACCACCGCAGTGCAAGCTGCCTCCGTGTGCTGGGCGTCGGATGGATGGTTTTGTTCGTCGCAAGTGAAGCAGGGGCTCAGAATGTGTCCGGTCGGGAGGATACGCATTGCGTGGGAATTTGCGCACACATGTGTCGGCCTTATGACATGTTCTATGTCGCAAGGGTGCATACCGTCCGTGTGTGCTGTTCTCCGTTGTGTGCATCTCTTTTGGCGATGCAATTGTGACCCTTGTGGAGCGTTTTGGAGCGATTCGAAGACCTGGTTGCTGATTCCCGTTCCCGTCTCTTTCTGTTTCATTCAAAAAGGGTATCGACTCCGGAGTTCGTCACCACCAAAAGAAGGGTGCCCGTCAGGCCCCTAAGTCTGAGGTAGGGAACTTGAACATGGCGTGGATTGGTGGTGACCAGTGTACTAAAGCTCTTCCTTTTACTCGATTCTATAGGATGTGTACTTGCGTATGCTTGTGAAGGTGTGTAGGGGTTGTTTACCAGGGGATGAGGAGGAGAAGGAGGAGACGTTTTCGCAGGCGGAACACATGCACGGGCGTTGCGGGGCTTGGGGATGCCCATTTCGGGAATTGCCGGACTGAAAACTAAAATTCTGCCCGCTCGATTTCTAGCTTTACCGCTTCCTTGCTCGCCGTACCGACTCCAGGTTCAACAAGGTCGTCTTGAAGCGTCTCTTTATGTCTCGCGTCAACCGTCCCCCCATCTCCGTGTCCCGCCTCGCCCGGTTCATGAAGAACAAGGAGGACAAAATTGCCGTCATTGTTGGAACTGTCACTGACGACATCCGCTTGTTGACTGTCCCCAAGCTCACCATTGCCGCTCTCCGTGTTACCCGCTCTGCCCGTGCCCGTATCATCAAGGCCGGCGGTGAGATCCTCACCTTCGACCAGCTTGCTCTCCGTTCTCCCCTCGGAAAGGGCACTGTCCTCCTCCGTGGTCAGCGCAGCACTCGCGAGTCCGTCAAGCACTTCGGTACTCCTGGCAAGCCCCACTCCTCTGCCAAGTATGTTTCATTCTTATGCTTCAACCTTCGCACCTGACTCGAACTGACCATACATCTCTTTTTTCAGGCCTTTCGTCCGCTCCAAGGGCCGCAAGTTCGAGAAAGCCCGTGGAAGGAGAAAGTCCAGGGGTTTCAAGGTTTAAGCGCTTTGAAATCACCTATCGCGCTTTTCTCTTTACCAGCCTCTGGCATTGGGATTGTACCTTGTTTATTGAAATATATATCAGTGTGCATTTCCATTCGAAATCGCTCTCGGCTTTTGTTCCTTCACGCAGATCGTTTATGGTTGCTCGCGTTTTGGAGGGGGCAAGGGTGGGGTGTGCAAGGGCAGCGGTAGATGGCTGGCGACGGATGGCGGATAACTCGAACTATGGAGGAGTTGGAATCTTTCTTTCATTGCTCAACTCATGTCCGTCGTCAGATGCAGCTGCGAACCCAACATACCACAAGCACTGACTCTGACCAAATATCCGGTTATGTAAACATAGTCATTGGAGTGAACCTACAGAGATCCGATTTGCACATCTGTGTTGCCGTTCTTGCTGGACATCCTCGTACAGTACGTAGCAAGCCGATTCGTGGTAACACCATTAAGCGTTCAACCCTAACGTCCAAATCATTCACGTCCATATCCAGAAGCCTTTTTTCGCTCAACTCACCAATTATAAAATGGCTGCTGATCCGAAGGAACGAAACCATTGGACCCCAAGACCACACCGACGCAGACGGCAGAGTCGTAATAGGTTAGATCAGAATGATCGGGTCTATATCTTGTTCAGCTTCGTTGACGGGGATATGCGGTTGCCCCATTTTGATGTGATCGGCGTTGGGTTGGCACTATCCGCATTCACATGAACCAGCGCCAGCTACAAGCGCATGCTGTCCAACTTCGTCACCGTCTCCTTCACCTGATCTAGCAATGCCAGTTCCCTGGGTATGTCCCTTTCCTTCCTCGTGAACAACGTCTATGAGTTTTACGACGTCTTCGAAGTGCTGGAGGAAGGGATCCTGGTACGGCAGAAATGTAACTTTCACCACGTTCCCCGTCGTCGGTAGCTTTATCGTATCGTTTCTATGCCACCACCCTAGTTGGCATGCCCTCGTAGCGTTCCCGGTCTAGTCGCCACTGCTTATTGTATCGTGCCCAATTCAGGGTTTCTAGCCGGATTTTCATAGATGAGAAGTTTCGGGTGCGGCTGGAGGGTTCCTCCTCACCATGAACGTCATCCCCCCACTGCAAGATCTCGTTATCTCGTTACACGCGCGATGAAGTTCGGCGGCCGGCTGCACTCGGGTTCCTCTTCGACGGATGGAGACACATATGCGGGTTCACATTCCCAGCTGCGAGGCCGGGCATCTCGTAGGCTTTCATTGCCCAGACGACGATGAAGCTGACCTTGAACCAGAAGGACGTCCTCTTCCCGTAAGACCCGTGCGTACGAACGTCTACTCTCTTTGCTGTCGCAGTTCCTTGCTGTCGCAGTTCCTTCTTGATCTCAGCGGCGCGCATTGGGGAAGTTTCGGAGGGGTGGGTTGTTATGGGGCAAGAAGGGGAAGAGCTGGGTTCATTTGGACCTGTATAGTGGCAGCCATGGGCCGCCAGGAATGTGGCTGCTGGCTGTTCGATGTCGGCGAAGTTCAAGGCTCAACAACTTGGCGATTGCCGTTGGGGTCTGTTGGGTATGTGCGAGATGTGCGGGCACAGACGCGAGGTGGACCGTCACAAACAACGGTCATTGTCCCTGACCTCGAGACGATCTTCTCAATGTTGCTCACAATGAAGAGTGACCGCAAACACATCGATCCTGTCCAACCGATATGGCGGTGACAGTCACCGCTTGTGGCCGGCGTTGGGATGATGCAAACTATGATCCAATTCCGGTCGGGTGCTCGTTCTTCGGACAGGTGTCGTCCGGCGTCTGTTGACCTGCTCGTTCCACTGCGGGCAGAGGCCAGATGTGTCGCTGAGAAATTCCGTGATTCACACCTACTGGGTGCTTTTTTTAGCTTTTGAACGTCCTTTCTGGGAAAAGGTGCTACTTCTCGATTGCCCGGCCAGCAACTCAATCTTCGAACTCACAGAGGGCTCGCTCATTTCCAATGCCCCCCATTCTCCACACCTGGCTAACAAAGCTGCGCAAAAAGGAAAAAACATCCCACTCCATATACAAGTCCACCCCCGCTTCGCAGTCGAGCCCGGCGCTGGTTTCGCCGGGGAGGGAGCGGCGGCTGGATAGCACGTCTTCGGGATCGTTTATCAAAGTAGACGCGTCGCGAGATGAGAATGTCGGACGGACACAGAATGGGGGAATTGGAGATGCGGCCCTGAAGGTGGATTATAGGCGAAAGAGCAGTGTGGATCTGAGACGGGTTCGCGAAGGGGACATCGGCCGCAATCAGACAGCGACAACAACAACCTTGAAACCACCTACGAGGCACAGCGTCCGCATATCCCGCAGCTGGGACGCCGGGGACCGACCGCCAAACACCGCGAGTTTAGCTCACCACCCAAACACGATGAGCAAGAAACCGTCGTGGTCCAAACGAGTGTCAGGGGTGCTTGCTACGTTGGCAAAGCGGAGTGGTGGGAACGGGAATGGGAAGAAAGGCAGTGGGCTGCACGGCACGTCGGCGGGACATAAAGAAGCAATCGTCGCGCCTCGCAGCTGCTTCTCGTGGGATGGCGGTGAGGACCGGTCACTGGTTCATGCGAAGGATAGAGACATGCTGTACTCGACACGCGGTAAATCGGTGGATATGACGGGCAGTTTCTATTACGAGGACGGCGAGCAAGTGCAAGAGAGTTATGCGGTGGATGATGGAGATGATGGGGATGGCGGGTTGGTGATTATCGACGGGGAGGAGACGACACATTATCCGTCACGAGCGAGAGCGGAGGCGGATGAGGCGTATACGCATCTGCGCCGGGTGCCCTCGTTACCGTACCGACATCAGTATGCGCAGTCTCAGCATGATGTGTCGTGGCGTCGAACGGTGCAGCATGCGCAGAGCCCTTATGCTCTCGCGGCGCAGACGCAACACGAAGGCAGGACTTACAATGCACGGCCGCTGAAGCAGCAGCAGCATTACGCGACGCTTACGGGGGGCGGTTTTGGGCAGCCGGTCTACCCACAGCACCCACACCATGTCGTTTTACTGAATAGACATTCGATGGATTCGGTCATCTCGCACCCGAGCGTCGCGGCGTCCGCGGCCGAGCATTACCATCTCGCCCAGCTTGCACAACTTCGGAAAAGAGCGCAGAGTCAGCCTCAGGTGCCGATGTACCATACACCGCCGCCGCCCCAGCAGCAACAAAGACCTGTCCACCAGCAGCAGCATCAATCGACCCACCTCCCACCACCACCGATCGTGATCGTCGCCCCAGCCTCACCAACGATCACATCAATTGCAGACACAACCCTCGATCAAACACGCTCGCAGATCGAAGCGCTGGACCTCTCCCTCGACCTCAGCTCCCTCATGTCGGGCTCCGACGACGATTTCAGCTACAGTGACCTTGCTAACGCATTCACGGACGACGAGGACGAGATTGACGATAGTGCAACGGAAAACGCGCGGGAGAATGCGAGGAAGAATGCAAGAGAAACTGCAAGAGATATCGCGCTAAACAAAGATAAAACCAAAGAGGAAGACGACGACGATCTCATCTCCGACGAAGGCAACACCTCCTCCTTCTCCGACGACCTGCACCACCTCTCCCAACCCTACGCCCGCCGCAGCTTCAACCACCCGCATCACCCCCTCCAGCAGCAGGTGCATCATCCTATTTACTCACAAAAAGCGTACGCGATGTCCATGCCGACGTTTGGAGCCGCGCCGTATGGGACCCAGCCGTACCATTACACGGTGAATGGGCCGATTGGCGCGGGGAGGTATCGGGGTCATGATATCTCGCAGCGGGATATGTTCCAACAGCAACATATGCAACACCAGAATATGGGGTATGGAAACCGGGATATGACGTACGCGCGGTTGCCGTTGCCGCCGATACAGGAGCAGATTGAGGAGACCCCGCAGGGACGGAGACGGTCTTTACAAGCAGCGCCATCTTCGTTGACAACAGTAGGACCGCGATCGAACGTATCATCTGTAGTTGACTCGGATCCAACGCCCACACCATCGCAAATCGAAGTTCATGTGAGGGAGATGGAGGAACAGAAAGTGGAAAAGACGGTAATGGAGATGAAAGGAGGGTTTGAGGGGTTTTATAGGGATGTTGTCGAGGGGAGGATGGAGTTTGGCGAGGTGGTGGGCAAGTGGGGGTTTTGAAAATGCCTGGGGACGCGTTGGGGCGTTTTTCGGACGCGAACAGCGCAGCGGTACATACTCTGAGGGATTGGCGCCGGGATAGGACTCAAAGTCGAGTTACGAGTGTGTGTGTTTATGAAGTGTAGTGGTTGCTAGGTTTCGATGTACTTACTGGAAGGGATGGCGGGTTTAATGGCCTTTTTGGGCTTATAGTTCGTAATGTACAGTACGTATAGCTATAAGGATTTGTTGTATCTAGTAATGAGATGTGTTCTTAGTTCAATTCTGGACTTGAGCAGCATGCATCAGCCAGGACCTTCGAAGGCGGTCCTTTTGGTATGCTTCGAATGCATCGTAGTGTTCTTAGTGTTCCCTCGAAATGGGTGATTAAATTCACGCCACGTGACCGTCGGATTGACAGGGAGGCCGTCAAAAACCGTTTGCTCTCTTTCTCAGTTGCTCTCGTCTCTCTCGTTGCAGGAATCGGTGACCGACGGCTGCCTATATCCCTCGCCTCAACAATCAAGGACGGAAGCTCTGGCAGGTCTTCGTTTCGGCTCTAGGACACTCTAAATGGACGTCGACGGCCCCCACCTCCTCGAGCTCCTGCTCTCCAACTACCTCCTCCTCGACAATCCCACCCACGCTCCGCACCGGGGCCTCTCCCATGTCCTGCAAACCGTCACCTCCCGCCACCTCCTCCACCAGCTGTACCTCCTCGTCCAAGAAGAGGACCTCAAAACGGGCGCCGGCGCCATTCCGCAGGGCAAAACGAGCCTGACCGCCCGCGCCGCTGCAGCACTGCATAAATGGGGCTTGCGAATCACATCCCTGCTAGCATCGAAGCAGCCGGCGGCGAAATGGACCGCGGCATGTATGGCGCTGGTATCTGCGGACCAGGCGTACGGCGCGTTTCAGAAGGATATCAGAGGCTGGTGCAATGGCTTGCTGGTTGCGGTCAAGGACGCTCCGGGTGGGAGTTCCGTGGCTAGCGGCTTTGTGGGCGACTATGTGGGTGCGTTCAGCCTGCTGCTGGTCAAATCGAAGGCGTTTCCGGCGCTGCAGAGGGACTTGAACCAGCTGTATCTCGCTAAAACTGTTGGGGTTGTGTGTGAGAAGCTCGCTGGGAGTAACACGGATGGGAGAGCGAGCGCCGAGACCAAGTTGCGGCTGTTCATAGAGCTGACGACGCTTCTGGTGAATTTCCCGAACGCGCTCAAGGCCTCGTTTGAAAGGATCGAGCTGGCTTGCGTGAGCACGCTGGTGAACATGGACGAGCCGAAGGAAGTCGTGGAAGCCGCGACTGGGTGCTTATTGACGATTGCGAAAGTCGGAAAGGAAAAGGGGTCCGCGAGCGTAAGCGAGGCTGTGCCGGTGAATAAGATCATTGCCTCGATCCACGAGGTCCTCGATCTCATTTTCTCGTGCATGCCTGAAGCCGACAGGACGGAAGCAGACATCCCGGGATTCGTTGTACCGGCACTCCAGGGAGAGTACGGCGCCATCGTCCCTGCGCTGCTCTCCCGTTACGATACCTTCGCCACCGCGTTGTTTACTGTCTTGACCCGCACGTCTACCGCATTTGCGGCTACCACAATCACCGCGCTTGTCCGCAGGATCTATGCTGTTGCGAGCCGGCTGAATCTCTTGGATTCCACGTCGCTCACAACGAACCCTAACGTTTCCCTCCTGCAACTGTCCATTCCCAGTATATGCATCAAAGCGAACGATTTCATGTACGCCGCTATCATCCGGAACGCGTGTGCGGACTACAAGCTTGCGTGGACGATCTGCTCGAAAGCGATTGATCTGTCCCATCGCCACACTGCCCTGCGATTATCTGCCTACGCACTCGTGCGTAAATGCGTTGATGTCTACTCCTCTGATTTCGTAAGAGTGGGGGGAGCGGTGCTTGCTAAGACCGTTGCGAACGACATGAAACTCGTCTCGGCCGTGACGCGACCTGGCGAAACCCAACAGCAGCAACAACAACAGCAACAGTCGGGACAGGGATCAAAGAAGCGCAAGCTCCACGTAACGTCAGACACACCCACGCGCGACGACTCTCACGCAGTATGGGAGATCAAACTCGCAGCCCTATCAACCCTCGAAACGCTCATCACATCCTCTCACACCGAGCATACGGAGCTGGATCTGACCCCACTCCTCCACGCCGCCCTGCAATCCCTCCTCCTCTCCTCCTCCACCCCACCCATCGCCGCAACCGCGATTCAGCCCCACAAATTCAACCACTTTGACTCTCCCGTGCACGCCTACCAACACGCCCTCTTGACCGTCCTCATTGCTGCGGTCGAATGTAGAACGGGAAAAAGTGGGGATGTGCTGCCTATCGCTGCCCGCGTGTTTGCGGCTTTGCTGTGGCACCCTGATATGCGTGTCAGGGAGACTTGTAAGACGGGGTTGAGGAGAGTTGATGTGGTTGTCCACCCGAGGCTGCCGAGGTTTGAGTATGCCAGGAAGGAGGAGATTGTGGAGGTTGAGGTGTCGGCGATGGACGCCCTGGTAGGGAATGGGAATGTGAATGGATCGCATAAGCGTGATGCGAGGCCTGTGGAGGATGGGGAGTTGCATGGGAGTAAGAAACGGAGGATTGCTGAAGAGGAGGTCATTGTGGTGAGGGAGGCGCTTCCACAGATTGCGACGTCGAAACCTGATTTGGAGGTGAAGACCGCTGCTGCATCGCCCGCTATCACCTTCCCCGGCCCAAAAGCGACCGCTCCGGAAGTGTCGGCAACCGCCACGCCGTCGAACCACACCACCTCCAGCACTATACCGCCCATTAGCCGGACCTTTCAACAGCAACAGCAACAACATCAATCGCAGGACGCGGACGATGAAATGCAAATCGACCTCCCCATACCCACCACCGCATCCCACATCGCCACCCACGTAGATGCAGACGGCGGAGATGACGATGATGAGGATATCGAGTTGCCGGAGATTGTGGTAGATAGTACGGACGAAGATGACGACGACGAAGACGGGGATGAGTAGAGCGGGCTGTCATATGCAACAGGGTTTGCATGTACATAGATAGCATAGCATAGAATTGGCATCACACCTCGTTTTATCATTATTGAATCATGACCTCAACTACACGTACGAACTGATGCTCGTGTGTTCCACGCCCACTCACGTTGGTGCAATAGCGCATTAAAGATCTACATACTCCCTCTGCCCCTCCTTAACAAGCAACCTCTTCCTCGCAACCGGATAATCAACCACATCATTCGCACTTCTTTCCCCACCAAGGATATACACCAGCTCCTCGGTCCCCGTGTTCCGAAACATGTGTGCCCGAGCCGCCGCGCGCGGAAAGCCGATGAAATCCCCCGGTGCGATGGGTATCAATTCCTCCTCCACCCCCGTCTTCCCAAACTCCTCTTGTAGTCCCTTATCACCATACCCATCAACAACAGCCCTTAACACCATCTCCCCCTCTCCAGAGAGGATATAAAACCATTCCTCGGTATCCTTATGCGCGTGGCATTCGGTGGAGTCGGCGCCGGGGGGGATGCGGTTCATTTTGATGGCGGTGTGTTGGAGGCCTGTGCGTGTGGAGAGGTCGGCGGTGAGGAATGTGGCGGCGGGGTTGAGTGGGTGCGTTAATGGCTTGAAGGTGGTGGTTATTTGGGTTGAGGGGTTGTAGGGGTGTGGTATAGTTGAGGAGGAGGAGGTGCCGGCGTGGGGTTGTGAGTTGGAGGTTGGTGGGGCAGACATTTTGCGAGTTGTGTAAGGTGGGGTTAATTCGACGGCTCTTGTTGAGTGGATTGGCTTTTATGTGATGCGAGGACGGGATGCGACGAGGCTCCTGGTTTTTATACAGGGATGGGGCGGAAGACAGAGATGGGTCCGGATTCCACTTCGGAACCTTGGAGGCGGGAGGGGTGACGAGAGACGCGTATATGACTGACAACAAAATGACAGGCTTGTCCACCGCGCCGCATTCGCATTTGGCCACCTGGCATCCGAGTCTTCCGAGTCGTACAGTCAGTGGACAAAAAGCTGTGTGCACCCCATATGGATTTCAATGACCGTTTCACAAAGCGCACCGCGCGTTTTGGAGCCGCAAGCTTGAGTATTGAAGCCAGCGACGAAGCCGTGATGGCGAAATGCACGCCAACATCTTCACCACCTCAGCTATGGGGAAACCTCTCACACCACAAAAAAGGGCAGCCATAGTTGCCCTCCATATAGCAGGCAAGACGACATCTGAAATTGCAAGGCAGGAGCACGTTCACAGGAATACTGTGAGGAACACTATTAAGAGGTTTGCGAACGAGAGTGCCACTGCACCAACCGCCTATCAATCGAAGAAGCCAACAGGAAGACCAGCTAAGTACCAGCCTTCTGACAATGATTTGGCTGCCTTCCGCAGTATTGTCGTTGCTGACAGTAGCACTCGGGAGAAAACACTAAAACAGATCACTTTTGAATTCACGCAGCTCACCGGACTCCAGGTGTCTGCAAAAACAGTGCGTCGCTACCTACGGGACCTGCTCTATCTCACCTCGCGTTTCAAGGTCCGAAAGCCACTATTGACAGAGGACCATAAAGCAGCACGCCTTGCATTTGCACTGCAGCACCAAGACTGGACGGAAGCGGACTGGTCTCGTGTTTTCTGGACTGATGAGACGTCCTTTGAAATTGGCTGGGTACCTAAAATGCGGTGCTGGCGCTTACGAACTGAACGTTTTCATCCCGATTGCATCCAGGGCACCAGGAAGAGTGGACGAAAAACATTCATGTACTGGGGAGCATTCATTGGAAATGCAGTAGGTCCAATGAAAGAGATGCAGCGTGTTCAGCGAGAGGGTCAAAACCGTGGAGGGATTAACTCTACTGCCTATGTGCAACATCTTACTGCTAACATGTTGCCGATGTGGCGGAATCTAGAGATTTTTCTTCCCAATCCTCTCTTCATGCAGGACAACGCCCCTATTCATACATCGGCTGAAACTTGACAGTTCTTTGATGAACACGGCATTGAGCTTCTTCCCTGGCCAGCGCAGAGTCCAGATCTTAATCCGATTGAGAATCTGTGGGCAATGCTCAAACGGAAGGTATCGAAAGCGAACCCTACCCCTGGAATGTTGGACAACGTTGTGCAAACTATATGGCCCACAATGCAGCCGCATCTTGATGCATTGACACGGTCAATGCCATCAAGAATGGCAGCCGTAATCGCAGCCAATGGGGGGACAACTAGGTATTAGCGAAATTCAGATCTAGATCCATTCATTTAGGTCAGGTTTCGCAATGCCCCAAGATTAAGGATGATGAGTTGATGTCGCGCAACGCGCCTCAGACACTGACTTAATCTGGCATGCACACAGCTTTATGTCCACTGACTGTACATACAGTGCCTTTCAACCTTCGTAACTTGTTAAGGACCCTTAGCCCACCCAAGCCCACCCATGCCGTCGATGTACAGTGGTGTGGAGGATATGAGCCTGCGGGATAGCGTGCATCGAATTGAGTGACACAGCCTGAGGAAGACTTCCCAAGACTGTGGTCTCCATGTGCCACTGGATTGGCTTTCAGGCTTCTTTTGCAGTCCACTCCGACCAAGCGGGGTGGGCCATTTACCAACCTCTTCCTGAGTTTCCTCTTCTCACGCTGGTCAGACCGACAGGCATTGGCCTACATGCCCTGCCGCATCATCGATATATGCAACTAGCCATATGGGAACGTTTCGAGTTCAAATAGAAAACCTTTGCCATTATCAAGACTTTCCATGGAAAGACTGTGCCTTGTACCAACAGTCAACAGGAAGAGTCGGAAGCGAGGGGGCGAAGCTGCACGTGGTATGCAAGGAAGAACGTACATACAGTATACTGTATGGCCGGGGTCCAAAAACCTCAACGATCAGTTGTGTATTGGAGCCAGTGTTTAGCATGGTTCCCGGCGACGGTCCATTTTCCTCATCAACCGAGATTAGGCGGCGGCACAATTAGCGCGCGATTAGTTTAGAAGACAGTCTAGAAGCTCGACTTTCGGCTCGGTGATCATACAGTAAGAGCCGCGAGACACGTTGAAGCCACGTTGAATTTGAAGCTCGAAGTGGCCGTCATCCTTTGCGGGGTCTTCAGCTTCACACTCCAGCGCTCGCTGTTCCGCCCGGCACTTCGCATAGCCAGTGTCTTTGTAAACGATCGAGACGAACCAGCCGCTTCCTGGTCACTTTTCAACCGCTTCCTTGCAAACTTGTCCCCATGAGCGACCAGAGGGCCGCTTCTGTGACTGCAAACCCCGCGACCACCGCGCTGCGATCGCCGTTCTGCATCGAAACAGGTACGCTCAGAAACTCTTCGTTGTATACCTATGCAGGCCTATGGGGAGGAACTAGTGGAGTGGTTCCATGGTTGGGGCAAGAAGGTGGCAGGGAAAAGATTCCGGAGACTGGGAAACTCAACGCCGTTTGCGTCCTGTCATCCAGAGGAAAACCCAATAAAGGTTAACATCAAGAATGCCACCGAGCTGAAGCACACCTTGGACGATGCGATAAAGCGGGTAAGTTATGCGAATCACCCAGACCCACTCACAGAATTCCCACTCACTCATCCCCATCCCCAGATCTTAGTCCTCGACCACAAATTCACCGAATCCCACACCCACACCGACCGCCGCCTCCTCCTCGGCTATCTCTCCGTCATCTTCGCCGCCTACGCAACAGCCTACTCATACTACGTCCCCTTCCCGGAATGCAAAACCGTCCTCACCGTGTGCGTCGCGGCGTACTTTGCACTGAATGGGGCGATGGTTGCTTATATCCAGTTTGTGGAGAGGGATACGCTGTTTGTGGGAGTTAGGAAGGATACGCTGATGGGAGTGGTAAGTACAGATTTCCGTTAGTAGGCGATTCGTTGCAACTTAGATCTGCCGCTGACGACTTATTCTTTGTACAGAATCCAGACGAGAAACTGACCGTGAAAACGGAAACGCGCGCATCCACAGCCGAATACAACATCACCCTCCAATTCGCCAACGCCTCCACCCCAGCCATATCGTCTCCAGCAGCATCAGTAAAGACATCCACCAAAAAGAAATCAGCAGCGGCATCAACGATACCGCGTGCGAAGAAGCCGAAAAGCGAAATCGTGGTCAAAAAGTCATATGGCGACTTTTTTGATGTCGAGGGCACGTTTGTACCGCAGGCGTTGGTGGATGCGTTGGCGAAGGGGATTGCTGCTGGGGGTTTGAAGTTGGAGTAGGGGGAAGGGATACGGGAGGGCTCGTTGCGAAAGGGTGCTTGGGCGCTTGGAGTTGAGAGACGTGCCTTCCACCGTGGAGGTGGCGGCATCAGCCGGACGATGGGCCGTGACGAATGACTCTGAGAGCATGGGTCAGTTCACAACCATGCCACGCAACGACCGGCTGGAAGGCGGGGATGACTACTTCCGAACAGGCTTGCACATACTGGGGAGCCGCCCCATCCACTGGCAGAGAAACAGCGCCTTGATAGCATAGAATGGGCACTCTCCTCCGCGCGCACATTGCGTGTGGTTGTCGCATGTGGTGGCGACGCGGAACATGTGGCATATGTACATTACTATGGCACAATGATTATGTGTTTACTTGTATACCAGTCATACACAATAGTACACACAAAGAGAGCATACTTAATCTGCATCGGAACTGTATTCTGAAGATGGGAGTCAAACCAAGGATATGGTATGTGTATATGGTATGCAAAATGGAAGCTGCTGTATCCTTTGCCTCTGTTTCGGGAAACGACGGCGGCTATGGCTATATTGCACATGGGATCGGTTCTCCCACACGAAGAGAATGCGAGAGGTCTCCGGGCTGCAGCGCGGCCGGTCCACATGCGTGCGGCGGGATAGATACGAGCTGACGCGATGGCGGATGCGGGCGTGGCCCATTCGTCCTGGTGGGTGGCAGAAGCCGCGGCTGTGTCCGGCGGCCCAAGGAGCGCAATTGAGGTGCCGCGTGAATGTCTGACCATGACTATGGCGCTTCACCCCCTCTTCCTCCTCCCCGCCGCGCCTCTCGCACCCCTCGCAGACGGCCCAGCAGCATCCGCGCCCATCCCACCCATCCCCCCCATCATCTGCTGCAACATATCGCCCATTCCCCCCATTCCTCCGCCTGCACCACCCGCACCGCCACCACCCATCATCCCCTGCATCATATTCTGCAACCCGCCCATGCCACCCATCTGCTGAATCATGTTCTGGATCCCGCCCATGCCGCCCATCTGCTGCATCATCTCGGGCGGCATCATCTTGCTCATGGCGTTTTGCATCGCGGCCATTTTGTTCTGGGCGACTTGTGGTTGACCGCCTCGGCCGCCGGGTTGCGCGCCGCCTTTGGCCATCGATTGGAGAAGGCCTTTGTTGCCGCCCATGGCTTTTACAACGTCGCCGAACTACGAAGGGGAGGTGCGTTAGCTAGGGAAGTGTCATGGGGGAGGCACGCCGAAGCCTCCAACGCGAAATTCGATGGCTTTCCAATCCCCACTCCTTCCAACGCACCTTACTATGCTGCATCAACAACTCCTCGACCTCCCTCACGGTCGTCCCCGACCCTTTCGCAACCCTATAAATCCTCGTAGGCTGGTTTAAAAACAGCTTCGCATCCGAATCCAGCTCCTGCTCCGTCATACTATCCATCATGCACGTGAACCGTTTCAGCCGTACGCTGCCTTCCTTGTCGCCAAGCTTGAGCATCTCCTCCGGGACGCCGGGCATCATGCTCATGACTTTTGAGAGCGGGCCCATGGAAGCGATGGTGTTGAATTGGTCGCGCATGTCGCGGAGGGTGAAGATGCCTTGTTCGATGTTTTTGAGCATGGAGGTGTTTTTGTTTAGGTTGAGGTCTTGGACGGTTTCCATGAGGCCGCTTAGGTCTCCCATTCCTGAAAGTAATAGATAGAACGATGAGAACCACCACCTCATATTCAAACATAGGGAGATGTAGCACGCACCTAACATCTTGCTGACAAACGGACGCGCGCGGAACGAGTCCAAATCATGGATATGCTCTCCTGTTCCGATAAAGATGATCGGACTCCCCGTCGCAGCCACAGCCGAAATGGCACCTCCTCCCTTAGCATGTCCATCCAACTTCGTCACGATAATTGATCCAATCGGGACAGCGTCCTTGAACGCTTTCGCCTGCAGCTCCGCGGCCTGCCCAATCGTTCCGTCCATGACAAAGATGTAATGATCAGGATTCGCCGCCTCGGCGATCTGCATCATCTCCTCGAAAAGGGCGGCTTCCTGCTTATGCCTCCCCGACGTGTCGACGATAATGATCTCGAAACCTTCCTTTTTAAATTTCTCGATACCGTCGGCTGCAACCACCGCGGGATCCGTCTCCGTGTAACTTCCGTAGTACGGGATCTTTGCCTTGGTGGCATTCTGTTTCAGCTGGTCGAAAGCACCGGCACGGTACGTGTCTGCCGCAATCAGCGCCGTCTTCCAACCTTTCCGCTGGTAATGGAACGCCAGTTTCGTACATGTCGTCGTTTTTCCGGCTCCCTGCAACCCTACAAACATGATGATGTTCGCCTTCCCCTTCTTCGGTTTGTAAGGCTCGACGCCCGGATCCACCAAGCGACATAGTTCGTCAAAGATGGCTTTCTGTATTATCCGCCGTTTGTTGACTCCCGAGCCCAGCTCTTCTAGGTTGACGATCTGTTTGATGTTTTTGCGCAGGTTTTGCACGAGACGGACGTTGACGTCGGATTCTAGTAGTGCCGCGCACACTTCTCGAAGGATCTGATCTAATACTTTCTCGTCGATGACTGACTCGGACGTCAGTGACCGAAGAGCATTGTTGATCTTCTTTCCTAGGTCGGCTGTGAAGATGATTCGCAGACAAGAAGAGGAGCATCAGGATTTGGCCAGATATAGTGCGGAAGGGCTGTGCTATTTGCATCTCCCTGCATCAACAGCGCAGTGGCCTTCAACCACATACCTAAAACCATATTGACTGTCTGTCCCTAATTTGTCGCGATTCTGAGTGAGCGGTAGCGGCGAGTCTTGGGACGTTCCGCGTTATATCGAACGGTAAAGGTTTCCTTTCATGCGACCCGGAGCGTTGATGCTGACTGAGTAAAGCGTTTCCTCTGGGGTTGGCTGCCTAAATATGCGATGGCTCTAGGTGCAAGTGGACCGAACACAAAATGGTTGGCGGGTTGGACGAGTGTGGGCGGTGCGGGTGATTGCGGTGACGCCGAGACAAGCGGTGAGTTAGTCAAGGCAATTTAGAGGGCACCAGTTGCGTACGGCGTATGCTGCCAGTCCTGTTCTGCTAGTGAGTACTAGTGCATATGTAACTGCTTGAAGGTGCAGCAGCCAGATGCTTTGAGAAGGCAAATGGAAACGGTTGAGCGAAGAAGCGCTTGGAAGGAGACTCGAGAGCCGCTCGCGCGGTGCTTTATCGGCTGCGTATTCTCGCGCTGTGATTTATCTGTTGGCCGCCGTGCTTTCCCGCAGTCCCTTTTTCTTTTGGACTCTCATTTAAGCGTGCAAACAATGATGGCATTGGCAAGGGGAGAGTTCGTTATGCACTATGGCACCTTCTCGGTCTTACTTTCTGGCATCAGGATGCATCTCGAAAGTCCCGCTGCGTCGTTGATGATGATAACTTCCTCCGGGTGGGTTGTCCGTCTCATGAAACATGCCTATTGACATGTCTCTTTCGCGTCGCTGCATGCCCAGCTTGTGCCTACCCTGTTCCTCTTTTCTGAGATGGCTCTCTCGGCGCAAACGTAAATTTCATATAGATATGTACGTAGGGCTTCGTGGTGCATGGCAGTCTTTTCTCGGACTGTCTTTTGAGACGAGAGCAAGCGCGTTGCATCCGACGCGTTTGTCAAGCAAGAACCAGAGCCGCCCTTTTCATCCTTTGCCATCTTTCTATATCGATATCTAGGATCATGTTCGCTACCAAAGCTCTATGGACGTGGGGGTTGACGGCTGCTACAGCATTCATATGTTTCCTGGAGGCATCATCAGCCCTTGCTCAGGTTTGTCACTTTATTTCTGCTTAGTATGTGCTACGTGAATTTCTGACAATACCTGGCTTGATTCGAATTGCTGGCAACATCATTAGGGCACGGCTGAAGGCATAATGGCCCCTCCGTCGATGCAAGGAAGCAATCTTGGCCGTCGCAATGCTAGAGAGGAAATCCCAGATTTCATCACCAACCCGCGGCTAGCCACCGGCGCGAGCGTTCGCAACCACCAAGTAGTTGGTACCAGAGCCGTCGAAGATAGCGCCGTTACCCAGCCGGAGCTTGGAGGGCCCACCGACGCCGATGAAAGGAAGTTCAGGTTCAAGCGGACGGTAGATGACGAGTTGTGAAGTTGGCGAGTCGTGCGCTTCGTAGAAGAGCAGTGCACCTGATATCCAAAAGCACATGAGAAATGGAATCGGGATGTTTGTATTAGCACAGTGCTCGGCAAGGTGCCGAAGTACATCAGACATTGCCAATCATCCTTTGTTGGGTTCCCGACGTTCGTCAACTTGCACTCTTTTATAGAAGACATGGAACACATTCTTGCATATACCTGAACCCGCTTAGTAAATCACTTTGTTCAGAGAGTAAATGGCCATGTTAATATACTACGTTATACAAGACTGAGGAGAAAAGCGTGAGGAGCGCATATTCGTAGGATGCCGCATCCGTCTGTCGCGATGAAGGCCGACGCGTTGGGCGCGGAATGACAGCGGCAGTGGCTTGTGCGTGCTGCTTACGTGATGCGCTTCTCCTCTTCCTCTTGATAAATGCTCGCTGGAACGCTTGGGCTTTTTGGGTGGATTTTAGACGCTATCGGGTTCACCCTCCAGTAGCTAGCCACAGGGAAGAACTCAGCATGGCTGCCTCGTCCTCCCTCACCGCTCAGCTCAAGCAGCTCGCGGGGGCTCATGTCCCCGGCTCCTCAAAGGGAAGGGCCTCATTGCTGTTCTCGGCGAAACAGGCCGCCGATATTGACTCCGACAGCTTGTTCGACATCGGTCGGGCTGCGTTGACTGACTTGTGCACACACAACTTGGCCTTTGGAGAGTTTGAAAAGTCTCTATTTTCCGAGGCGTTCAAGAATTTGGATAGGAGTTTGCAGGTATGGTTTCTGGCGAAGACCAGGTCAATTTAGAAGTCAGATTGCGGAGGGAGTCACTAAAGGCATGGGCCTCCTTTCACGTAGACAAAAGAGGAGAACGTTCTCATCGACAACACCATCGCAAAGTTCTTGCGTCTGCTGTCGCCTCACTTCTTACTCCAAAGCTCATTCAAAGCACTCGAATGGCTTATCCGGCGCTTCCGGGTCAACGAACTCAACGTCGACCACATGATGGAATGTATACTGCCGTACCACGAAACGAAACAGTTCGTGCAGGTCGTTGCGATCTTGGGGCTCGAAGATACATCCCGATGGGCTTTCCTCAAGGGCATCCAAAAGTCGAAGGTCCCTCTGGATCGAGTTACCCTCGTTCAACGCCTGAAGAACGACAAATCAATCTTGCAATTCATTTGCGATATGGCTGCAACCTCACAAACGAACAACATCGTCAATAGGACACTCTGGACCTTCTTCGCTTGCACCCTCATCCAATACGTGCAATCCCTGACTGTGGTCAGCGATGAGAGCATCCGCGTCTTGTTTGCGCCACTCCTCACGTTGTTGACGGTAGCAAATCCGCAGTTCGCGGACTTGCTTGTGACATCTCAAATGGTCTTCACGCAAATCGCCAGTCGAACTCCTCTCAATCCCGAGATTGTAATTGCGATTGTTCAGAACACCGTCTCTGGCTTGAACCCCGGGAATCTGCATAATGCTCTGATTTTCTTGTTGACGATATACCGATCACAGAACCTCGAGACGTTCCCCACCGCGTCTCTGGAGAAGCTCTTGGCACAGCCTCAGGCAGCAAATGTCGTAGCCCAGTTGAATGCGACGTATGAAGCGGATGCATTGCTTCGTGCGATCCTGACCACTGCCGTACAGCACCTCGCAATAACGGAGCAAAATGGGGCGAAGGTGGAACACTTTGTCAGCGTACTCATTAAAAAAGGGAACCCTACATTCGGTCTCTTGAAGAGTTTCGTAGCTACGACCTTCGACGTATATCTGGAAGGGAAGGCGAAGCAAAGGATTGTGGGTGGAGGAGCGCGCTTGAGAAACGTACTCAATATGCTCCAGAACTCGCATCCGGGACTCGTTGATAACGCCCTGGAGCACAAACTCCAGGATGCCGGGATTGCTGGCAACAAAGCTCAACGGGAGATTCTCTACGACTTTGTTTCTACCTCTTTCAAAGGTACTGCTGGTGAGGTTCTGAAGGACTCCAGCACAACATTATATCTCAGCTTGCAACACGTGGATGTCGGTATTAGAGTACTCGCTTTGGAGAAGCTCGGCCAGCTGATCGCAGCTGGCGATGCGAAGAGCTTCGGCGACCTGGAGCACATCATCCTGACCCGCCTGCAAGATAATGACGACGTCATCGTCAAGGCCGTTTTCGCACTCCCGAACCTCACTTCTCTCGTGAAACCCACTAACCTGACCCGAGCAATGCAAATGGTCCTCCGATCCGAATCGGTGGGCGCAAAGAATAAGATCCGCGCTTTTGATCTATGCGCTCAGCTCCTGGAAGCGTCCCCGAACGCGTCGGCGGACACTAAGGTCGATCTCCTTCCCTTCTTTTCCCTGACGAATGGGAACAGGAAAGTTGTGAAACATGCTTTCGCGGCTGGCCAGAAAACGGCTCTGGGCAGCCTTGTGGCTGGATTGGAGACACTCGCGGACAAAATCGAAGTCAGTGAGGGCAAAGCTGCGAAGGGGAAGAAGACGGGGTCTGTCAAGGAAGTTGCTGCTAGTGCGTTGGAAATCTTGGCCCGCAATGCGGTCAAGGCCGGTGTGCCGGCAACCGAGTTGTACGTTAAGGGTTTGGCTTCTGACAGCCAGATCGGACGCACCCTTAGCGCCTTGGTCCTCGTCCGCTCGCTTGGGTTGAGGACGCCGTCGGAGCGTCTTGTGCTTGCGGCGCAAATCATTCCTGCTCTGTTCGACAAACTTACTACCTTTGAGCTGAATGATGAGTCACCGGCGGATGTGACCTGTGCATCTCGAACTGGAGTCCCGTCGGATGCGGCTTGGACCTCTATTATCTCCCTATCGCAAGCCGAATCTGCCTCTGGCGCGTTCGATGCGGTCATCCTCATGGACGCTGTGCAGAACACCATCGCGCTTTCTGTGAAACCGACCGACGCCAGCGTTTCCTGGTTCGGCGCTTCAACCGCGGACACCGCGTCATACGAAAGCTTTGTCGTCATGCTCTTCGAGCGAATCATGGCCCTCAACTCAACGCAAGCCCGCGAAACTCTCCTGTTGAGCGTTATCGAACATCATCTCCGCATGAACGTCGTTGATTTCTGTGCCGCCTTCGCAAGCCGTCAAGACTTCTCTGCCCCATCGAGAGCTGCTGCCTGGACTGTAGCTGCAGCCTACCTGAAAATCACCGCAGACGACTCTGTGCTGATGAAGTACGACTATCAGCTCGTCGTCCCATGTCTCCTCGCTGCTCTCGTGGACGAGAACGCCTCTGTCCGACAGGCTGCCTTGAACTGTTTGCAATCCATCAAGCTGAACTACACGAAATGTCTCGGAGAAAGTAAGAGCAAGGGCAAGGGGCACAAGAAGCCGAATGTGCAGATCTTTTCCTACGACCAGTTTTACGGCAAGTCGACCGAGTCAGTGCAGTACTTGACCACGGATGCTGCGGCTAGCTTTGTTGCGACCTTGTTGGAAGGCGCGGAAGAGCTCTCGACGGATGCCAGTTTCTTGGACCGGTACATCCTTGCGCCGTTGACTGCAAAAGGGTCCAGCAAGAGCGGTGCGCACTACAAGGAGGATCTCTTGTCCTTCCTTCTTACGAACGTGCTCGCCATGCCCATCACTTCAGCGAAAATCGCGTTGTTGAAGATTTTAGAGAGCGTCGACTCCCCTCTCAAGATCAAAACCCTCCTACCCGCGTTGGAAACCACAGTCAAGACGCTCCGTGACTCGACCACCACCAGGACGGATATGGAGGAAGCTGCGCGGTTGATGGCTATACTGGTGAAATGCTTCACCCCGGGGACCATGGCGAACCTGTTCAAGCAGAAAAGCGACAAATGGACCCGCGCGTTCTGCCAGCTGCTCGATTCTCGCGAAGTCGGTGCCGTCGCAGTGGCTGACTACCCATCTGTGTCGTTGCTGGCTCTTGAGCAGGTCCACCAGGCTGCGTTTGGCTTTATCCCCGTCGATCGCCAGAACGAGATTTTCTCTGCTGTTGTGAAGTTGGCTTACGACGGTGACAGCGATACCGTCCAGCAAGCAAAGGAGGTGCTCAGGAGAGTCGATATCACCTGGGAACTTGTCGCTGCTCAGTTTGCGACGTGCCAGAAAGCCCTCAAGGCCACTGAAGGCCGCCCGGCGAAGAAGGGCAAGACCGGAGTCGCCGAGACGACGGACACGTTCTACCGCTTGAGCGCGCTGCTGGAGACCCTGGAATACAAGCAGAACGTGGCAGAGAAGCACAAGCTCGTCGGACCGCTTTTCGAGCTCTTAAGCTGCATCCTCAACGCCGAGATCTCCAACATCCCCGGTTCCGTCGAATACGTCAAGCAGCTTATTTTCTCTGTTGCTCTCTCGCTATTCCAAGCTGTTAAGGAGCACGGACTCTACGTGGACGAAACATCCCTCCGCGTCGACTTGATTGTCCAGTGTATTCGTGTCACCGATAACCCGCAAACCCACAACGCCTGCCTGCTCCTCATGGCGGCCATCGCGACCGTCTACCCTGAGAGCGTGCTGCTCAGCATCATGCCCGTGTTCACCTTCATGGGCGCCAATGTCCTTCGACAGGACGATAACTATAGTTTCCACGTTATTCAGCAGGCTTTGACTACCATTATCCCGGCTTTGGTTGCCAAGTACCATGTGGACAACAAGGACAACAAGCAGCAGATGTTGCACGAGGTCAAGCCTATTGTCGGCGTCTTTGTCGATGCGCTTGTGCATATCCCCAAACACCGCCGCTTAAGACTGTTCACGGTGCTCATCTCGACCTTGGGCCCGGACGCGTTCTTGGATATGGTCATCCTACTGCTGCTTGCCAAGCATTCTAGCAAGAACAAACTTCCTGCCCACGGCACTGAGGGCCTTGTGGAGTTCATTTTGTCGCTCATTGTGCAGTTCTCGGTCACGACCCAGCTTACCGCCCTGACCTCGATGATCCAGACTGTCTCCGGTCTGCCGTTCGATCAGAGCGAAGTGGATGGCAGCGACTCGCGGATGGCGGTCGATCACGTCGGCATCATCGACCCCAGCGCGCATTCGGCCAAAGAGTTGCGACAGCTCAAACTTTCCACCGTCGACTTCGCCAACCGCCTCCTCGGCAACAAGCAGTTCATCACCAAAGCGCTTACTGTGCCGGACGCGGAGATCGAGGCGTATCTCTTGGACCTCATCGAAGCCAACCTTTTGTTCATCACGACGATCAACGCACACCAGGCTTTTAATGGGAAGAACGCCAGCTCGGCCAGTGGAAAGTTTGCTGTGACATTGAACAACGTCCTGTATGACGTTCTCGGCAAAGCCAACGGGTTACTCTCTGTGCCCGCGTTCCTGAGCGTCGTGTCGAAATTGATGAAGCACGACAGCCACTCCATCCGACGCAAGGCCATCAACTTGCTCGACAGCAAGGTTACGGCCATCGCGGACGATATTGACGAGAGTCTTTTGCCTGAGTTTACACGCATCGCGGAAGACCTGCGCGTCATCGTCGTGGATGCCGACGAGAGCGGGGACGCGTTGGAGGATAAGCAGACTGCGCTGTTGTGCTTGACCACGATGGCGCGTATCATGGCTAGCGACGATGTGGAGACTTACGTGAAGATCCTGCAATCGATCATCAGCGAACATATTCTCTCCTCCAAGAACTCGCAGATCGCCGCGTCGGCTATGGTCTGCCTCACCGCCATTTGCGTTCAAGTCGGATCAAAGGTGTTGTCGTTCCTGCCCAAGTTCATGCCGGCCATTCTGAAGAACCTGCAGAATGTTCTAGACTCGCAGGATGCAGAGGCAAAGCAGCTGATGGTCCTGGGATCCCTCGGCTCGCTCGACGCGCTCGTGGACACGGTTCCGCAGTTTGTTAGCCCGTATGTGTACACGATCCTGGAGCTGGGATTCAGGGTTGCGTTGGTAAATGCCAAGAATGGCGGCGTCCAGGACCGCGTCTCGGAGAAGAGCAACGAGCTGTTGACTAATGTTGCGGAGAAGGTCGCGCCTAGGATCATGTTGCCCGCCATCTTCACCTACCTCAAGACCGCACTTCCAGCCGGCCGCCATTCGATGCTGGCGCTGTTCGACCTTGTGGGCAAGACCATCTCGCACATGTCACGCACCGACCTCACGCAGTATAGGATGGAGCTGTTCCGGTTCTTCTTGGTTGCGTTTGACTACCGACGTATCTACGCTGACACGGTGACTGAAGACGACATTGAGACAGTGGAGAATAGCATCATCTCTGCGTTCTTACAGCTGGTTATGAAGCTGAACGAGACGCTGTTCAAGCCGTTGTTCTTGAAAATGGTCGACTGGGCCACTTCGGAGCTGCTTGTGAAGCATGGTCTGAGCGAGAAGGACGTCAACGCTCGCCAGCTGTTCTTGTACCGCCTCGTGGACAGCTTGCTGGGCAGGCTCAAGTCCATCTTTGCCCCGTACTACGCCTACGTCCTCACCAACTCGATTACCAAACTGGAGGCGTACAAGGAGAGCAAAAAGACCGACGCATTGTGGATCAACATCGTCAGCTCTCTCCACAAATGCTTCCTGTACGACAGCGACGGGTTCATCGACGCCGACAAATTCGAAACCCTCCTCCACCCGCTCGTCGACCAGATCGACGCGTTGGACGTTAACGCCAAGGACTACATCCCGCGCGTCACGCGGTACCTCGTGCCTTGTATTGGCCAGTTGGCGGTGACGGTTGGCAAGGACACTTTGTGGAAGCCGCTTAACCATCAAGTGCTGATGAAGACGAGGAGCGAACATGCCAATGTGCGGCTGGTTGCACTGAAGGTGCTGCAGGAGCTGTATACGAGGTTGGGAGAGGAGATGTTGATCTTGTTCCCGGAGACGATTCCTTTCTTGGCTGAGTTGATGGAAGGTTCGTATTGAGTTTGATGTATTGATGGGTTGGAAATGTTTTCGTTACGATGAACCATACTCAACCCAATCCTTCTCCTGAATCATTAGATACGGACGAGGAAGTCGAGAAGGCCTGCCAGGATGTGTGCGCACAGATCCAACAGTACATCGGCGAAGATATCCAGCAGTATTTCTCGGCGTAGATGAAGAGTGATCTCTCGATGGGCTCATCAATCGATGCGGGCCCAACGGGCAAGACCCCTCCCATTTTTGTGTAATTTATGTAAACTAGCATCCTTTCCTATATATTCAGCCCTTCCAATACTTATGTATTTCTCTCATCATTGGCATCATTTAGCATTTAGAGTTGTTGGTAGCGACAGGCATAGCAGGTCTCAATAACCTTTGGATTGGTGACGACGGTTTGGAACAGACGCGAATATGCTGCGCCGTCATTTAGAACAACGCGTCACGTCCAGTCGGCGGCGTAAGGAGTTCTCGTCAGTTATTTCTTTAAAATTGAAGGTTTTGTTGCGGCCCGTCAAAGGAGCCCTTTTGGTTGTCCGCCGTTGTGATGAGATCAGTCCAAGATGACAGCCTGATATCAGGAAGACCTGCAGGGTGCAGATGTGCAGATGTGCAGATACTAGCTCATTCGTGTGATAAGGAAGGAAAGGCGACGTGGTTGCGGAGGAGTTGGGAGTTTGACCGCGCAGACGTGCTGTAATAAGCCACATAAACTACGAATAAGCGGCCCCTCGCGCCTTCCCCCTCCTTTCCACGGGTTCTCGCGTCAGCCAGCCTTCCTTCGCCGTTCTCATAACCGCTCAAACCCCACGGGGGGCCCGTAAACGTGCTTACTGTGCTTTGACGATACCCACACAGGCACCCTCTCCCGCTTTATCTGTCTCTGGTTTGCCGGACGCCCAGGGACCGTCGTCGCATTCGGAAACTCCGCGTCATTCCTTTCGCCAATTTAGGGCACTTATCCGTTGAGCGGGAAGGGCTTTTGTTCTTTTTTGGGGCAAACTGGAATACGTAGAGATCAAGAACAGCCTGCCTAGTACTTGGCTTGCCACTCCAACCAACATTTTGAAACGTTTCCTGAGGAGGGCGGTACGCTATCTTCATTATGACTGGTAAGTATAGCGAAAGCCAATGCCTGCATGGCAGTTTCCCGCAGTTTCGTTGCTCACTCGTGGAACTTCCACTGTATTCTAAGCCTTCTCCACCCGGGCTCGCCTCGTAGCAGACAGCACGTTATTCGGCCTGCCTCTAAAATGGGTTTCGCTAATCACCCTTGTGGTGCAAAACTCGGCGCTTGCGCTCGTAATGTCCTATTCTCGGAAAACGCGCGACCCAGACCAGCCACCTTACGTCGTGTCCACCGCCGTCGTCATGTCCGAGCTCATCAAGCTGATCGTCTGCGCAATAGTCTATTGGAGACAGGAATCGCGACTGGCGGGAGGCGTCTCGATGCGCAAAGTGCTAAGGGATATGTTTGGGAGCGACAGTCATTGGAAGAAAATGACGGTGCCGGCGGTGCTGTATTTTGTGCAGAACAATCTGCAGTATGTTGCGGTGCAATATCTGGATCCAGCAACTTTCCAGGTGAGTTGAAGCATCTCATCGGGGTTTCATGGAAGTTGAGGTCAGACTGGACATGGCCCAACCGACCGCAGGGTGACGCCGCTGAGGGTGGGACTGACTTGAATGTGTGGAAGTCGGGATAAAGGCGAAGAGTCGCATATATTCAGCATTGCGTTCGGGCGCGAAGCACTGCAATGTTGCTTACACAGATCCCTCTTCTTCACTATTAGGTCACATACCAAATGAAAATCTTAACAACCGCCCTATTCTCCGTGCTCCTCCTCGGACGAACACTTGCAAGGCAAAAGTGGATATCCCTGATCCTCCTCACCCTCGGCATCGCGCTCGTGCAAATGGACGGAAAGACATCCGACTCGAGAGCAGGAGGAGTACAGCAAGCGCTTGGGCTTAGCGCTGTAACCGTGGCTTGTGTCTTGTCTGGGTTGGCAGGCGTTTGGTGAGCGTTGCTCGTGATTGTTACCTTACTTTTCCTCTCGCCGATTCGTTTGAGCTGACCTGCTCTTCCACGAAATTAGGTTTGAAAAGGTGTTGAAGGGCACACAAGCGTCATTGTTCCTGCGGAATATGCAGCTCTGTATATTCAGTTTGATCCCCGGTTTCATTTTTGGTGGTACGTGTCTTTCGCTTTCTTATCTCGAGCCTCTCGCATGCCGTGTCTTAACTCTTCAATACCTACCAGTTTTGATCATGGATGGGGAAGTGATACGGGAAGGCGGGTTCTTTCAAGGCTACAACGCATGGACCTGGGGCGCGATCATGTGCCAAGCGATTGGAGGGCTTATCGTAGCTCTCGTCGTCAAGTAAGTTTACATTATGGACCAGCGATTTCCAGCCCCTGATTTCAACTCACTTATGATTCTTCGTAGATATGCCGATAACATTTTGAAGGGCTTTGCAACCTCCCTGTCCATAATTCTCTCTTCCGTCGCCTCCATGTTCTTGTTTGATTTCGAGATCACGCTGATGTTCACTCTAGGATCGTCCGTCGTGCTATATGCGACGCATCTGTATGGTACGTTTCGTTATCGAGGGACCAATTGTCCCCTTCTGAGCGGTGACACCACGATGGGAACTGTGACTTACATTCTTCCATTCTTTTTTTGCACGCGCAGGCCTTCCCGAACGGGCCGGACAGGTCAAACGCGCGACGTCCTACGAACAACCGTCATCAGATCCCGATCCTTTGGACGACAAGGATACGAACTTATTGCCGCGGTACACGCGGAATCCTTAAGCAAGTGTTTCGTACCCGTCCCGGCTATCTATTTATCTTCTTATTGAAATCGCTCACGGCTACGCCTACCCTTATCTGTATGATACTTTGGCCCCCTTACTTTTGGACACCCCTACCTACCTTACCTATCTACCTACCTACCTACATTAGTTAGCTACCTCCTTAGCTTTTTGTTCCCTATGGGATATATTTTATCTTATGATACCATGTACTTTTTTGTTCTAGTATTTCGGTCAAATCAAATGTTATCCCCTATGTTTCGGTATGTTTTTCTGTTGCCTCCTGGTCTCGTCGAAAGATGATCCATTATATACCCTGGAATGCCCCTTCTGTGCCTGTACTACGTTTGCATGAATGAACTCCGGGTCGGCGTGAAGGAAGCAGCGAAGTTGGGAGCAGTGTGGGATGGATTTGGGGGAGTTGTCCGATCGCCTCAGATGACTCGAGATGTCCGACGGGGACGCGTAGGAAGGCCTTTCTCACACTTCCCTTTCCCCAGCCTCACTCATCCAGACACCAAAGATCTTGCTTTGCGTATTGGCGAGAGTGGAAGAACACAAGCATGCTACCGGCAGCTGCTGCTCCATCCGGTGAGCCCACGCCGGAACAGCTCGCCTTGAAGAAGAAACTTGAGGAATACAAACGTCGGAAAGAGATGGAGAGGGGACCTGCGAAGAAAGGGTGAGCACGATGCTTGCGAGGGGTACACGACTCTCTAGGGGATCGGAAGCGGATTGAGGGATATGGAACGTCGTACTTTCGCTAAAAATTTGCTTGTCGATGATTAGAACCACTGCGACGGCAACCACGACGACGGCAGTGCGCGGAGTGTTAGGACCGGTTAAGCCAGCTGGCCCCACTGCGACGACCAGAGCGTCTGTGGCCAGGGCAGCATCGACTGAAGCAAGCAGCGGAATTCAGCGAAAAGACCCCGTCAGGGTAGGTATCGCGACGCGTGCGTCGGGCGTTAGTGCTGTTCGTGCTGGTGAGTAAGGAGTGGGTGCTTGGTTGCTAGCGTTTTGTTTGTGTGACTGCCATTGTCACCGTTTTTCTAAAAGGTTTTCCGATTTTCATGCAGCTCCAGCGAAAGCAAACACGATTGCCCCGAGGAAGTCGGTCATCCCTCCTCCAGGTCCGCGCCCGTCCACGTTCTCGTCTGCTCCGACGAAGAGATCCGCAACGACAATCAGCACGAAGAAGCCCGCAGTGTACCAGCCCCTTTCCGCTCAGACCGCCGCCGCATCCACCGCCCAAGCACGAGCAGCTCCGAAATCTCGCGTGGCTTCCACATCCGCTCTCAACCAAACCGGCGATGCTTCATCGAAACCGATCAGGAAGTACGACCCTACATCGCATTTATACCAGACGACCACGGCACGGAACGGCGGCGCAACGACCCGTAGCCTCATGAGCACTGATGCAAGGAACAGGACTTCAAGTATTCCCAGCACTGCGGTGACGGTTGAGACACGGGACGTAGAGGTGCAGACATGCGACGAGTTGCTGCTGATTGCTTTGCAGGAATATCAGGCCAGGATTGCTGCTGGGACAATGAGCGACATAGCCTTGGCCGCTGAGCCCGCGGATAGTGTGATGGAGATGGATGGCGTTCGTCACGCCATTGATTTGCCAGGAGGGGATGCTGGCGAAGTCCTGGTGTCGGAGGACGTCCACCGTGTTCAAGTCACTTTCACTGATGGCCTTGTGGAAGACGAGGCTGAACAGATGATCGTGGATGAGACGTCAGTGGCTATCAAGAAGACTAGGAGGGGCGTCAGGTTCACGAGCGATGATGAGGAACGAGATGTTACTGATGATGCTGAGGAGAACAAGACAGAGGTGGGTAAACTATGTTTTCTCAGATGAAGGACACTCATATCCCTAACACTTTTGGTTACAGTCTGCAAACCCGTTCATGACGGCAAAGTCACTTCCCAAAGGCACGCCCAGACCTAAAGCACTCAAATCGGTTCGAATGTCCACCCCGGGCCTATCCGCTTCCGAAGCTGATACGAGCGTCTTTACACCCGCTGCCAATGACGACAACGAAGCAACGCCAAAAGCATCGGCTATGAAATCACGACGTGTGGGTGGACAGTTCACGCCATACATCTCCAGCCGCGCGGCTTTGGTCGATAGTCCGGCTACGGTTACCTCCAACACTCCTTCAGTTGCGCCGCCGAGCACCACACCCGCGACTTCCAAACCCACCGATGATCATGAAGCAAGTCCCCAGGTCTCACCACCCCCGGCCCTCACCGCCCAGACACCCGACTCACCCGGGGCGCCGCCCCTCCCGAACTGGTCGTTCACAGGCTACCGATCGCCCCCAGAGCCCGTTGACAAAGCCACACCGTCCCCGCCCAAATCGGGATTCCTGACCCGCAACGACAAAACGGGAGGAAGCGACGCGACACCTCTCCGATCCTTTGGCGTCGGCACCAACGTTGGTTTGGGCGGTGGGACGGGGACCGGGACGGCCGCTAGCGGGTCCATGTCGGTGATGAGGCGCCACGGGTTGCTCTCTAGGAGAGTGGACGGTTCTGGGGTCGGAATTGTTGCAGCGTCGCCGATGCCCGGCTCCCAGGCGTCGTTTGATCGCGTCGCGGGGATGATGCAGATGTTGTCGTTGGCGGATGGGAAGTTTGGGTTCAAGGGTGTTGGAGAAGGTAGCGCGGAGCGCGAGGAGAAGGAAAATGAACGAGGCGTGGTGAATGAACCTGTTGGCTCGGTGGCGGTTCTGACGCCTTTGAAGGCGAGTAAGAAGGATAAGTTGGGTGAGTATTGTCTTTTGGGATGTTATGTTCGTGCTCCCACACGTTTTGACGACTTTCCTCAACCACCCACCCCACCCCAGTCCTAGGCGAAAATGTCTCAACAGTCCTAACCCCCGTGCGCCGCTCCACCCGCAAACCCAAGCCCACTCCCTCCTACGCCTCCTTCGCCTCCGCGTCCCGCACACCCTCCGCCCACCCCGACGACTCAATTAATAACCTCGAAATGTCCGGATCCGACGCGGAAGCCATGACACCCACCAAATCGGCCAAGAAACCCGCCACGGCGATGCCGCGGTATGGCGCCGTGAATGTGGGTGAGATGGCCCCGTTGAAGGTGGAGGGCAAGGCTGGGGCCGCGACGGGCACAGGGGAGGAGATGGACACCGATCAGTTGTTGATGAAGCATGGGTTTGCGTTTGTGCCTAATAAAGTACGGCTTTTGCTGTCCTTTTGTTTGGCGGTTGCTGGGTGTTTTCGGTTATGGACGCCCGGGCTAATCAATCATCTCATCTCTTTTCTGGCATATATGCAGCACCTTGACTGGACGGGCCGCATGACCCCACGCCGTAGCACGGCCGGACGGGTGGCCACCCCGCAGCAGCAACCACGATGAATATGCTGGGGAATTGAGCAGCGGCGTGTTTGGCTATTGGAATGAAAAGCAAGTAGGCCGAATTTGATAGTGCAGAAAGGCGGATGTTGCGAGTCGGAGAAGGCGTATACCAGCGAAGAAGCGTATCACGAAGCAAAGATAGTAGTTTGATCTTCCATACTATTTGGCAAAGAATTAACAACAGATAGTAACAAAAGCCCAGCAAACAAACAAAAAAATACAAGAAGCCAAATGGGACTACAAAAATGCCAGTGTTTCTACGTGGCGTGTTCAGATACGCCACAAGGAATGTCTGATATCTACGCTAACTGAGTCCATTCTAGCCGGAAGCGCGCTCGTCCACCCGGAGGGGAAATCTATTATATATATGTGTGGGTGGGTAAGTGATAAATGGGTGGGGGAAACTGGGTCCTCTATCTGTACAAATAAAAGACGGTACGCCGTGTGATACACAAGTCCAGGACGACCCGCTCAAATCTCGTAATGACTCTTGCTCTTCGCGGGAGTGTTGGGACGCTGAGGGGCGTGTGGCGAGATGTACACTGGTAGGTCCGACCCGGACGTCTGTATCGGCGGTGTTGATGCGCCCTGCGACTGCGGCCCGGGCATGCTTTCTCTCGCCCTGAACAGTCCCGGCGGGATTGGTAATGTCGTCGCCGAATTAGTGGAATGGAAGGACGCCACCGATCCAGCGCGCGGCTGTTCGTAGTGCTGCGACGGGAAAGGGAATTGCGGGCGCGGGGACGCGGAAGGCGAACCGCCGCCGTGCGAGGGCGATCCCGGCGGCGTGCCGGCGTACGAGGGATTCGACATCATTCGTTGTTGCTGGTATGGCAACAGCGGTTCGGTGCCGTGTCGTTGTTGCTGCGGGCCGCCCTTGTACCCCGGCGGCCGCGACATCGGGTTGCGTTGCGGGGAGGCCAGCAGGGCTTCGCTGGAGTGCACAGCGAGCTTGTTCTTAGCAAAGGGCTCGCCGGGCCGCTCGTACATGGTGGATATGTCGGAGCTGCCCGTGGAGTCCGAGTCCGAGCGCCGGTGGCCCCTGCCTCCCAACGGTCCGTTCCGGCCAGAATCCCAGGGGTTGTGCGAGTACTGGCCTTGTGGGGACTGCGCGCCGGGGTTGGCTCGCATGTACGCCTCGACCTTCTCGCGTCTCCATTGCCGTTCGTACTCCTCCCACCTTTTCAGCGGTACTTTGCTTCCGTCGAATCCAGCTCCGCTGTCTCCGCCGTGTCCGTGGGTGTCTTCTTTCACTCCATCGACTTGACGAGTCGCACCCCATGAGAAATCGTCGAAATGCCAGAAGGCGTAAAGAGGCAGGATCAAGTTCCAGATGGGGATGGCCATGATGTACAGCAACATCCAGAACAGGTAATGGAATCTCCGGAGGGAGCATAAGACGACGAAGGCCGGGAAGAGCGTCACGACGAAGAGAGTGATAATTGTAATAATTTGGCCAGTGGCGATGCTGGAGTGCGCGTATTGGATTCCGGTGAAGACGATGATGTAGAACATTGAGGCGACGGTCGCTGGCAGAACGAATGTGGAGATCAGGTCGAGGAGAACGACGAACTGCACACGGAAGTGTGGGACGTGTTAGCATATTGCGCCGGGCGGAAAAGCAGTAGCCCCCGCGACACTGCAAACCGACACATACCTGCATAGAAAAGCAGAACGTTCCACACAGATTGTTCACCAGAACCAGCTCAGCAAGGTTATGCACCGTGGAGTTGATCCACCGACGACGCTGACTGAGCAAAGTCGCAAAGTCGTCGGGCACCACCGTTTTGCACACCGCACGGGGAATGAACACCATCTTCCTGTTCGGGAAGGTCCGCAGCATCATAGTCGTTAAAAACCGATCTTCTCCCAGTAACAGCAAGTTCTTCTGATGCAATGTGTCGACCTCATTCGTCGAGTACGTCTCCACAACGTCCGGGTTGGCCAAAATCGGGACCCAGTCACCAAACTCCTTGCGGGCTTTGATGCGGTACATGCAGAAACACCCGGGAAGACAGGTCACACCTCCAAAGATGGATTCGAAAGCTTTGCCGAGATGGTGGGAGATGTAATACTCGAACACCTGAATGGCCGTCACCCATGACTGGGTCTTGTTCTCAATTCGAGTTTCACCGCAAAGACCCATGATGGAGGCGTCGTTGTGCATGGCGTTGATCATCAAGCCGAGGGAGTCCGGCGCAACTTTCGTGTCGGCGTCAACCATCAGCACGATCTCGAAAAAGTCGGGGGTGACACCCATGACATGCTGAATCTTCCTGAAGAGTTCGTAGTCGAGGGGTGTCATGCGGTCGTTGAGCATAACACGGGTGAAGAAGTGCATGAGAATGAGCTGGGAGTCACGCTTTCCACGGTTTCCGGGCTTTGCTTCTGATGCTTCTTCGGGAGCGCCGCATTTGACGACTATAACCATCGGGACGCGATGCCCGGCGTGACCTGTATGTGAAGAATAAGGCGTCACTTGCAGGAACGGAAAGATGATTGCATGAATTAGGACTTACGGAAGTGTCCCACGTAAACTTTCGCCATGTTGTGTGCTTTGGCACCACTCGCGACGGCGATGTAACTACAGGGCTTCGGGTCGTTTCCAAAAGTGCCATCAATCTCAATCATGTCCAGAAGGAGATCTGGGGTGCTCTTGCCGTTGCCTTTTCCGGTAATGATACCATCGGCGATGACGAAAAGCAGCTTCCGACTATCTTTGTAATCCGTTGCAGCCAACGATTCCAGGGTATTCCGCAAGGATTCCCGTCCTTCGGAGTAACAGGTAACCAGAAGGATGGTGTACAAGTGGAGACCAATGTTGGCAGAGTCGAAACTTTGAACCGCAGCCTTCTTCACCAAAGCTCCATCATGCTTCGGGCTAGGCACCAATTCGATATCATGGCGATGCGGATTCCTGTCAGCCGGATTGTGGATCGAGGTGCTCGATGGATACATTGGGCGAGACAACTTCTCCGGCTCCGGGGTTTGCGCGAGACGGTGCGAGACGAACCAGTCAAAGAAGACCGCCATGGCGAATCTCGCAAGGAGCACACCAAGGACGACGACGGACATAAGGGCCGACAAGACCGTGGACGCGTTGCAACTGACCGACTGTTGAGCAATAACTCCAGCCGCGAACTTGTTCACTAGACACTTCAGCGCTCTAGGATCCTCACTCATCGCTTGACTCGTCACGAGAGCACGCGTTGCATCGTTATTCGGCTTATCGCGTAACGAATAGAGTAGCTTATGGATCGCATTGTTGGGGTCGGGAGGCGCAGCCCGGTAGTAAGGTGTGAGGTCGAGAATCGTATCCATATACATACTGAAGTTCCGGTTCACAATCTCTTCCCACTCGTACGCTGCGTGCTCATCGACTCTTGTTTTGCGATCTCGCAACGTTTTGAACCGCACCAGACCAGTTCGTGGGAAACAGGTGTCGGAATTGAGGCATGCTGGTCCAATGGTGGTCGCTGCAAAAGGGTATTTGCCGGTCTTGAGATCCTTGCAGGGATCAGGATTGTTGGGATCAGGATCCGCGGGTGCGAAGAAGTCGGTGGCATCAGCGCCCTTCGCATCCCGAAATGCTAAGCGCACGTTTTCGGGACTCAACAAGAGATCGTACATGATGCCGTTGATAACCAACGAATCTGGTTGGTTTCGCGGAGCTTTCTGAAGTCGGGCAGACTCTGGGCACAGTAACGGATTGAGCCCAATGACAAAAAACATCACAAAGGCGCTGAGAAGAAAGACAATCCAGCATAGGGCGACCTTCTCCCTCCACGCCTGCTGTGGCCCAGAACCATTGATTTTACAGCACGCAAGGAGAGCAGGTGGGAAACAGCAAGTCAGAGCCTTTGCGACGTAGGCCCACACGTGAATGCCACCATCCTCCCCAAGGTCCAAAGGTTGGTTGGAGGTTGACTGCCGGCGTTTCGATCGTCCTGTCTTGGTAGTGTTTGAACGCAGTAGTGGTGTGGGTCCTTGATACCTATCTGGCCTAACAAGTGTACCTGCGAAAATGGGTGGGGCACATGGGCGTCAACCAACGAGTCGAACACTGTGAATGCGCTTCATGGCTTACCTCTGCGACCGAGTGTACCACTCCTGTTCAATGTCGTCCTCGACCGGCTCCGTGTTAGTGGCCCGTCCCCATGCATCCTGACGCGGTGCGAAAACTGGTCGTCTTACGAGCGTGGGAGATTTTGAAATTGAAGGGTGCGCGGGAAAAGACCAGTAGAGTCGCCCACCGAGGTGCCTTGGCGGAAGACCCGAGGCCGTTTTCGAGGGAGTCTTTGAAGAGGCTAGAGCACGGTAATGCAGCCTGCCGACAAAGGTTGTGGGATACTACGTACAGTATGTACTGTGTATATGCTGTGTTGTGCGGGTTGACAGAAGCTCGCATGCCGAGGAGGAGGCTTTTCGCAGGCTGGTTCTCTCTCGCCGTCTTGCCCCAGCGCCTCCAGATCCAGATCCAGCATGCACGCACGCACATTGTGGATCCATCCCAAACGGCGAGAACATTTTGCCCAGATTTTGCCCGTCTGCCCCCCTTGTTCGGCGTCAATTTCAAGTTGCGACTGGCCCTGAAACCGTTGACGATCGTCATAACTCCGCGTGCCGCCCGCAGATGGCCGCAGATAAAGCACAACTCAAATCAAAAATGCATGGAGTCACGTGGGTGGTCGCATTTAAATCGGCTTCTGCTTGCGTGCTTGTACATGCTGCGTAGCAGGTGTCCCGACGGGCAGACGGGCATGGCGATGTTGCCGACAATTCTCAAGTCGCCGGACCATCGTGGACGGAGTTGGAATGGAGGCTAACGACGCGGACGAGAGAATCCATGTGCGAGGGTTGCCAACTTCTGAATTCTCGTTGCAATTCCTCGTCGTGCATTCCACGCGTGGCGGGATTCCCCACCAGATTCCCACCAGCACTGAGCACTTGCACCACCTTCGAGTCCGGCTCATTCTCAGCAGTTTGCAGAGGCTGCTATTACCACGCACGTAGTACAGAGTTAACAAAGCCTCTGCTGCAGTACATATATGATATTGCTCTCGTCTTGCACTTTCCAGGGACTTTAAACCCTATCGGGACATTCATTGAGGAAGTCCATGGCCGAGAATAAGCTTAACCTTGGTTCGCCACTTGGGCTCGGGAGCCTAATTTTGGCCACCGGTCTTTCAGAGCTCCGTTCGGAATGTGGAAGGTGCCAGTTTTGCGGGCATCTCAGTAATGGCCAAAGTGTGAGAAGTACCGTCGGTGACTGTATCTCCTGCCTTACTGTGAATTCTGTCGCTTTCCCTTCTCGCTGACGATGTTCCCCAGTCGGTCGTCTTTGTTTGGAAAGACCTCGGCCCCGTCGCATGCTACAGGGGACGCAAAAACGCCAGTGCAATCGCACGTTGCTGGAGAGCAGTCCTTGGGCGCAAAGCAAAGCTCAGCTAGCGGAGAGTCTTCCACGAAAGTCCCAGATAAACCATTCCAGCTGAACTTGCAGCACCACCGCAGTCTAGAACGCACGGCAGGAACAGAGAAGCAAAGGGCCGAAAATCCATACAGGAGGGCTAGCGAAGGGTCGCCTTTCACTGGAGAACTACCGGTCTATGTCTATGCGGCGCTGGCGTCGTTTGAAGAGTCCGCGGAAGGTGTCGAAGACGCTTCGGAACACAGCAGTCGGACGGTTGATGCCGGCGAGGATGAAGATGCAAAGATAATAGAGAGGCGGAGATTGTTTCGAAAGACATCAACAGAACATACCATCATCAAAGATCTGGAGGAGAATTTCGCCCGGGGTTCCTCTTCTGGTGCCTTGGCTGTGACTGCAGCGACGTCAAAGCCGCCATCTCGGCTCTCTCGGTCTAGCAGAGGGGACGAATCCGCGGACTCGATAGGATCCCAACGTGCAACGACAATCCCTCATGATGCATCCTCTTTATCGGCGAATGGCGTGCCGGACCCTTCCGCGCATCGCTCCTCCATCACGCAACTGCAGGAAAAACTCGCAGAGTCGGGGGCGGGGTTGGACGACTTGACGACACTGCAGGACCGGCTGCGGCGGTTGAAGGATCGGTTAGGCGATCATTCGGCGTTTGGGAGCATGGGCGGGATGGCGCCACCAGGTGTCTTTAGCCACGCAAACTCGCAACGGCATGGGTCACTTGTGCCGGCGGAACCTCTGCTCTCCATTCTGAAGAATCCCACACGAAATGGCTCAAAATCTGTACAGGGCGTGGCCCCGGTGCCCGTTACGGTGGCGATATCGGAACCGCAATACAAAATCCAAGCAACCCACGCTAGGAGCGAAGATCTTCTTTCACGGGGTTCCGAAGTTGCCAAGAAAAGGGGCGTAAAAAACGGTACACCACCCTCGGCCGCCCATTCCTACGACTTCCTCGAACGTGGCGCGAGCCTCCCCGCGTCTACGCACCCATACTCGATACCGGTGATCCCGCAGACTCCGCCGCGGGTGGAAGGGACATTACCTGTGTTTGTGTATTTGGAGGATGATACGTGCAATATGTTCACCGTGACACCGAATACGACAATCAATGAGGTTAGGATGAGCGCGTTGTCGCAGCTCGGCGTTTCCGACGCTATTGAGAGCTTCTCGGTGTTTTTCATGGTGAAAGGCGTCAATGGTGAGCTGAAGGGCGTCACTCTTTGCACATCATTACATTAGAAACTATTGAAGGATATGATATCTGAAAATTCATGCTCCTTCTCACCTGCATCCCTACTCTGCGTTCAGGTGAACCCCAAGAGAGCCGCGTAGACCCCAACATCCCCGTCGACCACCTCAGCCTGCCCGCCCCCGAAACAATCAAAGTCCGCCTGCGCCGGAAATCCGCCGTCCGCTGGTCCGTGCCCATCATCGTCGACGAACGCGTCCAGCGTCAACGATGGGTGCTGGTGGAAGAGAGCACGAAGGTGGAGGATATCGTGAAGCTGCTGTATACGATTGAGAGGAAGGATGATACCGAGTCCTGGTCGCTTTTCGCGTCGGGTGGGTGGGAACTATGTTTGGAAGACGTGGTGGGTCTGACCATTGGCTCTGACGTACGGATGTGAAATTTAGGACCCTCGAATACTGGGGCGTTACGGCCTGATGAAACGCCTTTCAGACCATGGGTGCGCGATGAGCGCTATTATTTCCGTCAATCGGTAAGATCATGCCCCTTTTCCTTTTTTGCCCCCCGGTCCTCCACCGATACTGACACATCCCACTCAGCACGTCCGCCAACGCAGCCAAAAGCTCGCCGCCGTCCTCGGTCTCCCCGCCAGCACTGACATGGGTGCACTCGCCGACCGAGAAGCCCTGCAGGCACAAGACCTCAAACGGCGCAACGACGCGCGCAAATCCGTGAAATTGACGAATCTGCTGGGGATCGCGGATACCACCCCGCCACCGACGCGCGCGGCGAATAGTAAGCGGAGGAAGAGACCGTCTACGCTGAATTTGGTGTTTGATCCGGATGAGACAACGCCGAGGAGGAGGAAGTCTTCTGTGGAGCCTTCTACGCCGAAGCTGGTAGGTGGATTGCTGTGGCGGGGCCGATACGTCCCCGCTGTGTCTTGAAGATTAGTCCCTTGAACCATTGCGGACAACTTCTCACATCTATCCACAATCAGCTCGACGACGACGAAGAAGACAAAGTCCACCCAGTCGCGCCCTGGAAGCGCTACGAGCATCTACAGAGCAAACCCGCGCAAGTCATGCGCCCGCGCTCCAAGTCCGATCTCTCGGAAGCCGTCATATCATCCAAAGTGCGGCGTCCCTCCATCAAACAGCACAGCCGGTCGCGGCAGCCCTCGGTGACAGGTAAACGGCTCTACCTGTTTGATAAGATGCGCGGGTCGGCGCCGGGGGATGCGTTGTCGTCGGATTCGGGGGCGAGTGAGGATGCGGATGAGCCGACGGAGGTGGGTTTCGTGAAGTAGCTCTTTTCGAGGCGTGACTGCACATTATTCGCCGATGTTAATTGCTGATTTGACTAACCGTACGTCGTTTCTCTCCATTTTCTTATCGTTCTTCACATTTGTTCCCGTCAGACCGTGAAACGGAAAGAAAAGCTAACAGACTTCTTCGGCGTCGCCAAAGCGAAAGACGTTGCGCACATCGAACGCCACGCCAACATCAGCAAACCCGACAAGGTAAACAATCACCCTCCCCTCCCCTTACCTGATCCTCATCCTCAAACCCTACATCCACTCACACCATCTCTAATACCCTCCAGTTAATACGCCAACCCTCCGACGGATCGGAAAGCCACCAAACCCACTTTATCGTCCGCGTCTACTTCGGCAACCTCACCTACAGCGCCATCCGCATGCCTGTCGAGGCCACCGCGACGCACGCGAAAGGACTACTATTGGCGAAGTTGTCGATCAATAATTCGGGGGAGATGTTTGGCCTTTTTGTGCATTCGCCGGATGGGAAAGGTAGGTTTCGTGTGAGTTAAGTAAAGGTTTGGAAGGCGTGGGTGAATTGATGGGCTTGGGTTCCTGGTTGTAGAGAGGGAGTTGACGGCGGATGAGCGGTTGTATAATGTGATGCTGTCGTGGGCGACTACGGAGTACTTTTTGTTCAAGAATAGGCCAGTGAATAATCAGTTGCGGCACAAGCGGGTATGTATCTCGTCACTTTGTGGTAATTGCTTTCATGTGGTCGTATGCTTTAATGCTGACTTTGTAATCCCCCGTGGCTTTACCCACAGCTAAGCACACAAAGCGTAGACGCCAGCCAATTCCAACTCAACGAACCAGCCCCGCAAGCCCGCCGCGTCGCCAAACTCGCCGGCTTCTTCGGCCTCGCGCCCAGCCCCACGGCCACTACCCCCATCCCCGAATCCTTGGGCAAGAACCTCATCCACCAACCCTCCGAATACGAAGACCTGCAAACCATCTTCAACCAGCTCTCTAACGTCACCACCTCCTCCTCTTTACAAGCTAACCTCCGCCGCCGTAAATCGCTTGCGGCCCCACAGGCCCCACAGGGCGGGCAACCACCAGGTCCGGAGCGACTGGGCGTGTTACGCAAGGAATTCACGTCCTCGATCGCGGCGCTGTCGACGACGCTGTACAAGGAGGGGTGGATGGAGGTGTTGATCAACCCGACCGCTGTGAACGCCAAGAAGCCGTGGACGTGCGTGTGGGCGAAACTGGACGGGGACGTGTTGACGGTGTTCCCGAATGAGAGGGATGAGGCGGTCGCGGGGACGCCGACGGCGGGGTCGTTGCCCGATCGTGCGGCGACGAGGGTGAGGTTGCAGGGGTGTACTGTTGTCACGGGCGAGGGGGTGGTGTCTAAGAGGCAGTTTGTGTTTACGGTTGTGGAGGCGGCTCAGAGTGTGGGGGTGGCTGAGGTTGTGGGTGCTGCTGCAGGGAGTAAAGCGAGCCCGCCGCCACCCACCGCCGCTGCCGGGGCAACCACAACAAGCAACGATAAACCGAAATCGCTGGTATTGGCGACGAAATCGGCAACGGAAATGATCGACTGGATCGACTGTATCCGCACCTCCGCCCGGCGCCGGCCACCCACCACCTCCTTCTCCGCATCCCGAGACAGCATGCACGACCACTCACAGCACCCATCCCGCAAAACCTCCGTCCCCGTCCCGCCCCGGACCTCCACCCACACCTCCACCCGACCTTCCGTCGCCGCCAACAACAATACGACCTCCCTCATCCCCACCGACCTCGAAGACCCATCCCTCCTCCTCCCCACTTCCTCCTCCCACGCCTCCGAAGACGAAACCACCCTCACAATGGCCGACTTTGAGCTCCACCGCGTCATCGGCCGCGGCAAATACGCCAAAGTTCTCCTCTGCAGCCGCAAGTCCACCAACAACGTGTACGCCATCAAAGTCCTCAACAAACGTCGCTCCATCTCCTCCTCCCTCGGCGACGGCGGTGAAGGCGACGCAAACGAGGAAGGGCGGATCCTCCGATCGATCCATCACCCGTTCATTGTGGGGTTGCATTATGCGTTCCAGAGCGCGGATCGGCTTTATCTTGTGATGGAGTATATCAATGGCGGTGAGCTGTATTTCCATGTGAGCAGGTTTGGACGGTTTGGTGAGGAGCGGGTGAGGTTTTATTGTGCCGAGTTGGTGTTGGCATTGCAGTGTTTGCATGATAAGGGGATTGTATATAGGTATGTGGCTCAAACTCTCGCTGGAATTTGCGCCTTGGGAATCCGTTGCTGACGGGGTTTCTTTTTTCTTGCCGCGGATAGGGACTTGAAGCTGGAGAATATTTTATTGAGTCGGGAGGGACATGTGAAGATTACGGATTTTGGGCTGAGTAAGCAGGAGACGGAGGATGAGGAGTCGGATAGTGAGGCGGATATGGTATTTGTGGTTGGGACGTTGGAGTACCTGGTAAGGCGTTCTTCCCTTACCCCCCCTCACGTCCTCCACCTTCTCCTCCGTCTCCTCTCACCTCCTCACCTCGTCCCTCTTCCTCCGTCACCTCCTCCCCCACCAATAGTCACCGGAAGTTCTCGAAGGCTACCCGCACACCGCCGCGGCGGATCTCTGGGCGCTCGGAGTCGTGACGTTCGAGATGCTGTGCGGGTACCACCCATTCCATTCGGAAGACCGGGAAGAGATCCAAGCCAACATCCTTGAATCGCCGGTGGAGTTCCCTGAATGGGTATCACCTGAAGCGAAAGATTTCATTGCGGGTCTGTTGAAACGCAACCCGCGGCTGAGATTGAAGGGGGAGGCTATAAGGAAACACCCATTCTTTGCGGGGGTGGATTGGAGGAAGTTGTTTGATTTGGAGGTTGAGGTGCCGTTTAAGCCTGAGCTGGTATGTCATCTGATCCCCTCGCTTTCAAACAACCATGTTCCCACCAAAACTCACGTCGTGGTCCCAATTCCGATTTCGCAGACTGGAGACTACGATGTCAGTTTCTTCGAGGCCGAGTTCACGGAGGAAGCTGCGGTGCTGACCCCAGACGGCTCGCGACCGTCTTTGGAGGATAGAGGAGGATATCAGGAGCAGCAACCTCATCATGGCGAGAACGATAGCTCGCACGCGGAAGAGGATGTTGATGCGAGGATGCGGTCGATCGATTGATGGATGGACTGGAGTTTCGCGGGAGAATGCGGTGAATCGACGTTATTTTCTGGACGGTGGGGGAGAGTTTCTATAGACTTGTATATATATGTGGGAGGCTGGCGACGTGACATGTAAATAATACGCACACCGTAATTTATCGACAGTTTTCGGACAATGCGTTCTCTTCTGATGACGCGGGTGGAAGGGAATGACGACGCGAGGCACGAATGACATCATCGGCGGCTGGCTGGCTGGGCGCATCATCGAAAGTTATTAGAGATCGGCGTCTCGCTCGCTGTCGAGACGAGGGAGGCTCAGATCGCCCTGCCTTGCCCTCCTGAGTCCTGCCCTGTCTGCATCTGCCGTCGATGATGGCCATTCATTTGACGGATGGCTGCGGATTGTGACCCCCATTCTGCCTTGCCCTCCTTCGCGAACTCTGAATATCTATCACCTGCCCCTTCCGCTCCAAGACCCCCCCCCCCCCCCCCCCCCTTGAGAAAACCCCATATTCCCACGGTATGTACTGTACGTCGGCGTTCAGAGAAGCAGTGGAAAGGTCTTATATCGGTGCTGCTTTCCGTATATAAACTGCCGCGCGGAGCAACGGAGCCGCTCCTGCTTTGAAAAAAGGACCCCTTTAATCAACGTGCAATTTCTTGTCCATCTAGAGCATCTCCACACCATCGCTCACCATCACTCACTCACCTCAACACCCACCAACATTTTGAAACCATGCCTCTCATCAAAATAACAAAAGGCGTAGCTCGCGGGCAAGGCGCGCGCCCTTACCAAGAAGACCAATACGCGCTCGCCGACGAAGCATTCTCACAATCCGGTTTCGCCCTGTACTCCGTCTTCGACGGCCACGGCGGCGGCGAAGCCTCCAAGCACGCCTCAAAACACCTCCCCAAACTCGTCGTCAACTCCGACGCCTTCAAGCAGGGGGACTACAAGCGCGCGCTGAAGGAGGCGTTCCTGGAGGAAGACCGCCAGCTCGCTCAGGAATTCAAGGTGGCTGCTGCTGCGGCCGGCCAGGCGCCTGCTGCCCCCGTCGGCGCTGGCGGACTGGGCGCCGGGAACGGAACCGGTCGTGGAGGCAGTACCGCCACCGTCGCGTTGATCGCCCACGAGAAGCTCTACGTAGCCAATGTAGGCGACTCCACCGCCGCGCTCGCTAAGCGGGTAGAGCGCGGCCAGGGCGGAGCCAACGCGGCGATCGCGGCCGGCGACAATGGGGTGGGCACGGAGGTGGCGCCGGCGACGAATGGGGAGTATGTCGCCGTGAGGTTGAGCAAAGAGCATAAGGTGGATGATAAGGCCGAGTCGGATCGCTTGCAGAAAGCGGATGCGACTGTGAGGGCTGATCGCGTCGTGGGCCCTGGACATGCGATCAATATGACGAGAGCGTTGGGCGACTTTGACTTCAAGTTGCCGGAGAATGGCGCAAAGGAGGATTGGATCTCCCCCGTGAGTTATACTCAGTCGTGCTTTCCGTGTCATCACCACCCTGAATGCTCATTTCCTTGCGATTCAACAGGTCCCACACCTAACAGAGATGCCCCTAACCCCAGCGGTCGATTTCGCCATCATCGCCTCCGACGGACTCTGGAACCACTTCCACGAGTCGCAGTTGATACCCATGGTCGCCGACATGCGCAAGCAGGGCAGCACCCCGCAGCAGATTTGCGATTCGTTTGTTTCCAAGCTGGAGCAGGTGTGTCGTTGTATTCCTCCCGACGTTGTGAGAGATGGTGATAGGGACGGTGCGTCTGGACCCTCACTCACGTTTGAAATGCCCCACCTAGACACCCGGCTCAGACAACATCACCTTCATGCTCCTCGACTTTACATGGTCCGAACAATAACCTTTCCTGCCACACCACCATCACCACAGCGCACACCACACACCCCGGCTCGTTACACCCGCGAAACAGATCCCACCCCCGCCCCGCCTTCCCCCGTGTGCCCGCTTCCTCCTTTCAATACACCCGACCTACTCAAGCCTATTCCGTTTCCAACCACACCACCTCCTTCCCACCCTTTGTGTACTCCATCTTTTAATATCATGTGACATCACATACGGCGAATATGAAAGATATGTGCAGTAACGATAGAGACGCCAGGCGGGAATGGGAGATTTTGCGCACGTCTCCCTTGATCCAACTTGCGGGGAGGAGGGAAACAGGGGCATACTCGGATGATTGAGGGGTATCACCAGCACATTTCGCATTCCCTCTGTACAAAACCTCGCCACAAAAATTGGGGCAAGACGCAAAAAAAATCCCGAGAAAACTACGCAATATATCGAATGTGGGGGGGGGGATGGGGACAGGAAAGGCCGTATGTACAATTGGGTGGGGTTATACACTGATTCCGCGAGGCTGTCGCATCACTCGCATAAGAGCTTCGCGTCAAAGCTCGTCAGCGCGATCGCAAACGCCTGCACGCAACTCATCGGGTACTGGAAGTCGACGGTGAAGTGCTCATCCCCAACGCGGCCGAATTGGAGTATAATATACTAAAAAAATGCAGGGGACGATCAGCTTAACGGAGTTCCATAAACCCTTCGGACAAAAACGCATCTCACGGCGCAGCATCATTTACCTCATTATCCTCCTCCGGCACAATCTGGAAATTCTTCACACTCGCCAACGTCACCCTCCCGCTGAAGTTCAACACATAGCTCTGCGTCTCGTCGTTCCATTGCGGGGCTTTGTTGTGGAACTTCAACAACGTTTCCCTCGCCGTCGTACTTTCCTCCCCCTTGTTCACCGACGAACTCGATGATGATCGCGGGAGAGTGTCGGGGGTACTACTACCGCCACTGGACTGGGAGGCGCGCAAGCGACGGAGGATGGTCTGTGAATCGTGTGTGGGACGGATGGACAGCCGGCGGGCATCGCGGGTCATGGCGGGCACGACGACGGTCATTTTGCGCGGGCCTTTGAAGCCGAGGAGGTTGGGTTCGTAGGTTACGACGCCGAGTTCTTCTCTTATCGCTGCTGTAGACTCTGCTGCTGGGTCGTCGCTTGAGTCTGATTTCGCAGACGCGTTGGTTTTGCTTCCCCGTTTGTGCTTATCGTAGATGGTGAATGTCGTCCCCACGAAATTCGACTTGACCTTCCCAACGACTCCCTCAACATTTTGGGAGTTGAGACTCCCGCTCGACGCGCCAAAGCGCGTGGTCGAGATGGTATACACCGACGCCCCGGCCTTCTTCCGTTTGCGCGCCGCCAGCACAAACACCGGCGTGTTATCCCCGTCCTCTATGTACATCTCATACCGCGGAGACGTGAGCGAACTCCCTTTATCCGCCGGGTCGTCCCCACCTCGTCGTCGTAGGATCGAGCAGAGGAGCTTTTGGCCCATGGGCACGGGTTTGAGGACGAAATCCTCCAGTTCGGCGTGGGTTTCGGTTCGCGTGGCGATGTCGACTGGACTGCCGGCTGGGTGGAGGTGTGGGGGTTCGAAGGTGTTATCAAAGTCGGTTTCGATGCGTTCTGCGGGTGCGTGGAGGAGGCCGGCGCGGCGTTGGAGTTCGAGGAAGAAGGGGATGGCCGCAGGTGCGGCGTCCGTGGGTGGCGGGGTTGCAGGGCCGGCAGCGTCGTCTGGGTTGGCATCGGGGCGGTCGGGGAAGGGTGGGGCTGGTGTTACTGGGGTTGTGGTGGGGACTGGTGGGATGGGCATTGGTAGTAATGCGTCCAGTGTTTCATCATCGTCGTCATCGTCATCGCCGTGATGGTTCGTGCTGCCATTCCCATTCGCGCCTCCAACTGCAATTCCCTCCCCAAAACCAGCTAAAGGGAATGAATACGCATGGTAAGAGAGAGTAAACTAACCAGCTAGATGCACACTCGAAAGTGTTCGCTTCCCCCCTCGGCCGCGATCGCCCATCTTGGCCCGACCCCAATCTCGCCACCAGCCAGTGCACACAACACAACGCACCCAGAAAGAACAGCACACTTCTGAGCAGTCGGCATTCTCATCTCTGCATACTTTGTATTTCAAACCGCCGTGACGCTGGGCGACTTCTGCTCGTCCTCGAACTCCCGGCGGCGTTGCTGGCGTGATTGAAGTGAGTTCTGGCGGTGTGGATGCGTTCGAGGGCGCCGACAGCGGCTTCTGAGAGGTCCCGCTCGCTGTCTAAACGGGACAGGGAGGGGCGAAGGTGTGACATTGCTGGGGCGTCGTTGGGGTGTTGCGGGGCTGGTTGCGGGGTTGTGCTCCGTGCCCGTCCAGGGCATGCAAGTGCGTGATGGAGCGAGTTCAGCAGGTCGGAGCACAATCAGGAGCACAATCAGGAGCACAATTCGATTCCTGCTCAACGGCGCCGACGCCGTCTTTGGCCTCTCTTCTTTACCCACCATTGCCAACATCATTGCCATCGCTTCGGCAGACATACACATACACATACAGAACCTCCGCCGGCAATATTCGCGTTCAGGACCTCCTAGGCTTGAGGTTCTCAATAAACAACACTCAATTTGAATCACAGGCTGCTGAGAAATATGGGTCAAAGTGACGGAGGTAAGCAGTAAAGCATTGCCAGCATTGCGGTGGACTGGGGTGTCGTACCACTCCAGGAATTCACGTATGCTTTCAACCTTCATAATTGCCCAGGACAAAACGGCTCGCAGCAGGACCTTGGGGAGCCGGCAAAGGAGGGGGACAACGGTGGAAAAAGTAGGGAGCCGAGGCCGGGGGCGGTGAGGGTTTTGAAGCGAGGGAACCAGGAACGATACAGCGCGGGTTGTATTGATTGCCGGGTGAAGAGCTCCTCTAAGTTCCATCGCTCGCCGTGGCCTGTTCTGGCTCGGGCAGAGGGATTGGGGAGGCATTTCTTCTTTGGGGAAGGAGCGACGGAGGGGATTGTCTGTGCTGCGTGTTGGAAGGCTTGGAGGCGCATCGGGGTGTTTCGACATGAGAGCCCGGAGGTCAACAAAGGCATACAGATGGATGTTATCAACAAAGGCATACAGACGGATGTTATCAACGATGTCTTTCAGCGTGACCGCTGGCTCGCCTCGCTGGATAAGTTCATTGCCGCACCGCCCGAATCTCGCCCTTTTGTTGATGTTGATGAGTTCTCCGAGAGCCTCGATACCAACTGCGATGCTCTCATGTCACAGACAAACACGTTGTTGGGCGCAGTCGTGGAAGGCAAAATAAAGGATAAGTTGCACACTGTGTTTGCAATATGCTATTGGCATATATTCGGAACCCAAAGGTCAGCTGCACTTGCTTTTTCGTATTCCTCTTATCTTTGCCATTGCTCACATGTTCTGCACTTGTAGGTACTGCATATCCGTGCATTCCTCTCCGACATGCTACGTGGTATCGGGAATGGGCCACGTGCAGTCCTGTGCGGCCTTGGCCTGTGTTACCACCCTAGTAAGGAAAAGCGGCGTCGCACACAATCCATCGATGCATCTCTCGCTTCCGTCAGGAATCGGATAATCCTCTCTGAGGAGGAGCCTGGCACAGCAAACCAGGTCGCTCAGAAAGCAATGTTCATCACCGCCCGAGATGCGTCACCAACATCTGTTCTGACATCATGGCGCGCAATGACCGAAGGCGTAAAGGAGTTTGACTGTGAACACAAGAACAAAAAAACCCGCTCACCATCTGCCCGAAGCAACTCGGAGAACTACGAAGAAGCCGCAAGCAATATGGACGTTCCGATGGAAGAGGCGTACGACGGGTAGTCGGATGTCACCCGACCTCGAGAAAAGCAAAACGTCTTTCATCGGAAGTTTGCGCACATCAACGGCTGTAGATTTAGGACTCCACGCCGTCCCGACAGTTCCCGCTCTTCCGGATGTAGAAGCGGCGTACTGCAAACTTACAATGCATGTAATCTGGTGGAGAACAACTCTCAATGTAGGCCACTCAACCGCAGGTCTCCATCTGACGTCGTAGATGTAGAGGGAAAGGAATATGGAGCGAGGATCTGAAAGACTAATCTATGGGCGTCGCGGGAAGCAATCGGACTTTCCAAATCCACAGGTTTGACAGCTGTCAACCGACATTTTTTTCGGTGCCATACTGCCCATCCAAAGCCGTCCCATACGGGAGCAAAGTACGGCGGCGGAAAAACATGAGAAGATATGCACGTCCAAACTAAGCCAAATCAATACAGGTCCATTCTTTTCATCGTACGCATCTGGATTTTCAACACGTGGCCTCAGCCCAGGGTACTCCCCGTCGCCGCAGGGCCAACACCTGCAGACATCGATTGGCGGGCAGCGGGGCGCGTAGCTATACTGCTACTCTGGCGCACATTTAGTGCTTTGTTGGCTTTGATGGCATGCGCTGCACAAAGATTTCGCTGTTTTTAGAGAATGGGAGTATGCGGAAACAAGCGCAAATCCGACCTAGACACTTACAGAATTTATCCAACATTGCGCTGAACACCTTTTCATTTAAAACAATGCATGCGGGGTTTAGTAGCAGAAGGAGGATTCATGGGGGCTGGATGGGCTCCGGACCGCACCTGCTGCATGTCTCCGATTTCGGAGATGAAGGCTCGGCGTTTGAGATAGCCGTCGTTTAATGCACTGTGGTCAGGGGGTGGGTTATTTTAGGGAACGCTTCACATTGGAATGCGAGCTCCTTTGATAATGCAAGATCCTGGCTGAGATCATACGCTACCCCATCCTGGAGGCTATTTAACATCCGCAGATAGGCTGGAGTGGCCGTCGCGATCTGTGCTGTCCGATAGTGGGTAGCGCCCAGATCAAGAACTGATTTTGGGAAGTCAGCTCTGTGGTTCTTCTCCGTTGCCAACACCAGACCACTGCAATGTTCCCTACGCTTTGCTCGGACGATCTCCGCATAAGTTCCTCTAACGACCGTAATCATACTCTCTACCGTCTGCAACGTCAGCTTCGTTGGCCATTTCTCAAGCTCGTTTTGCGGTTTGGGCACTGATCGCTTGAGGCAGGAAGGACGAGAGTTGTGCACAAAGCCACACAGAGGAAGTGGTACCGGCGATCAAGTCTTTATAGTACAGTATAAGAAATCACTTGCCACCCGGACTTCCGCAAGATAAAAAAACCACATCGGCCAATTCAAGTATAACTCAGTCAGCCGCCTTGGATCTGGACGGCAACTTTTTGACGGCAAACTTTTACACAGATGCTGTCAGAACACGGTATTGACAGGTGTTTACCGGAGAAGGTTGGTTCATTGGACTGCATTTCTGATGAGCCATGGTCAGCCGTCCGTTTTTGAGTAGTAGAACTATGGTACAGACTTATATTCACACGCTGTTTTACACAAAAACTACCAAGTTAACTGTTGAAGAAGGTGGGGGTGTTGAACCAAAAAATTAGTATGACAACGCATGCCCTTTCACTTCCTTTTCAAATTCACCACAGAGGGAGCGACGCCGGATGCTCATAATCCACATTCTGCTCTTTACTCTCAATGCGCTCTCCAGAAGTTCCAAACAACCGATCCCACAACCGGCAATGCTTCCCATAATTGAACGACTTTTTCCATCCGCGGCGATGATGCAAGTCATGGTCCTCAATGACCAGATCCGCATCAAGCTGTCGGAGCAGCGGCCCAAATGGCGTGGGGGTGGTCGCGTGCAATCTCAAGCCGGTGTGGCCGGTAAGTTCGCTGAAGGTGACAAACTGGCCGCATATCCACCAATCGTAGAAGTTGAATGGAATGCCGACGACCGTAAGAGTGAGATACGCCATAAGCGGGATGACAACGATGTCAAAGATCTCCTGCTCGGTGTCCGCGTAGAGCGACATGAGTGGGTTCGGGTGTTTGGTCAGGTGGTGGGTGCGGTGGTACTTCCATAGGGAGTCGGTGGTGTGCATCAGGCGGTGGTACCAGTAGAACCAGAAATCGAGGGCGATGCCGTAGCAGCCGACGGTCAGTGGCAGCCACGCCCAGTGCGGGTTGGGCACGGCGTTGGAGCGGATGTCGTAGGTCAGCAAGGCGATGAGCATAGGTCGGAAGGTGCCTGTGCTGGAGAGCGAGCGCATAACCTTTTTGACACCAACATCGGGCACATCGTCGCGATCGTGTTGGTCACCGTCGAGAAAGCCGTATATGTTACCGATCCGACGGAGGACGTGTATCTGATTGATGCCGATGGCTTTGAACCACAGCGAATAGTATATGAACACCGCAAAGACGTGCCACGGCTTGCCGGTGTAGGACACAACGGCGTACTGCAGGGCGAGGGGAAGTAGCGCACGGGACAGGATCCAGCGATACATGTACCAGTCAGGCAGGTAGGGTATCTTGTCGGTCTTTTGGTGTTTCGGAACAGGTTTGTCGTTGCGGGATGCAGGTAAGATATCGAGGAAGACGAGGGTTTTTTGATGGAAGTTCCATGTTGAGCGGTCGGTGTATCGCCAGGTCGACTTCATGGAGTTCTTTTCGTTGATCATGCTGGGCACTTGGGCACTGCTTTCTCCGAGTCTTACTCTGAAAGGTCGATGCTGAGTTGACTGAATTTTGCGGGGCGAGAGAGAGGCCTTGCGGGAAGAGCTTGGAGGTTCTTGGCGAAAGTCACCTGCATGCCAACGCGCGTGCAAACGGACCGTGGGTGACGTGGGCAGTTAGTTCTCCATTGCACGAGGCACGAGGACAAACGAGGACAAAAAGCAAGGCCAAAGTAATCCCACCTCCAACAACCCTTCCACAGGCAGTCAGAATGGCAGACGGCTCAGACTCAGACTCAGACTCATTCGGTCCCGCACTGCCCCCACACCTGCTCGCCCGAAAAAAACAGAAAACTTCTTCCTCGCCACCGCCGTCGACATCACAACCACGTCCGTCCGCCGGACCTCGTCGTCGCAATGAGGTCGCAGGCCCTGCAATGCCGCCACCAGGGGCCACTTTTGGACGGCCTCCAGTAGACAGCGAAAGCGACGACGACGTGTTCGGTCCAGTTCCTCCGGCCCCACTGGAGAGCGGCACAGCTGACGAAGTAGCGGAACGCATTGCAGAGATCGAGGCGAGAGTGCAGCGGGCGAGGGAAGAGGAGGAGGCTAAAAAGACCGAGAAGCCGAAGCGAGGGGATTGGATGTTGGTGCCGCCAGAAGCGTACAGGCTTTTACCGTTCGGTATGTCCCGTTTGGCAAAGAGCTGTTGCTGAGCATCCGCTAAGCAAAACCCTCCTGACACAGCCGGTGATAAGATGATGAAATCGAGACAGTTCAGTAAGAAGGCAGTCGCTGCGGATGTAGATCAATCAGGATGGACAGAGACGCCACAAGACAGAGCAAAGGGATCTGCAGAGAAACGAAAGCGCAGGCCAGATGATGAACCGCGGTTACCGACCCAGGAAGAGCTGGAGACTCAGGAATTCATCAAAAAGCATAATGTAAGGAGCTCCCTATCCCATCGTCCTTTCACGAGGGATCATTCAAACTCACTTTCCCTCTATCGCATCACCCACAGGAAAAGCACCGCGGCGCCTCCCTCATGAACAGCCACTCGACCGCCTACCTCAAAGCCAGCAAATTCGAAGAAGAAGACGTCAGCAAGCGTAAATTCGATCGCGAGGTAGATATGAAGGTCGGCGGCGCGCGGAAGATGGACTCAAAGACGCGTGCGAGTATGGTCGATGAGGCGAGGAAGCTAGATACGAAGTTTAGTCATGGGAATAAGACCTTCCTATGATTTGATGTGTTCCCTACGTTCGCGCAAGGGGGAGTTCGATTCGCATCGCGGGAATTCTATTGCAGGAGGGTCACAGATGAACACGGCCGGCAACAGCGTAGCATTTTTTCTGAACGACGTTTATCGTCATACATCACCCCCCCACCATCGACCGACTGGGAAAAGATTCCGGCAACGAGGGGTCCCATGATACTTCAATTGACATGCAAGGGAAGACCGCTACAAGGTCCGACTGTCCGCAATCAGAACCCGATGCGCAACCCCCGCGCAACCGCAACTTGCGTCAACCCGACAGCCCGGCACTCATCGGCGTATCCCGGACCATTTTGGGGAGTGAGACGCGGCTGACCGATACATGCTATCACATGGTTCGTAGTGGAAGACCGGCGTGGGGCAACCTATACAATAACCTGGAAACGAATGGTGTGTTTATGAACATACCCTCATAGAATAGATGTTATGCAAATCAAGGCATCTTTAACATTGGCTTTTCTTGAAACTTGATCCTTTAGCTTTCCACAAAATAGAATTTTCTATTCACAGAAATGCCCCGTTACTCTCGTGCGCTGCGCAGTACATATACAACCCCAACTGGGAACGGTGAAGCCCCTCCCTATCATCCAAATCCAGTGACACCTTGCGCTCGGTGCTCAACCCTATTTGCCATATACGGTGCAAGAATTTCACGCCGTTATGCTTTGGGCTACGCTAAGGCGTCAAGAGATGCAGCTGTACACCGTGTAAGGTCATAGAAAACGATGTCGGGATGTTCCGGGCACGCTCTACAACGCGGGAGCATGGTGGCTCGTTCAATCGAGGAGTGGTCGGGTGGGTATGACTGGCTTACAGATATGGCGAGGAACTCGCTGTTTTACGCTCGCCGTATCCAATCGGCGCCGCGCGCAGCGCTCCCTCACCGCATAGCATTCTCCCCAAAATCGTTGGTGTTCTGTTCGGCGCTGATTATGCTCATGCATCGCCATTCGTCAAGGAAGGATGCTGAATGATCGTCGGGGAGCGAGGAGCATGTTAATGACGCATATGGGATGAAACGCGGTGGGTGAAAGGAACGCTACCTTTCCATAATCGAACCTTCCCATCGTCCCCGCTGGACGAGAGGACTGTCCCTGTGACATTCCATTCCACACGCCACACCTACAGCAACTGCTTTCAGTATCCCACATCCTTGCACATGCGAAACGAAATATGTATCTACCTCAGCCGCATGATCACTAAAAGTCGCCACAGTCAAAACCCGAAACTTTCTCGCCGCCTTGGTCGCAAACCCCGTCGCAAACCCAGCGGCCCCTGTCGTCCCGCGTCCGCCCTCCTCGACCAATTTAAAGATGCGTACGCATTTGTCTTTGCATGCCGTTGCGATCAGTTGGTAGCTGCGTCCGACATTGGGTGCCCAGGCGACGTCGGTTACGACGTCGGTGTGGCCGGTGAGGACTTCGTGCGGGAGCCATTTGTTGTGTGGGTCTAGGCGATAGATCTGTGTCGTGGTGGGAGAGGCGTGAGTGAGCATGCTGGTGGTGGGGAGGGGTATTGAGTCACTGGGAGCGTACTATACCTTGACGTACAATCCGTGCCCCACGGCCAGCATCTGCGGCTGGAAACGAGAGGGACACCAAGAAAGGCACATCTGCCCTTCCGGGTCTTTCGCGCCTGGTACGACTTCTATGTCATCCTGCAGCACACTAAACGTCAACAACCGCCGCCGAGTCATATGAACGCAACTGATGAGCAGAAAGACCATACCATAAGCGTCCAGTGTCCCAACTGCATGACATCCATCGCCTCGTACATGCGTACGATCCCATCCGCACCACATGACGCCTGTAAGGTAATGGCTCAGATTCCGACAACTCTGCAGCTATGGTCGTTTCAGCCCTAAACATACGAATTTAAGCCCCAAATGCGTCGGCGCAAACTTGATATCTTGCACCGTCCCTTTACTATCCGCCAACCGCGCCTTCTCCGCCCATCGCCGTCCGCCATTCTTGGCTTCTACGTTCCCCAAAACGCGCCAGGTGAGGACCAGCATGTACCGCCTCGAGCCCCAAGTGTTGTCCAACCCACCCTGATCTTGCTCCTCCCATACGCGGATAGTCCGATCAATCGAGCACGTTGCAAATACCTGCCCGTATTCGGGGTGTGCCCACGTTATTCGGAGGACGCTTGAATCGTGGCCCTGTTCGTCCCATGTCAGCAAACGCCGGTGTAAGGGCTTGTGCATGAGCAGTCTCTACCTTCCAGCTATCATTAGGCAGCCATTCCCCTGTTTCGTCGTCGTAATCCCAGACTTTGATTTTTTGGTCTGATGAACAGGTCTACGAGAGGAGAGGGGAAGTCTCAGTTGAGCACTCGGCAACGGGTTGGGAAAAGGTCGAGTTCGAGCGGCATCTTACCGCCAGCCGCTTGCCATAAAAGTCGTATGCCACGTCGTGGATGAGGTCGTCGTGGCCTGCGGAGAACTGCTTGACTTCGTTCATGACTGTAAGTGAAGCTGCTGCTTCGCTGCTCTGCAATGCAATGTCGAAGTGACTTTCTATGGTGGGAAGAACCACCATACGCGTCGATCGAAGCCCGGCACATTTTTTGAGGGGTCCCATAACCCAACCAAAAACAACTCTGTTCCTCTCTATCTACATCAATATCTGCAATATATATGCATGCGAACGAGACGCTTCCTATATGTACATATTTACAATGTGCTTCCTTTTCCGCTTTTCTTCGAAGTTAACGACGGTGATACCATTCATGTTTCGGTTGCTGGCGGAGCAGATTCAGTTTTTCCATCTGAGACTGCTTTCATCTCCCTGACCAGTTGAAGGACTGCGATATGAAGCGGGTGAGGAGTTGATGACATCGGACAACAAATAATAAAGAATGCGAAAGGGATAAATCAAGAAACGGGAACGTACCGCCTCTCAAGACCTCCACATCCGTCAACTTCGGTCTTTGCCCTGCATCCGTTTCTTGATTCCGTAGAGAAACCGGCAGTTCGGCCCTCAACTCATCCAACAGCCCGCGCATGGTCGACCGCTTGCGCTGCTGACGAAGCACATGTATCTGCCTTTGAACTTCCTCCGTGGACGGTACAACGGCGCTGGAGACTGTGGAGGATGTTGTGCGGCGATGGGTGGAGCGTGCCGGGGTTTGGCTGGATCGTGGTGGTGGGAATGGGTGAAGCTGGAGGCCTGATGGGTGGAGGAAGGGTGCGTTTGACGGTGGGGCGGAGGCTGAGAGTGTTCTAATAAGCGGGATGAACCGAGTTAGCTTCAACGTTTTCAGAAATGCATCCCGTAAACCCATAGCTCCCTCCTAACCACGAAACCACATACCGAGCCCGCCTTGGTCGCGCATGAACGACAGCCGGTGCACTCGGCTGCTGACCGACTCTCAGATCCGTCAGTCCCGTCGCGTTCATCGTCCCCGTATTCATCGAACTCGAGAACCCCATTATTGGCGGCGAGAACATCGGATGGGAATGTCGATGATGCACGCCCTCCATGCCCGGAAGCACAAAGTAGGCGTCATGATGATGCTGGAAGTGGGGGTAGCTGGCGAAGTTGCTGACAGGGGAGAGTGGGGAAAACCGCATGTTGGGGTCGGGCAGCGTTTCCGAGTTTGTGAATGCGTTTGCGTTTGCGTTAGCGGGTAGAAATTGAAACTCGTCTGGCATGGGCGTGCCCGAATCAATGGCGTAAGTATTGTCAAAGTAGGCGCCAGCGCTTACATCGTACCCCGTACGGAGAGATCCTAGTCTGCCGGCCTGCTCAAAGGCATGCATCGTGCCCCTGCCAGGCCCGACCGGAAAGTGGTGCCAGCCCCAGTAGGGACCGTTGTCCTGCTGTTTAAAGTTTCTGGAGCTCTCAACCGTTGAAGGCCTCGATATCTGCGATGGGACAACAGCCGAGACCGTCGATAACCGAGCGGTTAAGGGCATGCGCAGGTCTGGTTCCATTCCGACCTGTACGTCGTAGGATTCGAACATCTCGTAGTTGGTGTCGGTAGCGACACCATGTTGATTCTCCGGGATGAGGCTCATCTCCTCAGTTACGGTGACTGGTAGGCCATGCGATAGGTCTGTCGAGGACGTACACCAGCGTTGGGTGATGTTACTGCTTCCGCAGGATTGGGCGAATTGCAATACGAACAAGCAGATTCACCGTGATATTCTGCTCTTTGTGTCGATGAGGGTATAAGGGTAAAAGATGGAAGCAGTTGCTATATTCCTCTGAAGGCGTCAATGCCTTGCCAAACCCTTCGATCCAGCGTGCAAACGCACGGACGCTCTGTCAAATGCGGGCGGAGACTTTGCTCTGATATAGAAATTGTGCGCAGGTGAGACGATTCTTTTTCTGCAGAGACTGGAAGGCGAACAAATCCAATCCGCGTCGGAGACATAGCCGACAACATACGCAGTGCGCCGCAACGATAAAACCTTCCAACCCTGTTAGCTCTCCATAAGCTACCACTACTCCTGCGGCCGACCGCCCCTCCATCGGCTGGCATTGGGCAAAGGATGTCTCCGGTTCGGTGCGCCCATTTCCTGTCAGGCCTGTAAGCGTTGGTTTCGGGTCCCCGGCATTGACCAAAAGGGGATTATTCTGTGAGTTCACGACGCCTACCGCACGCGAAGCCGTGTCGGGTAGCCTTCTGTATCCCATGTCCTTTGCCCAGCCGCAGGGCCCGTGCCTTTACAGCATTGGCCACGGTTTTTTAGCGACCCCGTCAAAAAATCGCGCCGCGGGACCTTCGAGTACCAATTTGTCGGGTTGGCGTTTGTCTCGGAAACCACGTTCCTGGGATTTTTGAGATTCTCACCAAATGCACCCTCCCCAGCTCCTGCTCCGCCGCCTCTATACGCATAGCTCTTGTACGTTGAGACAGGGTGAATCGTAACCTCAATTTAGAAATGTAACATGTTGCAGCTTGTAAGCAGCGGACAGAAATCTCCGACAGAAATCTCCTTCCCAAGAAGAGGATTGAAATTCGGAAAACGTTCGACAGGGTGGTCCGACGTATCATCCAAAACTGAACAATATTCTTTCTTAGCTCCGTGATGCAGGACTTTGGATGGGCGGCTAATGCTGGGATGTTTCCGACGCAGATGTATCTGGATTTCCCGGTAGCTTTGTCGTGCTGCTTATACCCATCGGAACGTAAAACCAGCCCTGATGTCTCACCTAGGTGGTGTGCCGGCAAGGGGCTTCAGTATCAAGATGCCCGTTACTCGTTATTCGGCCAAAAGGACAACCTCGCGCTTGCACCACAATGATGAGGCTGATTAAATCGGCCAGAATCGCCCTCTTCACGGAAACCGGTGGTTTGCCGCCTGCGCATACGCCGAAAAAACAGAGGAACTTATTGATATGATGATGAGCTAGGCTGAAAAGCCTCAGGCTAGCTTCCGTATCGACTTGAACTGATCCCAAATCGCCCGATGTGGCTTGATCTCAAAACAATACATTTACATGAAAAACTTCTTCAAATTCCAAAAATGTGATGCGCTCCATCTAGCCCTCCGGTTACACCGTTGCCTTCGCCTTTTCGATGACCTGTTCAGCGCTGATTTTGTTCTCTTCGCAGGAGCTGTCTGATTCCACCTCGACCCACTTGGCTCCCTTCGTATTTGTTTCCGCTGCAGGTTTGATGACCTCCTCATCATCCTCCTCCTCCTCCTCACTACTATCGTCCGAATCTTCAGGTCCGGATAGGTCATCCCTAAAGAGCCGAGTCGTATGAGCATGTGTCCGGAATTCGACAAGGTTATATGTCTTTGAGCACCTACCACTGTGATAGGTCCGCCGCCGGCTTGACCGTCACCTTCTCCACATTCTTGACCTTCAGGGCCGCGCCCACCGGAGCATTTTTCAGCGCTTTCACGACGGCGTCCTGGATATCATCCATCACTTCCTCATGGTTTTTAACAAAATCTGGATCGTGGAACCGAATCTTTCGCTTCTCAGGCTCCTGCAGGTCCTTCTCCAGCTTTTGGATCAACTCCTCTTGCCGTTTTCGTTTGCGTTCAGGTTCTTTTTCAAGATAGTCTGCAAGTCTGTTCGAAGATGACGATTAGACACAGTACATCTTCCGTACAAACTATGCGACGACAGACTTACTTTTTGGCATCATTCATGGTCTTGAGCCGCCTTCCCGACAGATCCCTACACGCTTCAAAATTCGTCGTCTTTTGCGACGCCATTTTTCCACCCTGTGCTCTCAACATGCTCCCGAATCCTCCTTTCCCGCCGGGAACCCTGACCAGCAGGTTGAAAACTAGTGGAAACCGTCCCGCCTCGGCGCAGTCATTTCCATCCTCGAGGTCGTTGTGAGGGAATAGAGGCAACTCATCAGAGACGGGGCGACCACCTTCGGTTGTTAAGAGCTGGTCGGTGGGATGTAACGGAAGCACAGATGAGATCTGGTTCTTCAGATCTTCCACAGTAAGCTGCTTCCTCTGATTGACGGACCCGGCACCGGAGTCATCAGAAAGCTGTAGACAAAGCGGCTGCAGGCCGGCAAAGAGGTTGACGACGACTTGAGTAGGCATTGCTGAGAGGAGTTTCGAGAGGTTGAAGGTCTTCGACGGTTGGAGCTTTCAGACTAAGAACTTCAGGTTGAGAAGAAGCCAAGTCAAGCCGGGAAGTACACAGCGGAATGTCAGCGCCGGTTATGTCCACTTACTTGTCTTAAATCGGAGGATGATTTTATTAAATCCCATTTTCTGAGTTTTCTGGTCGTTTCTCGTTTGACCATTTCGACGTGATATGTTACTTGATATTCGGCCCAACCCGCAAAGTGGTCCAACAACGAATTCGCCACCGCCACCATGAAAGTAAAGAGGCAAAAAACCAATAGGCGGCATATGAACGTCTACACCCACTCATATGGGTTCAGAGAGCCATTCCAAGTGCTAGGTACGTGGTGTCATTTTATCAGATAGTGGATTATCTTTGGGAAACATGACTGTGACGAGAAGTCGAAAGCAGAGACCTCCTCAAAAGTATTCCTATGGCATGTCTCGCAAAGGCTCACTCTTGTTATTCCTTGACTACGTAGTGGACGGCAACTTTGTAGCTGTAGCTCTGCATATGAAAACCGACCTAAACGAAGCCTTGGGCCGAGTGCTGACAGGACCAGCAAGAGCAAGTAAGAAGCTCCCTTTCACATCTCTTTCATAGACTTTCGAATTGATCAAGCGAGTCTCCAGTGACGACAGCATGCGTCCAAGCCGAACTTCGCACTCTAGGGCGGGACTTTTACGCCGCGCTTGAGTCTGCGCGCTCCCTCGAGCGCCGTCGCTGCACACACCCACCACATGCGCCTGTGGCAGCAGCGCAGTGCATTGCCGAAATTATTGGAGAAACGAACAAACATAATTATTGCGTTGCGACGCAGGATTTGCCGTTGAGGAGCAAGCTAAGAAAAATTCCGGGAACCCCACTGATCTATATCAACAAGAGTGTGGTGATCCTGGAGCCGCCCAGTTTAGCGACAACCGAGTGGGTCAAGGAGGTACGTACGTCCTCTTCCATTACTGAGATGTAGCGCCTCTCATTCCAGCATTGGAACGTTGCAAAACTCATATAAACTACCTTGCAGATGGAAAAGAAGAAGACACTTCCCCAAGCATTCGAAGTATCTGTCATCAATAAACCGGCGGAACCGGAACCCGAACCACCGAAGCGGAAGAAGAAGGCCAAGGGCCCCAACCCCCTCTCTGTAAAGAAAAAGACGAAGGAAGAAAAACAGGCTGATGCGGCCAAATCTGCCGCGAAGGCGAAATCGAAGGTCGGCGATGGGAAAGCGGGGTCGAAAAGGGTCGCTGGGAGCGAGGAAAAGGCGAAAGGGGGTGAGGCAGGAGGAGAGGTTGATGGTATAGACGGCACAGATCCCGGGGCGAAGGCGGTAACTGAGAAAGACAGCACGACGGATGCCACGCCAGTCGTAGGAACCAAAAGGTCGCGAGACGCAGAGGAGAGCGAAGCGGCGTCAGCGAAACCCAGGGATGCTCAGGCTGAAAACTCCTTTGAGAGTGTGCCGAGGAAGAAGAGGAAGCACAAGCACAAGCCACGTGCACTGCGGAGGGCTGAGGGAAGCGCAACGGCTGGTGTCGCGGAATTGGCAGCGTAAGAGTAGCGCAAGAGAAGAGTAGCGGAAGTCAACGTGGAGCAGTTTGCGTAGATACGCATTTGCGCATTTTTTGGCGATAGAAATCCTGGTACCATAGCCGTCGTTCTAGAATCTAGAATTTATAGCGTTTGTCGGTTCCGGCATTTAGTGTCATAGAACACTTTGTGAATGGCACGAAACAGCGCTGCGTCTAACCACGGAAGACTGCTGGTATTGCTAGTACTCCTTTCCGCTTCTGCACGCAAGTTTGCAGGCCTGTTACTTGGATATTCCCTTACCCCGTGACTATATACATAGTCTGTCTTGGCCAATTTAGGTGAGTCGATACGTAGGTGTTCGTCGGCTACGAAGGGCCACCACCACCCCCAAACCGATTCTGCGCCATCTGCTTGAACATCGCCATTGTGGCATCCTCTTTGGCGGCGTACGCTTGCACCTTGCCCGCCATGGCACTCGCCTTCTCATCCCTGAACGCGTTTCGCCGCTCCTCTCGCCGCGCCTGCTGTCTCCGCACGGACTCTAAACTCGTGTCTCCCGCGCCACGACTACCTCCACCCAGTAGATCAGCGTCGTTCAATTCAACATCAACATCGCGCTCTTGCTTGTGGTAAGCATTCTGTGCTCGACGTTTCTCGATTTGCGCTTCTCTGTGAAGAAGGCAAGACGTTAGTGTCCGAACGACCGCCGTAACATACAACGATGTATGGCTCCCACCTTCCAGTTGCTTTGGGCAAGAGCTCGTCCATCACAACCTCATTGTTCTTGCGCATGTCCCGATTTTCACGACGTTGTCGATTGCGATCGTCTTCTTGGCGGTCCAAATCTACAAGCAGCGCAGCCAGATCAATCAGCGATCGTCCAAGCGCCAATATGTCATGACGGTAGGATGTATACCATTGTCGCGTTCTAAAGCTGTTCTGGCCCGTGCCGCTTCAGTGTCGCACAATCCGATTAGTCAAATAACCCGCAAATACGAGGACGTCGCCTCCGTCGGCGGCCCTTACCAATGGCATTGCTCTTAGCCTCCTCCCTGGTCATTGGCCGATTGAACAGCTGCGATGATTGTGTCAGCGAGTCGACGGAATCGCGGGCGCTCACTAGCTCTTCCTGAGCCTACAGGATCGTGACGATGGTTGAGTTTCCTCGCCCTGCGATAAGAGAGTTCTTCTCAAGCCTTACCAGATTTTTGAACTTCCATTGGTGCTTCGTACGATCCGCCGCCGGAACTTCGGACGAGGCGATTCCTTCGTAGTACTTTTCTTTTGACGAACATGTGCACAGATCGTGAGAAAAACGGTTCTCTTGAAGCCGTTTTGCACACATCATTGACCCAATGCACAAACTCGTCTCTGTTCCCAAGGACCTCTTACGTACTATCGAGTTTTCCCCTATTCCAGCGCTTCACAAACTGTCGGTCCGGGAAAGAAGTAGACCATATGAAAAGTTCAGTAACAAGACTCCTCTTCGTGCTAGGAGATCCTGCCACCCCTCTAACCTCCCGACTGGTCCCCATGCACACCTTTTCAAACAAGCTCCTCGCCTCCTTTCCACTCAACTCCTCAAAATACTGCTTCTTCTCAAGCCGCAGCCACGTTTGGAATTCGGTCGACTTCGCAAAATAATCGTCCTCGCTTAACTTTCTCTGTCCATGTCGCTTCGCCTGATCATCGTCCTCCGATTCATCTTCGTCGTTCGATCGCTCTTCCCGTCGCTTTGACTTTTTCTCACTCTTTGATCTTCGCGACTTCTCATCGTCGCGGGAGGACGACTTATGGTCCCTGTTCGACTTCTTGCGGGATTTTGAGTCGTGCTCCCGGTCTGAGCCGGAATCATAGCCTGGAGAGGTATATCGGTCCGACCGCCGGCGCTTGGATGTCTCCGTCGTACTCATGGTGCTTTCGATTTTGGGATGCGGTAGGAATTGCCGACTTATGTGTAAGCACTCCGTCAACTGGGGCACATCAAAATGAGAAAATCATGACTAGGGTGTTGTAGAATCTATTAAATATTTACAAAGGGACAAGAAGAATAATGCGAATGCTGAATAAATCACGAATGCAGACGGAACGGGTAGAGTGTAGCGTGCACTCTGATGGAGGGGTGAAACAATCGCTTCGAAACGGCGGGAATGTCTCAAGCAGTAAACAAAATGGATGAGAGGCATTGAGGGAAGGGTTCTATTTCTTCTCCTTCTTGCTCTTCTTCTTCTTGTCGGATTTCGTCGTCTCCGCCTTTTCCTCCACGGGTGCTTCCTTCTTCGACTTCTTCTTTTTGTCTGTTACGGGCGTCTCAGGCTCGTCCTTCTTCTTCTTGTCCTTCTTCGCCTTCTTCTTGTCTTTGCTGTCATCCTCCTCGTCTGCCTTACGCTTCTTTGGTGTCTTCTCCGCCGAATCCGATGCTAAAGTCGCAACCAAATCATTCAGACTCGTCCTTTCCAAGGTTTCGAGACGATTTCAAAATCCATACCTTCTTCATCATCCTCATCTGCGACAACGTCCATCAGATCCGACATGCCGACCTCCGCCAATGCCTTCTGCATAACCTCTGCGTTCTTACGAGGAGTGACACCCTCCTCGTAGAAACGAACACGCTCATCAACCTGTTCGCGGAGGAGCTCACCGAACTTGCTGGTAGGCTTGTCCAAGAAGCAATCGATACGGCAAGCGATGGAGCATTTGTTCGCAAGAACACGAGAGATACGTCCCTTGTTCTTCTGTGCGGCACGGCCAATGAATGTCGAATGGTAAATGAGACCGTACTTGGGAGTGTTTCCCTTGGTCTTCAAAGCGCGGAAAAGCGCCTTTTCAGCACCGAGAATCTGCACGGTTGATGCTGGCAGTTTCGCCAAGTTGGTCAAGCTTCCAGCGTGCGCAACGAGACGCGCTCCGACCATCTCGCCAATAAGGGCAGACAAATTGGGGGCGACTTGGTGCATCTTGCTAACGAGATACCCGTGGAGAGATTTTCGGTAGTCGGTCAAAGCGATGACACGGTCAGCAAAGTTCTGAATGTTGGCCATGTCGATTTCGGAAATGTCGGTACCCATGGAGGCACGGCCAGCATCGATAATTTGCTTCGCCTTAATTGGGTCACCGGTGATCTCCTCAAGACCTTCCAGCTTGTCTTCACCAAGGTCACCCTTGTTCTTAATGAACTTGGCGAGCTTAGCGTACATGGCGTTGTCGCTGCTGATCTTAATGAGTTCGGGGAAGTGCCAGCCGTACCACTCGCGCACCCGCATAGAAAAGGTGTTGACGTCCTTATCCAACTGGTCCAGCAAATTGATAGACTGAATGATCATGTTGTCTGCCCTGTTCACGTTGAACTTTACTTTGGCACGGGAGTATGCGTGACCGAGACCGAGCTGCGCGCGGTCGAAATCGCCTTCCTTCAACTGACTCAACAACTTCGATGCGTGAACACGGATCCCACGAAGCAGTTCACGGACGGTATCGTTGTGGAGACAGTCGTAACCCAATTCCGCCTTGATTCCTCCTCCCAAGTTCGACTCCGACACTCCCAGCTGAACCTTCTGCTTTTTGCCAGCCTTTGGCAAGTTCATTTCCAGGAACGCCTTCAGCGATGGGTTAACAACACCTAGCAAGCGGAAAGTCGCATTAGTTCCCGTTCCCGCTTTTAGTTGAATGCCAGGGTAACAGCCGTACCTTCGGAAACGTCCATAATGTTTTCCAAAGCATGGGCGGCACTTTTAAACGGCGTGAACGACTTCAGCTTGACCATTTTGCTGAACCGAGACAGGTCCAAGACGCTTTGCTGTACTTCCTCCAAGTCCTGACCAACTTCCTCGGACTCGATGCGCTCAAAGAGAGCGTACCCGGAGGCCGACTCGAAAAGGAGAAAGAAAGACTTTTCGAGTGAAATAAAGTTAGTTGAGGCTCCTTTACGCTCCGGGCGAAAAGGACAGAACTTGTCCGCTAAGACTCGAACTCGCCGAAGCTTACCATGGCGAGTTTATGTTTCGTAAAAGGAAATGGGTGGGTGATCAAGACGAACGGCGTGCGGTGCACCAGTCTCCGAACGGCGGCAAGCTGAAGTCAAGTACAGCACCTAGAGGATACTGAACGACTTCGAAAGAAACTTTTGCCGGATGTCGTCGAGAATAGCAGTGTCCTCAAAGCGGAAAGCGCAATGTTCACCACCAGAGCGAAATGCAAGTCCAAAGTTTTCTGGCACGTCACGTGATATACTGTATTGTCAAAAATGGCATGGTCGCGCCGACTAATCCGAGAGCGGGCTGGCGGCTATAATATATAGCCCTTCTCGACGCAACGACAGGACCCTCTACAATCCGCCTCTCCCTTTACCCTCGCCCCTCTCGCTCTCTCTCGGCATGGGTCCCCTGTGCGAATCATCCCTGATCGGGGCCACGCCAGCTCCATCCCCATCATTGGTGCTTCCATATCCCTTTGAGCTTCCACTCTTTTGATCCCTCTCCGCATTCGTATCCGCCCTCCCATCGCTCTGAGAATGTGAGTTCTTGAAGCGGTGCGTGTGCGTCTGGTACCTCTTTACATCTTCATCCTCCGATTTGGATGCCTTTGAAGTTGCGAGTTTTTTCTGTGTGGGGATCTTGGCGGGTGCGCTTTTGCATGGGTCGACTTGGTCTTTGCCGACGTTGTTGCCGTACCCCGCCGTCGCATAGCTGCGGGCGAGGATGGGAAGATCGGTTGGTTGGCGGGAGATAGTCGGGCCAATGTGCGCTTTGTGATTTGTGCGAACATGTTGATTATTGTTCCTATGATAGGTTGATGTATTGATGATGGATTGATTCGAGGAATTGATTGCAATGGCCAACTCGGGGCTGCTGAAGTTTTTATTTGACCCGTTCTATACAACCTTTCATGGAGTGGAAAAAACTAAGAACTAAAGGAAAGTCTTATTGCGCTACTAAGCGCGTAAAGACCGCCCCTTGTCAGGTAGGTGTCAGGTAGGCGTCTGTTGGGGAAAGCGTGTTTCGAATCGAAGAACTGAAGAAGCCAATGAATGGCAAATGGTAATGAACACGGCAGTTCGCAGACTCGAGTGCGCACCGCCAGAGAGTCTCGACGGCCCTCTCAACCTAGTTCACTGTAACCTACGTGGCACTCAGTGTGGCACTCGTTTGCTGTCACAATGTTGGGCTGCACACGAAAGAAGTGCTTCAATTGTCTTGGTGGTTTGCCTGTAATTTTCGTCATCCTTCTGATAGGTAATGTCAGCAACGAACTAGGCTCAAATCATGTACGCCTCGAGCGCTGATTATCATTGCTATGCACTTCATGGCGCTGGTCGTAGGATGGAGCTACTATGCATATGTGGGAATTTTCACCAGTGAGTAAAAGAATTGAAGTCATTGCCTGCATGTCTGTGGTGGTTAACTGGCCATTGTCTTCCCAGCTCAAGTGATATATCCCTCGGGTGTCCTTCAAGCAGGTGACTCATGGATATCGCAGGGAAGGAATATCAATACATGGCTCACCTTTCGCTTTCCAGTTTCCTATCTCGTCATATATCATGCGCTGCTCGGGATGTTTGGTTGGTCATACTATGCGGTCGTCAGAACATCCCCAGGACACCCAAGGCAGTTGGAGAGCTTAGACCGAGACGCCTACTGCTGTCAGGGACCAGCTGCAGCAAGAGGTCCGATGTCTCGATACGATACTCCAGAGACATTACCATTGACTTCATCCGACGACGATACAACTCTCAAAGAGACGGAGGACCCGTACGTCCGTAGTCATCAAAAAACAAATAGTGCTGTCGGGGAGGAAAGGATGCACGAGCCATTGTTTGTGGACTCGGTTACGTGGGACGCCCATGCCCCTCGCCTGTATCCGCCGACGCAAATGCTGGAAACTAAGCAGGACGGCGCACCGCGATTTTGCACGAAGTGCAACAATTGGAAACCCGATAGAAGCCACCATTGCTCGATATGTGAAAGGTTCGTATAATTGCCACATGCTCTGGTCGCTTGTCCATCATGAAGACCTCACCTCAATGTGCCCTCAGATGTGTGCTCAAACTTGATCATCATTGTCCGTGGATAAATAACTGCGTGGTAAGTGCGTCTGATGTCACGTAACGTGATATATGGCACTGCTTATACTGAACGATACCCTCTCGCAGGGCTTTGCAAACTACAAGTACTTCTGTAAGTCCCTCGGAATTTGATCTCTGGCAAGTGGGGGTATTCTGTCATATCCTACGATGGGGCTGACCCTTACTGCCATTCTAGACTTGTTCATCCTGTACACCTTTTTGTACTGTATCTTCATATTCACAACAATGGCAGTATCTCTGGTGAATAGAGAAGATCTCATCCAGGTAAGCGCCATGTCCTCCATGATCATAATGTTCTCAAATGGTCAACCTTTGCACGCAGGGTCTAGTAGGGATAGGATTTCAGAATACCTTCCTTCTCATTGTCTCTGGCGTATTCGCACTCTGCTTGCTAGCCTTCGTTGGCGTACATACGGGCCTCCTAGTCGACAATAGGTCGACTATAGAAAGCCTCGAAGGAGCGAGGAGAGTCAGACTGGAGGATGGCACCACGCGGTTAGCGAAAGAGAAACACCTATTCGATATGGGGTATAAGAAGAATTTCATCGAGGTGTTCGGACCGCGGTGGGAGCTTTGGCTTGTACCCGTTTACACTAGGTATGTTGGGTCCCATTACGTGCACCCTGCTTATGGAGTGCTGAGGCAGACTTCCCTCATATCACCATGCAGTATTGGCGACGGACATAGCTTCCCGTACAACAAGGAAGTCTACCGACGACTTCTAGCAGACGTATGAGCTTCTAGACTCTATCGTCCGTTCTTGTAGCTATTAGACCATCATTCTTGGAGCCATGTACATAGAGCCATCTCAGTGTTACGCATACCACGGCGTTCGATTGTTTATTTTGCGTCATTAAGGAGTGGTTCATTTCTGCGTATGTATTGTACCCCGGCGGCGCGGTGTCGAAATTGGTTGCGTCAGCCATTTTGTTTTCGACAGTCGTTGAGAGTGCTAGCGATAACTGAACCTGCGCGAGCTTAGAAATGTGCATGTGGCGGAGTTCTTGAAGATCGCCTTCGCCGATCCCCCCAGTTGTACCTGACATTGTCGATCAGCGATGAATCTTGGGCGACATCAGGGATCGTTGATGAAGTCGGGCGGCCGAACTCGGCCGCCTTGGTCATGTTTCCCTCCGCATAGACAGATGCCCTTCAAAGGCGCTCCAAATACCCTCAAGGACCGATAGTTCCCCACTGGAGCCGTACGGGATCCGTATACCAAGAGGAACCTGGTCAGGGTCTGCTGCGCACGCGAACCTTACGTGTTCGCGACCGACTTTGTGCACCGGGTGCCAGAAAGAGGTATGTCACTGAAAAATTGTCGGATTTATTATTCTTCGGAATCGGATCCTATACCAGCAGTAGGTTAATAATAGACCAATGCCTGTACGATTTTTTCGGCGTATTCCGAATATGATTTCCATTTTTCATTTCTCTGGACCCTGATGAAGCCTCGTCCCTTCTCCGCCGTCAGCAATGCGCGTTACACATAAGTACGACCCACCGCTGCCAAGGTCGCTCCAGACCTTCCATCGGCGGCAATTGCCTATTGCATAGATTCACTTCTGGGACATCCATATAGCTCTACACATCCTACCCCTTGCAAAATCGCCCTGGTCGAGCCTATCGGTCGCATCCATCTAGGTCTTTTTGCTGCAGTCATCCCCGCAAACATGCAAAAACCGTCGTCTCCGATGGATATCCTACACGCCGAAGTATGCGCCGGTGACCCAGCAGCCGCGTTCTATGGTGCGGAGTTCGCGGTATATCAGCACGCCAACACGGTGCAGCGCCCGCATGGCGGCGGCCTCGTCTCTCAAGGATCCGGAGGCAGCAAGTTTCCGAAGAAGCGGGAACAAGTGAAGAACGCATGCGGTAAGTATTGACACCTCGCCTGAAGCTGTCGGGCTGTCAATCCGGCAGCCACGTACTCCCACGAACTCTGTCTATTGCGAAACAATCTGATATCTAGACGCTTTCACAGTCAACTGCCAAAAGGCCTGCAAGAAATGTGACGATATTCGTCCGTGTCCACGATGTGTCAAATACAACATGTCCAGTCGCTGCTACGATTCTGCCCGCAAACAACGCAAGAAAGGATTTCGCCGAGGAAGCAACGACGGGATCAATAGTAGCGGAACTTCATCTCCGTACTCACTGATGGCCATGGCTGCTGAATTGCCGCCCTCGCTGTCGTATCAGAACCGCGGTATGCCACAGGGGTTGGGGCCGTTTACAGCTTACGGGCCGGGACCACATTACGACGGGATAGAACACCACCGGAGGCAGTCTGAATGGGATAAGCTAAACGTACTCGCCAATGTCTGCACGGCCGTTCTCGACCAAGATCACAGTTCCCCCGACTCTCCGATAATCCCATATGAACCGTCATCCCACGGGTCGTTGTCTTCCGATGATGACCACATGTATCGTATTGGAAACCGGTCGAGGCCAATGCGGTTTGACAAGGCACCTTGGGGTGCCGAGCCTGCATCACGTCGTAACTCTGCCGACTCCAACGCGTATTCCGTTTCTCAACGTCGAGGATCAGGCCTCGCGTCGTCTTTCAGCTCCGGATCACCTAACGGGATTAATGAAGATAGTGACTCACCGCTCACCAGATGGGAGAGTCCAGCACAAAACGCGAGTCCCGTAAGAGCGGGATCAAGCACGTACATGGTAAGTTCGTGTGGCTTTGCTTCTGCTCGAGACTAAAAGAATGCATTGCATAAGCAGGCCCTAGACCTGAATCTGATGGCAACCTCTCATATGCAGGAGCTTGGTATACCGCATCGTACGCTGGAGAATGATCGTATAAGTTACTCGCCGTCGGACGATCATTATCGGCGACCACCATCCGACTTCCAGCATCGCATGCCTCCCTACGAGCTTGAACGACGAATGAAGCCTCAGGAGCACCCCGCTGCGACGATGATGCCGCGGGTGAGCTCGTCACCGGAATACACATACACGTCGCATCCATCAAACCGGCTACAGGCTCCACATCATCAGCATGCAGCGCACCGCGTCGGACCCCGCATCCCACGACAACCATCTTTTCCATACCCGCAACACCTAAACCGCTCCATCTACGCATCATCACCCGCCGCATGGCCGCGCGCACCTCGCAATCCGGGCCCTTACGGAGGTGCCGGTCTGCTGCAATACAACGATCATGCAACAGCCCCGGCGCCCCCAGCGCATGCGCCCTTGCCTTCCATCAGGGAAGCCTTGAACTCCGTGGGACTCGGGCTGGAGGGACCGAGGCGCGGCATATGGGATTAGATATCCGGAGGCCTGCTTAATCTCGGCGACTACGCTATGATGGGCATTGATTGCTTTGTTTTTCCCGGTCTCATCCGACCTCGACGCATTCATGGGGAGCTGTGATGTCCGACGCGCTGCGTCGGCATTCATCAATGAGATGGATCAAATCCGACATACCTCGACGCGACGCATTTTGATGAATTCATTCATATAGTCTTTCTTGCTTATTTTGAGCCCTGCCTCGCTTTGGGCTCAATACCATGCATTGCTCTCAAAATAATGCCAGATGGGCTTCACGGGCAAAGCAGATATCCTGAGTCTTGTTGACAGCAAGCACTGGTCGGCTGGAGATTAGTCCGCTGTCCGTGCTCATTTAAGCGAGTAATCCGTGCCGTGGCTGCGGTAGCTATTACCAACCATACCGGGGTATTTGAGTGTGATACCCATTTGTGCAATGCGCTTGGTACCAAAAAAAAAAAAGTACACATGGACGCAGGGATCCCAGACGTACAAGCAAAATAGAAAAATGCGGGATGAGGGGATCGAACCCTCGACCTCAAGATAACTCATAGAGTATGAGACTTGCGCTACTGCCAACTGAGCCAACCCCGCTTTGGTGTGTCGTTCGAGGGTGCACAAATATATTTTCCTTTTGAACCTTTTGAAAGGTTCTGGACGGAGGACCCCTTCTTTCATTATAGCTGCAGGAAGGGACAACGAATGGTGGCGGTGCAGCTCAAGGGTGCGGGCGCCGGGCAGGGTTGCGCTCGTGGCAATAAGCATGTTATGACGTAACACGTTGAAGTGGAAAGGACGCCGCGCGCTCGTCCCAACTCGCAATTACGCATCATGGATCATGACACATCCACCAAGTGACTCCGTGATAGGGGCGGCAGATGGTCAGGTTAACCGTGGTCAAGCCATGGCGCGGTCTGACTAGGCTAAGGCTTGGCTAGCAATGTAGCAAGCGGGATTGACTAGAAGTGGGTAACTCGTGCTAAATGTGAGTAACTCGGGTTAGGGTTAGACTAGTTAGACAGCTGCCGAGCGGAGCGAGTAGACCCTGATTGTAGGAGGCCGGGTAAGGCCGACTCACCGAAGGCAAAGGGGTTAGGTTTGTTAATCAAGTGGTTCACTTTGGCTGTAAAAAAGTCTTATTCTGGAGGTGAGCTACCCACATTTAGCACGAGTTACCCATTTCTAGTCACGCCCGTAGCAAGCCATCCGTTGACTTGGCCGGAAATGGGCTAGTCATGGCGTGATCACCGGTTAATCGGTCAACCAAAATTCCTGTGACGACTGTGATGATTTGGCAGGGGTAGGGTTAGGGTTAGGGGATTAGGACATTCTTGTCTAGTCCTTTATTAGAAATCTGTCAAAATATACTGTCAAATTTGTATGTAAGCTTAACCATGGTTAACCAATGGTTAGCCGTGGCTGGCCACGACTTGGTTTGATCACCATCCCCTTGACCACCGGGTGGTCTGGCTACGGTGTAGTCAAGCCAAGTCAAACCAAGTCAAGCCATTGCCGTCCGTGACCAGCGCGTCCTGCACGAAGCCACGTATAGGTCGCCCCAGAAATTAAGTCAGTTTCCTCGCGGCTGATCATTGCACCCATCATCCTTATTCAAGGTACTGTATTAGGACCCCTCATCTAAACTAGATCTGTCACTGTCCTAGCCAACAACCGCTGGGCCGACTGCCCACGGCCAGGTGCGACCTGCTTGATGGAAACAGACTGTACCCGTTTTTCTCATTGTTATGTGTTCAACGCCAACTTCGAACATTTCCGAATGCTTCCCGGGTCTATTATTCAAATACAGAACGATGCTACGAGCCCCTCTTCAGATGTACACGAGCCATCATATGTGTAAGAGACAACGGCGAGACCGCCGTCCGTCGCATCGGGAGGCAGGCCTAAGAGGGATGTATGTAACCCCCAACGCTACTGTCGGCGCCCCAAATGTTCGTGGCTACGTCTCGACGATTGATCGGAAATGGAATAAGGTGCCAAAAAAAGGAAGAGGGTTCAGGTTGTTCCGCCGCAGATGGATAGATCCATCAGCTGCTTTCGAGTTTCTCACTCGGAATCGCTTTCGGCCTTTTTGGCAGCGTTCCTCTTGGTTGCGTTGCCCTTCTTCTCCACGACTTGCTCAACGACGACTTCCTTCTCGACGATGACGGCCTTCTTGACGGGGGCGGCCTTGGCTGCGCCCTTCACAGGTGCCTTCTTGGCCGGGGCCGGAGCACCGAACACGAGGCTCATGATGAAGAGAGGGACAACGAGGGATCCAACAATGGCGGCGGCGACCCATGGGAGTTCCTTGACGGCGTCCAGAGGGGAAACGCGGGCGCGGTCGAAGAATCGGTGGAGGTATTCAAGGTCGGCGTACTTGTCAACGTAAGCGCGGGCCTTCTCAATCAAGGGGAGGGTGGAGTCGATGACCTACGAATATCGTGAAATGTTAGAGCGGGAAGCCGACGCGTTTCGAACCCAGTATAATGTCACATACCTTGTCCACTGGCTTCTCCTTTGCGAGCTTTTCCGCGGCCTTCTTAACCTCGTCTTCCTTGGCTTGCTCGATCTTGTGCTTCACGGCGAACGATTCCTGGGCCAACTTGTTGGCGTCCTTCTCACTGTGACCGACGTAGATGTTGTCGAACAGAATACCATTTTGCATAGTCCAGATTTCGAAACCAATGGCTCCCTAGGGATATGAGGGTTTCTGTCAGAATCCTGTAAACTCCCATGTGAATCTTCAGGAACGCATGTGAACTCACAATCTTGTTGAAGTTCGATGGCGTCTTATCCTCGAAGTAGTTGGGGTTGGCAATCTTCTTTGGGGCCCACACTCCCTTGTAGAGAGGGTTGTCGATCAAAGGTGCCGTCCACTTGCCCTTGTAGGCGGGATTCCTCTTCATTGGCCTCTTCCATTCACCGCAACCGGATGCCTTCTCACACTTGGGGTTGGGAATGCTAGGTGCCACCCACTCGCCGTCCTCCTCGTCATCCCAGTCTTCGGGCTTCTCGGTTTCAGGGTCAGGAATGACGGTAGATTCGTTGTCAAGCCAGTCCGCGGGCTTCTTGGCATCCTCGTCAACGACCTCGAGAGGAGCTTCCTCATCCCAATCCTCGGGCTTTGTGGCCTCAGGGTCAACGATCTTCTCCTCATCAACCCAGTCCGCGGGCTTGGTGTCCGATGGGTCGTCAATTTCCTTGGGAGGGTTGACGGCGGGCGTGAAGTCCTCCAACAGAGAACCCTTCTTCACCTCCTCGTTGTCGATGAGAATCCTGAAGGTTTGGTCGGGATTGACGATCAAGGTGTACAAGTGCGTGTTCTTGTCGGTCTTGGCAGCTGGTGGGGCGTTCAAGTGTTTCTCCTCGATTTCGCCGGTTTTGGGGTTCTAATGGATAGAAGCGATGAGATGACATGTCCGCATGGCTTTCTTCAAATATGTGAACGCATGTCTTACCGTGTGACGGAAGATGAAGTGGACCTTGTTGGTCAGACCACACTTGTCAGGTCCGAACACTGAAGGGCGCGACCTGGGTAAGACATTGTTCGCAAATGTACTTGTCACCGTTCAAGGACACTTACTGATGGTGTATGGGGTCTTGTCGGCAAACTTCTCCTGGTCGAAGGAGCTGTCTGCTGTCAAAAGCTTCATGTAGGCACCTCCGCACTCCAAACCGTTTTGGAGCTTGACTTCATATTGCGCGACAAAGGATTTGCCGGTGGGGTCAATTGGGGTGGGGAACTTTGCCGTGATAGCCTACGCGAGAAGAAGATATGAGCATGCTTTTCTGCGAGTCGTACTGGGAAGGGTTGTTGTGGAGACATACATGGTGGGATGCCGCATCCTTAACGACCAAACCCTCATCTCCAGCGATGGCGATAACATCGGGCTGTTCAACGGCCCAACGTCCCTTGTAGTGCAGCAAGTCCTCATCCTCGACACCGTCGACAACCTTCTTGGTGTGGGAAGGAATCCAGCGCTTGTCCCACCCGGTAGTGAATTGCTCAACAAATGGGGCGGTCACCGTCGTGGGCTGTATGCATGAAGCAAAAGAAGGGTGGTAAGTATGAGACTTCGCAGCCAAACACGCTGGCAGCAAGTGATGATCTGCCGTGATCCTCTCGAGAAAAAACTTACGTGGAACGCGACGGTCTTGTCGTCCTTGTTGCCGGCGACGACATCGTCAGCAACGGCGGCAGAGATCAGCGCCAAGTAGGCGGGGAGAATGTATCGCAACTGCATGGTAGTGAGGTGGTTGTGAGACTGGGGTCTGAGTGACGACTGGAGGGGTGCAGAAGTCTGGCTGCGAGCGAAGCGAGAGGTGCCCGGCTGGACGCTCTTTTATGTGCGTTTGGAAAGGCGTTGGCGGTCGGCGAATCGTGTAGGATTAAAGAAACACCGTGCGCTAATCATTTTGTTTTGCGGCTTGAGAGGGCAGTTTGTTGGAGGGGCCTTTCCACGAAGTTCGACTATGTGAATGTATGGCACGCACTGATTGGCTGCGGACCTAAATTGCGTCCATACCAGGTTCCCGGATTGGGTTTCGATTTTGAATGTATGTATGTAAATGCTGCACGACATTTCGAAGAAAATACCACAGTCTTTCCTAGCCCACCGAACCCAACCTAGTAGGGAAATACTTTGCGGATACCTTCATTCACCATGACTGTGTCCTTCACCGGTGCCAATAACGTCCTTCGGTTCGCCCCCGTCGTCGAAGCGAAGACGCTGTTCGCACGCCTATTGGCGGCCCCTCCCTCCTCATTGATCGCTCTCTATGCTGCAACCCTCTTGCCAGACGCTGACAACGGTGAAAGCACCGTGAGAGAGCATTTCTCTGACAATATCGTGATCAACTTTGTACAGCCCATGGATTGGGAGAGGGAGACGAGTGCAGGTATGCTGAAGGAGGACGACGAGACCATCCACGGCTGGCATGTTAGGGGAACAAATGTTGTTAATGTCAACGAAGAGGTACGAGGTGTTCTTGTCGTTATTCTTGCGACGTACCCACAACTTCATCCATTCAACTGATGTGCACCTTGCTTCCAGTACATTCATATCAAACAGGATATAGCATACCAGCGCCGCTTGACGATTTTCCTGTTTGTCACGATGCTACACGAGCTCGCTCACTATATAGTTGGAAAAGCAGGAGTGGACTTACCATTGTTTGAGGGTCCCGGGAGGGCATACGCAGAAGCCGGGCACTGCATGGAAATTGCTCTTTTCGGAGGACAATTGGGAACAGAATCCTTCGATCCGTTCGTCGGCCGTTGTCACATTGATGGCCTATACTTGCAAGCCCCGAACGGTAACCGACACCATATCACGTCAGCGTGGTACAACACTTTTATGCAATGCAGTATGTTCAGCTTTGATCCTTTTAGCGGTCAGTGCAACCGGCCTGAACGGGGTTGTTGAAACCTCCATTTTTTCGTGGCCCACAGACTTTCCGATCGCTCTCCCAGTAAACATTCGGATTGATGCCGCGCCAAGTTCCTTCCGTTCTCGTTGCCTTCCAAAAGAAGAGTTGGAAGATTCATCCCGGGAGTCAAAACCAACGCTTGGATCATTATTGGTCGCACTCCCAATTCCTTCAGACCGCCTGCACGCGGAGGATAGGAAGGGTCGCCCCAATCTTTTGAGATAGTTCAATCGTTCTTCTTCGCATCGTCTGTGTCAGGCCGCATTGTTAAGTGAAAGGGACTATCAAGCTAAACGGCCAAAAATGTGCGATGGCAAGGGTCTGGACCCGGGCTCCAATTCTGAATTGATGATTATGGGAGTAAGTGCTGGTTGCGTGGCAGTTTTCAGTTTCTCAATACTAAGGCAACATTCTTCTCAGGCTAGCTCAAACCCGAGAACGAAGGAAAATGTCACGCATTCAATTGACGACTCCGCCAAAATTATCCAGCTGTGTACGAATGCCCTAAAGCTTGAACTACTGAAGCACAAGGAAAAAAAAAGAAGTGCGTACCTCGAACTCCACTTTATGGTGGATAGGACAATAAAGTGGAGTCCGAGTACGCACTTCTTTTTCAATGACCACACTGGAGGACCGGCGATGGAAAGTAGTGCAACTACGCAGTGCTGAGATTCCGATGAGGTGGCGCGAACGGAGCAAGGTGCTCCAAGTATGCGAATTGGTGGCTGCAGCATATTCAACGCTGCTAGAGCAGCAGGAGCTTATGGAACGCATCTGCGAAGAGGAGAGCGGTGCAATTGAAGTGCCAGAGGAGGAAAGAGCACGCCAGGTCCTCAAAAAACTGTCAATCACCGCCTGCGAACCATGAATGCGGAAGGGTACGGAATCATCATAATACATCACCTACACACCGGCTTGCTTCTCGCCACGCTTTCACTCGCGCAACATCTCCCGCTCGCCCGTCGACATTCCGGGCATCGCATCGTGTCCTCATGCCCCCATCCGGATAAGCTCGTAGTACTGAAACTTTCTGAACGTTGCCGAGCGATTGAATGCCCTCGGAGGAGATTATGAGCCTCGTGAAGGGGGAGGCGTTTTGGCAAGTGACTGTGATATGAAGAAATGTAGATTTACGGCGTTGGGCTAGTAGCAGGTTTTGTTGCGTAATTTGGAGCCGCTTGAACGTGTTCTTCATGATATAAAACCCTCAAATCGACTGTACAGTACAGCTCCATGCATAATAGGTCTCTTCTGCCCCTCACGGATTCCCTAAAAAGTAAACGACCAGCGCCTACTCCAACCCGTCCCCGTACGCCGCGCCGCTCATACATGTCCTAGAACTACGCAACATCGCAAGGTGCGTCCGCCGTTGAAAGCCGACTTGTGGAGTTTGTTGATCTTCCAACCCCAAGATTGAGTGTCTTGGAAAAGATCCGGCTTGCTTTCGAGGACATAAAACTCGCTGCCGAAGTAGCAGTACAACTGAAACCAGGTGACGGTTGTTTGCCGCCTGTCGACATACGGCGCTGACATTCCACCGTTTTGCAGCTGCTCCGGATTTACAGCCATTCTTTGACTGATAGGAATGGTGCGTAAGTGTATGTCAAGAACATGGGCAGTTCGCAAGCTTGCGCGGAACTTACAGGTATACACCCAACTTCGCTGGCTCGTCCCTGGGCACATTCTGTAGGTAGACTTGCCACATAGAGCTGAATGAAATGAGATCAGCATGTGCTATTTGCAATAAAAAGAGCTGAGTGCCGAAACTTACCCAGCGTAGAAAAAACGCTCACTGTAGACTTTCTCCCCGCTTGCAATCTGAACCAAATCGTGGAACTCCACCGAGAAGCGCATAGGCGGGAACGTAGATCCGTCATGCTCAATGACATGTGGCTCATTCAGGAGCGTCGCCAAGCGCCAACCATCAATGTGCCGCGTATCCGATTCAGGAACTATCGGTTCTTTGATGCCCAGTTGTGTCGTTTCCGGACTGGCACTAACGACCAGATTTTGCAGCTTCATTTGCGTCCACGCCGCGCGCTCCAGCGTGTCTCCGATCAGATGCCGATCAATGCATTGTGTGTCGTGCTGCTCAAACAGGCTTCGGATTTGCAGCAAGATAGAAAATGGTATATGCTCATAGGCAACGCTGTTACATAAAAGTTCACCGTAGGTTCCGCCGTCTGGGAACTCTTCCTCGTTCTTCTGCGAGTCGTAGGACTGTTCCACGTTTGTCATCTCTGCGGCCGAGGCCATGGCAACTTGCTTCACGCATATTTCAGGACTCTCGCTCATACCGAGTGCTGGCGTATCGCCAAGAGGCAAATGCGAGTTTTTGGGCGGCATATGGCGCTGGCGTTGACGCCTATTGATTATGTCAACAATGAAGCTCCATCGATCTTGCTCCGAGGGGATCCAGAAGCAATCGCTCGACAAAATTCGTTCGAGCCAGTCTATGGGCATTTCCTCGAAGACCGGTCGCAGCGAGCGCCGGCTGAAACCCTCTCGGCAGAGGTAGAGCAGGCATTCCTCAGTTATGGCCTCCGAGTGTTCGCCGTAGCAAAATCGATCGGCAAACAAGAGGTATTCCAGAACCGTTGCAGGGGATATGTCCGAGAGGATAAAATCCACCGCAACATCGCACAATTCTCGGTCGCAGAAAAACAGTCCTGCAGCCAGAACACTGCGCGCATTGCCTCCATTCAGCTTCACCTCGGTTCTTCCGTAAATCCTTCCCAATGTGATGGTGACGCCCTCAACCGTCATGTTTGGGTCTTCCACCTGTATTTTGACGGCCTGTTTGCCCTGCTCCTGCCAAGGCCCTTCCAACATGGCTGCAAAGTACTCGTTGTGGAGTAGCACAATCCGATGCAAGTTGTAGGTCATTCCTAAAATCTCGAGCGTGAAGTCGCTAAAAGAACCCCCAATGAATCCTTTCGTAAAGAGCGAATGGCCGATCCGCTTGAGAGGCGCTAGCGTCTTCGATACGTCCGCACTCGCATTTTTGGCGGTGTTTTTCGATAGGGGTGAGTAGGACTTGCTGACAATGGGAGAGGAGTTCATGACTGCACGACAGAGAAACGACGTTAGCTAATGAATGGAGCTTCGGCGGTCAATTCATCGTACTTACGGTCCGTTATTATGTCTTCGAGCAATGGGGACACCGGCCTTGCCATTTCGGCCGCTATCCGGGCGTACGCTGCTGCCGACATCGTCGTTATTGTTCAATATGCTTAAGTGCTAAACTAAACTCTTCAGAGTGATGTCTCTGTATGTAAGGGTGGTCAGATTCGGGACAAGCACGTAGCTTCCTCGAATTGCATTCGTACTCCATCGCAGAAATTATGCGCTGCGGCCGGTATCTTTCCCGCTGGGGCAAGATAAAACTGTCGGTCACGAGGGCTATCAGAGTAACGGAGCCATTCATGCTCTGTGTGTGCGTTTCAGGAATTCTGCGGTGCGCTGTTTGGGCGATACCAGAACCCGGCGGAGATTGGGATATTCGCGCTGTCGCATAGGTTACATAAGCCGCGATTATTGAGAACCCCTTTGCCTTAGGTGAGTCGAGTCACTCACCTCTACATAGCACCAGTTGCCCACTTCCAGCCATCCCCTTATTATTGCTTCGCATCCGATCTACAGCGGGCACAGCTGTATGTTCCCTGACTGTACTGTACATAATCAGCAGAGCCGGAGATCGCTATCAGAGCCAGCGGCTTCAACACCACTATATATCCTGGGATAACACTCGTCAACAAGTGCAAGCCAATAACTGCTATGGATGTCATCATTTCGGCAATGCCTCCATACCTTGCTTCCAGCCTGCTCGAACGATACATCCATAGCTTTCCGGGAATTACGTTGGATGCTCGAAACAGTAGCCCTTCGGCGATTTCGCTCCGCATACTTTTTCCCTCGGCCATCTCGCCCCTTTCCGCAAGTACATTCTCTCTCCGATGAAGGTGTCCAGCACGCCTTTGAAAAAAGTTGCACAGACCATGAAAGGCAAAGGATTTTCCGCTGGGCATGGCAGAGAGGAAAAGAGAGCAGGCCTTTGCAGTATATATTGGGGACACAGGCCTTTTGCGGGATGGATATCAAGCTGCGGGCGCCGACGCTAATCCCAAGGTATGCCGTTCATACCTGGAAGTTTGGAAAGTGTGCGTCCGTCGATTGATGCGACATCTGGTCTGCACTCCATCAGATGGGAAACCGAAGAGTGGGTGACCCGTCTCTCCTCCATTCTAGCCCCCCAACTCTCAGATCGCAAAAAGCACAACCTCCCACATTTTCGCATACTTGATCTGTGCACAGGCACAGGATGCATCGCAATATCCCTCGCTCACTTGGCGCCACCACAAAGCGTCAAGATCACGGCAGTGGATATAGCCGACTCGGCCGTGGCATTGGCAGGCGTCAATGCACGCCGGTTGCTGGCGTCCAATGATGTGGAAGTACAGAAAGCGGATATCACGGACGACGCACAGCTAGCAGATATGCTCCGAGCAGGAGCGACGGGGGATACGAGATTTGACATTGTCGTTTGTAACCCTCCGTACGTGAGTGATGCGGAATATGCGGAAGTAGACGATGATGTTAGATTGTGGGAAGACAAACGGGCACTCGTCGCTGACAAAGAGGGAACAGCCCTACTCGAACGCATCGCGCAGGTCGCGCAGGCGGGGCTGCTGACGACGCCTACCGAGATGGCCTCCAATGCTAAACCTGCTGTCCCGCGATTGGTAATGGAGATTGGAGCCGCACAAGGGCCAGCTGCAAAGAAAATCGTAGAAGACGCTGGATTCCATCATGTGAGGATATGGAAGGATATGTCGCAACGAGACAGATGTGTTGTGGGATATTAGTTACCCGATCAGGGTTGAATGGAAAGGTCCCACACTCGATCTCATTCTGAGTTTCTCTGCGAGCGAACGATTCTGCGATTTGAAGTGTTAGTTTCGAGAAGGGGTAGCAGATATATAGAAGTGCTGAATGATTGAACATATACATAGAGGTTCGAAAGTTCGGCGAATTTTACATTCCGATCAACGAAATGGGGCTCTGCCTTCGAATTGGTACGGTCCATATGTACTGTAATTTGTGTATTTTCCCAGTCGCTCCTTTTGTTGGGGTTCAAGTTGTCGAAAGTCCTTCCACTTTCGCGCCCCTTGGCCTCGTTCTGACTTTGCCCATCCCCCCTTTGCTCAGCTGAATTAACATCTTGCCACCCTTCCTTCCTCACCACCGTTACGAAGGACCTACATATAACAGGTAAGCTGTAGAACAAGGGCTCACTGGTTGAGCTGCGCCACGGAATCCCTGGCCGGCCTGGCCTTTGGGTTTCCTTCCGTCAGCTCCGCGCACTTTCTCCGCGTCATTTTCACCCAACCTTTCTGTAAACTGACTCCCTGACGCTTGACAGAGGCCCAGCACCGCCAAGCCAATCCACCTACCTTCATTCAAACTTCTCGTCGTTATGTCGGTCACATTTACAGAAGCATGTCCCGTGTACAGGTGGGTAGATTGCCAGACAGAGAATCGGTGATGTTCGCTCATAGCTCTTCTTTGCAACGCGTGCGATTCACTGATAACCTTTCCATGACGGTGCTAGCCCGTTCTTCGGAGCGATGGGATGTACAGCAGCCATTGTCTTCACCTGTAAGCGTTGCATGTTAGGTCGTCTGCGCGGGTTTAGAAAGTGAATAAAAGCTAACCCACCTCGATTATGAACCTAGGCTTCGGTGCTGCATATGGAACAGCTAAATCTGGAGTGGGAATCTCGATTATGGGTGTCATGAGGCCTGAGCTCATCATGAAGAACATCGTTCCCGTCGTCATGGTACGCTCAATCCGTGGAAAACAGCATCTGGAAGAGGAGAAATCCTCATGCATACCTTCATTACATAGGCTGGTATCATTGCTATTTACGGACTCGTGGTGTCCGTTTTGGTTAGCGGTGGACGTAAGTACATAGATACCATGCCCAATTTTGCTGATCCGCCGCCGCATGCAGATGTGCTAATCTTTCTCATTATTCACGTAGTACAACAGAAAATGTCCTTATTCGCGGGTTTCATTCAATTCGCCGCCGGACTCAGTGTCGGACTGAGTGGTTTGGCTGCCGGATTTACCATCGGTGTCGTCGGTGATGCCGGTGTGCGAGGAACCGCACAGCAACCCCGTCTCTTCGTTGGAATGATTCTGATTCTCATTTTTGCCGAAGTGTTGGGTCTTTACGGACTCATCGGTACGTTCTGAACTATGGAACCCTTGGCAAAGAAATGCGCTCTTTTATATTACCGGTCTAACATCAAGTTTTTCGACAGTCGCCCTTATTTTGAACACTAAAGCCGATCCCACCGCTGGGTGTGCCTGATTTAAGAGATACCACTTATCCTTCTCCTGCCCCCCCTCCCTTCCACCCCACCGTTGCCTGTGGTACGATGTAGACTTTGAACGAAGATGATTGTCTTACACCAGTCGTTCGCTTACGATCTACGCTATTTTACCCCGAAAGGATGGGCGCGTTGAATCGTGAAAGGGAGACATGTTGATGCCTTCCAGCTGAAGAAAGCATCGTTCTGTGTCAACGATTGTGGAAATGTGGTTCGACTGTTCGACTGTCGAACATTCGAAAACCCTGCCACTGTCCAAAAAACCAAAATGGCTCTACCTCTGCATCTCGTAGCCAGGTCTGGCGGGGAGCGCTCCGAAAAACACGTTCGAGGCTCCGCGCCCAAAAGCGGGTTGACACTGCCCTTGCAAGGCTCGGAACCACATGCTTGTTGAGCATCCATCCTCGTTCCGATGGACTCTGCCAACTACCCTCAACTAAGTGTCTCGAACACATTCTTGTTTGCTTAGGCTTTGTGGGTACGACTCGGTATGAAATCAAAATGTTGCTTGAGACTTTAAAGGCCTTCGGGAATCGGGAAGGGCATCGGACGACCAAACTTGCGAGAGGATGCCCATTGATTTCTCTGGCTATCTTGGTGATTGCTTTTTTGCTTTGCACTCACTTTGAAGTTGGTGATTGGCATATACGTTTCACTCACTCAAAAGGGTGAGAGACCGTCGTATCAGCGATCGCTCCGTGAAAGGAGCTTCCCGTTATATATCGTAGCCGTCTGCTGTCTTCCGCTTGAACACCGCCTGCCAGTGATGAGTGAAGAATCGGAACTTCGGAAGAGCTGTGGGTCACAGTGGGTGACACTGGGTGTGCCAAACTTGAAACGACCAAACGGTAGGTTTTAAGGTTAGTTCGATCGAGATCTACGGAAATGAGATGTGGCGCCATCTGTGTAACGCCGCGCCCAAGACTCCGACCAAGAAAAATCTTCACATCTGCGCAGGACCCGGAGGATCCCAGACGGATCCCGCGAACGATCTTGGCCGTCGACAGGATCCCAACGAGTGCCGGTGTCTCACTTGCCAATATCTCGTACGGCAAGCATACTCTCTTGGCTTTTAACTTTTCCTTCACTCTGGAGTGATAGGCAACTGCCGACTCGTTTCCATCTATGCTCCAGGCTCCAGATTTTGGACGGACGGTTTTGGCCTTCACGACGGTGGAGGAAAAAGCCCTTAATTTCATAGGCCTGCGGCCGTAAGCTGGCGAGGTGTGCAAACACAATCTCAGAAGTTCAAAACAAAGCGACGACACGTAACTATCCTAAAAGATGCCCCGGTCTTTTCCGACCACCAGGGGGTGCTTCTCTACCCTTATTATTCTTCTGTCTGCGACGAAGACAATTCTGGCCCAGCAACCGTGCACAGCAGCGCCACTCGCTTCAGCGGTATGCAAAGGAATTGTTGACTCAGCTTATCCAGCGATATCCAGCAATGTGACCGACGACACCGAGCAAGGACTGCAGACGATGATGAGACACATCGATATCTTACGGACAATTGCACCGACCTGCTGGGGATATCTGACAAAGTTGCACTGCGGAAGTGCCTATCCAGCCTGTGTTAATGGCATCTCTGCGGTTCCTTGCGCAACGACCTGTAGTTTCGCGATGACTTCGTGCCGCGATACCCTCGTCTCGATGCGACTGGACGGATATCTTCCAGACTGCTCCCGCGGAGTCACCCTCGGCTCGGTACAGTCCAGCTTTCCAATCACGCAGTGCTTGGGAGGAGATGCAGCTTCCGGGAAGCTGAGTGTACTACCAACTCAGGCTACCGCTATTCGGAACGCAACGGCGCCTGGAACTATCAATGGCGCTCCAGTTGGAATCGCCACGAGCTTTGTCGTGCTGCTAGCTCTCTGTGAGTTCAACAGTCAAGGTCACATGTACTGTACCTGCATCCTGCTAATCGGATACTTCTAGATGGTATATCGCTGCTCTGTCTGCTGGATCTGGCAATCGCTTTCACTCGCTTTCGCCGCTTCTACTCGGTCGCCTGCTGGGCGGTCGTTTCGGCCCTTTGGATCGTAACGATAGTCATTGGCCAGTGTGTATATGATTTGGATATACGCCGAGCCTATGCATCAAGTTTCTGCCAGATTCAAGCTCTAGCTACCACGGCTCTCGAGGTCGCTGGTCATGCTTTGGTCCTGTGCCTCGCGATAGACGTGTGGCTCTCCGCTCGCAAACCGGAACGAAAGGGGACTTTCAGCTGGAAGGGTATCCTCCCGGGCGCCGTCTTAGCCGTCCTTGCGGCGGCGACGGCTGCGGTTTTGTTGAAAATCAAGGCGAATCCGACAAGTCTCTCGTTTCCAGACAATCTTGTGCCTGGGTTCGGACCCGGAACGGTGTCGTGCACATATTTGTACCCCACAAACGGATGGACGATGTCCTCCGTGCCGCTCACGCTCGTCCTCGCTGCAATGACTCTAGGTCTTGCAGGTCATGCAGGGCTCATGCTATCAAGGGCACCAGAAGCATCGAAAGCAAACTACAGTCCAACCTACGCCAAGACCGGGACATCCCTTTCCACCCCCCTATGCCACCGATTCCTGGCGTTCATGTTGATCGCCGTTACGGCTGCTGGCATCCTTAACATCCGCTTATTCCAAGCGGGGAGATCGGGCAACTACGATCCCAGATTTATCTTCAGTGATGCGCCTACGTACGAGGATTATGTCCTAGCAGCGGTCGGCTCCGCTGCGTGGGTATCGCTAGCCACCGCTCGAGAAGTCTGGGTGAAGACGGTCGTCGGCTCGTTGCTCACGACCAAGGCCAAAGGTGGCATCGACACGAGTAAGGCGATCGACATGCACGAGCGCCGCCCTACCACCTCGACAGCACACAGTCGCACTGGAACGGTCAACAGCCGCACGACTTTACTCCGCAACCCCGATGGAAGCCAGCATCGCCGTGCGCCTTCTCTCCACAATCGGGCTTCCTTCTACAACGACCCGGAGCAGGTGGCGTACCCACCCGTCACCCTCGAGCGGCAAGCGTCTGGACACCACCAAGCCCCGCCTGTGCGAACAGCATCTCGCAAGCGCACCGTTCCTCTCGACCATCAGACCCCATTCTACGATAATGCAGAGGAGGTGTTTTACCCACCGCCGACACTCGACCGACAAGCCGCAGGGCCATATCCGAGTCAGCAAGGGCACAATGACTTTGCTTTCAATAATCAAGTTTCTGCGTACAATGATTACGAGCACATTCAGTACCAACCTGCCACCGTCCAGCGGCAAGCATCGGGACCACGCCAGGTCCCGTACGCGCAAACGCCTTCTCGACAGCATTATACGGGGAATCCCGAGGAGCTCCATCAACCCTATACTTTAGGGGCCGTCGATTCACCGGCAGCTGATGCGTACGACGAATTGACGCATACGAGCATCGGGCGTCATCAAGGAAGCTCCAGGCACGCAGAATACGAGGCGTTCGACGATGGGTTTGAAACCACCACAGACGACGGGTCTGCTTACCCTCCGTCGACATTCGTCTCGTTTGGTAGAGAGCTCACCACCGAAAGGCGGCAGCATCATTTGGATGGATTGCGGCGTTCTCCGACGTGGGATACCGCAGACGACATGGAGCAGCGCCACTACATGCGAAGGGCACCGACATATCCAGTGCGAAAGGCTCCACTGGTGATTGACGTGATGTACGGGACGATGGGGGCCCCGTCTCCCAGGTACGCGCAGCTTCATAGTGGCATTGGTCGCCCCATCAAGCAGACAACGTTCACGCAGATAGTTGTGCCAAGTCCGCAACCTGCCCCGTACTGAAGGCGTAGCGGACTTTCTCAGGCGTATATCGGGTTATCCGGGCGTAGGGCACTTCATGTATATAATCTAATCATAAAGCATAAGTGAAAAGCTGCGTAGATTCAAGGGCGTTCTGTAGACAAGGGCAAATCAGAGTTGCCCGCATTCTCGACGATTTCACCCAAATCGGCTGGCAAGACGATGGAGTGAAACACGACATACAGTATGCAAACCTTCCCCTTCCCCACTGATAGTCTAAGACGACCCATCCGCCCTGTTATCCTGAACAGAAGAGCCTGACGACTGCACGCGGAGAGCAGCGACGGCCAAGTCACCGCTTGCGGCGTCGGTAATTACGACAGCGATGTCGTGCGAAACTGGAATTCTGGGCGCGGAAGGCCGCGGGAGGCGGGGCGAATCCACCGGCGATGCGGGCAGATCCGCCATAAGTTGTGGACCCCAAACTGACGCACTTTGTTTGTAACCGTTCCTCCCGGCTCTCCATTCATCCCGTAGCTCCCGTAGTGGCCGGTATTCGCTCGGGCTGGCTTACCGGTGAGCTGCACATCCACAGACATCTCGCCTTGCGGGGCATCCACAAACCAAAATAGCCCCCTAAGTTTGACGTCCGCCCAGGATACGTGGACGAACATCAACTCCGAAAATTCACCGCGGCTATGAACCGAACGTCACTCCCTACGCCACGGAGGTCAAACTTCGGCCCCCCACAGCGGGAACGTTCAGCTTCAGCAGTCAACGACCAGGACCGACCACCTTTACAGCACACATCGTCAGTCTCGTCGAGTTTGGATGGCGGCTTTCGGTTTGACGAAAAGGAGGAGGACATACCCTCATTGCCACCTCCGACCCTTCGCAGTCCGCTTTACTCTGCGGACTTGTACATGTTTCTCTACCCCCACCTGATAGATGCCATTGCGGGGAGCTTACCTTCGGTAAGTCGGAAGTGTATTACGCTGGTTGTAGATCATGACGGCTGATCTTTTAACGTGGCTGATAGGATGCATGGGATTGGGCTTCGACTGAAGTGGCAGCGCCGATCGTTTTGGTGAAGGAGGAGGAGAAGAAGGTGAGGAAGCTAGGCCGAGTAGGCGCAGGTTTGGGGAGGGGCCAGGCAGCTTACACATTGGTATGCGATTGAAGGCGCCGGAAACGGTCGAATCATCCTTGCAAAAAGATGGGAGAGGTGCGTCGAATCTAGAAGTCTTCAGCGCGATATGCAGACACTCACGCGGAACATTTGACAGGTTATGTTGTTTGGAACATGGTGGAGACAGAGCGGAATTACGTTGCTCAACTACGTACACTGCAATCGGTGAGACACGCATCAGCCTCACGTTTGGTCGAAGCTGCTGCTAACATTCCACACGACGTAGTATTTCCGGCGACGCCTTGTTGATCAAGGTATTCTATCGGAAACAAGTAGCAGTCTCATCTTTGCGGGGATAGGTATGGGAACTGCTCTTGTCGGCCCGTCGTAGGATTGCGAGCGCTAAAGGAACGACTTTTGGCAGACGATCTTGTCAGCTTCCACAACCAATTTAGCGCGGAACTGGAGAAGATTGTCGCTGTCGGGTCGTGGAATACGAGAGAATCCCGAATCGGCACTTTATTTATTCGCTTTGTTAGTACTTGTTCGTTTCTGGAACGAGCGGAGCGGTTCAGTCCTTGATTCTTCTTTGACTGGTTTTCTTCTCAACAGAAAGATGACCTAAAGCGGCTCTACACCAGGTTCATAGACAGTTACGCTATGTCGCAAAAACTCATGAAACGGGAAGAGCGCGACAATCTGGAATATCAGAACTTCATGAAGGTGTGGTCAGGTTCGAAGGAGGAGGAGGAAGGAAAATATCACTAACTCGACTTTTCGTTCTTCATATAGGAAGCTGTCAAGCTAAAGGAAACTGGGCGGCAGCAGTTGAAGGTAAATGATACCGATACCCAATCTCTGTTGAAATGGCCCTGAACTTCCGATGGTGAAACGCAGGATTTCATGATTCTACCGGTCCAACGTACTGCACGGTATCACCTGCTCCTGAAAGGTATGGTCGCACTCCGGGACTATCAGGGTATCGTTGCAAATTGTTTCTCACCGTTCTTCGGTCGTAGATCTAAGGAAGCGAACAGATGAAGATCATCCCGACTACCAAGACTTACAAACCGCATGGGAAGCCATGAACGAGCTGGCCTCGTCCGTAAACGAAAAAAAGAGAAAAGAAGAAGAAGCCACCGGCCTATTCGAAGCGTTCGAGCAAACGAAGAACTGCCCCCCAACTCTAATTCGGCATACGCGCAAACTCGTACACAACGTCGATGTTGTATACCAACATCGCACGAGCAAGGTTATCCATCTTTTCTTGTGTTCGGATCTGCTGATGGTAACACATCCCATCGCGAAAACGGTCCTGGGATTTTCCAGAGATAAGGCCGAATATTCTTACAAATTCATCCGGTGGCTGGATCTGCTGGAAATCGATGCGGAGTACTTGGGGTCACAGGGAGAAGGTAGGGAATGAATGTTTCAGAGCATTGGGTTGCGGAGAGCTCATGCGAATGTTCTATTTTCGACCCTCAGCATACAAACACACCATCAAAATCACATACGACGCCAACAGACGAGATCCGAAAGACTCTAATACCCAACCCGTCGAGCAAGCATCGTTTTCCATGGTCGTTCAGTTCGAAGGAATGGAAGCCACCAAGAATCGGAAAGACTTCCTGATGGCGCTGGAATCGGAGATAAAGAAGAATAAGGAGACGCGGAGGGCGAAGAAACCTGCATAGAAGTGATACAACAGAACCTGATTCTCGACCCTCTGTGCGTCTGTGGGTATACTCACTCTCCACGGTCCTCGTCGCTGCGATGTGTTGCCTCCGCTCCCGCATACCTCCCGCGCAACATTCTCTCTCACTTTTTTTGGAAATCATCCTTCTGGCGTCGGAGGAACGGGTGGTCGTGCCAGCAGTCGGGCCAGCATGCGACTAGATCGGCATTGCGCGTCGCTTCAGGGTTGGGCCTCAAATCTCTAGCTGGAAAGCGGCGACCCTCCTTCTTCCGGGCGTACAATGTACAAGTCGCCGCACGCTCATGGCGTGAGCCCCTTCTCACAAGGCGATCTCTCCCGTCACCACTGTATTGCGATCCTGGCGCGAGGCTGAATACTGCAAAGCCGCTATCACCAATCCTCCTACCACTACCACTACCGCATCCGCATGTATAATCTCCTATTCAATTGGACATGGTCCCTGCTTATACCACGGCGTCTGGCGCATACCTGTATATAGTCTCTCTAATAGCAACGTCTTTCACCACATTGGAGCCCGGATGCTTGACGCGTTAAAATGAGCGGACGGCTTGGACGCGTCCTCGTAGCATCTGAATACTTTTTTGGAGCCTCCGCTATTGAGCAGTCCACAAAAGCCACACGTCTTGGTGGTGTACGCCTCGTCCTCCAGTTCGACGACCAGTCCGTCGATAAGCTCCATCTTGCCAAGGAGCATGGCTTTCAGGGGTCCATGACGCCAGGTCAATAGGTTTCGCTGGGTTGTTGCGTGTAGCTTTCCCTTTCCTTTGAACTTTCGAGTTTCCGCTGTCCGCAAAGGCCTTTGGACCATGCTGGCAACTTCGAAGATGGATCCGTACACATACTGATAGTTGTCGGCCAGGTGCTGGGTCACCTTGTATGAGCATTTAGGGTTCCTTCCTTCTTAGCTTCAATGGTTACGTTGTTTGCGACTGTGACGGTCCGTGTAGCGATTGGGTGAACGTTGTCCAGTAGGAATTCATCCTTAAAGATGTGATGTGTTGCACATGAATCGAGCCCGATACAGGACTACTGTACAGTAAGTTGGCTTCTGCTTGTACCAGCGTGTTCTAATGTTCTATGGCTGCAAAGCAGAAATTGGCGCGGCACTGTGGAGTCTCATGAGTTCCCGTACTGAGTGGGCAAGTCACGTGTGTAGCGCATGTTGACGGGAAACTTGGGACTTCCTCAACTTTACAATTGTCCATTTTACCAACATGGACGCACAGCTGACATCGATCGTACACGCGGAGTTGGAGGGCATTCCAACAGAGCACCATGAAAGGGTCTTAGCGTTAGCCAACGCCGTAGCCAACGCCGTAGCTAATAGCCCACAAAAAGAGGCAAAGGTATTTTTTTTATTTTTTCATGTTCAGCTTTCGAAATGTTCTGGCAACCTTGTTCGCTTACCTGTAATGGACATATAACACAGCTTACACCTTTTACGAAAATGACTTGGTCGGAGATGAAAAGCGCGGAAGGCCTACACCTCGATGTTCGCAACGTAGAACTGGCGACTAGGAGAGCGGTGACTTCCTTGTCGTTGCCGCCATTTCTAGATAGCGTTCAGCCAACAGAACACCTCAAGGGGCAACTCGCTCGGCTCGAGCGTACCTGGAGTCGCAACTCTGAGGCTGGACGCCGTACCTTTGTCGATGCCTTACTTGCTGAGGCCGTGGACACCTTTTACCATGGCATCTTGGTTGATGAGAGGTCCAGCGAGTCCATGCTCGATAGCGTGGATGTTGAGCCGCCGGAATCAGGTTCTACCGCGCCTCTGCGAGTTTTTTCCGAAGTCGAAATCAAATGGAGCGGTGCTTGCAAAGGAGTAACCGGGAACGTTGATTATCTTTTTGGGCACGCAGATGCGGACGATGTGGAGGAAGGGATGAAAGATTCCTTTTTGATTGCGGTTGAAGCGAAGAAAGAATGGCCGGATTCCGCAGTACGGCAAGCTATTGCAGAAGGTACGCAAATAGTCCCCAGATAGCCTGTTCCTTAGACAGAGGTTTAACCCGTTATGGCGATTCTAGGTGGCGTCCTTTTGCGATACCGACAGAAGAACAACAAAACGGGACCTGTGTTCGTCGTCCTAACCAATGCAACATTTTGGGTGTTTTATTGTATTGACAATAATGGTGTTGTATATAGTTCAGGACCGGAGATTGTTTTTGGGGAGACCACGCTGCCTATGATTCTGCGATGGTTGCGCTGGTTTGTTATGGCTGCTGCTGTCACCTCGCCGCGTGCTTCGACAGTAGATATGACGGACGAGGAAAAGACCAGGGTGCAGAGTTCATTGACGGAGTACTGTGTAAAATTGTGGGAAAAGAGGAGTAGAAAATAAAGGAAGACCTTCTGGTGCGGTGCCTTGTAATACTCCGTTCTCTCACTGAAGAGTTTCCGCCCAGCCTACTCCACCCTCAACCGGCTCAGTTTCGCCTTCTCCAGCGAGCTTAGCAGATCCAGCCCAGCTGGCTCACGTTGAAAAAAAATGAGCGAAAGAAGAAGTTGCAGGAGCTGGACGATGCCGCGGACCGCGTGCGCCTGATAATGGGCAGGATTAGCGGAATTTCAGTTCCCGCTGCGTCGTCAAGTTTCTCTGGAAGGAGCAGCTGGAACCCACTGGTGGAACACAAATTGAAAGTTGAACAAGGGGTTGGGCTGCGAAGCAAGGAAACCAGGTGAGTCGTCGCTGACTTGAGCGGAACGATCGGCTCAGTTCCGTCCACTGCCATGACACCCAATTGGAGTCAGGGACACGGAAAGCTCCGTCTCGACGGCTCCCCGGGGCACTGCACCGCCCGTTCCGACTGAGAGGCAGCCCAGCAACGCCGCCGGATCGAACTCTATAGCGGCAGGCCGGCTGTTTTGTACACGCTCCATATGGGAAAATTGAGGATGCTCTGGGATGCTTCTTCCCCTTCGGTATTTGCATGCGAAATCACACACCCATCTTCTTATCCGTATTCCAAAATACCTCAACTCGAATCGGTCACCGTTTTCCCTCGGGTGCGGGCGGTGTCTTCTGGTCGCTTTTGCTGCTGTATATGTAGAGCGGCAAAGGTGGCTTTGATGACGTTGAGAGGGTTGCGGGAACCCCAGACTTTGGCGCTCAAGTCAGAGATGCGGATGCAGCGGCAGATTTCGTGGATGTGGTTGCTCGCCACCACTCTCTTGCACAAGATGTGCAATTGTGCACCTATGACAATTGCGGGCAGGACGCAGGCATCTCTCATCCGACGTCTGCGCCTACCCTTCAAAGACCGGGACTTCGTATCACTTTCAGGAGTGGCCCTTTACAGGTGGCATCAATTTGCGCTAGGAGGACGTACATGCCCCAACCCTGTCTCTAACCCTTTGCGTTCCACCTATCAAGCAACCAGCAGTACACTCCTCGTAGCCATCAACAACCTCGGTTCCCGATCGGCGCTTGCCAAGCGCGTCCTGGGTCCATCTTCACTATTTGAACACCCAGTCACCCTGCAGATATCCTCCCGACGAGCCCAACCAGCTTGCAGCACTCCTCGACATTGGTGCCATGCCCTGCTTCATGGATGAAAACTACAGGTCCCGCTAGTCCTTGTGATGTGACCTGGCTTGCCACAGTAAAGGCAGAGCTTGTTTGTGATCCGGTGTTGTCGTTCTTGGGCTGTCAGGGGCCCTCGAGGTCGCACCGCATCGATAATCATTGGTCGTCCGGGCGAGTTTGAAGGGGTACGGGGATCGTGCTTGTCGCAGAGGGTAAGGTTTGTCGGTTTTCGGTTTCGTTCCTGGCGGCGTTCGAAGTGGACCACGGTAAGTAGTCCTTGCAATGTGTGGAGAGGTGCGGCTGCGTCTGGCTGCATCCGGCTGCGTGCGGCTGCGAGGTTGAGTTCGACGAGTTGTTGACAGTGACAGGCTGTCAAGCCTTGTGCTGAGGTAAGCGCTGAGGTAAGCCATGGTATGGACGCATAACAGACCTCTTCACATAGCTCACGGAGATGAGGAAGGCGATCCGGTTCCTGCCTATGATTCTCTTGAATGGTTCCCTGTTCTTTCTTTGCCACTTTCGCGCTTTACATTGGGCCTCCTCACCATTCAGTACAGTAAGTGACTGCATTCGTCGCAAGTGAACCCATTGTTACAACATGGCTGCGGCATGAAAGATGCGGCGACGCGCAATCCACCGCCCATATCTAGATTGGGCTGCATCTACATACATGGCCGGAATGTACATGTTTGGGCTGCAACTGTATAGATTGTAAATGTATGTGACGGACTGAACCAGACATATACTGTCTGCTTTGACATGAAAGGGGTAGGTTCCGATAAATGACGCCTAAAGGGCGGCCGCGACGGAGCCAGACAAGGCCATAACCGCCACCCAAAGCGCATTGCAAGTGGCAACCGGCATGGCAGCGGCGGTCTGGACTTTGTCCGTCACTGGTACAGTCACCGGGGTGCTTGGCTTGTAGGTGGTTTTGACCTCCGCGAGCGCGGCCTTGTACGCTTTGACGCGTAGTCGGGCACTGAGGATGCGCTCGGATGTCGTCAGGTAGAGGGGCATTGTTCTGTTGCCGCTTCACGAAGCGTTTGTGGACGGGACTTGCCGGTGAGTCTCCTCCATCCTTGGGGGGAGTAGGGGGAGTACGGAAGGCCGGGAAGTCCTTGGGCGGATCGCTTGGGAAGTCTGGGAAGTCCTTCGGGGGAAAGTTCTTGGGCGGATCGCTTGGGAAGTCTGGGAAGTCCTTCGGGGGAAAGTCCTTGGGCGGATCGCTTGGGAAGCCTGGGAAGTCCTTCGGGGGAAAGTCCTTGGGCGGATCGCTTGGGAAGTCTGGGAAGTCCTTGGGGGTGGGGGGGAGGGGGGGGGGTTGCTCGGCGGCCAGTCCTTCGGGGGATTGCTAGGCGGCCAGTCCTTGGAGGGATTGCTTGGAAAGTCCTTTGGAAAATTCGGGAATGGCTGGGCAGGACGGTTGGGGAACTCGCCGAAGCCTTTCGGCGGCCAGTCCTGTGGCATATCAGGGATTTGGTCTTTCGGGAATCCCTTGAAGTCGGGAACGGACCGTTCAAAATCCGAGAAACCATCATAATCCTTTCCGGCCAATCCGCCGGGTGCTGGAAGTCTGGACTATTTTATATGCCGGTGGAGCAGATTTGAAATCGGGAATCTTCAGAGCCGACCAGTCCGGAAGTTGATTTTGCTGGAACACGGGGAAAGTCGATATGGAATTGTCGGCAATCGCGAGCCAGTCTTTTGGAGAAACGGGGTTGAAGCCGGGATACACTGAGTTCCAGTCGGCCCCTGCCGGTGGTGGTGGAGCAAATCCATTGACGGCAATCGTACTCGGGGGGCGACCATTTTCATCAAAGTCAACCTTGATGCTTCCCTGGTCAACCGGCAACCCAATTTTCTCAAAATAGCTGCACAGGTTTTTCACAAGACGGGTAAGTGTTTCTTTTTTCCTTCAAGTCACCTATAGCCGGGTTTCACAACAGTAAAGATGGTACGTACATTTCCGAGCCTTGGTTGACCTTCTCCTCCCGGACCTGGCAACTATCCCCAGCCGTGACACCCAGCATCGCCTCGCCCCCTTTTTGGCGTACTCCTCTTCAATCCTCTCACGCTCCACTTCCTCCGGGGTTGACGGAGTCCAAGACGATTGGTACGGAGGAATAACGTTATGAGAAGAGGCACGCCCCCCGGGCACAGCATCCTGCATGTATACCCATAGGATACCGTAGTTAACCCCATACAGTGCCGAGGGGCATGGTTTTAGTCTTGTACACCGGTGATTACGAAATAATTGATGCATCCGTCCGACAGGAAGAACGAGGCAGCCATTGACAGTAAATAAACGTCACCGCGTTTCATGGAAGGCCAAATCGGACCTCCAAATTGAAACCCCACGCATTGCTTCCACATTACGCACACTCATCCCTCAAACCTCCTTGCAGCAACCACCGCACTCGACCATAGTGGTGCACCTGTAAGACTTGCGAGCGAAAAGCTCGGTTTGCTCTGACGCCGACTCGTTCTTCGTGACCGCTATATCGTTCCGTGAGCGACGTCGAGTGCCAAATAAAGACGTTCATAGCTAGAAGACAGGTCCGGTCTCTGAAACCTGCCTACGATTGAAAAAAGGAATGTTCTCGAACAACCCTAAAGGAGTACGAGCGCAACCCAAAACTTTAAGGTCAGTCGCTTCTCATGTCAAGTACTTGATCGGCATGCGAATGCGATCGACTGAGACACCGAAACCTGACCACAGTTTTGGGTTTGTAGACCACCGTCGACCTTATCGAACCTTACTTCATACATCGGCGGTCTTTCCTCTTACGTCGTTCAGAACCTGCCTGAGAAGTTGAATTGGAACCCGCAAAGCGAGCCGTGCGCTGACGACGTAAACCCATCCGATTTTGAACAAGAGACTGTGCTCACTGCGGCGTTCTGTTGGGTTGATTGGGAGATCCCTGGAGTTGTCCAGAAATTGGGGAGGAAGAGACGTTTATGCTTGCTGTTGGGATACCCTGCCGGGTTTCAGATATGGGACGTATCCGACACGGATAACGTGCAGGAGGTGGCCTCGTTCCGAGGGATCTATCGCGATGTGGGATGGATTCAGGTGGGTCATTTGGCCTTGCTGCGCGGAATCTCCAGGAGCCAGTATCTGATGATTTGCTCATCAGGCCGTGCCCGACCCTCTTACAAGGGAATCTGCGCAGGATAAGTTCAAAGCAAGTCGACCGCTTGTTGCTTTGATGTAAGTTCCCACGCCGTGTTCTGACCAGCATGCCATATTTGAGTATGCTAACAGTTGGTTACAGTGCGGACGTGGACAGTCAAAACAGCCCTCGATCGAAAGCTGCACCTATTGCGGTGCAATCAACCAGAGTGCTGCAGCTCTTTTCTATGAGCGGATTACAACCTGTGAAGACATTGGACTTTGGATCTAGCGTTCCTCTCGAGGCGAGATGCACCGCGCGAGCATTGGCAGTGGTATGACTGATCGGTGGTCATCTCATGCCATGACTTGCGCTAAACCTTATCTCACAGGTTCTCAACTCCAACACCATCCAAGTTTTCAGTTCGCTGACCTTGCAAAAGCTTGCCACTTTCGGAGACGTAGCCTCGACTCCACTCCATGATGGCGCTGTCTTCGATCTGGGCTTGCGTTATATTATTTACGCGACGTCAACGCTACCGCCGACCAAAACGACAGCTACTCTCCGAGGAGGTGATCAACTTGATAGCGACGAGTCCGATGAGTTGAAGGAGATGGGTGTGGCACGAAAGGTGGCGGGAAAGGTGGCCAAGGAGCTGGTGATAGGAGCCAAAGTTTTGGGAGAATACGGATATCAAGCTCTCAACAGCTACTTAGCGCCAAAGCCCGGTGCGAAGGCTGCTGACGGGGATGGTGATCCCAGACGCTCAATGGAAGGAGAGAGGCAGCCACGCCCAAGGGACAAAATGGCCGCCTCTAGCGCCTCTAGTGGCCGTGGAGAGCAAAGCCGGCTTGCCGGGGCAACAGGAGTGGTGAGGCCGTTGTGTCATTCTCTTCCCGCTGTGCATGCGCTGACCGGATTCCTTGAGCAGGTCATCGTTCATCGGATTCCCAGTTCCGCGAGTGGGGTGTCAGACTCCTCTCCAACCAACTTCGAGCCTATGCAAGCCATAGCTCATTGGAAACCACACTCGAATCCTGTCTCAGTTATCCACTTCAATCCCAATCAAAGTCTCGTGCTGACTGCCTCCACACAAGCCAATGCATTTTACCTGTGGGAAGTGCCTTCAAATAGCGCCAAGGGCATTCCCAAGACAAGTGCCCGGTGCATTTACAAGTTGGAAAGAGGATACACTATGGCAACTATTGAGGACATCGCCTTCTCGTTAGACTCGCGGTGGATCGGTGTCACCACAGCTCGAGGCACTACGCACGTCTACCATATTGAGCCGCTGGAGCGCGGCAAGCGAAAGCCAGGCGGTGTTATGGGAGGTCCGCCGTCGGCTGATGAGAGGTTGAACCTCATCAATGGCGTATTAGAAACAGGAGGGGCCATGCCATCCCACCCGGAGACGGAGGTGCAGCATGGCAGCGGCGTGCCGAGCTTGTATCCCGTAGCGAGAATCAAACGGCAGGTTGCGGCAGAAACCGGACGCAGGCAGAGTGATGCATCTTCATCAATCGGATCTCCGACAGACACAGGCAGCCATTTGACGTTGCCTCACGCGAATGGCCATCCACACGGTCTACTTCTCGCCGCCTTTTTGCCCGAAGATAGGTGCACACCGGAGGACCGTGCTGGTCGCTCTCGCAGAAGTAGCAATAGCCGTCTCCCAAGTGCAGACCGTAACGGTTCATCTGGATCTGGTAGCTGGGGCGCACTACGGAACTCCTACGACGCAAGCGGCTTCCCGAAGTCGTGCACAATCTCACAAGTTAGTCGCCAAGGCCTTTTGACATTCCAGTCCGCAGGCCAAGGTATTCTGATGATCCATCACATGGATGTGATACTTGAAACATTTACTGGACCGCAACATACTACAAATACGTTGTCTCCGTCGCCTGGTAGTCACGGAAGTGGGCAGAAGAGCTTCCTCGGGAATCTCAGTTCTAGCCCTTTGGAACGATTCTCTCCTTCAGGTTTCCTCTCGAGCGCATTTCCTGGATTGACATTGGGCACCGCGGCGAGTAAGAAGTCTCATTTGCGGGTCAAGGTATCGGATGTGCTGGAATGGGCGGTCAATCGGGAAACCGACTGGGCAGAAGTCAAGTATCCGATTCAGGTAAGACTTGCTTTGTCAATCGGATTGGCACTTTCTGAGCGCTCACCCATGTGCCTTCTTGCCAAATCAGCCCCGGACCGTGCATCCAAATCGGCCATCCTCAGGAACAAAACCCGCCTCAAGCAAAGGAGGAAAAGCTGAAGCATCGGAAAAGAAGTGGCTTTCGAAAATCGAGATCCGCACTTTCCATCCGTCGTTACGACCGCCTGTTTGGACGGGGCCACAGTTCGTATTCCAAGTCTATGACACAACTGCCCGCGCCAGTGTTGCAACAGCGCCACATGGGCCCAAACCGGATTTGAGCGACCTCCCTTCTGCTGTTGAACTCAAGATTAGGCGGGAGGCCCCCAAACCATATGGGTAAGTCTACCAAGCATCTCGATACCTCGTTCCTCCCACAGTCTTGTTTGACATCCATCACTCTGCAGAGAGGAACGCTCTCGCCCAAGCGGCCACTTCCCTGTGCTCGATCGTGGAGACGGTATTCAAGACGACATCACTGCCGCTATTGGCTCCAATATCGAGTTCACGCCTTATAAGTTGGATTCTCTCCATGCCTATCATGGTGCGCTCAAAAGTCGAGTTTTCTCCTGAACACATTACTCACTCATCTCTTTTCCCAGACTCTTTGTCCTTCGAAGATGCCGACCTCATCCAACTACCTCATGAACCCCCGTTCGCGCAACTCCACGCATCGACCCATAGCCATCACACAAACTCCAGCCATCGAACAGCAACTCCCGTCAGCGGCGAGGATGTATTTGTTGAAGCACCCGGGCCGAACGGCCTTCATGAAACGGGTGAAAACCCATCGCATAAGTTTGTGCTGCAATGCACCCCCCCGGCCACGGCCTCACCGATCCCGAACCTGCCTCGAAATCCACGGCACACATCGACTGCAGCAGACAGCACGCCGTCCGGCTCACCATCGTCTTTGGCCGGGTCTATGTCTTCTTGGAGGGGTTGATCCTTCAGTGTTCCCTGCGTACGGTTCTTCGTTGGCATGGCCCAACCGTGTTTGTAGCCAAAAAGCGTGCCAGCGCAAAATGCTGATATGGCCCCTGTTCCCAGCGGAATTATGGAAAGCCAAAACAAAAATTGTACATATAAGTGTTGATTTTTGGAAAGAATACATGAATGTGGTTTTGTTTGCAACTGGCAACTCCGCAGGACGCGTCACCGAAATCGTATACCGAAATCAAAAAACCCAGTCTCATCACCTGTCTCCAAACAGAATCAAGCAGCAAGATGCCCTTCGTGAACCCAGACTACAAGGGAAACTCAACCGTCAGCGCGGGTGAAATCGAGACAGACATCATCCTGACGGCAGAACCGCACACCGATTTATACCGTCGCCCTGGGAAAATCTTCGATAATGCCCCTCGGGGCTTGATCCCAGCCACGGGCGACTTCAAGTTCCAGGCGGGCTTCACCGCCACGTATGAGGAGGAGTACCAGCAAGCGGGGCTGTGTCTGTATAACGGCCCTGAGGAGTGGATTAAAGCCGGCGTGGAGAGATACGATGGTAAACCACGCACCTCCGTCGTGGTCAACCGGAAAGGAGGATGGTCGGATTGGTCCGTCTCGGAACTCGTATCGAAATATACTGTTGGTCTGGACGTCGACAGCCCGTCGCTCGTGAGGATTGTGATGAGATTCGTGAAGACAGGCGAGACCATTCAGGTGGAGTTGCTACATGGTGTAACCGGGAAGTGGGAGCTGGTTCGGAAGACGTATGGATGGGATGCGGAGGTTATGAATGTCGGCTTAATGGCCGCTTCCCCCGGAGACTTGGGTCTCACGGTCAAATTCCAATTTTCGACGTTGGACCCAGCGCTTGCTCGGGTGGTTGATCCGGGCATGAATGTTGGACGCCAAGCCGGTAGCGAGCGCACACAGGACCATAGACAACCGTCCGCCCTTGTTTTCCATGTAGTTGACCTTGTTGAGGAAGAATTAGGGAACGAAGCCGAGGACGGAGAAGAAGATCATAGTGGGCCATAAGTTGGGGCGGGCTGGAAGAAGATGCAGACGGTGACGGCCATTATGGATAGAAGACGAAGAACCAGTATTGGTTGCGAGATCCATTAGCATAGCTCCGCTAGAAGATGGCGTATGGGAAATCTTTATAGAACATATTGGCGGTACATTGGAAACTTTGCTCACGTGGAGGCTTTCTGGAGGCTATCTGGGTCGTAATGTGTCAAGGTCGCCTCCCGACCAAAATGTGTGTCAAGGTCTGTCAAGGTCGCCCATATGCGTGAGTTGTGATCTGGTCACGTGATCATGCGGCGAACAGCTCCCAGAGCTCCCACGAGCGAGCTCAGACAAGCTCCCTAAACACGCAGCAACTCTTCGCACATCGTCTGCGAGACAACGCACCCCTTACCCTTTCGCTCGATACCAACGCTCACCCGATCTACGGTTGTCACCATTCCGTGTCAAGCAATCTATCAGCAACCCCTACCCTTGTCCTGCTTTTCGCTGCGCGCCGATTCAAGTGACAGCGGAGCCTTAACGGTTGGTGGGCAATCTCAACTCCCGAAAAGGTATCGGACGCGTGTAAAAAGAAGCAGAAGCTTTTGCTGGGCATTGGGAGGAGTTCTCCATCGCTCCGAATAGTTGCTGAGGCTCTGTTTGCTTTCTTCCGAACTGTTTGCCGTCGCACGAACAGGAAAATCCCCAGCAATAGCAATTTTGGAATCCTGCACCCGTACCATAAACCGCCTGCCTTAAAATGAGCACACCGACAGATTATGGAGACGTCGACCACTGGATACAGGTCCTTATGTCCTGTAAACAATTGTCCGAAGCTGACGTCAAGAAGCTTTGCGAGAAGGTTCGTTGGAGTTGCATCATCTTGGATTATATTCCCAGCACTGGGCATTCAGAGAGGAGCAGTGTGCGTGAATTTGGAGACCTGGCAAGTTCTCACAACGATCTCCTTAGGCGCGCGAGGTGTTGATGGAAGAGTCCAACGTGCAACCCGTTCGTTGCCCCGTAACGGTCTGTGGTGACATTCACGGTCAATTCCACGACCTGATGGAATTGTTCCGTATCGGTGGCAACTCCCCGGACACCAACTACCTCTTCATGGGAGATTACGTGGACCGTGGTTACTACTCCGTCGAGACTGTCACACTACTCGTCGCTCTGAAAGTACGACACCGCGACCGTGTTACGATTTTGCGTGGAAACCACGAGTCAAGACAGATTACGCAAGTGTACGGATTTTACGATGAATGTCTCCGGAAATACGGCAATGCCAATGTGTGGAAGTATTTCACGGATCTGTTCGACTACTTGCCTTTGACGGCTCTCATTGCAGACCAGGTATGGGTTTCGATCACGTCGGAAATCTCGTCAAGTAGCGTGGGAATAACGGCGCCGCGTCAATTGCAGATCTTCTGTCTTCACGGCGGTCTGTCGCCATCCATCGACACTCTTGATCACATCCGCGCTTTGGACCGTATTCAAGAAGTTCCTCACGAGGGTCCCATGTGTGGTATGTAAGGCTGCGTTCAACGGCATCTCGATTGTCGAGTGTTATGCTGATCGGATCGCTTTTCATGAAGATCTGCTGTGGTCCGACCCGGATGACCGATGCGGATGGGGTATTTCCCCACGTGGTGCCGGATACACCTTCGGTCAAGACATCTCCGAAGCATTCAACCGCAACAACGGACTTAACTTAATTTCTCGGGCGCACCAGCTTGTCATGGAGGTAAGTTTCACTTTCTTTCGCCAAAACGATTTTGAGCAACACGTGGCTGACGATCTTCCTACAGGGTTATAACTGGAGTCAAGACAAAAACGTCGTGACAATCTTCAGTGCGCCAAATTACTGCTACAGATGCGGAAACCAAGCAGCCATCATGGAGATAGACGAGCATTTGAAGTACACCTTGTAAGTGGAATTGCCCATCTTGCTTCAGGTTTCCTCCGTCACGACGAGCAGCTCCTCTAAACACTCTCCCTCGCAGCTTGCAATTCGACCCGGCGCCAAGGCGCGGCGAACCCCACGTCACTCGTCGCACACCAGACTACTTCCTGTAAACTGGTTCGGTTCATGTGACCCAGTGAAACCCCTTTGCAAACAATGCTCAAACCTGTAAAACGACGACACAAATGGGGAAGTGCACTCGTGTCTACTCATTGCATGTGGCGCACCCCATTCAACAAAACTGGAAGCCTCGACATTTTAGTTATCGAAGAGCTACATTCCCCAGTTGTAATTCTTCACCCGCTTTCCCGTGTGATTGGGAGGCGGGAGGGGCATCGATTAGTCTGGAATGGCAAAAACCCCGATTGTGTCTCGTTTTTGTGCGTCCCGTGTTCCTACCCCATTTCTCCCTATAGAAATTTTGTTCTTTCTCATTTAAGCCGTTGATTTTGAGGACTTGCTCGTGGTTGTCTGTAATTCTTTCTGAGTTCTGTTAGTAAGTGGGACTGACATCGGCTATCAGCTTGCCTTACTGTTCTAAGCCGAGGAAAAGCAGATGTTTTCCGTCATGCATTGGATAGCATTCATGGACAGACTTGGCCATCGATTGGCGATGCTCGGCACTCATCAAAATCTAACATCTCTCCACTGCCCGTGATCGTAAAGCACTCCGAAACACGCATGCCCTCGGATACGTCAAATCTACATTCCAATATTACAAGCAAATTCTTCCAATAATCTATACAAGTGCTGGCCTGGGCTCCTCGGCGTACTGCGGAACCAACCGAAAAGAAAAAGACGGACGCTTTGTCAGCGTTCGCGTTTGAGACAATGCGCCAGATGAAGCTCCCCTACCTTGTAATGCAGTTCCGTCACATCCGTCTGGCCGATGAATTCCCAGCCTCCGGGCTTGATGTGGTAGACTTACAGAGAAGTGCACGGGGTTAAAATAACGCTGACTAAAACGTACGACATAAGAATGATTTGCTTACCATTTACGACTCCACCGGATGCGGCATCTGTATATCAGTAGAAACACATTTGCGAGCATCAGCAACATTCCCGATTGAACCAATTCCCAAGGAAGTGCTCATTACCTCTGAAGGTGGCGTGGTAGATAGCCCTCCTCCCGAGCTCGATAGCTTCCGGCAAAGACAAGTCGTGGCGGAAACCAGCATCCAGGACACCATACGCGAATGTGGAACCGGAACCGACAGAGAACAGATCTCCCTTCAGACGTTGGCCGTCGGAATCAACGTAGAACAGTTGCGGGCCCTACAAATCCGCCGGTGTTTAGAGGTCGTTTTCGAGAGAGAAACAAACACCGGATGAGAGTAGTGGCTTACAGTCTTATCCCATCCCGTGATCATGGTTCCCATAGACAGTCCCATCCCCTTGTACGCATAGACCATGTTGGAGAGCAATTTCGATGCCGCGGCCACGGAAATGCGCTCCTTATTCCTCAACTCGTATACCCTGGATTCATTCAAGGCAGTAAGATCTCTGTCCAAGTATTCCCAAGGGATTAAACCGATCGCCTCAAATCCGTTCCTCACCTGCAGCGACGACCTAACTCCCGTTCCCAGTAGGAACAATCGGCGGCACCACCAGCCATAGTTCCCAGCAAATATGGATTGATTTCAATAACCTTCTTGACATGCTGCGATGCTATTAAAATGATAGGTTTAAGTCTCCGCGTCAGTCTTTCGTCCTGTGGAATGGGAACAAGCAGAAGGAACTGAAATACCAATATATGTGCCACCGGTCGCACGCGAATCAACAGCGACAATAATGCCTCCCTGGAACTTGAACGCCAGTGTCGTCGTTCCCTTTGCCATCTTGATGCGGTTCTCAGCTTCGTCGCTCATTTGATGCTGCAGCCACGCGATGGGCTAAAGATCACACGCATATTGTAAGCGATTCGGCACCATTAAGAGCGTCAGATACCTAGAACGACTCGCTGCGACGTACGTCAGTCATATTGGGAACTTCGAAGGTAGGGTGCTGGAACATGTCCGGGTTGACTTGGTTGGCGATGCTGTACTCATCTTCCTCGCCAAGTTCGAGGTGGGCCGATGACGTTCCCGTGGGGAGGAAGTCGAGGTTAAGCATATTAGAGACGGGTGACAAAAGCTGTGAGGGCTGGGTGCTTGAGCTGTGAGGTCCGTTTCACTGTAGTTTCTAGGTTTGAGTAGGTGATGTCGGATGGGGAACAGTCGAGAAGTTAGAACCTTTTGAACGTTACCGTCGTGAGAGTCGTGAGAGAAAGACAGTTGCAAGACTAGCCAGCCTCGCGTCCATATGGATCTCGACTCGGACGCGTCTAAAAGCACCCGTTTGAAGTGGTCCTACTGTACTTTCAAACGCCATCACCGCATGAACCATCGTCAGAATGCTCTCTCCGGACCCGACCCGCTCTCCGTCAGGATCCTCCGCCGCCGCCGAAGAAGGCCAGCCGTCCGCCAGTAACGCTCCCGCCGACGACGCGGCCGCCGCCATGTCTCGCCCAGCGTCCGCTCGCGTTATCAACTCCGCTATGCAGCAAAGACTGAACCTGGACCATGTTCGTGAGTCGCATACTAGTAAACATATTGCATATAGCTGGGCTGAGGTCCTAATGAGGCCTTGCTTGCTTCGCAACACAGATTGATATTCGGATGAAAAACGAGCTGTATCTCCGCCAACACCCTGAAATACGACACATTTTGGACTATTTCGTCACGCAGGTCCTCGTTCAGCAGCCGGAGGACATCGGGGGATATGCGTTAGGTTAGTAAAGCGAGCTTAGACGCGTAGACGTGGAGCAGATGGGCCGCTGCATGGGACGACGGCCCGAGACTGGAGTCAGAGTGTTGATTGAATGTGCAGCAGACTTATCGTGTTTCGTTTGTTGCACGATTTCAGAACTCTTCTCGGACCAGGCATTGAGGGAAAAGGTGGAGAAGCATTCGTCGGAATGCCAGCAATTGGATGCATCAGAATTGGACGATGAGGCGTGAGGCTGAAGGAGATGGAGACGATCATCCATTTTTGGAAAGGGGACGTGACGTGACGAATGAGTGCTCCCCACGCCTCAGGCGTTTCCTGGCTGCTTCTGCTCTATTATCGTACGTGGTAACGGTAGCTCAGACCAAAGTTTTGGAATGCATGGCTCATGTGGTTGGGTGCACATGCGGGGAACGGTCGAAGTGCATATATGTATACACAGTTGATTTTACATCGTCATCGTCCCTGGCGTGGCGGTTATACGAAAAGCTTTCAAACACTGGAAAAAAGGTGCAACATGATGCCCGTTTTAGTCCGCTGTTGGTTTTGGCGATACAGCTTCGCAAGTTACTATGTACTCGGTTGTTACGCCTTTTTTCTGACGCTTTCGCCGATTCCTGTTTTTGTGACCAGGGCCCTCCGTCGGCGGCCTTCCACTCTCATCTTGAGGCTGTTCTAGCGCTCGTTTGACCTTTTTAGCCTTCTTCTCTACTGGTTCAGAGGGACCAGCCTGTGTGGAGTACGGCCGTTGACCTAATTGCTTTTCCTTCTTGCAGAGTTCCTTCTTCAACTGCTTCTTCATCTTCTTCTTCATCGCATTTTTGGATAGTTCTCCGGGCGCCCTTCCGGCGACTGCTTCACAGAGCGCTTGGTCATGCTCTGACAATTTAGGTTCGCGCATTTTCGGATATTGAGAAAATAGATCTTCGTCCAGCTCCGGTGAAACGACATATGCGGGTTTCACGGCAGTCGCTGTTCCATGGACATCCATATCGAAGGCTGGGTGGGCTTCCATGTAGGCTCTTACGTCTGACGGCGATGCTCGGTGCAGATCCTCTAAGTACTTTAAGAGCGATAGGAGAACTGTATCTGCAGCCGGGTCGACGTTTCGATTCGTTACTGTAAAGGTGGGGAGATGAAGGCCGTTCCGAGGGGTGAAACTGGCTTTCCCAGCTGTGTCATCGATCAAGATCGTATTGCGCTGTAGGGCGAGAAGCAGCGCATTTAGGATTGGGGTTTCTCAGACTAAGGGCACACGATCCCATCCATACCTCATTCCATCGTCCTCCAGGATTCGCCTCCGGGTCATTCCAAAACCTTTCCAAATCCTTCTTTCCCACGTGAGACTTGCTGGCGACCTGGCATTTTAGTCGATCCCAGCCAAACACCAATGCTTCTTGATGGTGGCGGAAGACTTCCGTAAACATGAGCATCGCGTTCCGGGGACATGCTGACGTCCATGATGCGATCGCATAGTCTTGGAATATTCTATTCAGAAAAGTGTCCAAGTACGGTCGTCTGCAAGTACAAAATTCAAACGAGGTCAGGCACTAGTTTCAAAAGGCAAGGGACACGCAGTCTTCCGCACAGCTCAACTCACAGGTAGCATCTTCCTTGATAAGAATCATAACGCAGTTAGGTTTAGTTATTCACAATGAAAGAGGTCCAAGGCGATGGCAGCTTACTTCTGTCTTAGGAAGTGAAAACATGGTTGTGGCGGACAGAACGGATTCTCTCTTGCCATCTTCTTTTCGGTCTTTGTGATCCGCTCGAGTAGCGTTCCGTTGACGTCCAATACCAGCAGAAACTCCTTCCTACTCATGGCTGCTGTGCTTATATGGCTCGAAGTTAGAACAAAAGAAAAGAGCGACATGGGGTCCAAAATGGGTCCAAAAGTCCGATTTTCCCACGCGCGCCCGAGGATCATCGATACAAATCAATGCCGTTCTGAATGCCGTCCAACTTCGAACACCACTGCCCCAACGATCTGCAAGCCTGAACCCGACATACATACGATCCCGCTTTGTTGAGTCGTCTGCTTGAAGGCACACGTCGGATAACCAGCTTACAGTGAGCAGTTTCATAATTTATCAGCAGTCCCCATTTCATCATCCACGACATCCATCACCATTCAGGGCGGCGGAGAGAACCCAATGTTCTGGCGGTTTGGCTTCCACAATGCGTCGGCTATAGACGGATTGTTGGACAAGGAAGGGCTGACGTTAGACGAGCTGTTGGAGGAGGAGGAGACGTTACAAGAATGCAAGGCTCACAATACAAAGCTGGTTGAGTTGTAAGCATATTCATCCTTCAGAACACCGTGTACTACTAGGCTGGGTGGGAAGACTTACCGACTTTGGCCTTGCCTTCTAGCCTGTGCAAGCCAGAGGTGCTCAAGCAGCTTCTGGGTTTCATAATGAACTCCGACGACCTCGAGGAGGCTAAGCGCTTCAAGTATGTCATGCATCTTCATGGTCTCGCTTGCGCGTGAGCTGATCTCCCCGTGCCCCCAATAGATACCCTTACCTGGCGTGTGAAATCCTCAGCTGCGAAATCTTTTCAATATGTGAAGGGATTGTATCCAACGAAGAGCTTATGAATGATTTCTGGACGCTCCTGGACCGCCCTGCTCCATTGAATCCCTTGACGGCGAGCTACTTCAGCAAAGTCAATGGTGTCCTTTTGTCGAAGAAAATGCCGGAGGTTGGATCCGTGGCGTCTTGCTCAATGCGCATCACCTACGACCGCATCGTTAATCCCATGTTGCATTTTCAGATGATAACCTTCATTCGCAAACAACCGAATGTCGTACAGCGATTACTCTCCCATGTTGGCAGTTCCGCGATATCAGATCTTCTGCTGAAGTTAATAAGCATGGAGGAATTGCCAGAAGGAAGCGGGACTGTTGAGGTGGGCTGGTGCCGACTGTCATTGCGGTGAGCTAGTCGATCACTAAACATCTTCGGTCAACAGTGGCTCAGTAAGGAGGGCCTGATTCCATCGCTACTAAATCGGATGGACCCGAAGTTGGATTCGGAGGTATGCATCGTAAATCTGAACTGAAGGTGGGAAGACTACATTCTTACGTCCCATTCAGGTGCATAACACGGCTGCACAAACGCTGCTCGATGTGATTGCCGTCAGCTATCAGACCATCGGCCCGCAAGAGATCCTCCCAACGGGCTTGGGAGGATCCGTCCTCGGGGAGCAGCCAGCACTCACGACTTCGATTAGCGGAAACACGTTGGTTGATGAGTTGAAAAGGTGAGCACCGCTCGTCTCGACTTTTCGCGTAAGCGCACCAGGCTTCGGAACATTGACGAAGATTTCTCGTAGTGAGGAGATGATGAACAAACTTGCATCATATATGCTAGATGAGCGGAGCCCCCAATCCGCCACTACTCTCGTGAATGGCATTAACATCATAATCGAGCTCATTCGACGATACTGCAGGTGGGACAGCCCGTGCGAAACCGACGCTCGTTTCATTGCTGAACCCATCGTTCCCCACAGCGAAATCGAGCAAGCGGAATACCAGCAACACCAGTATCAACAACAGCCGGTGACTCAACGAACAGGTCCGCCGCCACCAGCCCCTGAAAAACTAAGAGCACTTGCAACAGACCTCAATGACCTGCTCCACGTGATCGGTTCACGTTTGACGCAATTTTCTCAATTGTTACACGGGTCCCATTACTTGGTATGCGTCAGTGGTACCTGTCTTTCGAGGGTCTACTCTAATAGCGCCTTGCTTTTCAGGAAGAAAAGGATGCCCCGGTTGGGAAGGCTCCTACGCTCGGATCTGAGCGTCTGAAAACCTGCGAGCTTTTCGCCGAGATCCTGCACTTACAATATCTGTACACATCGAGTCCGCTCTTCGAAAGACTCATTACCGTGCACCACGGGCACCCCGACAAATCTGACTCTGACGAAGATTCGGGCAAGACGGAATTGACCCCAAAATCGCCTACGGAACAGTCTGCACCATCAGCTACCGAGTCGACCCCTCCCGCGAGAAGCGTGGCCAATGAGCTTGTATCCCTAACGAACAAGTTCATTGACGCCAAAATATTACCTGTGTGCCTGGTGGGTTCAATCTGTGAAATACCACGTTACATCCGCAAGCTAATGGATGACGGAATCGCTAGGATCTATTCTTTCGCTTTCCATGGAACAACTTCTTGCATTCGGTTGTATACGATATGATCGCGAAAGTGTTCAACACGTACTCCTACACCAGCACCACCAACCTCCCCAAGGCTCCTACGGCCTTACCTGGCGATGATGAAGGTATCGTCCCACAAGAGGCGATAAGCCCTGCCCAGAGTGCTGTTGAGGCACAGATGGGAGCGGTGAAGATCATTGTCCGGAGATTGGTCTTGTCGGTAGGTTTTGAAGCCCGATACAGTTTTTCACCGTTGTTGACATGGGAACAAGAAGCTAACGGAGATGATCAGATATTCAAGGATGGAGAGTTGACAAAACAAATCACGAGGGCTCAAAGGCAAAACGATGCGCAAGTGTAAGCAGTCGTCGAGCATTGAATTTCTCAAATGGACATGCCTGACCTGTTATGATAGGGCAAAGCCGAAAGGAGTGCGTCTCGGATACATGGGGCACTTGACCTACATCGCGGACGAAGTCTGCAAGCTTCTGGACAAGTGCAACGAGGATCTGAGCAAGGAACTAGGCGGTGGGTTCACATGCGACACGAGTGTCAATGCGCTCGTATTCTCATCTTCCTGTTTCTTTACAGAACTTGTTGTCGCCGAAGACTGGCAAAACTACGTGCTCGGAGCCCTGAAAGAAACGAGAGAACGAGACCGACAACCATTAGGAGGCGTTCGGCCAAATGGCGGTCCTCAGCAGCATCAGGTCCCAATCATGGGAGGCGTTGGTGGAAGCTTCACGGGAGGGCCCGATGAAGCGGATGGCCTGAAGATTGGAGGGACTGTGATCAAGCGAGAACCTGATGAAGATGAAGATGAAATGGATCCGACCAACGCTGGTGATGCGTTCATGGGAGATGGAGATGTTTCCAGCGATCAGGTAAGGATCGCTTTCTGGCGGAGAAGCCCCGGCCGGACGCATTCGCTACCAAGAGGATTACTTATCGCCTGAACCCTCGCCCCACTTTAGTTTGCAAGGTTTCTTTGCCATCAGGTTGGTTTTGAAATGCTGACTGTGTACGGGCAGGCTGTGTGAGTCTCATTCATTTCGCCACCTACAGATCGTTGCAGATCTACCTGATCGGTTCATTGGAGTTGACAACTCGGATGACGAAGACGACGGCGAAGACGGCGGATCAGGATGGCTGGGGTAAGAGTTTGGCAAAGGTAGACGGTTCGACTCCCATAGTAACCTGACTCTGGGCGGGCATGATCAGAACGTTTGAGAGCAAGGACTTTGACGTTCGTGAAGCATTCGACTCCGTAAGTAGCCGGCGACAATCTTGGTATCATCTACCCACAAGAATGCTGATCCTCAATGCCCTCCCAGGATAACCCCTTCCCTGACAAGCGCTCCTCCTTCGGCGCCGACTTCGCCGAGGTCAGTAAAGTAGATTCGGGGGATATTCCCTGCAGTATCGTTGAAGAGGACGAAGATATCCCCGATCCACCAGCGGACGAGCAGAGAATCTCACCTCCTCCGACCAGCGATACCCAGAAAGCGCAAGCATTCGACCTGACTGACCTGGGGAAATCGCTGCCAGAAACAGACGATGAGAAGCCACCTGCTCCGGAGGGCGAGCCAAGAGCATGATAGGCACCGGACTTGGTGGCGCGTCCGGCAAACCGTAATTCGATGACAAAGTAACTACCCACAAGTAAATGTATCTAGGACTCGAAGTCCTCAGAAAGGAAGCAAGTTGCGGGGGGCCTGCTTTTGGGAGAAGAATCACACGGGAAGCCTTCGGACTGGTCCAAAGCTTCTCTGTTTCTATTCTATTCTGATTTGGTTCGATTGTTTCCTCCTTACTTCCGTACTTTTACTTGAATTTCCTACCACCCCTTCCCCACTACGCGTATATGCCAATAGTCTTCCCTCCCCCTCTTTGTTTTCGATCGTCATAATTTGGGAGGTTTTCTTGGTGTCTCGTTCTAATTCTGTATAAAAATACGAGTATTTTCAGTACCATCAACAGCTTTCCAACGAGACTGGTGGGCGAGGTTCGATTGCTGTCACAGCCTCACAGGTTGTCCAGCTTCGCTTCTAAACTTCAAAGCTTGTCCGTCTGCTTTCGGACGCAAATCCAGACAGCAAAGGAATACGCGTCTTAGGGCATCTCCACCGTGGACTCCAAAAAGTGTCGCCCAGTTCCATCATGGGCTGAAAAAAGAGGTCTAAGGGAAAAAGCATCTCCTCCGTTCCCCGTTTGTGAGGTCTCGCGCACTTCATTGGGTGCATGGGATTTGAGTCACTTACTGTAGAGCCAGTAACTGTACTGCCGCTACTGTACATATGTGGTGTCGCCGAAATCGACGCTATACGGCGAGCCATGGCACCACCCACCGTTATCGTGCAATGCCGAAGCAGGAAGAGCAGGTCTTCCCAATAATCAACCTAGACGGCCATTGATGAACATCTGAGGATCTGATAGGGAACGATACCTTCTTCATAAAAAAGTTCATCCTGTGCCGTTCGCTCGTGGGCGGCGGTATCGAACAAACATTCAATATGCCGTTGTTGACATCAATTGACATGTTCTTCCGACTCCAAGCCTAGCCTGTCCCATTCATTCCCCTTTTTGCAGTTGTCGTGTCTAGGTGTGAGGAATATCGACGTTCGTATGGAAGCCAGACTTCGGCCGACCAGTTTGTTTTCTAGGTCGACGTGCACCTATACAAGCGCGGGACTGATCTCTACAGCATAACAGCGCTCCCCTCAATTTCCCTCAGCGAGGGCCTCAGCGAGGGAGTCTCTTACATCTGAATTTGAGGGTTCCGCGGAAGCTGTGACATAGGTCGGCTTTGCATCATGCAGTCAGTTCACATGGAGAAATCCAAAAAATCCGACTTGGGTTGTTCCCATTTGGCGCCTTTCGCGCCTTGGATTAGGATCTGCACGGGAAGCTGCGGGAAGGCTTTGAGAGGCTTTGAGTGATGTGATGCGATTGTCGTCGTCCTCCGGGTCTTTCCGCGGGAAGTGGAAAGCTGACTTGAAGTCGCCGCCATCTTTCGTTCGAAATTCTTCACATATATATCAGGACAGGACGGCATGAACTGCCGGCTAGATATTTCAGGAAGGGCCAGCCTACCTTACAAATCCCCCGTTCGTTGAAAAGGTTCGGGAGGCATTCCCAACGCATTGGCGAGTTCAACTTTCGCTCATATCCCCGCTCACTCACGATGCTGAACGACTCGGCTCCTGCCGGCTTCGTTGACGCACCTACTGTCATCGCAGGCAGCGTTGCTGCCGCTGCCGCTGCAACGTCACTGAGCGCAATGTCTAGCGACCATAGCAACTCCGTGGTGTCAACGCTTGTGGAGGCAAAGACCAAAGCGCTGCAAATTGCGGTATGTTTACCCAGAACCCATACTATCCCACCCTTTTCTTTCCCAAGAGAGACTCTTTGCTGATTAATGATGGCGTGGGACACAGTCGGTCGCAATCTACTCGTCTCTGCTCTACATCAACTCCTTCGTCCTCGCGGTCCTTCTGTACAACTGGCGGCTGACATGGCCTTTCTTCGTGGTATATTGTGGCTGGGCATATCTGTTTGACTCGGGGACGCCGTTCACAGGGGGAACGGATCGCATGCGGTTCTTTAGGGATTGGAGCTTTTGGAATTACTTCGGGTGCGTTATAATCCCGGAGGATTTGGGTCAAGGTGTTGATTGACGATGGGAGTCGGCACTGACGCTCCATGATATATAGGCAATACTTTGATGCCGAACTTGTGAAAACTGCCGAGCTGGACCCAACAAAGAACTATCTGTTCGGTTACCACCCTCACGGAATCTATTGCTACGGGCTTCTGTAAGTGGTGGCTTCTCATCTCTATGGTACGAGCTTCGGAGCTTACATCATTCTCCCTTTCTAGTCCCAACTTCATAAGCAACTACTCAAATTTCTCGGGACAGTTCCCCGGCATCAAAATCCGCATGACAACACTAGACGTCAACTACGTCATTCCCCTCTGGCGCGAAATCTCAATGGCCCTCGGCGTCGTCTCAGTCGGAGCCAAATCCCTCAAACACATCCTCAGCAGAAAGGGCCCCGGCTGGTCGGCGATGGTCGTTATCGGCGGCGCCGACGAGGCGCTGCTCGCATATCCCGGCACCAGCGACCTGATCCTGAACCAACGCAAGGGTTTCGTGAAGATTGCAGTGCAGACCGGCGCGGCGCTGGTTCCGGTATTCACGTTTGGAGAGAACGACCTATATTGGCAGGTTACGGAGACGAATGCGCCCGAAATCCGCAAAGTGCAGAAGCGCGTGGCGAAGATCTTGACGTTTTCGATTCCGTTGATGTGGGGAAGTTTTGGGCTGTTTCCGAGGAAGACGAGGCTCGTGTCGGTTGGTGAGTATACTCTCTGGGATGCATTCCATGGACGAACTCTTGGCTGATCTTCCCTTATCATTCCTGAAGTTGGCGCGCCGATACATATCAAAAAACAAGACAATCCCTCGCGGGAATACATCGCGGAGATTCATCAACAGTACGTGGATGCACTGTTGAAGTTGTACAATGACCACAAGGACCGGTATGCGGTGGACAGGACGAGGGACCTGCGGATAGTGCGATGAAGAGTTAGATTAAACGGGCGAAGTTAGAGGCGGCATATGGTTTTCCGTTTTTTTACTTGACATGATGGACTAGTCATACTTGCGGCGTATTTATTTCTATTGGTTCTCAAGTCCGTGCGCAAACAAAACTTTGCTGTGCGAAGTGCAAAGGGCTAAATGCAAGGAACTCGTTACGGGGTATATTACGCTCATCGGAATGAACAACTAAAAGACTGAAAAACTATGGGGGCGAACGCAACGTTTTGGGAATGGGAAGCGGGGAGAGCACAGCAGCGAACACAGATTTTGCGAAGGGTGCTACATGTATCCACTCACAGGATTTCCAGTGACGGCAGCCTTCATGTGTAAATCACGGAGCAAACGCCAACGCAATGCTATCCCACATCACGACAACTCCATCGACCCGCCCACATCCGCTCCAAACGACGCCACCCTAACAGGTTTTCGATGCTGACCCGCCGCAATCCCCATCCCATTCTGCTGCTGCTGTATTTTCAGGTTCCTAATCTGCTGCTCGACAGCCGCATTGTCGTGTGGAGCCCGTGACGATGCGCTGTTTTCATCCATTTCGAGACTGAAGGGCTCGGACGAGTCGGAGATGTGACCTGGGTCTCGTATCGACGTGTGCTGTGATGACGCATTCGCGTCGCTGCTCTCGTCCTCATCGTCGTCATCTTCATCCTCGTCTCCGTCGTTGGTATCGCCGTTCACTCCCTCTTCCTCATCCTCATCATCGTCGTCGTCGTCTCCGTCGTTGTCCTGAAATCGATTCGAACGTGGTGCGTGCGCGGGTTCTGTTATTTTGGTGGCCATTTTTCGACCTTCTTTTAAAGCGCTTCGCATGTTGTAGTGAGATGCGCGCATTGCTTCGAATTTGTCGTGTTTTTCCCGCTCTGCAGAAATTTCCCATGGATATATTCAGTAACGGGACATCAACCCGGATTCAACACTGCAAGTGTATTCACGAACAAATACCTTCAGCAGTCATCGTCTCCTCCGGCTCATCATCATCCCACTCATCCACCGATACCCGTCTCTTCACAACGACGGGATGAGCCCCATTCGCGTTCTCCTGGGCCCGCTCAGCATTCCGGTCCTTCTCCCTCTCCCTCTCCTTCTCAACATCCACCAGCGCATCGGTCAATTCCATCGGCGGCACTGCGGCGGTGCTGCCGAGGACCATATCCGATGCCGAGTCGTAGCGGATGTAAGGGGTTTTGGGCTCAGTGATCTTCATCGTGGCGGATTTGGCGGCTTCTGTCATTTGAAGGTTGTCTTCGTCCCACTTGATCCTAAAGAAAGGTTTGGGGTTGAGCGCAGGAACTGGTTGAATTGTACACTGGAAGTAAAAGCTTACCCTCGCGGCGCACCGACGTCCTCCGCCGAGTGCTTTAGAATTCCTCGAAGGGGCATTTTGGAAAGTCGGACCTGCAATTCTTGTGTGAAAAACTTGGGCCACACACCCACACAAATATCGGGTGATTGCAGGTTGTAGTATGTACCTGAATAGCTACTTTTATGCGATAGGTAGGCCTGAGTGGGAAACTTGGAACCGAGTGCCTTTGAGTGTGTGGGTTTGCGCAAGAATTGGGAAACTGCCGAGAGGGTCGAACTGCAGCGAGACGTTTTCAAGGGCGTTGTGGGGCCCAGGTCCAGAACATCCAGTAGGCCCTACCGACACGCCCCCGCGTCCCCACGAGGCCCCACGTGCTAAGACCGCTCCCCCCCGACAATAACGGGTTGCAATGCACATCCATTAGACAATGCATGAGAGACAGAGAGGGTTCTAGTAGGGATTGCGTCTCCTCAGGCTCTCCCCGCTCATGGTTGAAAGGGGCAAGCGGAGACGGCTTGACAGGAGTCGAATAGGGGGTCTGCAAGAAGCGCCGAGTTGAGCATCGTGAGTTCTCGGAACGCGTTGTGCACGCATAGCGGTTTGGGACAGCTAAAACATATCCTTTTTGCTCGTATTGCAATATCTCCGGACCTCTGTGACCGACCTCATCCTCTATCGTATCGATACGTCGGGTCCGAACCGCCTTCCTCCGGCCTACCCCATGCCCGCTGATGAGAGTTTACGATGTGGAATAGTACACATCAGACCCACCCTTTCTCATCCGTCAGGGAGGACTGCAGAAGATCCAGCGGCTGTTTTTGCAGCGCCAAGAAATCCCGACCAAGCGCTAAAGAGTGCGGGAGTCCGTAAATCCCTCGTGCGAGAGTCCACCTGGCGACCTCGCTCCCCAGTTGGGCAAACAACAACCCGAACGTGCGACATGGACAGATCGATCCAGAACCTTTACGGCAGATGCAGAGTACCAAGGCGTCGTCAATGGGGAGTTGGTGCTGCGTAAACTGAATGGAGTGTCATTCGCATTCCGTTCCGGAAGTTAGATTGAAACGATCTGGAGTTGTACTTCGTATACCGGGGAAGGAGGGTCTGCAGATTCTCGAAGTTGACATAGAGATGACGGGGAAATAAAGCTCCTCGGCGTGGGCGACAGGGTACCCTCCGACTCTCAAGAATTGAAGGATAGCGTCAGAACAAGTCTGCATAGGCGGGCGGCTGCCACATGAGTATAAACACCAAATAGCTAGCCATGTTGAGAAAGAAAATTCATGAAAAATCAATGTGCAGGTGCAGGGGGAGTTCCCGTTCCTTTCCATTCTTTATCGTTCTCAACTTCTCATCTTAACTTGTGCCCTGCCGCACGTGTGCCAGATTGTCTCTCTTTTCCCACGAGAAAGGCGGGAATAGAGAATTGACGACTTCGCTCCCGTGAGCATCGCCCTGATATTCCCCGAACGCGTTACGCACGCGTGCTCAGAAGTTAGGACTCGAAAGTTGAAAAGTGGAAGTGGTGAAGTTGCTTTCGCACAGGCGAGCTTTCCAGTCCCGACTTCCTATGTATTCTATGTGGAGAATTCCAGCTGAAGTGCAGAACACAGTTGTTTCTGCAAATATGATTGAAAAACAAGCGTATAGATGAAAAAGGTACAAAGTTATGGAAGAAGGTCGAGGAGAAGCGACAACAATTGCCACAATAAATATGATGATGCTGATGCACGCCATAAAGCAGAACCCGGGTCTTGAATATACAACATAATGCCAATCAGTAAGACCTCCCAGAGTAAAGGGCAGCCATGGCGGCCCCGAAATCTTGTCCCTGTCCCATGCCTCCGTACATATACTCATCCTGCGGGTAGCCCAGCCTGCCCGTACTCATGCCACCATATGCTGGGGGCGCGCTGGCAACCATCGGCTTGCCCATCATGGCTGGATTCCAAGGTAGGCTCGCTGGGCGACCCGTGTACTCGATGGCAGCAGCGGCGGCCGCTGCTGCAACACCAGGTCCGCCAATGCCGGTGTAAGTCACCGCCTCGTAGATGTCAACCATCCGTTTCTGGGTGACCTGAATCTTCTGCAGCGAAGCCACCGCCATCGCATCGCGCTGCTTGATGGCAATCTCCAGCTCCCCGACTCGGTTGCGCAACCCTTCGATTGTGCGATTCTGCTCCACCACTGTTTGCTCCAGCTCCAGTGCGACAGTGGTTGCATCTCCCGTTGCTCTGATCTCACCCGCGACTTCCAATTGGGCACGCAAACCGTCGACTACGCCTTCCAACTCCACGCATCGCCCGCGTAACGCGGCGTGAGCGGAAACCAGCTCTGCGTGCGTTCTTTGCGCGTCCTGTGAGACCTGCAACTGCTGCTTCAGAGTCGCGATCTGCGTCGCAAGCCCTTCGTTGGCGGACTGGATGCGGGTGAGGGCAGACGCTTGGGCATTAGTGAGGGCGTGCGCACTTGCGAGGTCCATCTGGAGATTATACACGGTGGTCGAGTCGGCGGAGTCCAGAAACCCTGCAACCGTGGGCGGGGCCGTCGTTCCTCCAACTTGACCTTTGGCATCACCGAGGATACCTCCCTGTAGGGACGCTTCCCATCCCGCAGGCGCTACTATATCCGCTTGACTACGTTGCGGGCTCACGTTTGTGGACGTCGCACCGCTCGTGAGGAACGCTGGGTTGGTTTGTATATTGTACGGCGGCCGTGGACGGATGGTTTCCTGCGAGACTTTCCATTGACCTGAAGGTGGCATCGGCGTGTCGTGAACGTGCTCAGGATACGCTCCAGCCTGCGGTTGCAGTAAGACGGGCTGCTGCGGTAGCTGCGGCCGCGGGGTGGGTTGCAATGGCTGTTGCTGCTGTGTCTCAGCCACGGTGCCCTGCACGGAAGGTTGCGCTTCTAATTCCTGTACTTTCGGCTCCACAGGCAATGGCGGCCGCCCAAACGTGGCTGGCCGCGGCCCAAACCCGCCCTTTCCACTGTACATCCCCGCCATCAGGCTTCCCATATCGTCGTTCCTCATCGGCAGGCTGCCTTGCTGCCGATGCTCCTCAAACTGCTTGTTCGTCTTTCCATCCCAACCACCGAGAAGCACCCCTCCCGCGCCATTGTCATCGCGCAAATCACTCGAGGACGTCCCGCCGCGGGATTTCCACCGCAGCCCAAGTTTTTTGGTCAGGGACCTGGCGGTGCTACCTTGTTTGGCGTTGGAATCGGGGGCATTCCCAGACAAATCCCCCTCGCTATTACTAAGCGTCGCCTGGCTGTTGACCAATCCCGAATTGGAAGAGAGGTTGGATTTGCTACCTCGGCGGTGCAAGGAAAGGTGGGACAAGGAGAGCAGGCGGGAGAGCGTATTCCGCCGGGGACCTCCGGATGCAGCGCTGGGACGCCGTTGCAATGTTAAGCTAGTGAGGGCGGGGTTGGGAAGCGTTTTCGACTGGTAATCGTAGTTGAATGGTGGGTTGCTCACCCCTTGGGATTGTGGGTCGGGAAGAGGTTGGGATTGCACCTGTCCCACTTGAGCTTGCCCTTGTCCTACTTGAGCTTGCTCCTGTTCAACCTGAGCTTGATTCAGATCCGCGAAATGTTGTTCCAACAGCTTCTCTTGCTCCGGGTCTTCCTGCTTCTCGTCCTGCTTCTCCTTGTGGTCTTCCCCTTCTTGAACCGCTGCAGCAGTCAAGGCTGCTGGCAGGATCATATGTGCCGCCTTGTGCAACATCCCGGAATCTTTTGAGTCTCCAACAGATTCGGCCAGCAGCGCCGCTGGGAGCACGGTGTGAGCGGCCTTCTTGAAGAACCCTTCCTGCTGGGCAGGTGAGTTTGAGTTCGACCGAGAACGATCGTCTTTCTGTCCATTATGATGGTCCCTCGATCCTTCCGCATGTACGATCGACTCGGCTAGTAGTGCTTGGGGTAACACCTTCCTAGCAGTCTTCGATATAATCCCTTCATGGTGAGCATCTGAGTGATTTCCTTTCTCCGTAACAATCGACTCGGCCAGCAGTGCCCCAGGCAGCACTTTCCGAGCGGCTTTTGCCATAAGCCCTTCAGGATGCGAAGTATCCGGGTGCCTCGACTCATTCTGAGCTACAAGGGACTCAGCCAGAAGGACCTCCGGCAACACCTTCCGAGCAGCTTTGCTTATAAGCCCTTCATGATGGTGGTGGTTGTCCCTGTCGACCAGGACCGACTCGGCCAGCAACGCTCCCGGAAGCATTTTACGAGCAGTCTTCGCCACAAACCCTTCATTTTCAGGAGGATCCGCATGCTTTTGCTTCTCGGCTATAAACGACTCGGCCAACAGCACCTCCGGTAGCGCTTTACGAGCCGCTTTCGCCATAAGCCCTTCGTGGTGATGGTGGTGGTGGGAATCTGAGTGCTTACGATGGTGCTTGGGATGCTTCGAATCCCTTTCGTCTGCGAGGGATTCCGGCAACAGCGCGTCCGGGAGCACTTTACGGGCGGCTCTCGCCAAATGTCCTTCGTGCGGTGAATCGGCACGGAAGTGATGATGGTGTTTGTCATGTTTCGAGTCGTGGCCACCCACCAAGGACTCCGCTATCAGCGCCGCCGGTAATACAGCATGAGCGGCTTTAGAAATGATCCCTTCATGCGGGGAAGATGACCGTGACCGAGAATGGTGCGAATGATGAGGATGCGAATGATGCGAGTGTTTGTGGTCGTGGTGATGATCTCTCGCAGCCACATACGTCTCAGCCAGCAACGCCTCCGGTAACAGCGTGTGCGCGGCTTTCGACAAGAAGCCTTCTTCTGGTGTTCCTGAGCCACTGCGAGAGTGGTGCTTATGTTTGTGGTGGTCCTTTTCCTTTACAACCGCATCAGCTAGTAGCGCCTCTGGAAGCAATGTGTGCGCGGCTTTTGATAGGAATCCTGGCTCCGGTTGCGGTGAAGCTGAGCTTTCGCGCGAATGGTCGTTGTTTATATTTACTTCTACATTCACAGCAGGAGCTGCGCCTACTATGGCTTCCGGCAAAAGTGCATGTGCAGCCTTCGACAGCAGGCCTTGTTGAGGGGCTTGCTGTGGGGCTTGTTCGGGGGCAGGTGAACTGGTGCGCGACGGAACCTCCGCTGTCCTTTCCGCCCTTTGTCGGTTTTTAGGCTTGGTCGTGGGCGACGGGGCAGCAGGTGGAGTCCCCACATCCTTCGCCGCTTCAGTGGACGTCGCAGCCGCTGTGGTGGCGTTTGCGTTGGCACCATATTTGAAACTGCCAAAGGGGAACGCATGCTTCCGCAGGTGCTGTGGCCGCGGCGTATCGTCCGCATCCTCATGTAGCAGTGGCAATGCATACGGCTGGGCGGGTTGGGCCTTGACTGCCGCTGCACCATCCGCTGAATCAACCTTGTCGTCGCTAGAGCGCCTGAACATGCCCAGGAACTTCTTCGGATGATCGTGCGCCTGTTCTTCCGCCGTCTCAGTCGCGGCGCCGAACGTGAACATGCTCACTGCTTTCGCTACAATGCCCTCCTTCGGCTCAGCAGGCTGCTCAGCTGCATTACCAGATCCATTCGCGACGTCTACATCTTGCGCCACTGGCTTCTCGGGAGCTGGCGTGGTGTCGAAGGTAAAGATGTGCCGGGCTCTCGCTACCATGCCTTCCTCTGGCTTCGTAGGAGCCTCTTCCACAGTGGGCGTATGCTCATTCCCCGTCCCCGTCACGTAATGCAATGCTCGTTTCAGTACACCTTCCTTCTCTCCCGCACTTGCATCTACTTCCACGGTTTCCTGTGGGTCGGTCTCGCCGACGTCAGGCACCATCTGGCTATCCACCACCTCTTCCTCAATAACGCGGCGACGAGCAGCTCTTACGTGAACCGGCCGTAACGAGTTTCCGTCGTCGGTGGGCCGCGAAACGGCTCGTAGCACTCTGTGGTTGATCCCATCTCGTACTTCTAAAACGTGCGGAATCGACTCAGGGGTCGCAGCCGCGATCACTTCTTCCTCGTACTCCTCCTCGGTCTCTTCTACTTCTTCTCCATTGTTGTCGCGAACATACGCTCCCTCGTCGTCTTCGTCGGTTGCTCCAATGCCATCCTCCTCATCATCGTACTGCTCATTATCGGGCTCTTCCAGAGCTTGACTGCTTGCTTCCATGGCTTGAGACCGAACAGATAGGTGCGGCAAACGGGTAAGTCAAAGTTGCCCAGTAAGGGGTATGGCGAGCCCTAGTGTCGAAACCCTCGTTGCCAAGAACGAATGAAAACCGTGCGGCTCGAGGGGCACCGGATGGTCGAGAACAGCTTTGTCCGTATCTGTGTGATTCGCTTAATCTCGTAGATTATAACGCTGCGCAGGTATTCGGGATATCTCTGCCCTTTTATGTAGTTTGTTTCAAAGCCTCATAAGTTCATATCAGAGATGTCTCATGAACTGTAGCGTTTTGCCCGTCGACACCAGAGTGGGTTCCTTGGCGAGCGGAGTTTCTTCGGTGGCTTGAAGTGTGGCTTGTGCGCGTCCTAGTCGATAATACTGTCATTCCAATTCGTCTCTCTCGCCACAATCCGTTTTTTGCGGTCTCAAAATCAAGAAACAACACATTGAAGTCAGGAAAGCACAAGCTGGAAGACTCTAAGGGCGACGAGGACGATGATAAGGACGGAACACGGAACCTTCTAATCGTTCTCTCGACAAACAATCTGGTCGAAGGCGGCGGCGATGACCGCGATAGATGCGAGTAGAACAAAGATGACAGCTATTGGAAAGGGATGAGGAGTGAGCGTCCTTGCACCAGAAATGCAGTCATATCTCTTGAAGGAACGATCATGGACTGATAGCAGCAGCCGGCTCGTTACATCCAGACTCGTCCTACTGCACCACTCAGACGATGCACAACCCCGCTCGCGTTTGCAACGATACGTTGAGCTCCGTGGGCGCTGGGAAGCAATACGATACATAATACGCACTGCATTGACCTCATCGACTCCGATGGCCAGACTACGGAGTGTATGGACCACACGGACTCGCAGAACGACGTCGTCCTCGTGTCTGTGACCGACGCTACTATCAAGGTTACCACTATTGTGGAGTCGGACTCGGACAACGAGCTGGAGTGCGAGACCGGGGGATGCCAGCAGCGCCATTTGTGAACCGGGGCACCCGGCACATCTCGCCGTTCTCGCTGTGGAAGCACATACATGTTCGCATCCGTACAGCCGTTACATTTGACTTTGCATCTGCCACTGAGGAACTGATGACTGCACGCGCAGGAAACGAAGAATGAACGCAATGGTAATGGTGGGTGGTAATGATTACTGGCCAGACATCTGGTTACGACGGGTTCTGCGCCCTGTTTGTGGAACCCAAAAGTCAACGACCAGCTTTCATGCTCGGAATGATGTGTCCTTGGGGCGTCCCTACTGAATACGCAGGGGCAACTTGGGCAGGTGTGGCTTTTGAACGTCCAAGTCCATTTTGTGCCAATGCATGTGCAGTTGTGCGCAAGCGTCACGCGCGCTCTGCGGGCGTCGACGGTCGTCCTGCATTCAAACTTCAAAGGCTCCCCTTAGAGTCCCCTGTCAACGAGAAACACTGACGGACAGGACAGTCCCATCACCACCATCCGGTCTCCCACCATGTCACCCCCTTCAATCGCAAACCCCACCTACAAGCCCATCCCGCACCCCGCCACGGGTTCATTCCCTACCTTCCAGGCCTTCTGGCCATTCTACCTCGGCGAGCATGCCAACAAGACGTGCCGAAGGCTGCACTTGACTGGTAGGCTAAACGCCCAGGGATATATATCATATATGTTATACTGTCGGACGCATAGGCTGACGTTCACGGCGCGCCGTTGTTGTCTCTCTAGGAACAACCTTCGTGATCGGCGTCCTCGCCACCGCCATCACCACCTTGCAACCGCGTCTGCTCATATATGTCCCGCTGATAGGGTACGGGTTTGCGTGGGTCGGACATTTTTTCTTTGGTAGGTTTGCTTTCAGATCGCACTTCCCATTGTGACGTGGATTGTGGATTATCTGATATATTGCGTTTGCAGAGCACAACAAACCAGCGACGTTCAAGTACCCCGTGTGGTCATTGATGAGCGATTTCAAGCTGTGGTGGGAGGTGGCGACGCTGAAGAGGGCGTTTTAACATGATGGCGATAACAGGAGGAGGGAGGTTTAAACGGAGTGAGAGGAGTTGGACGATGGTTCTTGTTTTGATTCATGGGGCGTGGTCACTGTGGAACCGCTCTACTATCAAGTTTTCCGTCCGGCGTATGAGCAGCTATCGTAGGAGAGGTTATAAATAGGATTTGGATTGCCATTTGGGCCATGTACGGTTGTGGCCTCTATAAATATCATTGCTATGTTCACTAGTCTGGGTTCATCAAGCCATCCCAAAGGAGCGGAGGATGCATCAAGTCACTCGGTGGCAAAGCATAGTAGGCTGTGGAAGCGGGTATGTACACTATTGCCTACGCTCTCGTTTCTATTCCTGGGAGATCGCTAACAAACTCATTTGCAAGAACCGGGTGCAAGACAGGAATCAAGTGCATGATGGGAACAGAAGGAGCACGATGCATCCCAACGCACCATAAGCGTCCCAACAACGACTTCCATCGCAACTCAACGATCCTCCCTCGCCTTCTTCGCAACCGGCCCCTCCGCGTCCCCACCATCCGCCTCACTCCCCTTCCGTTTCGCGCCCTGTCCCTGTCCCGCCGCCGACGGCCCCGACGACGGTGCCGAACCACCCTGCTGTGCTGCCCCGGACCCACCGAGCCCGAAAGCGACTTTCTCGCGATTGAACGTGTTCACGTTCCGTTCGGTGTCGATGACGGTCGTGGTTGTGACTTTCGGTTGTTTCGTGGCTGGTTTGGCGGGTTTGGGGCGTTTGGCGGAGGCGAGGGGTATGTCTGCTGGGAGTGCGCTATACGAGAGAGAGGATTCATTTGCGTCAGTCTCTTGCTAGTGAACGGGAGACGTAAGAGATGAGAGCATTTACCTCCGATTCCCAACACTAAGCACCAAATGCGCGGCCCCCGCCGCCCTCGTCCGCTCACTCAACGCCGCCGCCGTCCCCAACGGCGTATCCGTACTACTCATCTTCTCCATCTTCAGCTCCTCCTCAATCTTCCTCAACCGCTTCTCCGTCTTCATCTTCCCGCTCTTCTTGCCATGGAACTTATGACTCAGCTGCCTGAACGCCTCCTTCTGGTTGAGCTCGCGGCCATACTCGTCGTGGTACTTCAGGTCAACGTCCGGGTTGTACAGCTTGTACCGCTCCTCGATCTCGCGCGCGCGGCGCCGCTCGGCGTTACGTGCTTCGATCGCTTCTTGTTCTTCGCGGTACCAATCGTCGTCGTCGCGGTGGTTGTTATTTTTACCTTTTTCTTGGTTGTTGCGTTCGCGGTTGCGTTGTTTTTCCTTTTCGCGTTGAAGCTCGCGGAGCCGATCGGCTTTGCGTTGTTCGTTGAGGAAGAGGAGCTTTTCGGCTTGTTTGCGTTGGCGCTCGAGTTCTTCGGGGGTGGTTTTCTCGACGAAGCCTTTTTGCGTGAGGAGAGAAATGGTGGCTGCTAGACCGGCGCCGACTAAGGGTTCTTCTTCGAGGGGCGCAGGCTGCGTATAGATACAATAAGTCAATGACACTCTAAATGGCGAAACGAAGATGACAGTTTCTTTTAACCCAACGTACCATAAGCTCCCCATCGTCGGACTCTTCATCCTTCTCCTTCTTGATTGTCACTTCCGTTTTGCTTCCATCGTCCATTTCCCAACCTCCCTTCTCATCGCCCTGGTCAGCCTCGTCAACGTCCATCTGGTCCACATCGTTCTCGTGCGTCTTTGCTTCCTGCTTCACCGCCGGCGTCGGCCGTATAGGTTCAGGCGCTTTGACGACAGGTGCTGGCGCGGTAGCCAGATTGCGGACAAACTCCGATGTGGCGGATAGGACCATCCCACCCTCGATTGGTGCGTCCTCTTCTTTTATCTGACGTGCGGCTGTCAGGAATGACGTGAGTGAGTCCGCGCGCGATGGTAGAGGAAGACCATGAAAAAGGGGTGCTTACCATCAGCAATCGCCTCCACATCGTGCTTGCTCCGCTTCTTCATCTGCAGTCTTCGGGATCGCGCTAACGCCGACTGAAGGTCATCGTCATCCACAAAGTTCACCGCATCAATGTCCGTATTACGGTTGCTGAAGCTGTAATCTATTGGCCGTGACGCGCTGCCTGCATCCCCGTTGTCACCCGCCGTTGGTAAGTCCACCTCCATCGCATCATCCCCATTCGCCCGCGGCGCGTTCCCTCCCTCAACCGCATCACCCTCCTCATCCACCGCCCGCCTTTCACGACGAGACGACTTCTTCTTCTTCTTTGGCTTCTTGAATGCCACCATTTCCTCCTGGGTATAGTAGTCCTTGATCTCCAGATTCTTCTCGTACGTCAGGGCGATAGCGCCCGCCCGCAGCTTTTCGCCCACTTCTTTTTTCCGTGTCTCCACATCCACCATCCCGTTTTCGCTGATCACGAACCCTCGCTCGGGTTCGCCGTCGATCTCTTCGTCATACTGAGAGAGGAGGTTCCGCTTCTTCCCGGGGTCGAGGAACTCTTCGTCGTCATAGACGTTGTAAGCTTTCTTTCCCTTTTTCTTGTTTTCGACGTTTTTGCGACCTTTGGTGTCGTCGGCTATATTTACGTTATGAAGGATATCCCCCTCCTCTTCATTCTCCAGGATCGTAGAATCCTTCAAAGTCAGAATCGTTTCACCGCCGACAGCGACATCCTCCAGATCATGGTCCACGCGCAATCCCTTCAGATCCGACGCCTTATAGTCCGACACCGCAGACCGATCCATCTCGGCTAAATCGCTCTCCCGCTTCTGAGCCAGCATCTCAGCCTTCTTCTTCGCCTTCGCCTTCCGCTTCTCCTCCTTCTCCCTCTGTCGAAGCACCCATTTTAGTGAATCCCCCGCAGCATCCTCGTCGTCCGACGCAGCCCCCAACGTCGCCCCCTCCAGCTTGACATTCCGCTTAGCCTTCTCCTTCTCCTTCGCAATCGTCTCAATCAGCCCCTTGCGCGCGGCCTTCTCGGCGAGCTCTTTCTGGTGTTTGGCATAATTCTGTTCGGCCGCCTGCTGGCTTTCGCTGGTTCTGGATTCGGCTAAAGGTTTCAGGCCGAGTTTGACGCGCAGGGCGTTGGTTTCTTCTATGGAGAGTTCAACGTCGCCGGTGTCGCCGTCTGCGGGAGGGCGGACGATGTGTCTGTTAGGAGGTGAGCATGATTGACTTTGGACAAGGGTTGGTGCCGGCCTGTGCTTACCGTCGCGAGCCATTGCTGACAATTTCCGTGGCAGGGCGAGAGTATTGGAGGTGAACTGTCCTGTATTTTGGCGAACGCTGTAGCAGGAGTGAACTGTCAGAAGATACTGTAAGTCCTAGTGGAGGAGACTCCTAGTGCGGGGCTGTTAATTGGGAAAGCGGGGAAGCCTGGGGATTCACAAGCCTTGGCCCCCCGTCTCCTTGGCCCGCGTGGGAACTGCGTGGGAACAGGAACCTGCCCATTCTTCCACAAACCCATACACCCCATAGACCCATCAACCCTACCCACAGTCATACCCACAGTCATACCCACAAGCGCCACCGATTAGCATCCACCTCAAGCGCCCTTCCATCGTCTTTATGAGCCATCACCGCTGGTGGAAACGCAGCCCCTCCCCCCCGAAGACCCACCCGCCGCGTGAAGATGACCACACCGACTACCATCTCCTCTTCGGCGACGGCACGGACGCGAAGGCTGAGGATGAGATGAGGAGGCATAAGGACGCTTTTTATCGGATTTATTGTAAGTTAGGGGGTATAAACCCGCCGGGGAATGAAGGTATATTGGGATGGTGATTAACGATTTCTTCTGTATGTCTGGGTACGCAGCGGAGATCAGCAAGAGGCGGAAGGAGATGGGGTTTGCAACAGCGAGGGATGGATCAGCGACGGGCCCGCCGAGCACACCTGGAGAGCGGCGGGAATTCCGTGATCTCGTTGATGGGCTCACGTATAAGAGGTATGGGCAAAATAAGCCAAACACCCACCCGTTCCCAATCTACGCACCCACGCAATAAAGCATCCCTGACATCGCATTAGCAAGATATCCTACGGCATCGTCGGCTGGCTCTTCCACACCTACCTCTGCCATTGCTACTTCCGCCGCGTCATCCTGTGCGCCAACAGCCCGAGTACGTGGGGCTTAATCACACACCCGATGGAGACATTAACAAGCTGCAAAGTCCACCCCTTCACCTTCCTCGACTGGATCAGCATCCTCGAACTCCTCTTCTACACCCTCTGTCTCGCCGGGCAGGTGATGTACCGGCCCCTCGAACGCTGGATTCTGACTTACGGCGTATACGTCACGAACGGCGCGGTGTGCACAGCCTGGTGGTTCCTCTCCCGCGCCGCCGTGCGCGACGCAGGCTGGAGGTGGTGTCCCCCCCAAATGGGCGGCTGTGGAACCTGGACAACCCTCTGGTCGCCCGTACTGCACTGGTGGCTCTTCCTCCTCCTCCGCCGCCGGGCCCTCGCGTTAGCGCATTGGGAGGTCGAAACGCTCCTCGTCGACGCGCAAGCCATGGCTAGAATCAAAATACCTATCGGCAACGGGTTCAGGTTACAGACCCCACCCTTCTACCGACGCCCCTACACATGTTACCAGCTCTGGGCATGTTTCTCGTCCGCGCTGCCCATCCTCATTTGGGAATGGTACATCAAACACCCCGCGCCGAAGACTTCCTGGCAGCCGACGGATTTAGCAGTGTGGCCCGGGCTGGTGAAGGTGGTGATTGTGACGGCGGGGAGCACGGTGGTGTTGAAGGGCTATTTTAGCTTTTTGAGTTTTCAAAATAGGTGTGTGGCGTGGACAGAGCCGTTTAGGAAGGGGTTGGTGTTTGGGGAGGCGGATGGAGTCGTGACCGTTGGGATAATCTATTGAGTGCTGGTAGATAGGCATGCCGCGGCACATGTACATAGTGTTTCGCTCGCACTCTGAGAACGACTGCTTTTCAGAACACTCCTACCTTATTGTAAATATTTGATCTTGATTAGCACACATACGTAGCGAGATCAATCATGAAGCTCTCTATATGGAATGATTGATAGAATAAAGAGATCTACAAAACCCAGAAGGATCAAGGGGAAGACTATGTACGGAAACGAGGGAAACTCACTGTATACAAATTGTGCGGATGTGAGGGGACTAATGCTATGTTCTACGCCGAATAATGTGGCAATGCAATGATAAAAAAAGAGGGTGCGGGGGAGATCTATAGACAAAAAAAGACCGCGCATGGGGGTGCCTCCACATGGTTCCCTCGCTCACGGGTTCAAATTCTGCCTAACCCAACTCCCATCCTTCAAACACTCATCCACCGTCCTCGTCGGCGGCCCCGATCCAGCCGGGTTCGGCGAGTAATGATCCACCCTCTGCGCCTTCAACACCAACAAACAAAAATTATCCAGCGCCGCGTTGTGCACACATCTCAACTCCTGATCCTTCTCGCTACCACCCGCAGCAGCGTTGCCTCCACCTCTCATCGCATTCCCAATCGCACCCAAAAAGCCACTGCCCACCGCAGCACCCCCCGTGGCAACATCCTCATCCATCGCGTCCAACCGCGTATATTTATACCCCGTATGTGTATCCGCCACGATGCGCACCGAGTTGGCCTCGCGGTAAACGGACCCCTCGTTCGCGAGCGTTTGGTGGGGCTCACCCGCCGCGGGCCAGGTGAAGGTTGCGCGGTACTGCGGGGAGAGCTTTTTCCAGTGGGACAGGCGTTGGGATTCCCAGAATTCGTCGGGGTTGGTGGAGGTGGAGCCGAGGGCGATGCGACGGGGGGGCGCGCCGAAGCGGTGGGACATTGTGGGGGCTGCTACTATGTACATTCGGCCTGTTATCCTGTGTTTGTAAAAGGGGTGTCGTTAGACTCCAAACCTGGCAAGCAGTTGGGTCATGAATGATACTCACGTAAAAGTCTCACCACTCCTCGGCATCTGCCAAAAAATCTCATGCGTCTGGGACCCCTTCGTAACCGACATAAGCTCCGAGTTGCGTGTCGCCGCCGCGAAAATGAGGACTTTCGGGTCGGCACTCAGAAAGTCCAGGAACACCAGCCGTTGAAGCTTCGGAGCGCCTGTGGAGCGGACTGAGGCGATTTGGACGTAGACTAGAAAAAAGAGACCGGGGTAAGTATAGAGGAAGAAAGGGGAGACGCTGCGAGAGAGCGATACATACTGGGTTCTTTGCGCAGGGAATCGTAGTTGGTTTCGACAGACTGGAGCATGATTGGGCTCCAGGCCGGAATCACGCCGCTATCTCCGCCGAGCATCTTGGGAGGTAAAAGACCTGTAAAGCCCCAGAAAGAGTGCGAACGTGTGATATGTTAGTTGACCACTCTGCCGCCACCATCAACTGAGGTCATCAGGAGAGCCGTACCTTGTTTGTTCGGTTGAAAGCCGTAGGTGAAATGCGTAGGGATTTTGCGCAAGAGGCAAGCGCAAGGAAGGAAGTGCGCTCAGTCGTCAGGGCTGGGAGTCACTTTCCAAAAGCCCCGTGCGTTTTGAGTGATGAGAGCATGGCCGCTTGCAGCCTTCCTGCACTTATCGCTATTGGTAAGGGGCGTACCCTCCGCCACCGTGGTACTGGGGCTGCCCATTTATTTATTGCTTAATTACCTGGATGCACGTACCGGCGATTCGGTGTGAATACCGCCGGAACCACATGTGCTGTCATTTTGAAAGAGGTTCAACCCTCCAAGGTCCCAAAGGAAGTTTTACTCAGATGTAGGTGATCCAGATTGTAGTCTTGCTCTGCAGAATTCGAATAAGCACTGGTTCTATAGTATATACGCCGCAAAGGGAGAAATCTACATCATGTTCCACAGCCCCTACGAGCACGTAGCGAGTGCAAGAATCCTCAACGCTCCCCACCCTCCCCGACCCCCAAATCCGCCATCTCCGCCCTAAATTTCCCCTCCCGCTCCCCCTCCCTCACAACCCCCATCCGTTCCAACCCTACCCACGGATCCCTCCCACCTCCCCAATGCAACACCTCCTTCCTAAACATCTCCCCACCCTCGCCCCACGCCTCCACATCCCCTCCAAACCACCTCCTAAATATCCGCCCGGCCCACCTGCGACTCCAGAAATAACTATAGTACGTCGCGCCATAACTGACCAGATGCGTGAACTGCACCTGCCACGCTGCAGGCGGTTGAGGAGGAGGGAAGGCGCCGTACAGCTGTTGTGCGTGGGTGAGGACGGCGGTGGATGAGAAGTGGGCGTCGAGGGCGAGCGGGGAGTGGTACATTTGGTCGAGGAGGGAGAGTTGGAGCTGGTTTTGGATTTCAAGGGCGTCGGGTTGGCATGATCTCGGGGAAGGGAGAAGAGAGGGTGGGATCGGCGTGTTGGTTTGGTGGTGGCGGCCAATGAGGGAGAGGACTTGCGGGTTTTTGGCAAAGGTTTCGGTGAAGATGGAGGGGACTTCGACGAAATCCATTGGGACGCGGGTGCCGGAGATGTGTTGGAAGTCTGTGCGGGCTAGCATTGCTATGCGGGAAGGGGGAACGAAGTCAGCCTCCGATGTTCGGTGCTCACTACACTCATACAATATGAAAACTCACAATGCATAGCATGGCCCATCTCATGAAACAACGTCTCCACCTCCCAAAGACTCAACAAAGCCGGCACGCCCGCGTCCGGCCTCGGACTCGAGAACGCCGTCACAAGCACCACAATCGGCAACTGATACCGTTTCTTCACCCCACCCTCCACAACCTCCTTCTCAGCCCCCTTGATCCTCATCGCGCCTTTCGCATACCCCTCTCCAAACCGCTCTTCGTCGTCTATCCGGCGCGAGCACCGCACAGTGAAATGCGCGGCAGTCTCGTATTTCCGGCCCTCGGCGGAATCCCGCGCAAAGAGGTCACAGTAGATACTCCCAATCTTGCCGTCCGTGTCGTGGATGACGTCCAATTTGCGGACCTCGTCGTGCCAGATCTCGCCGGGGACGACGGTCTGTGGGACCAGGGTGACGCAGTAGAGAGCGTGGAAGAGGTTGGAGAGGCCTTCGAAGACGGTGCCGACGGAAAAGTAGGCGGCGAGCTGGTCGGAGCCTTGGGAGATCGGGCGCGGGTGGAAGGGGTCTGTGGAGGGCTCTTGCCGGGCGGCTGTGGGCTGGACGAATTGGGAGTAGTAGTGACGGTCCCAGGCTTCGATTTGGGTGGTAGGTTTTGGGTTGTGCATTTTCTTGAGGGATAGGAGACGATCGACTTCGGCGTCTGCTCGTGGCTTGTGAAGATCTGAAAGCGATTCGAGGAATGCAATCACTATTTCTGTAGTCATTACGGGGAGGATGTCAGCCAGGACCCTCGCACCATTGGCGATACCAACTCTTTACCCAATACAACATACCAGGCGTCTCAGCCATCTTATCCGTCAACGAAAGCTCCGCATAGCTGTCCTTCTTCAACAGCCTCGCGAGCTCGCCCCTCGTCCACAACATCGCCTCCAGCACATCAACCTGCTCCTTACTCCCAGAGTTCATCGCCAAATACACTTGTTTCCTCACCCCCTCATCCCGCGCAGTCCTCAACACCGCGGACGCCAGTACCGAGTTGGTTGGTATAGTCGCTCGCGTGCCACTCTCATTGAGGATGCGTGATAGAACTTGGCCAGGCACCCCATGCAACTTCTCCAACGGGTTCTCAATGACGACCTCGGGAACGCCAGGCCCGGCCATTGTGATCATTTCGTGGCCGAGGTCGAGGATCCGGTTTTGCAGGTCAACGTAGCGGTCGCGCATGGCTTTGGGCATGTGGACGCCGGATTTCTCGAAATCGGCGAGCAGGAGGTTGCCTACGCGGAGCTCCTGCTCCGAGAAGTGTTTTGTGATAGTCGGGTCGTGCATCACCGTTCGAAGGGACTGTGATGAGATGTCAGAGTGACGTGAGCATGCATCACATCAAAAGCGAAGAGAGCATTTTTCCTCCGTACCTTATACAGCTTTGGATGCGTGTTCAACTGATTAATCACACTACTCAACGCCGAATGCGCCTCATTCGCCGCCTCCACAAACCGTCCGTCCGGATGCACATTGCGTATCAGCTCCGCCGAGTCCACCACCGTACACAATATCTCCGACAGTCTATCCAGCCTCTTGACCGTTTTTACCATTTCGTTCCGATCGCGGTGGTCCACCGCCGCGCATACCCGCTCGACAATGAGGTCGATCTCCACCATGGCGACTTGCGCGGCGTGGACGAAGCCTTCGGGGCGGTCGAAGGCGGGGAGGCCGAAGAGGCCGGTGGAGGTGGTGTGGGAGTTGGAGTAGCGGTTGAGTTTCCATTCCGTTGGGTGGTCGAAGATTTGTTGGAGAGTGGTTTTTGAGGCGGTTGGCTTGGTGTTGAACGGACGGCGGGGGGGTGAGAGTGGGGTGGCGAGGGGGGTGATGCTTCGTCGCTGTCGTCGGAATGGCACTCGCAGTGCTCCACTTTGGGATGCTCGAGGAAGGCCAGCTGCTCGACAGCATCTGCTGCATACGAAGATGGCTTGTGTCATGGCGAGCAAAAGGAAGGAATAGTCCCCGGACGTTGAGCTTCTCCCCGACGCCAAGTTCTTGTTGGCGGACCTGTCTTTGGGCGTTGGGACTGCGGGGAATGCTCAATCCTCTCCTTCCATGTCCAATTCTCCCCAGGCACGCGTGCAAAAGGGCTCTGCGAGTTGCAATTGACTTCCCCGTTCTTCCCCTTCCCCGCTAACCCGACTCAATTTACTGACAGGCATCCCACCACAGACCACCAGCTCCCCAGCAGAGTCTCTCAACGAGGATATCTCACTCGGCAACCGCTCACTCTCGCCGCACACCCGCTCCAACTCACAAACTCACTCACCGTCAAAATGGAAGTCGACCTAACAGCCCAGGATGACCCGGACCTCGACGACCTCCTCCTCTCCTCCTCCGACGACGAAGCAGCCTCCAACAAACGCAAACGGGAAGAACTCGACGACCCAGACGCTGACGATTTGCTCGCGGAGGAAGACGAGGATCTCCGCCTAGATGACGCCGAGACGGAGGTGTGGCTGGTGAAGGTGCCCAAGTTCCTGGCGGAGAAGTGGACGGAGGTTGCGGAGAAGGGCGGTCCTGGGGAGACGGGGAAGCAGGAGGAAGTTGTGTTGGGGACGATTGATGTTCCATCTGTCTTAATGTGAGTTATTCTCGATGGAGGAAGGAGAAATAGCGACCGCATGGGACCGAGTATCAATCGTCCTTCCTATCTTTCTCACAGAAGGAACTCCATAAACCCCGCCGTCAACCGCGGCACCGTCACCCTCCCTACCACGCCCTGGAGCGACGACATCCCAAACTCCTACACACTCTCCTACACCAACCTCGCCCCGCCCACATCCTACATCTTCACCGTTAACAAGCCCGCCGACCGGCCGAAGGAGCTGATCGGCCGCGTCAACAGCGAGGCGTCCATCGCGCCGATTGTCAATGACCGGTATAAGCAGCTGATGCAGGCGAGGGCGAAGGGGATGATGGATAGGAAACGGCCGGTGCAGAGATTGGAGAAGGACGGGCCTGCGTTCACATTCTTGAAGCCGGGGATGGCGGGGCATGGGAAGAAGGAGGGTGTCAGTTTTGCGGTTTCGGTAGGTTCACTTTGCGAGCGATAGCGAGCAGCGTTTCGTGCTCTTTCCTTCTTTCGAGCCATTCTGACGCTTCCGCTTCTTTCTGCCAGAAAAAACAATCATCGCAGACAGACAAAAAGTCTCGCCTCGAAAAGACAGACCTCATCAACCTGCTCTTCACCGCCTTCGAAAAATACGCACACTGGAATTTCAAAGGCCTGCTCGAACGCACGCATCAGCCTCAGGCATGGCTCAAGGAGGTGTTGGGCGAGGTGGCAATCCTCAACAAACGAGGGCCGTATGTGGGGTTGTATGAGCTCAGGCCGGAGTTCAAAGGGATGAGTGCGGTGCCTGTAACGCAGCCCGCGGAGGGGAGCAATGCGGGGGCGTCGACGGCAACTACGGCTGCACCGGGACAGGCGGCGGCGACGGGGGAGGAGGAGGATCTGGATGAGATGGATTATGGGGATGGGATGGGGTTAGCGTCCGGGATGGAGTTCGGGAATGATACCACGGGGACGGGGGGAGGGCCGAGTGGGAGTGGAGCGGGTGGGAATGGGGATGATGATTATGAGATCTTCTGAAGGATGTGGTTTGGTTGCGATGCGCGGGATGTAGGCAACGTTGTCCATACATCCAGTACATTCTTTCAAAAGCCAGCAGCGACATTTGCGCTATCCGAGGGAAACGCGTCCGTGACTTGTCAAGTGAGCGTTGCATTTGTCAACCCTTTTTTCCCAGAGACTTCGAACGTTCCCTCCCACGTTCCCCAGCTTCCCTCATCCCCGACGGAAGCCCCCATCATCCATCCACGCCGCACCTCGCCGCAACTGCACGCACACCGCAGCCACCCCCACACCATGTCCTCTGAGGTATAGCACACCCACCTACTTTGCGCGTCCTCAACCGCACTCACCCAACTCACTCAATGCTCCGCGCAAAATCCCTCACCGGCATGTACCCACCCCCACCCCCTATCCAACTCCTCCCGACCCACTCGCAATCGCATAACCAGCCCTACGTCTCCATCGGGGAGGATGCGTCGGATATGGCGCCACTGCGGACGACGACGAGAGCACCGGGCGAGAAGGGAGTTTGGGAGCGGGTGAAGAAGATGGTTGAGGGGAGGAAGAGAAGGATTTTGGGAGGGTGTTTATTGGGGTTGTTGGGTGAGTTGGGCTGTGGGGGGTGGGGTGCGGTGCGGTGCGGTGGGATTTGATTGGGAAGGATGCGAATGGAGGGCAGGCGAGCTTTAGTGAAGGTCTGCGCAAAGCCCACTACTTAGGCTGCCGGCGCAACTTTGCGCTTGCCCATGTTACAGACTCTCGTCGCGAGCGCAAAGAGCTGGGTTGCCGTTTCATGTATCCCCCATAAATCGAGGCTGATCAAACTCCCATAGTCATCTGGACCATCCTGGCACTGAGCGCTTACAATGATTATAAGAAGGGTAAGATGCGATGTCATCCGATGTACTAGATTGCAGACCGGTGACCCGAACGAATCATGCCCATCTCTCCACTCCCATAGGCGACAAGTCCGAAAAGATAGACCACCCAGGCAGCGCAACAGGTCGAAACGGCGCTGTATCGTCCGAGAACGAACTCTGCAGCAAAATCGGCGTGGACGCGTTGAAAGACGGCGGTTCAGCCGTCGACGCAGCGATCGCCACCGGCATCTGCATCGGCGTCACAAATATGTACAGCAGCGGGATCGGTGGTGGAGGGTTCATGGTCGTCCGCGATCACGATGGGATGAGTCGGTACATTGATTTCCGCGAGGAGGCGCCTGCACTTGCACAAACCGACATGTACAACCATGATCCCAAACTTGCGCAGATCGGGGGGTTGGGCGTAGCTGTACCGGGCGAGATCAGAGGGTTCGAGGCGGCGCATAAGCGATATGGGAAGCTGGAATGGAAACGGCTTTTCCAGCCGTCTGTTGATCTGGCTATCAATGGATGGGAAGTGAACCATATCCTGGAACACAGAATCAATCTCGCTCCTACGCTACTACTGAATAACCCGGCGTTCCGCGACGTGTTCGCGCCAAATGGCGTGTTGCTGAAGCAAGGTGACATCATCAAACGCGAAAAGTACGGTTTGGCGCTGAAGGAGATTGGGGAGAAGGGTGCGAATGTCTTCTACGAGGGCTGGATCGCCGAAGAGATCGTCAAAACAACCAAAGCGGAAGGCGGGATCCTCTCGATGGACGACATGCGTCAGTACCAGGCCAAAATCCTCCCGACGTATGTCGGTTACTACAACGGCCGTCGAGTCATCACAGGCCCACCGCCCACCAGCGGACCGGTCCTCATTTCCTTGCTGAATGTCATGGAAGGATACGACTTGCATGGCGAAGGCCCGACCAACACGAATTTCCATCGGCTTGTGGAGGCGTACAAGCATGGGTTTGCGCAGAGAAGTTATTATGGAGACCCGGTTGACCCGGTTTATAAAAATATTACGGTGATTGCTAAGGACTTTTCGCGGAAGCATTATGCGTGGGATGTGAGGCATAACATCACGGATGTGAGTGGTAGATGGTACTAGCAGTGGACGAGGGGAAGGTCAGGAAGGGGGCCGAAAGCATGTTGCGCAGACTAAACTTACCGTTCACTTGAAATCGCTCATCACAGGAAAAGACCCACGGCCCGAAATACTACAATCCGACCTTCGACATCGACTCAGACCACGGTACAATGCACGTCTCGGTCCTCGCCGCCGACGGCTCCGCAGTCTCCATGACCTGCACCGTCAACCTCCTCTTCGGCGGTCAAATCATGAACGCGGCCACAGGAATCATCCTCAACGACGAAATGGACGACTTCTCCATCCCGGGCCATCCGAACGCGTTCGGCCTCGAACCCTCCCCCTACAACTTCATCCATCCGCGCAAACGACCACTAAGCAGCAGCGTGCCCGTCATTATCGAGAATCGCGCGGGCGACCATGTCGAGGTCGTGGCCGGCGCGAGCGGGGGCAGTCGGATCATTACCGCGACGATGCAGGCTGTGCTGGATATGTTGGACTGGGGATCGACGCCGCTGCAGGCTGTGACCAGACCGAGGATGCATCATCAGTTGTTGCCGAATAATATCATGGTCGAGTGGGAGTTTGATGAGACGCTGAAGAAGGATTTGGAGGGGAGAGGTCATAAGGTGAAATGCGTGGCATGATTCACGTCCTGGGATATCGGGGCCGGGGAAATCTGACACTCTCTTCCTCTCCGATCCCTCACCAACAGTTCGTCGTCCTCGACAAGGGCCTATACCTCTCCGGCGTAGAAGTCATCCGCCGCCGCCCCGACGGGCTCATAGAAGGTAACGATACTTTCCGCCCCGCCTCTCCTCAAAATCGAACGCTAATCCCCCACCTCCTTGCTCCCCCCTGTCTCACCACACACCCAGCCGCCTCGGATTGGAGGAAAGCCGGCGTGTCGGTAGGATATTGATTTTCACGCTGCCGTGGTGCGGGGTTTATAGGGAAATAGGAAGGACTCGCCACTATACACACTGTTACGGTCTTAGCTCGGGTTGCCCTGAATGTGCCCTGTACATAATGGTAACGGCGTCGAATAGAACATAGGACATCATTGGGTGAGAGACGTTTCGCAAGTTACGCCCCAGAAATAAGCCCGTGTTTTGCTTCCGTGTATTTATTTACATTCCAGCCGTGACATATGCGGGCCGCCCGCCGTTGCTCAAAAACATGGGGAAGCGATGCTGGGATACGGGGGAGTATTGGGTAGTTTCCGCGCGCCCGAGACAATGAAGCAGCCGAACTATACAATCACGCTCCACGCCTTACTCGACGTGTACGGTGGAGCCGCAGGAGAGCGCGTTTCGTCGAGTGGGACCCGAAATCCGAACGCTTACAATCGTAAGGCGATGGGGGTGTATGTGCACGCGCGCCGATGTTGGCCCATGTGTGGCTCTTCCCGCCAGTTATTTCATCGAGATGACATGCCTCACATCCTCCACGAACCGCAGGGCGTCCAAAAATGGGAGGAGGTCCAGCAGGCCTTCGTCCTGCGTGTCGCCGACCCAGGTGTCTGTTGGGATGCCGTTGTCTAAAGGAGAGCCAGGAGGTGTGAGATGCGAGATTCATAGGGCGGAATGAAGATAGAGGCTTTTTCGCGACGACGCGTAGACGCGTACCTTCGTTTAGTTGGTAGGATATTGGCGAGTTGTCGACGAGGCAGACGCGGGAGAGGTCGGGTTCTACGACTGCGAGGTTTTTGATGTAGAAGCCGTGCCGTAATAGACATGACTGATGGACGTTCAGAAGTTGAGGAAGGATAGAAAAGGTCTAAAAAGGCTGTTCCTCACGTTCAGAAAAAGGTCGTACCTGTCTGAAATAGCGGGCGGCAAATATCTTGCGCTGGGGATCGAGCCAGTCGACGACCGGATCCGCGTATTCGGCCATCGATGCCGTGAATATTACCACTTTGTACCATTCACTGACCTTTCATGAGCGGCAGGAATGAAAAACAAATACATGCATGTAAGTTCTACGCCCCTCGCATTGCAAAGTTCAAGAATACCCAAACGCACCTTTCTGAGAAACAAATCACAATGGGGCCGCTTATACACATAGTAAAGACACACATGCCGATCCACCAAAACCTCCACCATATGATGATGGTACTTGCTTCCCCTCGACGTGGAATGTATCAGCGTCTCGTCCAGATCCAGAATTAGGGTCTTCTTAACGGGTTGTCTATGTCTTCGCGGCGACGAAATGTGGCGGGGTATATGCGACAGGGATGAGGAGGAGGAGTACTCGCCGTCTGATGTGAAGGAGGGAATGGAACGTAAGCGGCCGAGGGGGCGGGGGCTGCCGCCGTCGGTTTCGCTGGTGGCGGATTCGGTGAGGTCGCCGTCGGAGGAGGATGAGGCGGAGGTGCTGGTGGCGCCACCACCCTCTCCGGGAGCGAACCCGTTCTGGGCGAGCTGCTTTTCTTTCAGACGCCGGGACCGCCGAGGCAGTGGGGTCCTGCCCGTTGCGGATGAGAGGGATCCTCCAGCGTACACGCTGGTGGAACTTCCATTCGAGGATGATCTCAACGATGAATATCTGCCTAGACTTCCCCCCGCTGTGGTGCTGGTCAACATATCGCTCCGTCTCCGCCTGACCTTACGGTGGTCGCCACCTCCTGCCCCACCTCCAGCTGTGTGCTGCGCAAAGGTCAGCAGTTTCTTATGTATCCAGCTGTCGCGCGGCACCCACCCGACGAGCGTGACCAGTGTGCTGTGCAGCTCCAGCATGAGCATGTGCCAGACGGAACGCAGTGAGGCTGAAGGTTGGGTGTTTCGCCCAGTTGGGGTACTCCCGCGAGAAGAAGACGTTCCCTCTGTTGTGTTTACATTTTCTATTGAAAAAAACCCGCTTTAACATCAAGCTGGCTAACGACATTATCAGGGACCGGGTAGAGGAGACGTACCAAGAGGAACGTTTTCCGAACGCGGCGATGCCAAACTCCCGTCTGCAGGTGGTTCTGCGTCAGCCGCGATCGGCTCGTACCCCCGGCACTTCCGCAACACACCCTTCAATGGCACCCAGGACAAAAGGGCCGTCAATACCCCGCAAAACAATGCGACCGCCCCCACCGAGAGCCAAAGGTTTGTGTACACCTCGGATCTGCCGAGCGTGCGGTACGTCAGGTTGTACGAGTCGCCGTCCATAGGCGGGACAAGCAGGAGATATGCATGTTTCCCGGCTGCGAGATCCAGGGAGCACGAGAGCTGCTCCCCGATCGGACAGCTATCAATCGACCCTTCCAGAGTATACGTAGTTGCGTTCACATTGAGAGTCGCCCATCCAGAAGCATTGTCCCACGACTGTTGAGCGAAGAACATGAAGTAGTACGCCGACGTCTTTAAAATTCGAAGGGTGAAGGTTCCAGACGCGGCGGTGCGGTCGTAGAATAATGGAACGTCATTCCCTGCCACCCATTCTGCGAATCGAGATTCGCCTTTGATGACTCCGAACGTCGGAATATGGTCGAACTTCTGAAAGCTCCATTTGACCTCGACATTGGAATCGGGGTGCAGGTCGTAACGCACAAAGTGGTACGATCCTGTGAGATTGACATAGGGTTGGATCAAGAACTAGATCCATAATGGTTTGCACGAAGCAGGATCGACCTACCTCGGTTGATGTCAATATCAATCTTTTTGGACAACTGTATGACATCAGTGAGAGGAGGCTCCTCGTCAAAGAGATAGGTATCGACATGTGAGGAGCCAGCAATTTCGACTTCCCGAAACCATTTGGTAGGCAGCTCCACAAGCTTCCTGCTTCCAGCCTAATAATCAATAAACTGAAGATGAATACCAGCAATCCGAAAGTGTGCAACACAATCCGCCTTCCCATGACAAAGACATACCACAAGCAGAACATCATGGCTGCCAGGTCGGGGAATACATATCGCAGTGATAGTTGCCCCTACAAAAGCAGCAATCCATACCAGCCATCCTATCAAGTTGGTTCGAGGTGCCCGGCTTTGTTGTGAAGGTAGACTAGTCAACTGAGCATCTTCCGCTAGGACCGCTGAGTACGGCGGCGGGTATTGTTGTGGGTGATGCTTTTGCGACGGGAGTGCTTGTCGATCGTCCCGGCCGGGTCGTAACGGTGTCCGCTCTGAGGTTCTGTCATTGTCCCAGAAGCGGTCGTCGCTGCTGCTGGCATTTCGCGAGTCTCGATATCCTGTTCCTTCCATCGTTGCGCTGAGGCCGCCTGTCAGGGCAAAACCAATCTCTCGAGAGCCGAGAAAGCTAGCTGGCGACGCAATGGTAGCCCCGAAACTCCTGTCCTTCCAAAATACGTATACAGTATATGTAGTGTGCGCTGGCAAGTTGGGTGTTGCAGTCCCCGTGAAGATCACCTGTGAATCAGCGAGCGGCGACGCAAACGTCAGACGTTCCAGCAGCCTCGCGTCTTGGCAGGAGGTGAAGGCGCAACAGGACAACGACCTGGACAAACCACCATATCCTCACAACCAAAGGCCAAGCCTCAGCTACCCGGCCAAGCATGAAAGCGAATAGCAACACCGTCCTGACGGGTGAGAGCACTCGCCGCACTCTCTCCAACAATGCCATCTAGTCAGTTACTCAAGGACACCCTCAAAAAAACGCCTAGTGGAAAACACCGTCCTCGTACCATACAAATCGGAGCATGTGCCAATATATCATGAGTGGATGAAGGACCCTTTCTTACAAGGTATGGATACCTGTTGACTGCTCATCTTCCCTCATGATGGCTGTATCTAACTCTGAGAGCAGAAATGACGGCTTCCGAGCCGCTGAGTATTGAGGAAGAGTACGAGATGCAGAAAAGCTGGGCGGTTGACGAGGCAAGTGAGTGCAACTTTCTGGAAGTGTCATGGGGCGAGCTAGGACGAAAATCCCGCAAGGTCCGAAAAGCACAAGCCATTGAGCGCCCTTTCTGATCTCTACCTCCCTACAGAATGCACTTTCATCATAGTCTCCCCGGACTTCGAGAGCAATCGAGTAGGCCGATCGGCTACATTCGGAGGTAACGAAGGAGGAAATCTCATTGCCAACCGCATAGGTGCCATCTGCCGAAGAGACTCACGCTCCGGGCACATCACAGGAATGATAGGCGATGTCAACCTCTACTGGAACGACCACGACGACCCACATTCCGCCGAGATCGAGGTTATGATCGCCGGTACGTAGCCGCCTCCTCCTCTCCCACTAACGACCTTCTAATCTCACGTCTACTTCAGAATCATCAGCGCGAAGCACAGGCCACGGCAAACGCGCCCTATTAGGAATGATGTCTTACGCGACCACCGAGTTGGAAACGACATCATTCGTCGCAAAGATCTCGCAGTCGAATGATGCGTCGATTGGACTGTTTACAAAGCTGGGGTTTGAAGTGCAAAGTGTGTCGGAGGTGTTTAAGGAGGTGACGATGGTGGCGACGGCGGAGGCGCTAGCGGCGGTGGTGGGGAGTATAGTGGTCGAGGTGGACGCGTTCGAAGGGTAGGACATAGGGAGGACGGCGAGGGGCAGGATGTAGTCCATAGGTATGTGATTATAAAGTTTATGGGGAAAATGGAGACGTAGGTGTCAGAGCTATCAGATGGTCGACGAACAAATCCCCATCCTCGGTAGCCAACGCCGTGGCCCAGCCGCCCAGATGCCCGACATCGATTAGGTAGGCGTGATGGAGGGTTCCCATCACAAGGGGCAGCCAGCAAACGTCAGTTGGGAAAACTGTTACGGCAACTTAATTCTCTCTGTAACACCATGCTCAGCCTAGCGCGAGCAAGGCAGCAAAACCATGAAACATCTGAACATGTCCAAACACTGATGAGCTGACTGCCCTCGATGCATGTTGCCACATATCGCGGAGTAACGGCGATCGGACTTGCGACGCGTGGCTCGTGGAAGCCCAGCTGCGCTTCTGGCTTATGTCCGGGAGCTTCCTTCTCCTCCTTGCGCAAGCCTCGTTCCAGCCAGCATTGGTTCCTTGGCGTAGTTCCAACTCTTTACGTAGTCAGGGCAAAGTCTATCACGGTGTGAAGGGCTGGCAAAGGGCGAGCCGCCGACTCTCCGCTCTCTTGCTCTCTCCACAAGTCACTTAAAGCGGAGGTTCCGCTCACGCGTTCAGACGATCTCACTCAATTTCCAGCACCCGGACTTTGTGGCAAGAATGTTTCTGCAACGTTCTCGCTTACATTATACTGTCTGTGCGTTGGTGCGGCGGCCGAGGGCTATCTCGACACGACCGGCTGAGGCTGCTGCTGCGCGCACGATCGCACGCTTCCGCGCACCGACGCCCTTTCACGGCTTCCCGTCCTGCGCAACGGCATCTCTAACGTATTCGCCACAACAGTCTTTCGGAGCTCATATCATTCGAACCTATGCCACGAATAGCGCACGAAAGCTGGAAAGCGCCGCTGTCCAAAAGAAATTGGTAGAACGGTAAGAAGAATCGATATTTTCACAATACCCGCCAATAGCAGGCGTCTGATGTCGGTCGACAGGCTGGTTGATCTATCAAAGAAAGAGCTACTAAAACACGCGATATACTATGGAGTGCCTTGTACCAGCAAAACGCCAAATGAAGAGATCGCGGAAAAGATCGCGGAGACGTTGACGTCGGGGAAGCCGCTGCAGCTGAAGGAGAAGGCTTCAATCCCTTTGCCGGCTTTGCATAGGTATTTTCGTGTCTTCTATTCATGTTTGTGAATGCGGCATTGGGAGTGTAATTGGGATGGTAACGAGTGCTAAGCCTCTGCGTATTTCTTTCAGCTTGCTGGAAATGTCTCTCAAACAGCTCAGGGTCATGTGCAGCTTCCTGCAAATCGAAGAGCAGGAGTTCAAAGACGAGCACATCGACCGGGTTTTGATAATCCATAGACTAGTCTGGGAAGCGCAGGCTAATCAACGAGCTATGCACGTGCTCGCAGACCGGTAGGCACATACTTCGTTTGTAAGTTCGTGTGCAGTGAAGTTCCTCGGCGAATCAACAACGAACAATTTTTCCCGATCCCACATTGTCCACCCGCAGCTTCAGAAGGTCTCTGTCGAGGGAGGATATGGTGATAGTTGCAAAGCTTTGCGGTGTGGAGACAAGGTCCTCTGACAGGCGGTACCTTATGACACGTCTTCGGAAAAGATTTACTGAAGGCTTCGTCTTCGTACGGAACACGGAAGTTGATGGAAGAACGGGGCTGGTGTCAGGCGAATCTGTCTCGGAGATCGAAATGCAAAGCGCCCAATCTACATGTGCACAGAATGCGCCAGGTTCAACCCTTCCACCGTCGGAACTGCAAACCCCGAAAACCGCTAGCGCCAAGACCGAAGCCCAAACCAACGCCACCCACCCCCAGAAAGCAGGGATCGGCCGAGCAAAAGCGAAACAGTCAGCAACATCAACGCGCGTCATACTGCCTGAGGTTGAGACAAAAGCCATGCCGCTCGCTCCCCGCGACCCGTCTCCGTCCGCGGAAGCCGTAACTCCACAATCCTCCAATGAAGATGGTCGAGGGAGCAAGATCCAAACCAAATGGAAGCAGCCAGTTGCGGGGAAAATTTCCTTTCAGCACAAGGGCGAGCCGAAAGTGCACAAATTGACACTGTCTGAACTTATCCAGTACGCAGCCTCCGTTGGGCTCGCGACCACCGGTACGAAGGATGAGCTACGAATCCGAGTCAAGGCGTTTTTGAAAGAAAATCGCGCGAAGCAGCATCCGCCCTACAACATGAAATTACATGAAGCTGTTCAGTACGCAGAGTCTGTCGGGCTCTCGTCCGCTGGCACTATGGATGAGCTACACGAGAGAATCAATGCATTCTTGAGAGAGCATCGCGCGAAGCGGTCGCCGCTCCGCTCTTTGACAGGACGTGAAGGTGCACATTACGCAGAGTCCATTGGCCTCTCGTCCGCTGGCACGAGGCAGGAGATACTAAAGCGAATCAGGGCATTTTTGGGAGTGAGTCGCGCGAAGCAGCAGGCGCCTGGCGAATCAGAGGGTGAGGAACCCGAGGAGAAGAGAGACACCATGTCCAAATCGAGCAAGACATCAAGAGCCAAGCAACTAACCACCGATCAAAGGTCTCCGAAAGCGCTCGATTTCGCCACTATGACAGGGGAACAGCAAGCCGAGGAGCATAAAGAAGGTCGGCCCAAATCAAACCCTCAGAAACCAACCACAAACCAAGGGTCGCAGGAAGCGCAGCCCGATTTACCCGCTATGGCAGTCGAACAGCAACCTAACGAGAAGAAAGAAAGTGCGCCTAAATCAAAGGAGAATTCAAAACCCCAGAAAACAACCACCAACCGAGGGTCCCCAGAAACGCCGTTTGATTTCTCCACTATGACAGTCGAGCAGCAACCCAAGAAGAAAGAAAGTACGCCCGAGAAGAAATCGAAACCAAAGAAACCCACTAGGAACCAAGGGTCGCCACAAGCGCAGCTCGATGTCTCCACTATGACAGTCGAGCAGCAACTGGAGGAGAAGAAAGAAAGTGCTGCGCCCAAATCCAAAAAGAAGAAATCAAAAGCTGAGAAACTGACCACCAATCAAGGGACCCCGGAAGCGCGGCTTGATTTCTCCACCATGACAGTCGAGCAGCTCAAATCCCACGTCCGACGGTACGGCCTTCCTCTGGCCGGCACGAAACCCTTTCTGAAACGCCGACTCGAGAACCATCTGCAGGAGATAAAACCCCTTCCAAGCCCTCGCACGATCGTCGCGATCGACGTCGGTGCGCTCAACCTCGGTTACGTGCGCTTGACCGTCCCGCCGTTCGACGGCGCCGACGAAAAACCGACCATCACGGATTGGGGACTGCTGAACATGAGCGCACCATTCAACTCCCTCTCAGCAATGGCGTCGGAATGCGTGGGCATCGCAGACCGGATCACCAACCCGCCCGCAGACATCTACATCATCGAACGCCAATCGTGGCGGTCCGTCGGCGGACGCATGGCCATCCCCGTCGCGATCCTGGCCTCGCGCACGATCGAAGGAATGCTGATCGCGCTATTATCCGACCAACGCCGCGCTGGCGGGAAGGTGCAGGATATGACCCCCGGATCGGTCTCGCAGCACTTTGATCTGCACAACAAACTGAAAGCGAAGACCGGCACCAGCGCGGCCGTCGTTACCAGCGGACACTATGCGAAGAAGGACAACGCCGTTTCATTGGTCAAGAGCCTTGTGAAAGGCGGGTATGTGACCTGTCCTCCCGGATTGCTGGAGAGGTTTTTGAATACGCGGAAGAAAGATGATATTAGCGACGCGTTGTTGATTGGGTTGACGTGGATTGATCAGTGGACTGCGGCAAAGAAGGATGCGGCGTTGGTGGTTGAGAGATGTGGGGAGGAGGAGTTTGTGGTTAGTGATCCGATGGATGAGAGGTTGAGTGCCGTGGCGGGGATGTGAGGGAGTTTTCTTGGGATTTTTGGGGCATCTATGTTGTGGGAGAAGTGTAACGAGTCCTTTTTGGAACGGTTCGGATGGCTGTTTGGGTTTTTCAACCCGCCTCTGATGAAGGTCGGAAACAAGCTTGCGTGTTCCTTGGATTGGAATGCTCTCATCATGTAAATAATACCGTCATAGTAACATGAGATGCAAAATGATTCCAATTTGAGGATCGCAGGCTGCCCGTCGGGATGTGTGCAGCTCTATGACATGGCAGAAGCAGTACCTCATATCAGAAGGAGTTGGAGAGTCTATCCGCACCATTATTCGCGCCCCAAAAGCACTACCCGCTACGCTGCCATGCCAACACCGCTACCTTACGACTGAAATCTATGCCAAAACGCTAGCATAAACTACGGTTTCTCTCCTAACCAGAATCCTCATCGTCCCCAACCGGCACCTCCTAAACTTGCCACCGTCGCCGAAGACGGCACAAATCCCCTCGCCGGCGGTTTCGGTCCACCTCCGTCTGCAGGCATTCCCGCCGTATGCGTCATTACACTCCCCGACCCCGGCCCACCCTCCTTGAACACCATCGTCGTAGACGACCGCCCCGTAACCGACTCCCTGCTCCCCGCCGCCGACCGGTGTTTGAGTCCCGCCGCACTGGCGGATGATGACTTGAGTTTCTTTTTCGATAATTTGGACGCTGATCCCGATGATGTGAGGGATGACGTGGAATTCACTGCGGATTTCGGGCGCGAGAGCGAGGTGATGGATGTCGAGAGTGGCGGATCGGGTCTGTTGCGTCCCGCAGCGGCGGGCGTTGGTCGCGGAATGTGCGATTGCATGTCGACGTCTCGGGACGCTGAGATCTCCGTCCCCGAAACAGCAGCAGACGGTGATCCACCCACAACATCCCCCCGCCGTCCGGGCGCGGCTGTTTGCGGGCGTGCCGTGCTTGTCGGTGGTAGTGAACTTGCTGGCTCCTCCCCGCGTATGGGCGGCGCAGAAGCGGGCCGTGCACCAGCTTTCCTCCCTTTCGGCTTCTTCTTCCCTGCCCCGCCAGTCTTCCCCCCACCCGTCTTTGCATCCCCCGCAGCGGCCGCCGTCTTCCCACCCTTCTTCACCGCAACAGCACTGGTCGGTCGTGAACTGCCGCGATTCTTCTTCGCCTCCGCTTCCTCTGCCGCAGCTTTCGCGGCGCGTTTGGCTATCTTCCGCTGCAGTTTGCGGAGTGCGACGAGATGCGAGCGGAGATGTGTTTCGGAATTGGTGAGCAGTGTGCGGAGCGTTTCGTCGGTTGTGAGCTCGTGGGCCATGCGGCCGTCGTTGTTCTTTACTGTTGGGTCGCTGCCGGCTGTTAACTGGAAATGCAAATAGATGGGTGAGCACTTTAGTCACCGCCCGGCGCTTAATAGATGTGTGGGTGTATAACCTGTTTACCCCGCACGTATCACTCACCAAAACATTAGCAACATCCTTCAAGTTATTGACACTCGCAAAATGCAACGCAGTGCTCCCAAACCCATCCCTGCTCGTCAACAGGTTCGGCGGTTCCCTATCCCCCTTCTTCACCGGTGGTGGTGGTGGTGCGGCTTTGCTTTTATCCGTGGTGGGGAGAGAGGCGAGCAGCGATGTGAGAGATGCCAGGACGGGTTTCGCGTTGCCTTTCCGTAGGGCTTGCCGGAGGAGGAGGGCGACGAGGGGGATGTTGCCGGAGTTTGCTGCCCTGTTGGGGTGGATGTTGGGGTGAGAGATGTGGGCAGGAAGTATCTTGTGACGAGGGATGGTGAGGAAACCTACCAGTGTAATGGCGTGACCCCATACCCGTCCGTGGCAGTGACGTCGGCGCCGAAGGAGAGCAGGATATGTGCGATGCGGCGATTGCCGTTGCGGCAGGCGACCGAGAGCGGGCTGGGGTATTGGGAAGTGCATCAGAGAAAACGGGATTCAGGCATTGGGCTACGAAAAGGTTTTACGTACGTTAACCCCAGGACGGGATTCCGGCAGTTGCTCCGGCCTGGGTTCTCCCATAGCGCTTCGTAAACCTGCGAATGAAACCAACAGCCCAGCCAGTAGATGAGATTCCCAAAACGCAAACCGCTCCTCAATAAAGACAAAAGAAAACTCACCCGATCCAACCTCCCTTCCTCAACTGCCTGCAACAACCCCCTCTCTTTCTCTCCCAACTCCTTCTCAACGCCGAGATCCGGTCTCGCCGACGCCGGTCTCTTCCCGCTCAGTAAACTCGTCGACCCAAGAGACGCGCGACTGGATCGCAGGGGTGCGGCGGATTGGGGTCGGGATGATTTGCGAGGGGAGGAGAGGGTGGTGGTGGAACGGGCGCCGGCGAGGGAGGCGTGGGAGGGCGCTGTGCTGCGGGATTTTTGCATTATTTTTTGAGGGGATTGAGTGGTCGGGTGAGCGGGGACGATGTCGGTTGGGTTTAATAAAAGCGATGGAGAGTATATGTGTTGCTGGGTGTCTGTGGCGGATCGGAAGCAAATGCAATCGAGTGAGAGGTATTTCCTGAAATGCCTGAAATGTGGATTGGTTGTCCCAAAATGTGAAGCCGAAACTTTTAGTCATCCGACAAACAACTGGGGCACCTCGACAACGCAAGTGCAAAATTGAGTATTTTCAACTGTTTGAGCCCTCTGATGCGTCCAAACTGCGTATGAATCCAAGAAATCGAAACTCAAAACAGGGTATTTTCGTAGAATTGACAGGAAGCGGCGGTGACATTACATAAGAATTGACACTTCCGCGCTGTCAAATGACCCAGACAAATCTCCCTCCCATTACAGTGTTCGCATATCACGCATTACATATTCCCAAAAAAAAAAAGTCCCCTCCTATATTTCATGTCCAAGTCGACGGATATGCGTGACAATTGTACAGCAAGAAGTGAAGAGAGGGGAAAAGGAAGGAGTTACGACTCCAAGACCCAAAAAGCAAAAACGAGGAAATTACGTTCTGAAATCCGTCTTGGATGGTCATATACGCGAGGTAGGAGGGGTATGAAGGAATGCGAAGAGAGAGGTTGCTGATATAAAGGGGGGAAAGTCTGAGACGTAGCAATATGGTCACATAGCGGAGCCCGGCCGTGCCTGTGCCATCGTCCGCACCCATCTCCGCCGTCGAGTGAGCGAGACCAGCCCTGCCGTCGGAGTCGGGTTCATCCACTTATGATCACTTTCGGGAAATAAACCACTCATTAGCACCACATTCCACTACATACAAACATGCTTTCATTCGATGGAACGTACCTATAAACCCACCCCTCAGGGTCCGTAGTCCCCCAACTCGTATCGCACCGCCAGTCGTCGTCGTGCCACGTCCAGCCGTGCGGTAAGGTGTAGTCGTCTGGTGAGGGGCAGGACATGGCGCCGGAGTGGTCAGACCAGGGGGCACGTTCTTCGGCGAGGAGGTGGGAGATCCAGCCTGGGCCTGAGGGGGAAAAACCAATTTGAGGTGTAAGCAGTGTACTGCGATGTGTAGGCGGATTTGAGAGGAGACGGATATACGTACCAGCCCACCATCGCTGATTCTCAAACAAGGAGACGACCATAGGCGGTTGTGGTTGCGGCATGGGCGGTGTGGCTCGTTTACGCTCCCCGCTCAACGATCGCATCTGTGCCTGCTGCTGCTGCTGCTGCTGCGTTTCAATCTGTCGTTCCCTCCCCGCCCGCCTGGCATCCGCCCCAATCCCCGCAAACGTCGCCAACCCACTCACAGCATCCAAAACCCCCGTCATCTGCCTCGCCAATCTTCCCGGCAACGTCATCGGTATACCACCCTTCCCCCCCATTGGCAAATCCGCCACCAGCGCGACATTCAAGCTTTTCCACTTCAAACCCGTCGTGTTGCGCAGGAGGACGAGGATGCCGCTGAGCATGAGGAGGTAATGGAGCGGGATGAGGAAGTAGAATGTCCAGGTGATGGGGATCGAGAGGACGGTGTAGGAGAGGACGCGGGAGGTGAGTTCCGGGTGGGTCCAGTCGAGCTTTTGGAGGAGGGCGTGGAAGGCGTCGTAGGCATCGCAGTATTGGGCCATTACGTTCTGCATGAACTGGGGTTCACAATGGGAAAAGGCGGTCAGAATGATAAGCCGCCATCCCTTTCAATGAAACTGGAAAGTTGCATGAAGACCAACCTGCATGTTCTTGGCGTATTGCTCAGATCCTACCGTGATGCTGGCGTACCAGTTCGGCGTTGTCCCTGATGTCTCAGAATGTATCGATCCTCGTTGCTTGACGACGTAATTCCTCAGAATCAAATACATGATGTACAGATTCGGCACAATGCATAGTATCGTCGGATAGTAGCCTATATGCGCAGATCGAGCGGAGATAAGTACTTGAAGGGCAGGTACCATCACCACCCATAAGCAATCACACCACTCACATAAAGTAACCCAACCCAACACCAAAATCGGGCTCTTAATCGGATCCCTCCACCTAACCATCGTATCAAAGCACTCCCACACCGCCACAACAGGGCTCAGTCTCACAATCAATCTACTGAAATGCCCCGTGGTCGTCACGAGACTCAGGCCGGGGGCTTCGGGTAACGGGCGGGCTTGTTCGCGGGCGGTGTTGATGAGGAGGTTTTCCATGACCGAGGGTTGTTTTGGGGCCGGTGAGTGCGAGTGGGAGTGGGAGAAGTAGGAGGTGCGGGGCGGGGAGGAGGATTTGGAGGGCCGGGAGGGGGAAGAGCGGTGGGAGGAGAAGAGGGAGGGCATTATCGGCATTTGTGGTGGGTGCTTGGGATATCGTTTGTTTGTTGTTCAGAGTGAGTGTGGTGATCTCGCCTTGGTTTCTCAAGATGCCGTCGACCCTAAACCCCTCTTTATATAAAATTCCTGCCTTTTCCCCAGCCCACCAGTTCCCTCACACTCAACGAGAAGGACCAGCCCTCGCCTCCGGTCCACCCCGCAAGATTGCCGTAGTAAGATGCACTGCAAACAAACGCGTTATCTGTCTTAGAAATTCGTTCCTACGTAGCCCTTGTGACCTAGTGACTCGTTCTTTGGCGCCAAGTGCCCTATGGCGTAGAGGGCGATAGGGGGAATGCGGAGAGACGGGAAGCAGATGGCGAGAGTTAACCTTGTTTTTTCTGAGATACAAGTTGCCGTCATCGGCGACGCCTCAGGCAGAGGTACAATGATGTGGATGGCAGATAACCACCACGGAAAATGGGATGGGGTGAGGATTCTAGACTACCTACGGTTACGGGAGAATGCGTCTGGTCTGCGGCCATTGCCAAACACCACCGAACGCACAATCGAGAGGAAATTCTTGGTGCTTAGGACGTCCCGATTGTGCACTCTCATCCGTAGTGGTCGTCTTCCAGGAATCTCAAATGGCGTCCAGTCTTGGTTGATACATTCGGGGTTGGGGCAACCCACCAATCCATGGACGAATTCCATTCTTCCCTTTCGAGCTTGCCACGGCCGAGGTGACAGCCGGCGTCGGATGTTTTTCTTCACACGCCCGTGGCAGTCTGGGCACACGGAAGACGTTCGATACTCATCTAGCAAGTAGCATGGGATGCTGTTTCTTGCAAAGAGTGTGCGGAATCTGATTTCCATGATGATGAGTTAGCATATTGAAATACATAAAAAACAATGATGGTCACTCACCCCTTGGTCTTTGATGACTCCTGAAAGCGCATGGTTTTTCCAGCATCGCTCCAATCACCCAAGATGACCGCAAAATGCTTTCCATACAGGCGTCGCATGTTCTTGATGAGCTTGGTCTCAGACTTTTGCCGCAGTGAGAACGCCTTGAATCTGCAAGCTACGTGAATCTCATCCTGGTAAAACTCATCCAGGGCGGGATCTGGGATATGGATGGATGTCAGCCCATGTGTTACCAAAGTTGAAAATCAAAGTTGAAGTAGAACATCATACCCGCATGTAAGTGATCCACAATGAACGCTGAGAACGCCTCGATGTTCATGCTCTTGTGCGATGGCATATGTGATTCCATCTCAGCGATGCTGGCATTGATCTTTTGCTCCGTCATGTCTCGTTGAAAGTACCGAGACTTGGTCTCGACTGCCCGTTGATTGGATGTGTATCTGGTATGGGGTGGTGCATTGTGAGATTACTACTGCCCTGCTGCCCCCGCTGTCCCTGCTGTCGCCGCTATCCCCGCTGCCCATCATCGGCGACCCCTCAGGCAGAGGTGCAATGATGTGGATGTCAGATAACCATGCCGCTATCCCCGCTGTCGCCGCCGCTATCCCCGCTGTTGCCGCCGCTATCCCCGCTGTCGCCGCCGCTATCCCCGCTGTCGCCGCCGCTATCCCCGCTGTCCCCGCTGTCCCCGCTGGCCCCGCTGTCCCCGCTGCCCATCATCGGCGACGCCTCAACCCTCCCCGTCCCCGTTCCCAGGATCCCCTTCGTTTGACATTCTGCAATCAGCTGAAACGTACCTAAATGGCCGCCCCTTCTTGATGTCTCGACAGAACAAGAGGGCAGGCTTGCCCGGATCAATGCTGACGATGTTTGGAGCCTCCCTTAGTTCGGCGATGTGGTGCTCAAAATACAGCTGTTTGACTTCTTCCTGCTTTTGGGCTTTGCTGCGCTTCCGGGCGCGATGGCCGTACTTGAGCCCTGGCTTCTTGAAGTGGATGGTAGCGGAATACCCGTTTGTGCTGATTGACCCATCAAATTTGAGACCAAGCTTCTTTCGATCCTTGAAGACCTTGTCCTGCAATCCGTCATTCAGCGAGGTGAGGTGAGTGAAATAAGCGCAGAGGGATAGAGACTTACATTCACGTTGAGAAACTGCCCCCACAGCTCCCGCTTACGTTGATCGGTGAGTTTCCCCATGCGATGGCAGCCCAAGGCCAGGATATGAGTGGTTAGGATCTTCGTGTCGATCCGAACAGATGACTGGATTCGAGGTTAGCGCAGCGGGATAGCGGAAAACAGCCGCATTCCACGGCGCTCATAGAGGCATGAGAGCTCACAATAGGCATCTGTGATGAGGCAAGGCAGGTGCGGACCATGATTAGACAAAAGAGGAACCCGCGGGGAGGGGGGGGACGGAAATATACTAACTCACCTAAATATGGCATTGCGTCCACCGCAAGGCTGTACGCAAGCGGCTCATCCTGGGGAGGAAACAGAGCCCATAACTCGTCGAGGACGGTCCGCTCAAGTCGTGTGAGGCGCGCAAGCTCCTCTTCGGTTGGGTACTCTTCAAACGTCGCGTACTTCGTACTAAATTGACGGACACGAGGATAATAGTGTCGCCGCTGCGCTCTCCGGAGATGCCGTTCGACTTGCTTCAAACCAAGCCTCTCATTGACGTAGCGCAGAAACATTTGCATGAAATGCTCTTGTACATTGACTTTGAGGTTTGTGAAGATGCTGGTAGCCGTGTACGCTGCGGTCTGTTGGCATTTCCGCATGCGGATGGGGGCAAATCCGTGAACATCACAGTAGTCTTGAACCCATGGATGCAACTCTTGCGCGATGACCGGATTGCCATTGTAGCCTGGATTTTTGAGCAGCTCAAACACCACACTGATGTGCTTGTCGGTGATGTCCGGGAAATTGTGTAGAGGATGATCAGCTGTGGTGGGCAGACGCAGTAAGTCAGGGCGCTGTTTCATGGGAAATATACAGCGCAGTGTACCTCAAAAACTCGCCAAGGTAGTACTTGAGAAAAAAGCTGGTGTGGCGCGCAAGGATGTGAACATTGCCGATGGATGCCGTCAGGCGCTCCCTTTGCTCCCTTTGAGCTTGATTATGGATGATTCGGTGAAGCAAAACCTTGGTGCTGGCGTGTGTCTGCGGGCGGGGTCGTTGAGCTGGTGGTGGTGGCGGGGGTGGTGGTGGCGGCGGTTCATACACCAGGGGTCCACCCGGTGTACTGGGAAAAAGGAAAGGGATGGGAGCGGGGAGGTTCAACGGGCGCTGCAGACCCCTGTCCGCGGGTGAAAGCCCTCGCTGCGGCTGCTGCTGCTGCCCGTCTTCATTGCCGGAGCTCTCGCCAACCATGTCTGCAATTGCTTGGGGCAAGTGGCGTTGGACAGAAGGTGGGAACTCGAATCGCGGGGGCTGCAGTGGTGTCTGCACAGCGGTTGGCAGACGTGGGGTAGCGGGAGTAACCTTCCTCCTCTTCCGCCGTGGTGGGGTAGCTCCGGTAAAGATGCCACAGCACAGGTGCCCCTGGAGCGCCTGGTGTGCTGGCATGATGGCTGTGCTGTGCAGGCAAGTGGTGAGATCAAGGGGACCAAGCAAGGGGCCTGCTCTCAAGGAGGATCCAGGATTTCTGCTTACCTGCGATGTGTTGAAGGCTTTTAGAGATTGGTTGGGGGCTTGCCTTGATGTGCGAGGGTGGAAGTGTGCGCAATTGTGCGCAATTGTAAGAAGGAGCTCGGTCTCGGTGTGAAAGCAGGTCTGGAATTTGTCTTCTCGCCTGTGGAGCCGTTCCAGGCCATTAACCCTAACCCTGCCCCGCGCGCTGAAGGCTGTATGTACTGTACACAAGGCCGAGGGTGAAGGCTGTAAGCCCGACAGTGAAACCAGTCCGCGCCGTGCAGCGGGCCAGCCTGGCCAGCCAGCCTGGGGACCAGATTGGGGATGGCCAGATTGATATATACCCACCTCTTAATGGAATTGAGCGTCCGCGTCACAACAGATGTGCCATGTAGCGGGCCAGAGACGCGCCGTCCAGCGGGTCAACCCGGCCAGCCAGCCTCAAAACTTAGGTGGGGTTAGGGTTAGGCACAGTTGGGGCGCAGTCGTGGCTTGTCTTAGGGTTAGGGTTAGGGTGGCTGATCGCCGCATCTCCAAGACCACACTCTCCTCCTCTCACACGAAACATCAGGCGCTCGCAGCGGACGACAGCCCCCTCACCCCCCTCACCCCCCTGGCCAATGCCCACCTCCTTCCAGCTCAAGCCCGGCAACCCACACAGAGCACACATTAAGCATGCTCAGCGCTGACGAGGTGAGTGGCGGGTTTGCAGGCGTGGGCGTCCCCGCTGGGTGTTGACCGCCTGGGCTTGCGGCCCATGCTGAGAACAACCGCCGCTTGCGGGAGGTCAACCTGCATGGGCTGCGCTGTCTGGGCGTGCTTGCTTTACGCTGATCTTGTGGCCCATGCTGAGCATGACCGCCGCTTGCGGGAGGTCAACCTGCATGGGCTGCACTGTCTGGGCGTGTTTGCTTTACGCTGATCTTTCGGCCCATGCTGAGCACGACCGCCACTTGCGGGAGGTCGACCTGCATGGGCTGCACTGTCTGGGCGTGTTTGCTTTACGCCGATCTTTCGGCCCATGCTGAGCACGACCGTCGCTTGCGGGAGGTCGACCTGCATGGGCTGCGCTGTCTGGGCGTGCTTGCCAAGCGCTGATCTTGCGGGCTGAGCTGCTAACACCTTCCCTTCCCCCCTTCCCCTCTACCGCGCCGCAGGCCACGCCCCCCGTCGCACCCACCGCGATCGAGGCTCTTCTGATGGGCATGGGCAAGAGCCGCGCTACAGCTCTCTTCGGCGACATGGTGGCCTTTTTGTATCCGCTGCTGGTAGACGCCGGCCTTGCCGCCCGGGACGCCAGCCTAGAAGACAAGGCCAAGGCGATTAGCCTTCTTTCAAGAAAGATCAAGCAAGACAACCCCACCCTTTAGGGTGGGTGGATCAATAGGCCAACGCGGTCCCGTCACCAGAAGAAGCGCGCCAAGCACCACATTGGGCTCCAGTCCGGCATCATCGCCGCGATCAGCGATGGCAGCCTTACCACGGCCGACTTCTTGGTCGACCCCCAGCCCTCCGCTAGTCGCCCGGCTGCTCACATTGTGCTGCCAACGCCCGCCTCGTGCGATGGCTGGGAGGGCAAGATGGTCTATGCGGGGTTTGGGAAGAGGCCGGGGAAGGCGAGGGGCCTGGATGGGCTTGAGCGAATTGAACCCTGGGCGGGGGCCGACATCTACATCCACGACGAGCACGGTGCCCTTGTGGCCACAATCTCGTACAATAGCGCAGGTCGTCGCAAACACAACCTGCGGCTGGGGCTCGTCGTCGAGTCCTGTGGATCCCGGCCGGCTGTGGTTCGATGGAAGGCCTCAAGGGGCACAATGCACGCCGAGGGGCTTTGTTGTGGCAACAAGAACTCGGGATATGCCAGGGGGACATCGCACTATTCAATGAAAGGAGGGGCAGACATGTCCGCAAAGAAGTTTCTCGTCGCCACGGAAAAGGCCTTCACCAAGCCACTGCTGCAGGAGCTCGCCAAACGCAACCCCACCGTGGCGGCCTCCCTGATGATGGCCATGCCAGAGGTGTACGGGCCAAATTCCGATGAGTTCCCCCTGCTGTTTGCCACCACCAACTATCAAGTCGTCGTTCAGTCCGACCCGTCGGACGACGGCGTAGCCGGCGAGCTGAACCCGCACACAGGACGCGCCATATGGAAGCTGACCCCAAAGGAGGAGCTTCCGGAGGAGCTTCAAGCCCGCAAGCTATGCGCATGGGCGGCAGGCTACGCCGCCGCTCCGCCAACCGTCGTCGGCGAGTGGGTATTTGCGCTGCCAGAGCAAGGCTTCTACTTGGTGCTGCAGCCCGACTGCATGTGGACGTGGATGCCTGACAAGCTCCACGGAACGGAGGTGCTTGACACGTCCGGGGGCAGTCGCCACACAGCTGTTGTGAAGCTGTCCCTGGCGCCGGCCGCGGCCATCCGGAAATACGGCCTCCCTAATGAAGATGAATAACCCGGCAGTCATCCGTTCGGACCTTTTAGGTTGCCGGTCTAATATATCGCAGCCCTCCGCTCTCTAACTCATCATCCGCTTGGGCCTTTTTGGTCGTCGGCTGTTAGTGTAGAAATGATTGCAATGTACACAAGTCGCTACCCACGATGGTCTTCTGAAAAGCCTTCCTGAATCACACACTGCGTTCGAAAACTGTTAGAAGCGCACGAAGCGATTTGGATGAGGGCAGGATCGATTTGGATGAGGGCAGGATCAATTTGGATGAGGGCAGGACATCGGGGCCTCAAGTTTCCGCGCCGGCAAGGCCACTCACCTCGCAATCCTCGGCTACGACACACTGTGGATTCAACGCTGGGGTCGATGGTCTTCCGACGCATTCCAACGGTATATCCGCACACACCTCGGCGTTCAACTAGCGCTGCGGCAGAATTCCGCTCCTTTTACCAAAGCTGGGGTTGTATATTAGATCTCCTATTATCTGTGGCTCATCTCCGCCCATATTCATGTATATTTGCCATTTGCTCAATACACGGCCACTTTGCCCTACTTCACATCTACTTCATATCTACCCAACATCTAGCAACCTCAAACCGGCCTATTCTCTGCGGCGCCAAGCGCAAACCACGGTGCATAGGCACAAACACGGTCCCCGGGCACTTCCCGGTTTGACGTGCGGGGGACAAATTTCTCCCCAAAATCCATTGATGGCTGACTAGTACAGCGTGGGGCGAAAATTGGTCCCCCCGAAAATTGGTCCCCCGGCAATGACATCTCATATTCGCTCTACTTCACATCTGCGTATCCGGCAACTTGCCTTGGCATCTCACCTCTCATATCGCCGCCATCTTTGGGTCGGACCGCGCACGGGGCTCATTTCTTGAACGCAAATCATCTCTCATATTGTCATAAGCATCTTGCCGTGCGTGATCCGGCGTCGTTGGGTCCAAAGATGTGCTGGATCATATGTATTTTTTTATCGTTGTTAATATACGTGTACGCGGCACAACCCCTACCCGTACAGCCCCTACATGTACTGCTCCCCCCAATAAACCCCGCGCTCCAATAAAATCTTTCCTCTGTTATGGACGACGCGCCCATACCATAAGCTTACCTACTGACAGCCGCCAATGTCAACCGCCAAATGTCAAACGCCAATGTCAATGTCAATGTCAGTGTCAATGTCAGTGTCAATGTCAATGTCAATGCCACTCCCCCTCTCTCCTCTCATTTCGCCAATCCTCCCGCAATATCACCACTCCTCCTCTCTCCTCTCATTTCGCCAATCCCCCCTCGGCTTCTCCACACCCCCCACTACTTCCCCATAGCCAGCAGCTGTAGCAATGCTCTCTACGCTCGCCACGCACGCTCTAGGAGCATAGCTGGCGCCCCCCCAGTCCCCTCTTGTTGTTGTTGTTCTCTGATCTGCTGGGTTGCCTATCTATAAATAGCCGGCCTCTCTTCGTCCATTCCCTTCCTCCCCAGCAGATCAACACCAGTTCTTCTCATCTCCTGTTCTAGTCCTTGTTTCTTGTTTCGCCAATACAACCTCTTGTCGCCTATCACACTCGCCCTGTCTTCTCTACTTCGCTTCCGCCCCCGTCGTCGAGATCATAACAGTTTGATCTGCTCCAACACTGCGAAGTTCAGATCCTGTCCAGCCCTGCATCCGACAAACCTTTTTCGCCATGTCCCAACCCGGATCTGTACCTTTCACCGCCAAGCAATGGAACGATATGTGCCAAGCCATCGCCGCCTTGGAAAGCCAAAACGCCAACTTGCAGGCCAACCTAGCGCAGGCCCAAGCCGACGCACAAGCTGCCCAGAGCATCGCCGCCCAGGTTCAAGCTGATACGTACACCCGTCCCCAAGTCGCCAACCCTGCTCTGGAGCCAAGAATCAGCTCGCCCAAGAAGTTTGATGGTACCCGCAGGAAATCCCGTGGGTGGTTGAACAACATCCGGTTGATGTTTGCTCTCCAGCCCGACCGCTACCCCAGCGACATCATCAAGATCCAAACGATTGGCACCTACCTCACCGGCACTGCGCAAGCCTGGATGGCGCCCCTAGTCGAACGCCAAGATCACAGCCTTCAGGACTTTGATAGTTTTATCAGTCAGATGCAATCGGTCTTCGGAGACAGCGACAGGGTCTGCACCTCTGAAAACAAGCTCCAGAACCTTCGCCAAACCCGTGCAGCAACCGAGTACGTTGCTGAGTTCCGCCAGCTACAATGCGATGTCTCCTGGAACGACCAGGCCCTGATTGCTACCTTCCGCCGTGGCCTAAAAGAAGACGTCAAAGACCTGATGCTCACAATGCCCCCTGCGGCCACCATTGATGTGTTGATGGAGCAGGCTATCCAGTGCGATAACCGGCTGTTTGAGCGCCGCCTGGAGCGAAACAGAAGCCGCCAGACCTTCCCGGTTCCCCATACCTTGTTTACTACTACCACCACTGTCGACCACAGCGAGCCTATGCAGATTGACGCCGCTCGTCCCCGCGGCCCTCTGAGCCCTCAGGAACGCCAACGCCGCATTTCCAACAAACTCTGCCTTTACTGCGGTGGCGCGGGGCACATTGCAAAAGTCTGCCCCGTCAAGAACAAGACCACCACCCGTGCCGCCAACGTCGACATCAAAGAACCCTCCACCAAACAGGGTTTTCCCAAAGTCCAGCCGCAGTAAAGCCCCAGCGACTGGACAACACACACCGCCCCGGGCCTCCTAACCTCGCAGCTCCTGCAACGGGAGAGGCCACCCCCCTGGTTCCCGACTCCGTTATAGCCGACACAACCCTCCTAGCCGCTGCCCATGTCGAAAACTCCGAAATTAACCCCCGCGCCATGCTTGCGCTGGGTCCCGTCAAACCCTTCAACTACCCCGTTACCATCATGGTATCATCCAGCCGCGCCCCGATACCTATCTCAGCCATGATCGACAACGGTGCCCTGTCCTGCTTCATCGACAGAGACTTTGCCCGCAAACACCGCATCGCCCTAGTCCCACAGCAGCGTCCACTGACGATTGAACTCATTGACGGTCAACTCAGCTCTGCTGGACCAATCACCCATCACACCCAACCAGTAGGCATGTGGGTCGACGACCACTTCGAAGAACTCGTCTTCCATGTCACCAAATCACCCCATGCTCCAATCCTCCTTGGTCTCCCCTGGCTCCGCCTCCACGACATTAACCTTGACTTCAAGAACCTTTCGGTCGGTTTCCGTTGCGACAGTCAGTACCATGAATTCGCGAATTGGGACAACTCTCCAGCACCCCTGAGCCCAGCACCCGCCAGAACCCCCGAGCCCTTGATCCGCATCCCCCAGGATGAAGTTCCCGTCAACGAAACATGGTCGATTCCAGTACCCAAGGTATCTCGCTCCAGCACCCCAGAACCGGCTCCCACGCCGCTCCGAGTCTCGTTCATCTCCGCCCCAGCCTTCCGGGTCGCAGCAAGGCATGACCAGGTCTTTGTCGCCTACACCAACCCTGCGAAACCCGATCTCCCGACCTCGCCTAGCCCCAGTAACCCCCCGACACCCGAGAAAGACATCAAAGACTTCCTGCCCCCCGAGTATCAAGACTTCGCCGACGTTTTCGAAAAGAGAAATGCTGACACACTCCCCGAGCACCGACCCTACGACTGTCCAATCGATCTGGAAGAAGGCAGGCAGCCACCTTTCGGCCCGATCTACAGCCTCAGCGAACCAGAAATGAAGGCACTCTGCGAATACCTCGAAGAAAACCTCGCCAAAGGATTCATCAAACCCTCAAAGTCCCCTGCCGGTGCGCCAGTCTTATTTGTGAAGAAAAAGGACGGTTCTCTCCGCCTCTGCGTCGATTATCGAGGCCTGAACAGCATCACGGTGAAGAATCGCTACCCCCTGCCCCTGATCAACGGTATCATGGATCGTTTGCGCGGCGCCCGCCGTCTCACCAAGATCGACCTTCGCGGCGCTTATAACCTCTTACGCATGCGCCCGGGCAATGAATGGAAGACCGCCTTCCGCTGCCGCTACGGCCTATTCAAATACAATGTCATGCCCTTTGGACTCAGCAATGCTCCTGGCCTCTTCCAGTACCTGATGAACGACATCTTCCGCGACATTCTCGATGTGTTTGTTGTCGTCTACCTCGACGATATCCTGATATTGTCCAAGAACCCCGAAGATCACCCCAAACATGCCCGCGAAGTCTTGTCCCGCCTCCGACAGCATGGGTTGTACGCCAAACCAGAGAAGTGCGAATTCAACCGCGAATCCGTTGAGTTCCTAGGCTTCATCATCTCCGAGAAAGGCATCCAGATGGACCCCAAGAAGATCGCTGCCATCACGGATTGGGAACCTCCCAAGACTGTCAAAGGCGTCCAGCGATTCCTCGGCTTTGCCAACTTCTATCGCCGACTCATCCAAGGTTATTCCAGGATCGCTACCCCGCTCACAGCCCTGACCCGGAAAGACATCCCGTACGCCTGGACACCCGCCGCAAACACCGCCTTCGAGAACCTGAAGAAAGCATTCACCACCGCCCCCATCCTTGCTCACCCTGACCCAGAGAAGCCCTTTGTCGTCGAAACTGACGCCTCCGACTTCGCTCTCGGCGCAGTTCTCCTCCAACCTGACCAGGACAATCAGCTCCACCCCATGACCTTCCACTCTCGCAAATTCACGGCCGAAGAGATCAACTACGAGATCTACGACAAGGAACTTCTGGCCATCCAAGACTCCTTTGCCCAGTGGCGACACCATCTCATTGGCGCCTGTCACAAGATCACCGTTTACTCTGACCATAAAAACCTTCAGTACTTCATGACCACCCGCACCCTGAACCGCCGCCAAGCCCGCTGGTCAATATTCTTCTCGGATTTTGACTTTGTCATTACCTACCGCCCCGGTTCCCAGCAGCACCAAGCCGATTGTTAAGAATGGGCGGAGCCGACGGAAATAGAGGCGACTTGTGGTGCAGGTTGTTGACAGGTAATGGTATTCAGACCGAAAC